TGTTATAGCAATATAAGTTATCTCTCTCTCTCTCATGCTTAGATCTCTTCATAACCATCTCTCATCCAACCTAATCTCATTTACAAAGACTGTAAGTCATTGCCATGTTACCTGCAACCACCCAATCCTCACACTCACTTTGTTTCAGTCAGAAAGAAGCTGACATCTGAACAACTTACTGAATTGATTATGTATGAGCTAGTCAGATTGCATGAACTTCTCTTAAGCATAGTTTCTGATTATGAATCAATATTTATAAGTGAGTTCTGGAGAGATCTGTTATATCTTCTCAAAGTTGATAGAAAAATGAGCATGACATTTCATTCTCAAATAGATGATCAGACTGAAAGACTGAACAGTACTCTTGAACAGTACTTATGAAGCTTCATTAATTATAAACAAAATAATTGAATTGAGAAATTGTCTCATGCAGAGTTTGCTTACAATAACTCTAGACAATTCTCAACAGAAAAGAGTCTCTTTGAGCTTTTAATGACAAGTCATTCACAGATGAATTTTCTGAAAGCAGAAATATCAGTGTCAGTCACAACTGAGTCTTATAAACTAACAGATCAGTTGAAAGAGCTGCATAAGACAGCTTGAAAGAGTCTTATAAAGATGCAAGTCTATTAAAAGAGCTACTATGACAAGAAACATACTGCAGTATCATTTTATGAAAATGATCAGATGTGATTAGATCTTCATAACATTAGAACAGTATGTTCTAGCAAGAAGTTAGATGTTCTCTGACAAAAATTATGCTGAATTGTGAAAAAATTGAAATCTCAAATCTATCAATTGAAACTATTATCAGAGCTGGAAGTACACAATGTGTTTCATGTGTCTCTTCTAATTAAATACAAGAAATGAGAGAGAGTGGATAGTCAATCACATCACTTAATTTATGAGACATTCTCTGTGAAGCAAGAGTATCAGATACAGAAGATTATTGACTCTTATAAGAATGACTGAGCAATTAAATATCTTGTATGATGGCAGAGATATGAGAAAAGAACTTGAAAGTCTTTAAAGAATATGAGACATCTAGATAAGAAGCTGTTTGAGTTTCATAGAAAACATTCAGACAAGCTCAGTCTATGCTGTATTCTGAGAATGTGCACTTAGAGAGATCTTGTTAGATTTGTAAAGACATTTATAAAGCAGTTAGAGAATGATTCATGAAGCAGAAGAGTAGTAACTTAAGTAGTAAATTAATTTAGAAGAAAACTCAGTCTGTGAAAGCATTTACAACTATTAAGAAGTGATTCATGAAGCAGAAGTAGTGAATTTACTCTAGAAATAAAGAAAGAACTAGACTATTAATGACTGAAGCTCACAAGAAAAAGAGAAAACTAGATTATTAGTAATCAAAGTCTGCAGTAATAAAAGAAAGAAAATAAGAGAGCAACTCTAAGAATTAAAAGAATAAGTTTTATGTGTTTGATAGACACAGTTATTACATCTGTCTCTATTAAAAGAACTTATGACACACTGTCTCAATGAGAGATTTAAGTTACTCTGACATACTGTACATAACTACTGAAAATAATTATCTGTCATGATGATCAGAACTTCTTTCTGAAGCTGAGCTCTATTTCTCAGTCAAACAGAGTCTGTTGAATCAGTAAGAGTTGCAGACTAAAGAGAAAGAAAAGCAAGAAGTTGTTTCTCATGATTAGATGAATTCTAATCTGAAATTAAGAATGAAAGATGACTTATAGTAATTGATGTTCTGATCAGTAAGTTAACAGTCAAGACAGAGACTGAAAGAGCAGAAGCAGAAGTAGAAGTAGACACAGCAGACAGATAAGAAGTTAGTGAGACTGACTTCTAGAAAAAAAAAAGTATTAGCTGAGACTCTTAATATCACTTTGTAAATGAGTTTACAAAGCAGAAACTGTCTTATAAATTATGTTATGAAGCAACTCAACATATCTTGAATGCATCAGAGACAGAATCAATGCTTAAGAATGAGTGCAGTATAGAAAAGAGTACAGACTGAGAACAAGAATGTGATAAAAATAAATCAGATTAAAAAAAATAAAGTGATGCATTATCAATAAAAGTTTCAGATCTGAAAGATGAATGATCACTCTCTCTCAAAATCTGATCAACTGAGACAATGAAACTAGTAGTTGAAAAAGAATCATTACTAAACACAGTGGACATCATTGAGTGTTCTCATTAAGTTCAGATATTAGCACTCTAAATAAGTCATCAGCCATGCACACAGAAAGAGAATTATGAAGTGAAGAAACACTTCATAAAGAATATTTCAGACTTTGCAAAAGCAATTATGAAGCATTAAAAGAAGAAGAAATGGAAGAATATTACTTACACTGTCATAATCAAAATCAGACTGACTGAACTGTGACATTTGAGAAGAGATTTCAAAGTCTTCAGAAACATAACTCTCTGTTATATAAATAAAAACTGATGACAATGATGTCTCTTCACTTTAATTTTCTTAAGAAATGACAGTGATTGAGAACTCTGCTTTAAATGAAGCAGAAGATTCTGAAGACATTTCTCTCATTGCTTCTGAAGAGAGTTTTGAATAATAACTAGTTGAGATTTTATCTTCAAACTTACTGAGTCATTGTTGCTCACATTTTGACATCTTAATTTTAAACAGAAGAAAGACATGGCAAAATTATCTCTTTATATAATGTGTTAGCACTGAGAAAAGCTGTTTATGAAGTCTTTCAAAATTTATAATTATCAAGAAGAGAATGCTTGTCTGAAACTCTTACTAAAATAAAGAAGAATGTTGTTGAAAAGAAAAAGAAAAAGAGAGATAGAGAAGATCAAGAAAGAGATATTTATATTCAAAAAATTATTAAGTATCACTAGATGAATTATGAGAAATGACAGTCACTACAGCAACTACATTATGATTACAGAGAAGCTGTCACTCTTGCTGTGATCTTACTGTCACATCTACATCTAGAAACTGAAATTGAATTAAGACTTCACATTGTGATCTTCTTACATTCATCACATTAAAAAGAGATTTTGTACAAAATTGTTACAATCACAGTGAAGCTGTCACTCTCACTGTGATCTTGATCACATCAATGTCTTGAGAATCAAGACTTATGAAGAGAAGAAAATCTATAAGACTTCATATTGCAGTCTTCTTACATTCATTTCATCATCTAAAAAGAGATTTATAAAATCTTTTTGATGCTTAGATGATCATGCTTCATGGCATCTGAGATTTATAAATCTCATAATTGATCACATAATTTCATTAGCAAAACTAAACACACAAAATCTGTCACAGACACTTCTTTATAAAGATCAGTGACAACATATCTAGAGACTCTAGATACTGTTATAGCAATATAAGTTATCTCTCTCTCTTTCATGCTTAGATCTCTTTGTAATTCTCTCTCACTCAGCCTAACCTCATTTATGAAGACTGTAAGCCATTGCCACATTATCTGCAACCACTCAATTCTCACACAAAGGCTGTAAGTCATTGCCACATTATCTGCAACCACCTGATCCTCACAACATCATTGCTTGCTGCAATATCAGTAGTGAGACCAAACTGCTTATAAAGATGCACTAGCTTTTCTTTTAATATTCAATAGCATGCTATATGTAGTGAAATCTCTGAATTCATGCTATTTTATATGTAAACACTCATCTTAGTCAGAATTGATGTTATTCTATTAAACTGTTCTCAGTTAGCAGTAAATATTCTGTACACACTTTTGTACAAAACTTTACTGTCATTCATCAGAACTTCTTCTTTTCTAAAATTATCTAGATTTGAACATTCTGACTCTTTAATTGTAGAGTGTTCAGTCATTGTTGGGTCAATGTATGGTCATACTCTGTATGTGATTATATGTATTATAATTATTGTGTATCATGCTTCTCAATCTTCTCTTGTAACTAATTTAATAATCACATTACTCTTTATGAAAGATAGTTTTTCCATTTTCATGTTGTTGGCAGTTCTATTTCTCTGTGTTCTTAGTCATGATTTTGTTCACTGGCAATATTGAATTTACTTTATTAAGTGTGTGATCATAAGATATTTGTTTATAAAAGGGATGTGGAAATAGAGTGCTTTAAGCATCAGCTGGGCTCATAACTGTGATGCTATGAGCTACAGACTGAAGAGAAATGCCTGATTCATCTGATCTCATATTGAAGAGGGGATCTAGGCTGGTTTATATAAGCAAGTGACTAGCCCAAGTGGGGCAAAAAAGAGCCAATCAGAGTGTCAGCTCTGATCATGCATATGTGGCAAAAAAGACATGTGATTTGGAGCCTAGTGTTCTGAATCAACGCCATACAGAAAAACAAAGAGAATCCTCTAATCTCCGTGCCTAGCCTAGCCTAGGCAGGCCTCCGGCTGACAAATCGGTGGGGCGAGAGCCGAGCCGACCAGCTACACCTTGCCTCCTCCTGCCGCTCGCGACCGCTAGCTAGCCTTGCAATCAACGACAAATGAAACCAGGCGGCGCTCCAGTTTGTCTGTCCGGAGTCTCTCATCTGCTGTGCAGAGTACGGAGTACCCCGTGGCTCTGTCAAATACTAGTAAGAATATACCTACGATACCGCGTCTGAGACTGTCCCTGAAAGAGGGGTTTCTTAAAACATCCAGCAAACCGTGATTGTTGCGATTGCTACGGAGTACAGGTGACTGACTCAGTTCTATTTCATTGGCTCTTTGGACTCTGAGCAATACCTAGGCGGGAGAGGCAGTGCCTATAGGAGTGTCAGGCTGCAGGAATAACTGTGCACCTATAAATATCGCCAAGAAAACCATCAATCATAATGGCAGAGACGGTATGTAGTATTGCCATACCATAACTAAAAACTCATCTTTAGCTATACGATAGTTAGGTAGTAGTTGCGTTGGCCCAACGAGTACTTCGTACATACTACCAAAATGAAGAGTCCGAAATACAGGCAGTAAATCCCTTCTTACAACCCTGCAGCCCAGTACGAAGGAATGCACACTCCGTACTGCTCCCGTATTACCAGGCAGCGTGGCCACCGTCCATTCTCAAATCGCTGCCAGTCATAAAACTACTTGCGTCGCTGATGAGAAACACCGCCGCCCCACGGTACTCATCGGGGGTGCTCAAGCGGCCAAGCATATTCTCGGTCGGCCACTGGGTCTTGCGTTCTGGGTACTGCACAAACAGCTGCTCAACCATAGCGGTGACAATGTAGCCAGGCGAGATCGTGTTGACGCGGATGCCGTACTGGCCCCATTCCGAAGCAAGGTTGCGGCCCAGCTGGATAACGCCAGCCTTGCTCGCGTTGTACGCGGGGCATATCAGACCCTGGGGAAGCGGTTAAGTTAGCTTAGGTAGTTACTTAGTTTGGTTTAGGGTATGACGGGATGTTTGCCGTGTTTGCGGGGGGAACTTAAGGTGGGGTAGTTAACTAGGCCCAAGCAAAAAGGATGAGACATGCCACCTTCGCTGGACCCGTGGCACCGCTGCGTCACTTACCCGGTTTGCAATGGTGCCGCTCATGCTCGCGATCAGGACGATGCTCCCGCCCTTCTTAAGCCGGATCATCTGCTTTGCAACGGCCTGCGCTGTCATAAACACTCCTGTAATGTTCACCTCGAACATCATGTTGGCGTCTTGCGCCGTATATTCAAGAGCAGGCGTTTCCTGTTGAATGCCTGCCGCTGCGATCAGGCCATCAATGCGCCCTTCTGCGTTGGCAATGTCATCGACAACCTTGTTGAGATCCTCTGTATTTCTCACATCAATTCTGCGATATTCGAGGCTGGTGTTAAGCTCCTCTTTGGCCCGTTTTTGGATGCGAGAGAACTCTGGTGACTATATCATACGTGAGCACGCCTCATTGGATAAGAGAGAGGGAAACAGAAGGGAATGACTTTCTTCCTAGGACAACGCACTGGTTCTTCAAGCCGATCAAGTGCATACACGATAGCGCCCGCTTCCAATAGAGCTTCAGCCTGTGTCAAGCCCAAGCCACGAGCAGCGCCCGAGACAAGAACAACTTTCTTCGTAAGATCAAACTCAGCAAGTCCTTTCCCCATGTTTGTAGATTGTATTCGCGTGTCTATACCCGAAAAATGAGCAGCAGTCATTGCCTATGAGAGCGAAAGGGGGATTTCAGCAGCTTTAATATGATGCCCAGCAGACCCTGGGCCGGAGAAAGGTCTCTTGGCCCGGATGTAGATCGTCGTGGCTAGGCAGTAGTGAACTAGAGCGGGGTCGGCTTTAACGGTCCTCGACTATCGGACGAGCACCTGAAGCTATCGTGCCACGGTTCGAATCTCTTCGATCTTATCAATTCCCCGCATCATGGCTTTTCCTGTGGCGACGCAAGAAGCTACGCAGAGTTTTGTATTGTCGCCCACGCGTACTGTTTTAATAATACCAAGCAGTATTACGGTGCCTCTAGACAGAAATGGTAACGTTGTTGCGCTAAACGTTTCTTATGGCTGTGCAAATCCATTCTCAAAAAGGCTGAATTCAAGAAGCTGTCATAGATAACTTTGACTTCAACACGCGGCGAAAAAAGGTGCTAGCACGGACTTTATATCGCCCTAGTGGACATCATCGGGAATGGACGTCGCGTCAAGCAAGACGCCTTGCCTTTCAAGAATGCTAGTCGAAAAACCGCCGTAGGGAAAGGGCTAAGAATGTCTTATGCAGCTTGATACTTTTCAGCTTCTCATGAGCCAATGTTTGGTCCATCAAGAATCCTTTTTGAACAATAAAATACGTGATTGCCAACAAGGTCAACTTAAACGCAATTGTTTTTGCTGCCGCCTCAACACGTGCTACTTCCATCACACACAAAGAGTCGCCAGAAAGCCTTAGGGTTGAAGCCAGTATCACTCGCTTATAGAATTGGCACCAAAGAGACATCTACTATGACCAAGTATGATCAAGGTATGCACTTTTGCTTCTCTTCATGAGTCACCATCTCATTGTTCCGGTTCATGACTAGTGTCCATTTATTGAGATTATCTCAGAGAAATTTCATGGATGTCTCTGCGCCGCCATTCAAGGCGTATTAGCCTGGATCCTCACCGCTCCATGCCATATATCAACAGCATCTTTTATAGATTATTATTTAGGGGAAGCCGCGGTTGTGATCACTTGAGGGAACTGCCAGTAGGCGGCTGGTGATGGAAGGGTGTCATTTGAATGCATCGCTGGATGAAATAACATAAAACGTCATCGTTCTGCATTCGGGGCGATCCTCCGTATCACAGCACTCAGCAGAGGATGAACGATCAATAATTTGAGGCAGCAGAAATATCGAGGTCCAGAAAAACAATCTCGAGGCTCTCAGTGTTAAATTTGTCGGCACGGAGAAACTTTGCCCTAAACCCTTTCTGGCTGCCCGATACGCCCTCCGGCTATGAGTTCGGAAGTCCCCACCCGCGGACTTCCCGGATATACTTCACGCCTTTCGTTAAAGCAAATCTTGGCCTGGGGCAAATAGCCCTGGTGTCGAATTAATAATTTTTCGTCCAGCGGTCAAGATGGCTCGGAAAAAGATGGACTACTACAACTCTCTCATCCCCTTGGTCGACTGGCAAAGAAAGGGAAAGGCGCATTACCATGTCGACTACAGCGACACATACAACAGCCGTTGAGTTACAACCCCCGCAATCAGGTGTGCTCGAATCCCGACAGGAAAGAAGCTATGCCGCCGTTCCCGACACGGACGACACTTTGCTCCAGGCGTCTCTCGTTGACGACTCCCAAGTCCCGGAGGGCGGGTATGGATGGGCTATTGTTTTCGGCTGCGCGGTCATCTGCTGGTGGTTTGTCGGTACATCCTATTGCTGGGGGATAATGCAGGCAGCATTGGTGGAGCGGGGTCTTTCGTCTCCCTCTACTCTGTCTTTCGTCGGCTCTTTGACCACCGGTTGCATTTCGTTCCTGGCCATTATCAATGCTCGAGTAATTCGAAGAATGGGCATCAGACTCGCGGCGCTGACTGGAATCGGATTGATTGGAATTGGTGAAATTTTAAGTAGTTTTGCCATCAATAGCATTCCAGGACTCTTCATCACTCAGGGGGTAGTGGGTGGTGTTGGAACAAGGTAAGCTAGATTCTTTGATATCCTAAGCTCATTGCTGAATGTCGCCTTAGTCTCTGCTTCATGGTGAGCGGTTGCTCTTCACCATACCCTTGTCGTGGTACTGAAAAGTTTGAAACAGGTCGTCTCTGTGACTCCGTCCCAGTATTTTAACGTCAAACGTGGTCTCGCATACGGTATCATCTACGCTGGAGGTGGGTTCGGTGGTGCAACAAATAGTTTCATTATGGATGCCTTGATCCATCGCCTTGGTCCGGTTTGGACCTTCCGTGTGATGGGATTAATTACCCTTGGAACCGGTTTACCGGCGGCTTGGTTGGTGAAAGAGCGGATTCCTTCCCGCAGGACCGCATTTATCGAGTGGTAGCTTGCCAAATTAACCATTATTATGTTTCGTTATGTTAGCTAATTTGATATCCAGGCGCCTTTTCCGCGATGTTCGATTTTCATTGCTATATCTTGTTGGTGCGATAGGAACGTTCCCTCTTTTTGTCCCGCCGTTCTTTCTTCCTCTCTATACCAACTCCCTTGGCTTTGCTTCGAGTACTGGGGCTGGCGTTGTGGCTGGTTTCAATTTCTCCTCAGCTGTTGGCCGCCTGATCTGTGGCTTCTTTTGTGACAGGATTGGGCCACTCAACACCCTTTGCGGATCTCTGTTGCTAAGTGCCGTTAGCATTCTTGTGCTATGGCCCGTCTCTCTGTCAATAGGTCCGCTGGTTGCATTCGTTATTATCAACGGCATGGCTAATGGCGGCTTTTTCTCCACCATGCCCACAGTTATTGGGAACGTGTTTGGGTCTGCAAGAGTGTCTGTTGCCATGGGAATGACAGTGACCGGATGGGTTGGTGGATACTTGATGGTGCGTAGTTATATGATTCGCAGTGCTTATGTTGTCTTTCTTTCCTGCTTACAGATGAAAGGGCGCTCCCATTGCGGGCTATATTCTGGGGGCCTCAGGCGGCGCACATGCTGGCAGCGATGCTTTCCGACCTGCAATCTTCTATGCTGGCTCAATGGCATTGGCTGCAACAGTATTAGCAACTTTCGTCCGCCTTAGGACGAACAGGTCGTTGCTTATCAAGCTTTAACAATTAGGCCAGGCAAAAAGTTACCCCGCACTAAAGCAGCACATTTGACGTAGCCTTTGTTTCCATATATAGAGGCGAGATCTAGATGCCTTTTTTTCAGGAATAGGTCTGGGCATTGCACCGACCAACAACTGACGTCATCCATTTTTGACCCCTCAAGGTAAAAGGAATGGCATGCAGTTGGGTAGTTATCGGGCTGTGTAGGCTCTTGACCACAGGCGGGAGTAACAAAACAGCTACTTTCGAGACCATCCATGCACTCGCTAACATAGCCCTTTGTATGTATGTAGAGATTACTTCCATACTAAGAGGAATCTAATCTGAATCCTTTCGATAAATCATTGGCCAGAATGTAGTAGTATTGAACCAAGGTGTTTGAACTGGGGCCGTTGCCATCCCGCTGGCAAATCGCGAAGTCAAATGTCTTGCTGGTGACGGTTGCCGTGGGTTTCCTGGGGGCTCGGTCGGGGGTTGAATTTTTCTAATTTTTAAGACTGGTAATCTGTACTGAAAGCGAAAATTCATCTATTTTTCCGATGCTAAGCTCGAAAGTTATCCTAAATACCAGTCAATAATGCATACGGAGTACTACCTGTGAGTCCTCGTAAAATCGGTGATCACCGGCTATAAGCCCGTCAATACATATTTGGAGCGGTATAGGAATCCAATGCGGAGTGAGAAGAAGCGGTCGAAGGATTGGTTGGATTGCACGTCCAAACATTGACCACAGACTTATAGCTGAACCGTTACGGAGTACTCCGTCCTCCAGACACAGAACTAACTACAATGCCGAGTCACAGCACATTTCAAATTCTGCACCAGTGCTCAAGCCAATGAAAAGCGAGGAATCTAATGACGCGTCGTCTGCGCGAAATAAAACTGACGGATAGGTCAGACCTAGGACTCGGGCTGCTCGGACACGGTCAGCCGCGATATGACAACAAGAGGCGCATGCACGGGTGGAGACTTCGTGACACAAGACACGGAACCCATGCCCAAGTGGCATTCCGCAGGCCCATCATCGACTGCCACCGTGGTGGCCGGAGGAAGACCTGCTGGGAGCGAACATCCTCCGATCCTGGTGGTCTCCCATACTGCGAAATTGTTTCAGCATCGTGGGCGACGGGAAGGTGTTGAGCAGGAGTCAGGTGACTTGTCAGGTGACCAGGTCTCCGAAGGAGGAACCAGAGAACTGTAGGTTTGCCATCTCCTCCTCTCAACCACAGTACCAATTTCATTATCTTTGTCTATTGGGCTGGTGGAGGTTTGCTAGGGGTTTTTCATATGTTTTTCCCATAGCCTCAGTTATAGCATGTTCATCTATAAGTATCCATGTCTTGTTTGTTAGGAGCAAGACCAGATGCAATATTATAGATACTCAGTCACATGATCATCACATGCTTCTGTGTCATCTGATAGTTATGAGCCTGGGCTCTTTCAAGAATTTGGTTGTTATCTAAAGATATGTTCAAGATACTTTATTTTACTCTTGTTACCCATACAAATAGAGGTCACTATTAAGTATCTTGAGATCATACATTGAACCCTCTATTTAAGCTTAAATCTTAATTGCAGAGTTTGCAGAGATCTAATGCATCTATATATTTATCAATCTAAGTCTACAGAAAATCATAATCTAGAGTCAATGTCTCACTTCAATAATTAATTAAAAATGAATGAATCATCTAGAAGAGTTGTTATGCTGAATAGTTCTGATGATTGAGAAGAATGAATTGAAGACATCAAGCATTTAGCAAATCTTCACTGATTGTGGTCATACATTGATCTGACAAAAGAAACACATTCCAAACTTTGGAAATCTGTTATAGAGAATTTTCTTTCTTCTGGAAAAACTGAAGAAACTGCAACTTCTGCAGATATGAAACATGCAAGAAATATGCAAAGAGATTGATACAGAACTTGAGGGAAGAGAGTCTTAGTGATGCAAGAGCTACAAAAGACAATAAAAGATCATGTAGATCTGTCTCTGAGAATTCTTACAATAAGTGAATCAGACAGCATAGAAGCTACTGCAAAAGAACATCTGAAAGCTCTATATGCTAGAAATACAGTGAATGCTTCTCAATTGAAAGCTAGACTAATAGAGAAATTCAAAACTCTTGAAGAAGAGCCAAAAAATTAAGCAATCAAAGCATATTTACTGAACTATGAAGAAGCATTAAATCAGACAATCATGTACAATATGTGCAAATATATCTGTGAATCTTTTGCCTTGAAACAATTCCTGAGAGCTATCTCTTCAAATTATAGAAAGTTCTTCTATACATATCTATCTAAGCTTCTAACTGAGAAGAATTTGAATCAAGAATATGAGCTGGATGTTTATAGACATATTCAGATATTTTGTCAGTTGTTAAAGAAAGATACTGAACCAGATTAAAGTAATAAGCTGTCAGCATATTCCACTGAAAGAATCATTCAAAATAAGCCATTGAGAGAGAATAATGGAAATATGAACTCTGCATGTCTTTGTGAAGAGCAACATGGTTGGGCATACTGTTCATATTTTAATTCACTTGTTCAACCAACAGGCTGGAAACCAGATTCAAAAATTGATAATAAGGTCAAGAAAGCATTGAAGAATCCAGTGAATAAAAGAAAATTAAAGAAAAAGATTGCAAATTGAAAGAAATTGAAGAATTTGAATAATACTGAAGAAGTTAGCACTTCAGACAATGCAACAGACAGTGATGCTAACAAAGCCATTGTCAAGACATTTTCTAATCCAACTATCTTCACTTCTGTAACAGTTTTTAACTCCACTAACATGAGCAATAAATATGAACCCTATTCATTACAGAACAGCTTCATATTAGATGGGGGTGCAGATGCACATATTTGCAATGATTTTACAAAATTTCAAAATTACTGAAATGCTGATTCTTTGAATATTGTGCTTGTTGGAAATACTCATTGTAAAATTCACAGATATGGTGATGTTGAAGTTTATACCCAAATGCTGGCAGATGCTGACAAGATATTACTAAAGAATGTTCTATATGTTCCTGGCTTTCATACAAATCTAGTAGTGCACAGATTACTGTGTGCAAAGAGTTGTTATTTGAATGATGAGTCTCTTATGATTTACTACATCAGTACAAGAGATATCTTGTTCAATTTGACTGTTAAAGAGAGAAAAATGGTCATTGAATACAGACCTATTAATGTTGCAACAGATAGTATAACAAGAAGTGTTTTTACTGCCTTGTTGAGTGAAGATTTGGTTAAAAAACTGTTGACAGCATTGACCTTCAGTTTGCTAGAAACAATGGATATTTGGCATTTGATGCTTGATCATCTAGAAAGAGAGCCTCTGACTCATCTTCTGAAGATGTCTACTGACATGAAATTTGCAAAGATCTCTCAGAATTCTCTAACAGTGAAGTGCAGATCTTGTGCTCTTTCAAAAGCAAAGCAAATTATACACAGAACACCATCAGAAAGATCTATATGTCTGTTCATGAAGATGTCTGTTGATCTCATACAGTTTGCTCCAGATTATAATGAAGATAGATGAGTGATTCACTTATATTGTGATTATACTCACCTGCACTACATGAAAACAATGCAGTGAAAATCCAAAAGTTTGACATGCACAGCAAAAATGATAAGGGTAATTCTCAATTTATATCAATTGACTATCTTGACTATTCAAATTGATGGAGAAACCTCTATGCAGTCAGAACTGGCAGCTTTGGCTTGAACATATAATATAGTTGTTCAACATTCAGCATTCTACACCTCAGCTCAAAATGGAGCTGCAGAATGTGCAGAAGCTTTAATAACAACAGCAGCATGTACAATGTGAATTGAAGTCAACTTGTCTGAGAATTTGTGATCAGAATGCATCAAGACTGCAGTGTATATTTTAAACAAAATTCTGATTAAAGATCTTGATTGAAACACTTCTCTCAGATTCTTAGAAGAATATCTTCAAACTGCAACTTCTTTAACTGAAATTAGACATATAAGAGTTTTTGGCTGTAGAGTGTATTCTTTAATTAAGGATGCACAATATGAAAGAAATCAGAAGCTGACTTCTAGAGCAGAAGTTGAATATCTCATTAAATATGAATCAACAAATATTTTTCACATTTGAATTTCAGTATGACAAAAGATTATATTAACAAGAGACATTATATTCAACAAAGATACACTATTCAATTCTAATGAGATTAGCAGCAAACTTTTATTACAGAAGAGCTTTATTGTGCTGAATACAATATCTTTTGTTGAAGTAAGTGATATTAACAAGACAAGCTTAAGTGAGCATGACAGTGAAGATGAAGACTCTGAGAAGAATACACCATGTGAAAGTCACAAGATTATTGATCAGTCAATAAGATCAATGGAAACAATGACTAAGACAGTAACTGATCAATCAGAAGAGACACATACATTGTCAACATCAGAATCAATATCAGAGTCATTAGCTTCAGACACATACACTCAACTTCTTTCAGATGATTCAACAACACCATCAACTGAAATAGAGATGCTGGATCAACTTTCATTGACAGTCAATCATTCTGCTGTGGAAGCTATGGAGGCAGTGAGTGATGTTGTAATTGAGTCATCTGAGATTATAACATCTACTACACTTTCTGCCACTAGCCCTACAGAGATGGTGAGCACAAATGATGAACAATTAATAGCCAATCATTCTGCTGCAGAAGTGGTGAGCACTAATGATGGAATTTTGACAGTCAATTGTTTTGTCACAGAAGCAGTGAATGACTCAGTCAGAGCAAGCTTGAACAAGCAATCTTCATCTTCTGGATGAAGTGCTAGAATAAGACACCAAAACACAGATCAAATTGACAGATGAACAGCTTATACAGCAATTCTGCAGCAAACAGCACAATTGAATTCATTTTATAGAAGCTATTTAACAGCTTTTACAATTATAAATTCTAGACTTCACAGAGAGAATCTTCTGAAGTCTCTGAAGCATTATTTTTCAATGTTGCAACATCCACATGCTGGCAGATTTAAGACCATCATGGATGTGGAAATGGAGAAGTTACAAATAAAGAAATGCTTTGAAGAAGTAGAGAGCTTGAAAGAAATATGTCCAATTTCTTTAATGTGAATTTATACATACAAATTTGATGTTAATGGTTTTTTGGAACATTATAAGGCAAGACTTGTTTTTTGCAGAGATCTGAATATCAATAATAAACATGACACCTACACCACTACTCTCACTGTGTGGATATTTCACCTTTTAATGACTATAACAGCTTATTTTGAAATGGAGACCTTTCAGATTGACACTGTTAATGTGTTCATTAATGCTTCATTTAATAAATCTGTTTATTGCAGACTGGCAGAGAATTATGGTAAGAAAAGAAGTGTTTGAAAAATTCTACATATCTTATATAATCACTCTGAATCTTCATGACTTTGATACAAAGATCTCACTTCAACACTCTGGGAACTAAAATTCTGTTAGATTTGTGAAGAACCATGTCTATTCATTGATAAAAATATTATTATCTTCTTTTATGTGAATGATATAGTATTTTTATATCACAGAAAGGATGTTGAAACATTTGAACAGTTATTAAAGAATCTATGAGTGCATTATGAGCTTTGAGAGATTGAAGAGCTAGAGTGGTTTCTAGATATCTGTGTCTTACACAATAGAGATATTCAGAAGCTTTGGCTGTGCCAGAATAGTTATATTGAAAAGATCACTAATAAGTTTAATCTTATGGAGTTGAAGCCACCACATATGCCAATGATAACTGCAGATATAGCTCTCTATACAGAGATGCAAGATAAGCAATGAATACATGTCTATCAACAGAAGATTGATTCAGCTCTCTATGCTGCTATTATAACACAGTCTGATATTTCATTTGCTACTGCAAAATTAAGTGAGGCTTTAATTAATCCAGAATCAGAACATCATACAGCAATTGAGAGAGTTATCTCATATGCTTTTTCAACAAAGTACTACACTCTTGAATTCTGTGCTGATGACAGATTGAATACCCAGAGAGAGAATAATAATACTGATATCATTAATATTCATTTAATAATCATCAGTGATTCTTCTTTTGCAGATAATTTAAGCTCAAGATGCTTCTTCCAGAACTCTGTATTCAAGCTTTTTGAAGACTTAATTGATTGAAAATTCTTCAGACAAAAGACTGTTACAACATCTTTAATGAAAGCTGAGCTTTTAGCACTATTCTATACAGCAAAAGAGATCATGTGGTGGAAACATTTATTTAAGAATATTATGTTGAAATTAGAAAGAGATTTTGATATTTTATGTGATAATTTGCAAACAATATGATTACTGATTTCAGCAGCTCCACAACTAATTATCAAGCTCCATCACATTGATATTCATCATCACTGATTATGGCAAGCAGTTACTAATAAGAAATTGAATATTATCTGAATTGAAAGCAATAATATGTCTGCAGATGGCTTAACAAAGATCTTATCTAGACAGAAATTTGAAAAATTCATTAAGCAATTGAGACTCATAAATATTGATTATTTAATAGAGAGAGGTTTGCCACCTACACTGCTGTCAAAACTATGAAAGTGTGTTGAGCAGAAGTCAAATGACTTGTCAGATGATCAGATCTTCAAAGAAGAAATCAGAGAATCATAGATTCATCATCTTCTTCTCTCAATCACAGTATCAATTTCATTATCTTTGTCTATTGAACTGGTGGAGGTTTGCTAGGGGTTTTTCATATGTTTTTCCCATAGCCTTGATTATAGCATGTTTGTCTATAAGTATCTGTGTCTCATTCATTAGGAGCAAGACCAGATGCAATATTATAGACGCTCAGTCACATGATCATCACGTGCTCCTGTGTCGTCCGATAGAAGGAGAACAAGGGTGCTGCTTATATAAGGATCCAGGAACCAAACCGCCGCGTGGCTGAAGCTAGCCGGATGCGGCCTGAGGGCCGTGATGCACGCGCGGGGAAACGTTGATTGGAGTCAGCCCGGCACGTGAAGCGGCGCAGTGTGGCTAGGATCCCTGGCGTTCGCGCGTCCAGGGCCTATTAATATTCCGCCTAGCTGCGGATAGGCTTCGTTTGGTTTGGAAAATGCATTGTTGGGCCTGATACGATACGAACTTTTCTTGTACCGGAGGATCATGCCGCTAAGCTGAGATTGCGCGGTTTTAAGTTGTGACGCGGATCGGCCAAGACCCTCGCGTGGTGGGTGGCTTTCTGTTCAGCTGCAGACGTATCACTGAACATTTACCCATCCTTTTCTTCTACTCCGTACGCTGTTTATGATAAAGAGATGTGACGCTGTCTCGAGCGTACCTCTCTACCTTTTAATGACCCTAATTTCTCATCTTGGTTTTCTATGGCCGTTTTGATATATTAACTCTTAGTTTATCTACGATATTAGCTGTAGTGTCCTGGGGATGAAGCCGGACTGGTCCGCTCTTCATGTTCTTGCAGCAGCCGGATGGCTTTCTGGTACATACATCGTTCTTCTATTTAGCCCTGTAAACGGATCTAACATTTGTGGTCAGACACGGCTGCTGCAACCGCTATCAAAGCTCCCTCGCCCGATCTGATTGTGCGCGCTTTGCCAAATGCGCCGAATGGATATAGTCCTCAAGGTGTATCATGTCCATCGAACCGCCCAGCTGTCCGCAGCGCCGCTACTGTCTCTCCCAGCGAAGCGGATTGGCTGAAGGAAAGAAGAAAGAAAACGACGGCAGCGCTGACCAATTTCTTCTCACGTGTACCTATTACGAACTTCGATGCTGCGGGTTACATCAAGAATTTTGCCATCAATGCCTCTGCACTGCCCAATATCGGCATCGCGGTGTCTGGAGGAGGCTATAGGGCACTGATGAATGGTGCTGGCGTTTTACAGGCGTTCGACTCTCGTACTAAAGGCTCCGCAGACAACGGCCACCTTGGCGGCCTACTACAATCAGCGACGTATTTGTCGGGCTTGAGTGGCGGAGGATGGCTGGTTGGCTCGCTATACATGAACAACGATACCACTGTAACGGCTTTGGGGACTGGGCAGAAAGGGTCTACATGGGATTTTACACGATCAATTCTACAAGGCCCCGCAAAACGGGGGTCTTCTATTCTGAACACCATTGACTACTATCGACAGATTATGGACACTGTAGATACCAAACGAAACGCCTCATTTGAAGTATCCATCACAGACTATTGGTATGCCATCTCGCTACCTTCTTGGATTGGGTTTTATGCTAATACCGGAACATCAGGGGCCGTGCATTGTCATATCAATTGATCGATGCATCCAAGGGCGGGCCTGCATATACATGGTCTTCTATTGCTCTCAGTTCCGATTTCAGAGACGCAAGTGTACCAATGCCGATTCTTGTTGCTGATGGTAGAAACCCTGGGGAGAAGCTTATCGGCGGTAATGCTACGGTTTTTGAATTCAATCCCTGGGAATTCGGAACCTTTGACCCTACCGTTTTTGGGTTCGTACCTCTTGAATTCCTTGGCTCCAAGTTCAAGGCCGGAGCGCTTCCCTCAAATGAATCATGCATCCGGGGTTTTGACAATGCCGGGTTCGTGATGGGCACCTCTTCTTCTCTTTTCAATCAATTTGCTCTTCAATTGGACGGCGTGGACATCCCCGAGTCCATCAAAAAAGAACTACGAAAGATTTTGGAGACCATCGGGAATGAAAATAACGACATTGCAGAATACAAGCCGAACCCATTTTATCATTATTCGAACCGGAGCTCACCGTTCGCCAATGTCGACTCGCTTCCCGTCGTCGATGGAGGCGAGGACCTCCAAAACATCCCTCTCCACCCCTTGGTTCAACCAGAAAGGCACGTTGATGTGATATTTGCCATTGACTCTTCTGCAGACAACAAGTTTAATTGGCCAAACGGAACTGCCCTGGTTGCCACTTATCAACGAAGTTTGAACAAAACCGGCATCGCTAATGGAACCGCATTTCCCTCTATACCAGACCAGAATACGTTTATTAACCTTGGACTGAATACCAAACCCACCTTCTTTGGTTGTAACAGCTCTAATATTACCGGCACATCTCCATTGGTCGTTTACATTCCAAATTATCCTTATTCCACGTACTCCAATGTTTCCACCTTCACCATGAGTTACGAAAACAACGTACGCGACGACATCATCAAAAATGGGTACAACGTTGCTACTATGGGTAACGGTACACGAGAGAAGGAATGGCCAATTTGCGTTGGCTGCGCAATTTTGAGTCGATCATTTGAGCGAACACGCACCACTGTTCCGGATGTTTGCCAGCAGTGCTTCAAGAATCACTGCTGGGATGGTAGAGTCAACAGCACTTCTCCAAACACGTATGAGCCGACTGTTATCAATAAGAGTGTATCACCAAAAAGGAACGCCGCAATCAGCATGCATGCATCGTCGGGAATGCCAGGTGTTATTGCTCTGGTAATCACAGCTCTGTTTACGGCTATATTCTGTTGATTGTTTCTACCCTTCAAATAACTAGGTTGACATGTTGTTTTCATTTATATTTTATTTCAACCTTCTCTCAATGAACATGCTTTCTTCACAAAAGAAGTCTTTCTCTGCCAGCTCTCCTCTTTCGGTATTTTGACAAAATTTGGGGGGTTGGGTACCTCCACGTACTATATCCTCTTATCAAAACCTTACTTGGTTGTATTTAATGCATATGCCAAACCAATGAACATTCATTCTATGGTTTTAAGAACTAATACAAGTCCTTGCATGCTTTGTGCTATTTAATGTCATCTGATATCAAGATTTTAAGTTTTTTTGGCCCCAACCCCAGCCCGGACCTGGCGCCCTATTCTTAGTATCACGTGCATCTTTGTTTGTGCTTAGCTCTTTTTGCGGTGGCGAGTGGGGCTGAGCTATGCTGTTTCCACGGCAACGTAAAGATTAAAACATAAACAAGAAATGACAGAAAACGACACCCATCAATCTATTCTCGTTCCCCAGTACAGGTGGCATTTATGCAAAGCACTCTCATCTTTGAATTTTATTGAATGCACCTAAATTTTGCTGTTCAGCGTCGCCTAGTCTTCACTTCGTTCAGTACATCGATGATTTTAACGCCTAGCCTGTGGCTTGGTCCAATTACACGCCTTCAAATTGACATATTGTAAAGATCTGATGGCTCGACGCGCGCCAGAATCTGTTGCCCCTCCTTCTCCTCCTAAACGTGTTACTCGAGCACGGACGCGAAATGCCGTGGTAAAGGAAGACACATCAAATTCGACAGCTCCAGCGACAGGAGTTACAGCCGCACCCAAGAGAGGAAGACCGAAGAAGCAAGTAACAGCGGCAGCTGATACATCTTTAAAGACAAACGATGCCACCAAGCTTAGCGTATCTACTACGGCTCCTCCTAAAAGAAGGCCAGCTAAATCGAAACCTGTCAAACCTAAGGACGAAAGCGAATCAAGTGATGATGAAATGAATGTTGTAATGCTTCAGAAGGCTACTAAATCTAGAGCTACAAAGACACAAGCCCAGTCCACGGGAAGTACAAAAATCAACAAGTCTAAGGAAAACAATGTGAATGATGACCTGGATGATAAAGACGACGACGATGAGCTTGCACAAACGAAGCAAAGTAATGTACGACCAAAGAAGACCAATCTGTCCGCAGCTAGGAAGAATAAATCTACCGCATCCGAGGTGAAGGCCAAGTCCTTATCCTCTGCTCGAAAGAAGAGTAGTTCAACATCCGGCACAGGAGCTAGTCGAACAGCAAAATCTTCGTCGGCCAGCATCGATTCGGATAAGGCGTCTAAAAATTTGCCAATCACTACGGCTTTAGCCAAAAATAAACCAGCGGGTACTGTTATAAAAAAGAAGGTTACCTTCCTGGATATTGCCGAAGATTCTGATAAAGAAAACCAACCTTTACCAGTACTCACTAATAAGGGCAAACCTAAGACCGGGTTGAAAGGGAAACCGGTCCGTCGACCAACCACACCTGTGTCTTGCGACGACGATCAAAGTTCCAGTACAAGGCCTCAATCAAAAAAGGAGCCATTATCTCCCAAAAAGCCGAGCCAGTTGGCAAAATCAACCCCAGTAGACGATTCGAATAATTTTCGCACTACCAAAGAACATACTGAGATTAGAGATGGTCCAAAAACACCGCAGAGGTCACCTATGAAGCAACTATCCCTAGGCCCGTCTCTCACCTCCCCGGCAAAAAAGATCGATTTTAGTGCTTGTGGGAGCGTCACAGAAACCCCAATAATTGAAAATCAAGGAGAGTCTGCTGATGGAACTACGCCAATGATGCTGGATCGTGAATCAACTATGATAATGTCCACACCAGCCCGTCGTTTACCACCATCCCCCTTCAAAGACTGCATGAAAGAATCGCCCAGAAGAGCCCCTATTACCTTTGAACTGGCATCTAGACCCCGCATAGGCGTCTCTTCTGTTACTAAAGCTTCTCCACTAAAAGAATCCCCCCGAAAGGGGAAGGTGATGGTATTACCTCCACAGAGCTTAATTATCAATGCTGAGTCGCCAAGCAAAGAGAAACCGTCATATCTGCAATCTCCAGCGAAAAGATTAACATCGCCATCAAAGCAGTTTCCACCAACGCCCATATATAGACAAGAACTTTGCGGAAGACAAGATGTGGCTCCAGGAACCAAGGCGCTTGACGAGACTGTTGAAGATTCAGTACTAATGCGAAAGGATGAGGGATCCAATAGCGTTGTTATGGACTCTATTGACTACGATACAGTAGAGGAGATAATCGAGGAAGAGATGCCGTTTGATAGCCCGCCTAATGCCTTAGATGCCGAAACGCCACGTTCGACTGCCCGGGCTCAGCTACCTATACAAGTGGATGACCCTTTTATTAGTCCGTATTCATCTTGCAATTCTCCCGTCCGTGAGTACGAAGTATCAAGTCGGAGTTCTAGTGCTATGTCCATTCGATGCTTTGCGGAAATTCCTCCCCCTGCCCCTTCTCCCCCAGCATTTGGTCGCGAATACCCGCAACAGTTTGGCTACCGAGATAACTCGGGGGATGGAGAATCCGATGCCGAACCAACAATGATAATAAGCCCAATTAGAGGCTCAAATAAAAGACAGTCCATCAGGCTAGTAAATGAAACTGATGATTTTGAGGATGAAACGACTTCGCAAAGTGGTCAAGAGTCAAATATTAGCTTTACTCCCTTGGTAAACAAATTAAACCAGTGGAAACCAGGTACCGAAGAAAGAAAATACCCACGCCGTAGAGGTGTTTTCTCGTTGTCTCCCAACGAACAAATTGACATTGAAATCTCACGCCGCTCCCTTGACGACAGAAAGTCCTGCGGTCAATTGTCTCACAGATCTAGACGGTCAAAGATTATTGAAGTATCTGAATGTGAAGATGCCACGGTCATTCATGACTCGGACATTTCCATGGACGATGATTTGTCAAGTGAAGGGTGTAATTTTTCTATCTTGGAAGATGCCGAAGATACCATCCTCGAGGATGTCTATAGCGAACTGAATGACTGTGAAAATCTAGCTTCTGACTCGCAGAACTATTCTGCGAATGATGACTTAGTTCTCCAAGAACAAACAATTACGATAAACGCAGCCATGTTTGAAGAGCCACAACATGATACAACTTCGTCACAGTGTCAACTACCTGTGCTCCCGATGTCAGTGACACCTGTACGATCTGGTCCACGTTACCCTCGCACAATTCATACAGTCTCCAAAATTCCATTGAAAACCGAGGATGGCTCTCTCCGAATTCCCAGGAAAAGGGCTCGCTCTTTTTCTTCAAGCGCTAGCCCACTAACCGCCTTTACTATCCCAACGATTAACAAGAGCAGAGCCTTACCTTCATCTAGCAAAGACCGAAGCTCGGTTAGACCTTCGATCCCCACAGATCAGATTGATGAGAAGCCCCCTTCTTCATATTCGTCTCCTGAGAAGTCGAGATTAGCATCGCCTTCTAAAACTCGAAGTCCCTCCAAATCTCCACAAAAACAACCTTCGGGGAATATTTGTGTGCTCCAAGGCGCAGTTGTTTATGCCGATATTCATACAAAAGAAGGGGCCGATGCTAGTGGAATATTCGTGGAGCTGCTCACGCAAATGGGTGCTCGATGTGTGAAATCGTGGAACTGGAACCCTCGAACAAGTTTATCGCCTGTAGATGGCGTTGAACCAAAGGAGAGCAAAATTGGCATTACACATGTCGTATTCAAGGACGGCGGTGTCCGAACGTTGGAGAAAGTTAGACAGGCAAATGGTGTCGTTAAATGTGTTGGGGTCAACTGGGTACTTGAGTAAGCTTTGCCTTTCTTCTTTTATCTTTGCTTGAGGTGTTAATTGTGTCTACTTGTAGCTGCGAAAGATCCAATAAGTGGCTGGATGAAGTCGAATACGCCGTGGATACTTCCATGATTCCTCGCGGTGGTCAAAAACGGAGAAAGAGCATGGAGCCCAGATCCCTTGGCAATTCCAACGGAACAGTTGTAGCTCTAGACTCATCCACTTCTTCTGCCAGCAGCATCGATTCGGAAACCATGCAAGAATTTATGAGACTTTCTCGAAGCCCCACACCACGATCTTCAAGGGATAGTTCTGTGGAATCTGAGCAACATGAACTTGAGGATGTTTTTACAACTCCCAAACCCCGACAAGAAGCAAGACCCTCAATGGGGCCGATCCAGCCGCCGGAAACACCGGGATACGTCTACAGCTATGATTATGACCCCGCGACAGCCATGTCGCCAACTACACCTTATTACTTGTCCCAAGGAGCAAAGCTCGTCCAGCAAACTTGCCCACCAAAGCAATTACGTCAAGGCTTATTTTCGGCAACCGAAAGTTGCGATTCAGAGCGGAGTGAGTCTCTAAAAATCCGCCTTGAAGCAGCGAGGAGGAAGAGTTTAATCTGGAAACCCAAAATTGGTAGTCCCCTGGGCAGGATGTAAACTATTTGTGTTCAAATTTGAGTGATACCCCTCGTGAATTTGGTTTTGTTGATCATGCCATTATTTTGTACTACTTTGGAAAGGGCGTATATGGTGTGCCTGGAGGCATTTTGAGGCTTTGGTGCCCTCGGCGTAGCGTACCTTTTGATGCCGGTTTCTCGTTAAGACGTCGGACTGTCAACATGCTTGACATTTTGAATACCAGACGTTGACTTAATAATTTTTTGCAAATCTATTCTTTGATTTTCTAAAACCTCGAGAAATTTATTCCTGCTTTTATTAAAGAAAGACCATCATTACTAATAACCCAGCATGCTCTCTATTATTTTTGAATTTTTTTTATGAAGAAAAATTAAGAGAAGAAAACCCTGAAAACCACGCATGCAAAAGAGAATCGTCGTCACTTAGTTGCAAAGTAAGCTCAAATGGCATTTGTGACCGGTTCGTCCAGCTCTTCTCGATAAAATCCAGCAACCAAAAATGCCAACTCCAAGGCTTGTTTTTCGTTCAATCTTGGGTCACAGAATGTCTCATACCGTTCACTGAGGCCATCTTCCGTAAGGCCGGCTGCTCCACCAACACATTCTGTAACCGCCTCACCCGTTAACTCAAGATGCATGCCGCCTAGGTAGGATCCGTGGGAGCGGTGGATTTCCAGTGCTTGTTTTAATTCAGAGAGGATATCAGTGAAATGGCGAGTTTTCACGCCTGAGGGCGTAGCACGAGTGTTTCCATGCATTGGGTCGCATTGCCAGACAGGCAAGTGTCCTGAGGCTCGCACAGCCTTGATATGGGCGGGGAGATATTCGGATATTTTGGACGCGCCGTACCTTGAGATCAATGTGACTTTGCCAATTTCTTTAGATGGATTGACAACATTGAGAAGGTCGACTAGCTCGCCTGGCTTCATAGTTGGGCCGATTTTGATTCCAATGGGGTTTGATATGCCTCGGAAGAATTCGACGTGGGCTCCGTCCAGCTGGCGGGTTCGATCACCGATCCAGAGAAAATGCGCAGATGTTGCGTAGTATTCACTTGGTGACGGTTTGATTTGAGTGCTCACACGTCGTGCAGTTTCTTGTTCAGGGGCGATGACTGCTTTTGTAGGCTGTTTTAAGAGCCGGGTCAAGCTCTGTTCATATTCAAGCATCAGGCCTTCATGGCTGACATAGAAATCAATGGTCTCAATCCCTCTATCAGTGTCGAGACCAACGGTTTGCATAAAACGTAGAGAATCTGTGACGCGGGAAACGATCCGTTCGTAGTCCTCTTTGATGGATGGCGTCGCAACGTGTCCAAGACCCCAGTCCAGGGGAGAATGAAGATCTGCAAATCCAGAAGAGAGAGCTGCACGGGCATAGTTTAGAGTAGCTGCAGAGTGGAAATATGCTGACACCAATCTTGATGGGTCAGGCTTCCGAGACTCAGGAGTAGCCTCAAAGCCGTTCACATTGTCCCCACGAAAAGACGGCATAGTCACGCCATTGATGGTTTCACAGGGGTTGGATCGTGGCCTGCAAAACATTAGCAAATTTCATACATATATATTCCTCGATATATTTACTTTGCAAATTGACCTGCGATGCGAGCGACGCGGATCACGGGCTTGTTGGCACCTAGAGTTCGGACCTCGTTAGCACTCTCTTACTCAAAACAACACTAATAACTGACCCCAAATCAAAATCAAACTCATTTGGAGGATAAGTTTTATCTTTGCCTCGATCATGTCCTGATTGCAATAATCAAAAAGCTCCGCACAGTCACCACCTTGAAGAACAAAAGCTTTTCCAAGAGCCACATTTTTGAGACTGTTCTTCAAGTTATGAACCTATGCAGGAAATCAGCAACTGTAGCATAAACCCCGAGAACAACAGGATTATCAAATCACCTCGTACGGAGTCACTAACGGCGGGAGCTTTTGCAACTTCTGGAGAGCATCTTGAAAACTCTCCTTGTCTTCATAGACGACTTCTTGCTTGATAGGCTTTGAGGCCCAGGCTAGAAAATATAATAATATCAGCAGCCAGGCGCCGGAATAGAGGTCTACTTCTTACATGATGGAGTCCAGTCCTCCATCTTTGCAGTCTGCTACCGCAGCTCCTTGCGCTTCTGATAACTATGTCAGTAAGCTACCCAAAAAGGTCGGATAGAAAAGAAGGAGTGAAAGCACACAGATAATGTCTCAGAACCTCGCCCGGGGCTGTGTGCAGTCAAATGCAAATGCACCTTTTGTTGATGTTCGCAACCGAGCTGGCGAAGGAATGGGCTGGCTGCGAGCGGCCCACTGACTCACAGAGGAGGAAAACGTTGTTCAGGGCAAAAACTCTCTTATGCCCTTTAGCCCCTGGAAGTGCTCGGCGAGTTCCCAATTGTTTGAAACAGAACTGTTGGAGCTATGCGATTATTGGTGCAAAATTGAAGGAAGTTCGCGTTTGAAGTAACAAAAAATAGTGACTAGAGTGGCAAGGAAACCTCCAAAGCTTCACTCACATGCCTTCTTCTACAGAAACAACCGGTAAGACCTTGTTGAAAACCTACTGTCTACATGAATTCAACGTGAAATATGTTCTAACTTGACAGGCTTGAAAAGCTTAGAATTTTTGATGAATGCTATCTCCACTCCTCGCACATCCAGTCTTATACGCCTTATCCAAGCCAAGTACGGAGTACGGAGCACAGAGGTGTAAAACGGGCTTAAAAGGTCAGATTCGTCCAGAATACGGAGTACTCCATAGGGAAATCTGATCTGTCCTGCACTGCGGAATATTGTCGTGTTTAATCTTTTTTTTCAGTCGAGAAAGAAATGTGCCGCGTTGGCCTTTCTGCAATGCCGTCTGAGCTGCGGGGAGCCAAAAAAGCCATAAGTGCATATTCGGAGCGGCGTAACAGTTGATCCGCGTTTGCTCAAGTAATACAATTCTTGTGCTAATCCGCCTTAGGAGAGCTGTACCACCTGCCTCACAACGCCGCAACTGATAACCCGCAATTACCTCTAGTTCATAGAAAATTAATACGTGTACAGCCTAACTGATACCATGGCCAAATCCAAGTCTACTTCTGGCTCCGACAGGGCCTCTGCAGACGCTCCCGAAGATCTCCCCGCCAATGCCGAAGATCGGGCCGCTGCAGTTGCTCTCTCTTCTCTGAACACGACCACTGCTGACACGCAACCCGGTGTTGCTCCTCCGTCTAAGGCTGACCAGGAGGCACTCGGTAAAGCAATGAGTCGATTGGAAGTTCTTACTGGAAAGAGCAACACGGAAGCTACGGCTGATGCCAAGAAAGACGCTGGTGGGATCGAGAAGACGTCTGAGGAGAAGGTTGTGAAAAAGCCTGTTGTTAAAGTCAAAGCAGAAGATGTCAATTTACTGGTGAGTTTAAACGAGCTTCACTGCCATTACATATCCGTTTTAGTTGATTCTCCATTCACTGGGTATGCAGGTCGATCAGCTTGAATTTAGCAAGCCAAAGGCTACCGAGCTACTGAAGACGCATGAAGGCGATCCTCGTAAGGCATTGCGAGCTTTTGTATCACCGCCAACCATTGTATGAAGTTTACGTGCTTTCACAAAGGACGCCGTCCCTGATTTCTAACTGAATTCAGCGGCATTTGCCTGCATTTGCTTGACAAGTTGGAATTTGGGACTCGGAATTTTCTTGAGCCCTAAATCAAAGCGCACCTTAAATCAGTTTTAAGCAGTAGCTCGTACATCTAGACTATCTCAAGCAGCAATCCATTTTAAAGCCAAGTCGGTCAACATATGCCTATGCACCAAGGGTCTCTTCGTGTAAATACTACACGGAATTGAAATTTCTCATATGTCGCAGGCTCTCTCGCCGTTATAGTTGTTCTTGATCCCAAGTGTGCTGTTCAAGCCTTCTCTGCATTCCCCTCATAAATGCTCCAAGTAAGTGCCCAATTCAATATTACTTCAATTGCCAGAGCCCACCAGACTGCACCGACTATATTGCTTTTTAATCCTAACCCCAACCCCCAACCTGCAAGCAGTGGGCCTATTGCTCTAGCTCCACTTGACACACTCTGCGCTACACCATGTACAGTGGCCAAAACACTTTGAGTAGGGACGGAATTATTGACCAAAATAATGGTAGCTGGAAGAGAGAAAGTTCTTGAGACGACTTGCAAGAGCATGACAGTCGATAGTGCAGGCCAGACGAAGTAGGGCTTATCGGGCAACAAGACGAGGAAAGGAGCAAAAAAATAGGCTACTGATGAGAGCGGTAGAAACAGTCTGAAAGATGAGAGAGTTCCAAGCCGAAACTGCAATCGAGGATAGATAAAGATTTGGAACGGCAGGCCAAAAATCCCTATTATTGCTGTAGCAAGTCCAACGCGAGAGTTTGACATCCCGAGGCCACCTCCAAAGTGGAACAGACTTTTGTGACTGTTGATGATACGAGGGCTCGGGAGAAACACGAAGCAAAGCGCGTTGAATGCGCTAGTATGCAAGGCAAGCATGAAGTGTGTGAGGAGTGTTAGTAGAACATTTCTCGTCCAAACCTGATGAAATGGTGGACGCCGACTGATAACGGCTGGTTCTGGGCGCTCATTTGGCTGTAAGTCAAAGGAGTCTGCAGTATCACTGAAATACGTCCCATCAATTGGCCGATACCTATGATGGCCACCTTGATTTGAGAGGCATTTCCATAATTGGCGACCCCAATCCGGTCGATATTTTATTGTCTCATGCGTCTTCAAAATTAGCTGGAATCAAACCTACGGGTTATCGACACTCACTTCATCTAGCCCCAGGAATACGGCAACTAGAGCGATGAACATGAACATCGCGCTGACCAGATTTGGCAATGCATATGGCCACTTTTCCATCCACCAGATGCCCTCTTTACCACCTAATAGTGTTCCTGGGCCAAATATGCCAGGGTATGTTTTAATGGGATCTGCTAAGATTCCACCGAGAATCGGCCCAATGATGATGCCAACGTTAAAACACATTGGCAGGATAAGGAATGCCCGCGACTGGTACCTAACAAGGAATACATGTTGGTCTCTAGCTTTCAGGAGAATAACAGAGGATGGTGACATACTTTTTGCCTTCGATAATTTCTGCTATCATCGTTCTCATGACCCCTACATTGCTATTAAGCGCACCCCCCAGTGTTCGAAACGTGATGGCCGCTGTGAGAGACCTGGAGAACCCGAAACCAGTGGATGCCATCGCGGCTCCAAATAAACCTATCAGTAACACTCCCTTTCTTCCAAAAATGGCTGTATCTGCCAGTCGGCCCCATAAAACACCAGTCACGAACTGCGCGGCAGTAAAGCAAGCTTGTAGAACACCAGCCTGTGCCGAGACTGTAGCATCTGAGAGTGAGGGATCGAATGATCTCACTTGATGGAATACGTAAGCTTGGAGAGACGTTTGGGCAAGCGGCTCTGATAAACGAGCAATCGTAAGAACGGCAAGCTGGCCCTTTTTCGGGAGCGAACACCATGATACTGGGGTTTCGTCGGAGCTTTCAGAGGTGTTGAGAGTGTTGGTCTCATCTTCTTCGTCATAAGAATATCGCCGCCGTCTATGGAAGGAAGACGAGCGTAAAGGGGGCCGGGGTGGAGGAGGACGAGGAGCAGTGTCATCCGTGTTTGAGCTGCGTTGAAGCTCTTCTGCTATATAGGGCATTCCGTTTGCAGGCGATGCCCCGCCCACGGGTCCGCGCAGATTGATATTTGGCCCATCACTTCTCGCCTGGGCCTGTTCGTTACTGTTGCATACAGAATTGTAGCCTCCACACTCAGCTGTATTCGAGCGTGCTTTGGGAACTGGGTTTCCGGGTTCTCTTTGTGATCCCATCTAGGTGAGGCCGAAAGTACCATTTCTTCCGCAGGGATAACTATTATGCCGATTGCCGGGGAACGACCCAAACGAATACAACAATTCATCAAAAATAGGGATTAATGCCCTATCCAGAAATATTTCAAAGTGCTCTGCTTCCCAGTTGAACTCAGGTTGCCGTTCAAAGTAGATCATTTTGGGTGAACTTTAACCCCCATCCCATCCAAACAGTAGGATATCCAGCATTATTAGACTCCCACTAGTTGATTCCAGAATACTAAAAATAAGCTCTACTATTCTGTACATTATTCATATACATAGAACACATTCCTCATAGCCTGGATAAAAGCAGTTGTATGATATAATAGCCTGTCGTTTGCGGAGAAACAACCTTAGTGTTATACTATTGAACTAGACCACTTCTTACATGACAATATTGTGCTGCCGCTTCATTGGTGTGTAATTGTCTACGACAGTATGAAAAATGCAGTGTAAGGGGCTGTAATATTGAAAGGAAGGGATGCTTCTCTATTTTTCATGTGCCGGTGCCATATAAACTACTCTTAAAAAATGAAAGCCTGTCAAGTTCTGATGCCTGCCACGATGGGCGCATGTGCAAACTGATAGACAAGACGTTTAGCCCCTCACCCGTAGTTCAAGGGGGCTGGGCTCAACCAGAGGAATTGGCCAGAAAACTATCTTCACATCAGTCACCTCCACTCTATAGTTTGCACTCAACAGTTTGCCCTCCTTCCCAGGTATCGCCTGATTCGAGAGTTTGCCAGCCAACCACTGATCCTGCTTCTACGCAAATCATGTTTTTGTATGCCTCATCAGGAGCAAAATCAGCCATTCCTTTTGCCTTTTCAATCCAAGGATTCCACACAACAATGTCATTCAACGACTCTCGGGTGATTGAGTAAATCGGCTTATTGTCAGACCCCGAAGCCACGATAATAGGTACAGTGGGGTCTAGAGATTGATAAACACGATCTACCTCGCCTTCAATAGCCAGTGCAGAGAAGGACTCTGTGAACGTCTCCGCATTCCGTACTTTATCGACATATGTCTTTGACTGGAGGTTCTGTATATGAATCTGGGAAATATCCTGTCCGAAAGCATAAGTATTTGCAGATTTTGGCCGGAATAGGGATGGATAAAAATACCTCAACTCTGAAATACGAATGCAGTAGTGTTTGGAATTCAAATGCTTTAGAGCCCCGATTCTCGACTCGTAGGGAAGTCTCTAGGCTTCGTTTGCTAAGAGTAACACTGTATACCAGGCCAAATTCGTATGACCAATCATTCTTGAACTTTTCACTCAGCATAGAGTGAGAGAGACCAAAATCAAGCTTGATGCTAGCTCCGTTTTCAGATTCAGATGTGGATTTGCCGAGAAATTCCCAGAGAGAATTACGCACAAAGCCATGCTGAGGTAGTGTTGACGTGGCATGATTTTTGGGAGGGGGCCCGAACACCTATAGAGGGGCAAATAATCAGCATTAAATAAGTCTCACAAAAAGGCAATGGACATGTCAGGGTGGTCAACGCACAGGGAACACGAGTGGAATTCCGCCGCGGATTGGTTTTGAGCCGTCTAAGTGAGCTTTCTCGCTCAGAAAGAGCAACTCGCGTCCATTGGCAAGTTTCCAGGACGTCACTGTAGCGCCAAAGAGGTGAACCACGACGGACTCCCCTGAAGCCAGCGATGCGTGGACGGTGCTGTCGTCAATGTTGACTGCCGGCTGTGGAAGAGAGGAGGTAACCGGAATAGCAGCGGGCTTGTTTGAGCGATCCATTGTCAGTTTTAGGCGTACGTGTATCGCTGTTGGAGGTCGAGAGGTAGGTGAGTTGAAAGGAGCGAGACTGGCGGCCAGCTCAACTCGCTGGAGGGGTGAATCGCCAGGCGTTTGAAGTTCCAATAAAATGACATAATAGGCGGTGTTCATCCCTGTTCGGGCCGGACGGGTGCTTGTGCGCCAGGGGCGGCTATTGGCCGGGATGGCGGCCGTGGCCCCACTCAAACGGTTTAGTGCGGGGTTGCCCGCCGGCGATCTCGAGTCCCACAACGGCAGTGCGAAAATGATGGAGACAAACAGCTAATTGTGCCATTGGAATAAAGCATATCACTCGTACTCCTTGCTCTCATTTGTATGGTTATATGTATGTACAGTGCACCCCACCAGCTAATAAGAAAACATGCAAAGCTCCCAAGAAGAACCGTAGCGCCTATAGTACATAAGGGATAGTCTCGATATACTTGTTACAAACATAGAGGGACAATAAATGATATCAGTTCCGATGTCTTCTCACAGCATTGTGAGCTTCTAGTTTGATATCGAACATGATATCATCAATTTGCCGCAAGAATGACTGCTGAAACGACGTCTTGGAGATGGACTCAAGTACCGATTTGAGCGAGGCGAGTATCGATGTCTTACTGGATTCCGATGTACCGTTAGTGCGGGCCTCGTCCGGCATCGATTCCTGGCCTCGAGGCTCCTCAGCAGCCACATTCAATGACGGCTGTTCCAGCCCTGACGATACACCTCCTGAAAAGGGGCTTGTGTCCATTGTCATCTCCGTATCTTCAGTCAAGGAGACTGGACTTTCTTTCTGAGGTGCCGGTTTTACACGAAGCCGGAGCGACCTTCTGTTATTCGAAGGCTGTGATTCGGGTATTTCACGCGACGATGACTCACGAGTCGAGGAGTTGAAGCCGGATGATTTTGTTGATTGGCCACCATTGGTTTTGCTTCTAGCTGATTTTCTGTTGTTGGTTGGGTTGGGTAATTTCTGAGCAGAAATTTCTTCCAGAGAGTCCGGTATGTCCTCAGGCGATCCCGGACTAGGAGTGGTACCACTACCAGACACCCTTGCATTGTTGTTGGCGCGCTTATTAGAGCTTTCCTGGCTTGTATCAGTCTTGCTTCTCTTCCGCTTTCTTTGGCGGCTAGATGGCTTTGAACCATTCTCTTGCTGTTTACTGGTAGAAAGTTCCATGTCCATTGAAAGCTCTAAATCCTGCTCTAATTGGGAGGCAATCTGCTGTTCCAATTGATCATTGAAGGAATCTAGAATGCGGCTTGGGTCCAATTCAGTAGATTCAGGGCTCTCGGAGGTATTAATTTGGGCGGCTGCAAAGTCACCTCTCGTCGGCGCGGATTTTGGCGAGTAAGCAAGTTTCATGTCAGAGCCGTTAGATGAAAACGGCCAGTCATGGATTAAAGAGTCAACTGCAGGACTTGAATAAACTTGGCCGGTATCTCTACTAGTCGAAGCATCTTTTCTGGAGCTGGTGTCAATAACTTCCTCCACTTTCTTAGCTGATGAGGCAATACTGCCCCTTTTGGTAGTTACAGCTGTCTTGCTTGGAGTAACAGCCTGATGATGTGTTGTAGAAGCCGGAACTGGCGCAAGATTAGGTGAGGCACTCCAATCAAGATTAGGTGGTAAGGTTGACAAGGAAAAGTCGGCGAGTTCTGCGCCTGGTTCCTTTGATCCAGGAGTGGGGGAAGAGAATGTAAAGTCATATTCATCCGCCGGGGATCCCTCGGTGACAACTGGGGTGGAAGGGCGGTCATCGGCGGGATCGGATTGCCCACGAATTCTTTTCGCCATAGTACCTTGGTTTCGAGGAGATAGGAAGCTTGATGGGTGACTTTGAAATAATATGGCGTTGTCCGAACGCTGTCTTTCTCTTACATCCTTCTGATGCTCAGTAAGAAGTTGTGATTCAGGAGCGGCATCACCTGCAGGGGATGACTCCACAGGCACAAAATGTACTTGTGAATTATCGTGGTGTAAACGGTTATCAGGGGTGTTGGTGCTGCCTCTTTTCCGTGACGGGCCTTTCGTTTTATTATGTTCACTTCTTTTAGAAGAACATGGGGTAATCAATGCTGGTGAACCAGATGGCCTTTTATCAATTCCGTGTCGCCCAAGCCTTGATTTGCGTGGGGTTTCAACGTTGGAGGGAATTTCTGGAGAGCTTAAGAAATCGAGCGGTGGAGATGATTCCTGGAGAAAATTAGTAGGGCGGTAATCGACAAGGATGGTATGGAAGCTTACACTAGGTTCACACCTATCCGGCCACGAAGGTAGCAGAATTTCCACATGAGCTCGCAGCTTTTTCAAAGCTGTTTTGACTTGAAGCGGATACTCCAGGTGTTCTTGTAGTCCGAAAGTGGCATTCCACAAGTGTATGAATCCATTTACAGTGGATCTATGACGCGATTCAAACCCGGCTTGAATCAATGGTCTTAATCGGCATAATAGGGTAGTATTTGCTCGTCCAGATGACTCAAGAGTGTGGGTAATAGTTGATACAAGAGCTCGAATCTATCATTATCAGTTAGTACTCCGTAGAAATATATTGTGTTCATACTCACAGCCAAAATCACAGATCTATCAGTTCCGGATGTAGAGCTATACTGTCCGTTATCATCCCTAATCCATAGCGCAAGGCTATTTTGAAGACTTTCCAACAGAATGGAACGATACTCTGGCGGGGAAGACTTGAGGCAATGAGCAACAGCTTCAAGAAAAGCCGAAACATCAGTTTTACTAAATTCCCTTGTGTTGATATAGGTATCATTTAGAGCTTTGCTAACTAGTAGTAGTAGCTTTTCACAAGACGCTTGATGAACAGTGCGATCTTTTAAATTTGGCATCGCGTTGGCAAACTTCGGCAAAGGTTTGACAGTATCCTGAGATGGAAACACAATGAGCCCAAGGAGCTTTACAACTCGAGGTATTGATAGGACTGGGTTTCGGATACAGGATTCGGAAATTGTCTCGATAGCAGCAGAAACAGCGATGTCTCCCTTTTCCCGGTGAAGAGTTGAAACTAAAGTATCACAAAGATCGATCCACTTAGCAGGAGATTTTAGAAAGTGGTTTCCAACTTCGAGAATAACAGTTATTTTATCACAGTCATTATTAGCCGTATTGTTAGTCCCCTCTTTAGCCGGCGTATCTAAGCTAGCTCTGTCTAAACAGTCCCTCGATGCAGTTGCCAAGATGTCCCAGGCATCATTTGCATTTTCATTCGTATTCTTCTTCGTGGTTAAAGTAGAGTCTCGAAAGGATTCCGCGAATTGACGCAAAATTTCTATTTGCGAGTTTCTAAGGGTATTTCCGGATAATGCAAGCCGAATCAAGTCGTTTAGAAGCTGAAGGTACTCAGGGGAAGAGGGTCGGTTATGTGAAAATACAATCAACTTGAATAAATGAATAATGGGGGGTTGAATAATTCCGTCTCTTTGGGCTCGTCGATGCGTAGGGGTTTGGGCAGGTTGAAAGGTGTCTGAGGTTGTTTTTAGGAGTAGCTTGTTGGTAAATGGAAATGGCTCAATTATCGATATCATAGTATTCAGTAAGAAATTGAAACGGGGAAGAAATGCGTCGTGGTCGGGAGCATTCAGTGAAGCCGGTGCGTCTTTCCATAATCGCTGAAGAATCTCTAATACGGCGGCAATAGCTTTCATCAATTCTGCAGATGGCTGGATTTCCTTTCTTGATGCATCGGCTAGTGCCCTGGACAAATTTATCCACATTTGTTGTATTGGTGAGCTGGGATTCGTTGTCTCACTCCACTCAGCACTCTTCCAAAGTCGTTCAAAAATCGGTGAGATAGAAGAAACCCGCGACCGCACCCATTTGCAGTCAAGGCGCAATAAGTCTTCTGGTTTCATCTTGCCATTTTCCATCGCTTTCTTTTCGTCCCAAACTTTCGATTGAGAATTCCAAAGCAGCTCCTCCAGAATCGTACAAACTATTTGAACGTTGTTGGAATTGGAATCTAAACGTCGTAGGAATGGAGAACAGATATATTCGCTCCAATATAAGTCCAGTCGTTCATAGGGGGCCGAGGGACGAAAGGCGTAGTACAAAAGATTGCAGTAGCTTGCAATAGCTTGGTTGATCAGGGGCGTCGGGTTCTCATTCTTTCTTCGTTCTAGCTGTAGAAAGATGGGTTTCGAAAGGAATGTAGTCATGTCTTTTTCAGCTTCGTTAGTGTGAATTGCGTAAACCAAATGATTCCAAGCGTTCAATGACTGAAGTTTTGTGGCCAAATCACTGCAATTGAAGCACTTTTGTATTACCAAAATCCATTGCTTGAAATGAGGCCACGCGTCTAAAGTCAACCGAGGCCTCCTTAGAAGGAGAATAATGGTACTCCAGATCTGAGGAACGTAAACGCTTCCATCTCTAGATGAGACCATTGTCAATAGCCGGCTAGATGCTTCATCCACAAACCGAGCACCATTCTCCAAAGGAAGATCAAAAACGTCATAAACAGACTTCGATATTAAAAGACTGGGTCCCAATGAGCTTGCGACCTTTGAGCCAAATTTAAGCGCTCTGAAACGAATATCCTTTACTTTATGCAACAAGCCAGAAATCAAATGGTTCATCCATAGATTAGAGTAAGACGCAATCACTGATCGCGCTTGCAATAACAGCTTTTCATATATACTAAGCCGCATTGCAATTATAGACTTGCCGTTGAGTCGACTAGTGATATCGTTGAGGTTTTGCAATAGCTGTGCAGTTTTGGTGGACGTTAGTACCTTTGGCGGAAAGTTCTGCTCGGATAGGATCCGCATATAGTCAATGATAATTGTTTTGGGCGTTGATGGATTTTGTAGAGACCCAATGGCTAAGTCAAGAACAAAGTTTTTGAAGTCGTCTGGAATCCTGTTGGCACAGTCGGGCTTCCAGAGCATCATGCACAGTAGGTTTGACGCATGGTGGATAAGAGAAACTTCCGAAGGCCCAGGAGTGCTTGATGAAACAGCAATATCTCGACGCATAAACTGAGTTAATCGACCAATATTATCAACCAGGTCTTCAGTATCTGGTACATCGCTATATACTGCGAGACTCCCAAGTAATTGCATATACGCGTCCGTCCTCGAGATCTTGCAATCCCCTGCAAGCTGTTGTAAGATGGAATATAACATTCCTGGCGGTGTATCAGTCGGGCTGGATCGCGGGTCTTCAGGCGCGTCGTTATGCGAGACGTAGACTGTAGGTTTGAGAATTGACTTTGTTGGTTGGTAATGCTTCGATGGATATAAATTGCGTAACTGAGGCCGCGCCTGGGGGGGTGACGTAGAGAAATCTGGGGCTTTTATGTAGCTGGGGAGCGGCGAGAAATTGACGCGTTTCAACGCCCTCTCAGCAAAACGGCTTGGGGAAGTGTCTGAAGACGAAGGGTGGTCATGGGCAGAGGTGGGAGGGAGCTGAGGTTCGGTCTCCGGGTGGGTTTCTCTCGTTCGTGAGCCAGAATATGAAGATGAGCGTGGAGGAGTCGGCGGGCGAGCTGCTAGAGCACCCAGTCTTCCTTTCTCGACCATATTGACGAGCAGAGAGAAGTTGAAGCCGCACCGGTAATTAACCAAACCACTGACGGCTTCTAAATCATATCAGTGGGAAAAATTCAAGGAGCCGGGCCGGACTGGGTGAAGCTCCAGATTGAAGTCACGGCCGGTCGCCGTGGCTGGACCCTGCGAGCGGTGTTGAAATCGCGCCGCCGAGCGCGGTCGCGTCGCGTCAGTTGAATTACATAAGTTAAGCGGAATTCAATTAAACCTTCTCCGGAGTTTAATTAGTCCTTTTCCGATCATCTGACGACATTCACCCAGAAATTTACTGCCGCTCCTCAAAACACGGGTTTCGGGCATCATGTTCGACAGCTCCGTTGGATAAGCGGCTGGCACATGAATAAGTAAGAGATACTGACACACGGCGGCTACATCGTCGCGTCGTAAATTCAAGCCTGGTAGCTGGCGTCCGTTGATTGGGTATTAGACATCGCCTAATTATTGCAGTTTTTTGACTTTCTCCGCCAGCAGAACCGGGTGATGTATCGTCTGTGCAGACTTTTACTGCATAGGCTGTCAATCAAATGACCTAGATAACATAAATGGGCATCCTGGGCATGCTCCGAAAGTCAGATGACAGCTTATCAGCAACCAGACTTAACAAAGAATACCTACTCGCGACAATATCTTGACTATCTTCGAATGGAGACACAATGCCCTGCGCTGTTCGACAGAAAGGACTGAGGTTATTGACGTTGCTCTATCTGCAAGAGACCACAGCTACTGAACTACTGCGTAGTACCGTACAATCCAGTTCTTGGCGTCTTATCTTGTTTTCAGTATTGCGCCTTAAATATTTTTTTAACCGCTCAGCCCAAAAAGGGCACGCAGCCAGAGCTTGGCCTCATGGAATGCCTGAATGGTAGCATACAACTTCAAGCTGGGAGCCTCGTCTGACGAGATTCTTGCATGACGACTTTAAACTCAGCGATCAACGGGCGGACCGTCATTGGGGAGCAAAGTTAAGGTTTGGCGAGACTCCGGGGTTGGGCAGTCAGACTATTGACCAAATATTGAATGCGGGAAAGCCTGGAGCGGTCAGATGCTTAAATCTCCAGGCGGCTTGACTCTCTTTCTTTGACTCGGTTATAAAGACTCGGCTCTTCGACAGCTAGTTTATGGCATTTGGAATTCTTGCCATCAAAACCCCATTCTCTCCCAGTCCCAGAAGCCCCGCTGCTTTCCACCCATCCACCCCTTTTGGTTAACTACCGCATTTCTGCTCTGTTACTCCATCTTGTCCCTTTCTTTCTGCCGACGCTATGAATATATCTGAGCTACAGGGTCAAGGTTTGTTTTTGTCCTGCTACTTTCTTGGCCCCCCTGGCTTTTGGACACAGTGCTGATTTACGATACAGAAAAGCTCAGCCAAGTCACGCGGCTGTTAAAGGCTCTCCGGAGAGATCTAAATGAGAGGCGGCTTGAACGTGCCAGTATGCAATGATCCTATTAATCTCTTGTGCCTATTTTAACAGATTGTTAGAGCGCATTGAATATCTTCAGAAACTTCGGGTGCATGGTCGCAAACCCGAAAATGCGACTCCTATTTTCCAAAAGGAGGTGCGAAATCACGTAAGAAAAAACGTTTCTCCATTTTAACCTGTTTATAGGGAATCCATGTCCTTTCATCATACGGCTTTGGCGAAAAAGACCCAGAAATAGCCCGTGAAGCACTGCGTTGCCTTGCAAATGCTCTGCTACTTGAGCAGAACACCCGCCAAATGTTCGTGGATCTAGGAAATGCGCCCAAGGCGGCAGAGTTATATAAAGTAAGCTACATTGCATTTTCTGCTGTTTATATTCCCAAAGATGCTAATTCGCTTCCTCGCAGGAAGAAAATTCGGATGATGAGTTTTTAGCAGCTCGGCTTCTATTCCTGACAACTTATGATTCCAATCTGAACTACAACACTCTTTTTGACAACAATGCGTTAGGTGAAAGCATAAACAATGTATGTTCTTTATACTTCTTTTGCTGGCTTTCGTAGCTTACATGACAAGCACATAACCCGGCATTCGAAACAATTTTCCAAGGGACGAAAGAAGAAATGGACAGAAATCGATGAGCTAGGACTTTCAGAAACCCTCAAACTAATATTCAACATAACAAGTTTTTATCCAGCCAGGGGTGACGGGCTCTCTACGTCAATTCCCCATATATTGAAGATTCTAAGCCGTATCGATATACGCTCTCCGCCGCTCCAGGCTCCTGTGAATTACCTGATTAATTCACTGCTTAATCTTGACTTGGAAGCAAAGAAAACAAAAAACTTCAACGCAAACCCCCTATTTCCGAAGTTTGATCAAAATTGCAATGTGGATAAGCTGATCAATATCCTCGACCAAGCTGTTGCTATGCACAAGCCGTCTCAGCTAGAATCACTAGCAGTGCCACTCCTTACTCTCCTACGAAAGATCTATGAAGTCGCGCCCGAAGGTCCGCGGAAATACATGGAATGGCTCCTTCTTCCCGAAGACAGTGATAGGGACCAGCCAATTGGGCAGAGCAATACGCTCTCTTCAAAGCTCCTCCGACTCTCTACTTCGCCCGTTGCACCAAGCCTCAGAGAGGGAATTTCGTGCTTGATGTTCGAACTGTCCGGAAGCAATGCCAATGACTTTGTGCGAAATGTGGGATATGGGTTTGCTGCTGGGTTTCTCATGTCTCATAATCTCCCAATCCCCGAAAGCGCAAAGGAAGCTTTTTGCACCAAATCTACAAGGCCGGGAGAACAAGGCGCGACCATCAACCCGATTACCGGCCAGAGGTTCGATGCTGAGCCTCAGGATACTGGTGAGCCCATGACTATAGAGGAGAAAGAAAGGGAAGCAGAGCGTTTATTTGTTCTCTTTGAAAGGTTCGTTCTAGCTTTTATGGCATTGATCTCCACATCTCTCTCTAACGATATTCTAGGCTTCGTGCTACAGGTGTAGTCAATGTCGAGAACCCGGTGAAAACGGCGCTTGACGAGGGTCGATTTGAGGAATTAGACGATTAAATTTGAGGATTTGGAATGTCCAGTTTGTGTGAACTCCTGTATATAGCTCTATATCAAAATTGGGTGGAAAATAGTGGCGCAACTTAAATAAAGGAGCGCGCGGGAGCCTGTCTGAATACTCCGTACAGCTCATTACTACTGGCGGGGAGTGAGGATCAATCGATTTGGATTTTCATGGCTGCCCAACGAACGTCCTGTCGATACCACGGTGGCTTGGAAAGTAACTTTCATAAGCGACAAGTTGCATTCGTTCTTGCCTCTGTTTCTTTGTCTTCTGCCGAAACCGGATGTGTTTATCGTTTCTTTGGGGCAGGTGCAAAATAAGATTTGATTATATAAGCCACCACGCGCTGTGGCGCTCTGGCCCAGGTTGGTCTAGCGTCCTGCCAAGATATTACATCATTCTTGGGGCTTTAGCACCCGATGCAGCCAATCAGGATTTCTAGCGGCTTCACGAAGCCTCATGAAGCGGGGCACGCGGACTGATAGCGGGCGGAATTCTTCAACGGAATATATTGTGGAATATATCTTCTTATACGCATACTCGCTGTACAGCATTATTAGGATACTGAGCGCGAATCTCACAGACCTACTAGAGTTAAAGCAACCAAAAATGTCGCAACCGGCACCACCACCCGGGTTTGACCCCGAGAAGGCGGAGAATTTGGAAGACGTGAGTCCCGACAATTTTAACGCCCGATTAAATAGCGTAGCACTTATACTTTATTCTTCACAAAGATCGAGAAGCAGTTTGCAGTGAAAGGTTGGCTACCTAGCTTTCCTCAAAACGGCAGCGCCAGAGAGCTAACTATCCCCGCGTCCTTTTCAAGCCGTCCAGCAAATGTCAACTTATTGGGCTATCCTCGAAAAAATGCCTGGTTCTAAGCTACGACTGACAAAGATCGATGATGAGATATATGAGCATTTAAAAACGGAATTTCCTGATTTCGATCCGGAGGCGACCCTAGATGAAGAGCAGATGAAGAGCAAAGAAGGCAAAGAGAAGTGGCGCAACTTCATGAATGCATATGAGAAAAAGGTCAGCGATTTCAACTTCGGCACGCTATTACGGAAAAATGCAAAATGGGAATATGGAGAGAAGGAGACGATGTTTGGTGTGTACTCCAGTGGTATTGATACTACAGAATTTCGCTAAGAAATATCAGCTGTTCGCATGCAATTCTATGCCATCGAGATTGCAAGGTAAGGCCCTGCAGCTTCCAAGATAAGAAACAGCATGACTAACGTGATGTCCCTTTAGAAACCGAGCTGGCCTGAATGATTGGATCTACGAAGAAGCTCAGAAACAACCCACAACTGCTTGAGGAAATTGGTCTTTCTATCACCACGAACAATAAACAACCTAGAGTCGCTACGATTGACATGATCGCCGGCGCTGGGCGGTCCGACGCAAAGTGCCTCGTTGAGATGTACTCCGTACCACGTACGAAAAAGCAAAAGTTTCTTAAGAGATATAACGCTAGATGCGGCAGCCGCCGTTTGGTCATCGCCACCCAATATCGTGTACTTTTAGCCACATAGCCGAATCTGATGGCAAAAGGTTTTGTTAGTTTTGGATCAGCCCTCAATATGTGATGACAATTTCACATAAATAGCAGTGGTTCAACCGCAAATATATCATAAATACGGAATATGACTACATTATAGAAAGAAACCGCGAAAGCCTCAGCATGGGAAACTAAAAATGGGCCTGAAAGAATGATTTATAAATAATTTACATAGAATACATGTTTCGCAACTAGTGCGATCTCGGGTGTGTGAGACTCAAAAAGGCGAATTTACATTCGCCAGACAAAATTCAAGCTATCGATAACCTGTTAGGCTACTTGGGTATTTTTCTATTCTAAGGCGAAGATTCCGGTTGTATGTCAATTTCCTCGAGAAGAACGGTCATTTATATCCGTCCCCGCCAGTACCGCCTCTTGTGACAGTTCTTCAGGCGGAGGAAGAACGTAAGTAGAGCTTTTCCAAGGTTTGACCCTTAAAATGTACATTGTATCCAGCTCTTCTAGAGTTCGGCCTGACCCCTCAAGAACCCCAAAATACACCAACGCGGCAGCCAGGAGCAGACATCCTGCAAAGACATAGCCGTATAGAAAATCAATTTTATCAGTAATAAATGGTGTAAAAAAGGCAAGCAGGAAGTTCCATAGCCAGTTGGAAGCCGTAGCCAGAGCCATTGCTCGTGCACGATATCGGGATGGGTAAAGTTCTGCGATAATCGCCCAGATCATTGGTCCCCAGGTGCTTGCGAACCCCAGAATAAAAAGACAGGCGAATACAACCATGGCTGTCCCCGCTTTGGGCGTATTTTGTGGAGTCTTAATATCAAGAGCAAAATGGCCGACAGATGCAAATATTAGAAAACAAACACACATCCAGACAGCGCCCACAATTAGTGATTTGCGACGGCCAAAATGTTCAATATTGTATAGTCCAAGGAATGTGCTGCCAAAATTAACGGCGCCTAAAATCATCTGTGTGACATAGCTGTTCGATATGCCAGCACCTTTGAATATGACTGTCCCGTAGTAGAAGAAGTAGTTGGCGCCAGTGAGCTGTTGAAAAGCTTGGAGTGTGATGCCTAGAAGTATTCTGTATTTCATTCTTGGACCATGAAAAATTTCCCACCAATGGTCTTCTTTGGCAGCCATATCTTCCTCATGCTTCTGCTTAATCTCGGCAAATTCTTCATGTAACCGTTTATGATTTTCAGGAATTCCGTAGAGCTTCATCATTGTCCGTTTTGCCTGCTCAGTCTTTCCTCGCGTATAGTCAAATCGAGGCGTCTCAGGGAACAAAGCAATCCCAAGCCCAAGAATAAGCAGCCAGAGAAAGGTGATGGCCATGGGAATCCTCCATGACGCAGTATTATCCAAGCGTTCCGTACCAAAATTAATGCAGTTGGCAACCAATATTCCCAGTGTAATGAATAGTTGGTACATACTAGGAGTGTCAAATTAGCAAATAACTACTTCTATGCTGCTTCATTGGAAATATAGTTTCATACCACACCATAGCCCCACGAATATGCCGCGGAGCACTCTCGCCTTGATATAAAGGGACCAAAAGAGAGAGTGCTCCAACTCCAAGTCCTGCAATCCAACGGCCAATAACTATTTGCCACCATCTCGGGGCTTCAGATGATACCTGGACAATAATACCAACGGTGAGAACAACACACCACGAAGATATAGACCATTTTCTCCCAAGACGATCTGCGACGGGGCCGGCTACCAACGCACCGATCAAAGTGCCAACTGAAAGCTGGAAATGAAAGCAATGAAACATTAGCCTCGAGCATTGCCCTGCGGGCAAGGGTAGCTGTCGGCTACATACCAAGGCGACAATCAACCCGGACCTAACATTAGTAAAATGATATCCGTCTCCAGATTTGTCCTTGTCGCCAAATCGCCGGAGGAAATCTTTCATAGCTAAGATTCCAGATATTTGACCGGTATCATAGCCAAAGAGAAATCCACCCATCGACACAAAGAGGCCCATGATCATGGAATGCCATGTCACCCAGCGAATTGGGGTTTGTACAAAATCTCCAGCATGCGATTCAGAATGCTGGCCAGATAAATTTTTCTCCGAACCAGAGACTGTCTCATTTCGGCCAAAACAGAAGTACCCCTTAACCTTCTGCATCGTTTTCCCTTGGTCCACGCTGTAATCCGTATGCGACAACCTATTAGTTGAAAATAGGAAAACGAAAACCTATAGCAGTATTCGAGAATTCTGCAGAATGATAGAAATATCTTTAGTGACCCATGCCAACTTTTCAGTGGGCCATCTATATTTTTATGCTTAGCGGACGTGGAGCCCCAGTTTGTAGCACAGAATCCTGGCCCGTACTCCCGTAATATACGACTCCAAGTACGTACAGTATGTATTTATGGCGCACGAAAACTGTCCCATCCCTTGTGGGTGTTCCAAAGGCCTTTGGTATCCTAGGTCTTCCTTTATATCAGAAATTCCAATGTGAACACAAACCTGCGAAAAGCAACTGATGTATCGAGACCTCGCAACTTCTCACTACATACTGGAAAGTCGGATGTTCTTATTTTTCCGTGAAAAAAGCGTGTTTGTAAAGGCCGTACTGGATTGAGTCCAACATGACGTCAATCCATGCTCGCCGTTGCAATGATCTCATCGAGCGGAAGCGGCACAATATCCGTCTGGCCGGCGGCTGTAGGGGAAGATCGGTATCCTTTGTACGAGTCCACAATGTGAGACCGTAATAGTCGTTTAGGGTCAGTTATGAAAGGGCTGCATCTTACTGGTACGGAGTAACTTGAGTAGTTAGTTGACTATGGAGGAGATGTATAGTTAGTCAAAATTCGGCAGAACCGAGCTACACACTGCTCCGCGTATGTTTACAAAAACATGGGGTAGCGTATGGGTGACACGTTGGAGCGTGTTGAATGTCCAACGATGGTATGCACTGGCTGGTGAAATTAGCTGAGTCTATGGGGGATAAAATGAAAAGGCGCCAACTAATCTCCGCCAGCTTAATAGTCAAAGATAATAGAATCAGTGCTCCGCACGGAGTATCATGATTGAGAGAAGAGGATGATAAATCCCTGATTCTTGAATCTCTTCATCAGAGATTTGAGTATCTAATAAATTCTATGCATATTATCTGACTGATCCCATGGCCCGATAAAAAAGTATAAAAAATAACTATTATGCGAGAAAGGAAGTCATTAGATGAATGATGTAGAAGGTTGAGCAGCCTGCAAATAAATGGCTCCGACGCCCAACGTTAGGCATTAATGCATTAATGGAGGGAACAAGATCACTCACTGGCAAGCACGAACCTGGGTTGCTGCCCAGGAGCTCAAAAATTGTTTCCACTCTTAGTAGCAAGGGCTAAGACTGGTTGCAGCAGGCTAACCGATTTCAGCCTAGACCCTGAATTTCTTCGGATCATCCCGAATATCGAAACGACCTTCCATAGAGTTCCTTGCAAAGTCTGGCACATTGGGCACCTTGAGTGCAACGTTGTTGGGCCTCTGTTGAATTATTTAATGGCCTTTCTTGCTCTTCCTCTTTACTTCTTCGAAACACCAACTCTCTCTGAGCACCATATGCCTTCTTTGGAAACACTCCATCATCCCTCCAAGCGGAAGCACCTCGAACATCCTTCCGAAACACTGGACCTTCAGCCGAAGAGACAGAAGTCCTGCCGCCCCCAAGCCTATTGGGATAATTTGTCGACAGTTCATTTAACCAGGAGTGCGATACAAGAACTCGACCGAAGAAACAACTCTTCAGGTCTGCAGCAACCGCTTCATAGGCCCGTCACTCGGCAGTTGCATCCCGACTTTCTCCGTGATTGTTCATCTAGCCACCTAAAGGCTATAAAGAGACTCTCGAGATTGGGAGGGCCTGACCTGTCTGATTTAAGAAACGTATGTTACTATGAACTCAAAGCTATCCTGGAGGTCCTGACCAACCCTAGTATCCTATCCCAATGAGCTCAAGGGCACCCAGTTCCCACCGTAGGAAACGTCGAGCAGAATCTCCTCCGTCATCGGCCTCGAGGGACACAAAAACAACGACAAAAACAACGACAAAAACTTCAAGCACCTCGGCTTATAGTCGGAACTTTCAGCAGAATTTGATAGATCACGGTGTTTACCCTTATGGTTACGGGTATCCAGACGGTAGGAGACCAGATAAACCAGGAAACTGGAAGGAAATCAATGAAAGACTTGCTCAACCACGATCTTCCCTCTCTCCATCAAGGTTCCCTGAGGAGGCATTTGACGCCTTTGCGCTTGCAGACGCACACGCGTCTAAAGAAAAGCCAGTTATAAGTTCAGTGATACCAATCATTGATGGTGATATTGGTGACCGTAAATGTGTTGGGGGGGATTACCTGTTTGGAAATCTTGCACCTTTAACTGATGGAACACTTGCACCAGCCAAGCCAGATCACTTCTATGGTGCACGTCCTGAACAGCTTAATCGTCAAATCCGCAATGTACTTAAGCATCATATTGTCCCATCAACACAGGATGATCTCCCAGTGGCACCAAATTTCTTTTTAGAAGCAAAGGGACCTGATGGGTCTCTTGCTGTAGCAATGCGACAGGCATGCTATGATGGTGCACTGGGAGCCCGCAGCATGCAATCTCTACAATCTTACCCCCAAGATATGCCAACATATGACAACAATGCTTACACTCTTACATCAATCTACCATGGCGGTACACTCAAGCTATACACCACCCATCCTGGCAAGTCCAATGATCCAGATCACCATTCTGAATATTTTATGACTCAGCTTCGATCATATTCCCTTACTGACACACCTGAGGCCTTTCGGCAAGGAGCTTCTGCTTATCGAAATGCTCGAGACTGGGCCAAGGAAAAGAGAGATGAGTTCATTAGAGCGGCAAATTTAAGACTTTTCGAGGCATGCTCATCAGCCTCTCTCTCTCAACACCAGCTGGTTTCTGATTTAACGCCTGTCTTGGATGATTCTGACGGCTCAACTGAACCTGGCGAATATCAAGATGCTCAGTGGAGTTTCGCCGTCCCAGTTGAAGGCGGAGAAGAGGATTCCGGAAAGTTTAGAATGCCTAGAAGGCCGAGGATCCGTGCGAGCGAGTCTCTTGTTACAACCGGTAACCCGGCCAGCGATATCACTAGTGATAAAGCCCTTGGACTACAAAACTGACCCGAACGAGATCTGTTCGCACCCGTATTTGCACTTCTTTTACCTAATTTCAAATATTCCAATAGCCCTCCTGGGTTCGTTTCACTGGTTATGTTGCGAGGAGGCGATCACAAATCTTGTATTCGTAGGGTAGTGATTTTTGGGCGAAGGCTGGATAGAGGTGGAGAAAAGATATTCCATTCCGTCAATTCAGCCATGGAAACAGCGCTCCACAGCGGGACATCACGGGCCGTCCCGTTCCCTTTCCGTAGTCAGAACGAGACTCCTCCGCTGTCCAACGCATTTGACCTTTGATCGGCTTTTCGTTTTTGCCAGTGCTCAACTGCATCTTCCAATGGAAACGGCGGAGAGATGCGATATTTTTTCATCAGCTCACGAGACATCCATGACAAAATAGGGCATCAATGCATCAGTGATGAGAGTGATATAGTTTCTCACTGTCAACTTTTCCTCGCAATATTCGCCTCGAAAATTTCGAGATCCTGAAATGACTCTGGGCTTTGCGTCATCATCAATTGGTTCTCACAACGCCCTGACCCTCTGTTAGATTTACTGAGCGAGGTTCACTTCCGTTTCTTTTGACAGTGATTAGCCTGTCGTGGCACCATCTGTCCCCACTGGCTCATCAATCCTAGCATGCATGCATGTTTGACCGGAGTCAAATGATGGCCTATTTTTGCCCATCTTTGCACTCATGCTCCTTTGGCTTGACCTGCTGAGGTCCCCATTGCCATCGTCCATTGCGAAGCGCATCCTAAAACATTTTGATACCGAGCTGGGATTGTCTGAGAGACAGGTGCAAATCATGTCAACATACCGAGCGCTGTTTTAGCTGATGAATGCTGCACACAGCAAGCACAAGTGCAAAGAATATGGCTGTTGAAAACAATGGAAAATTTGTCAGATTGAGCTTCACCAAACAGTGTCCAGTGGAACTTACGCTATCCACTCAAAATATAAAGACCTTGCTGCCAGCGGACCTGATGGTTTTGAAAATTTTGTAGATCTAACAAGGTGATATAAACCACGGGATGTTCACCCTTTCGGCACTATATGGACCTCCAAACCACTCGCAGACAGATCTCAACGCTGGATTGCAAACTTGGTGTTCAGGTAGAGCTAACATTGTTACAAGATTCTTTATCTGAGTCTCCCACATCAAACCAAGGGTACTTGCGGATCGCCTTCTCGCTTGGTGGATACCATTTCATTCATAGCCAGCCAAATATGCATCGCGTTGCGACGACACTGATTGAAGATTGAGCCTCTGAGGTTTCCTGGGTATCACCAGAGTGTCATTGGAAGGGATAAAATTTGTTTCAGTAGGCTGAATCGATATTCATTCCCCTATCCTCAAGCTCCATAGCATTGTCCAAATTCCATTTCTAAGTAGTGCATTGGGGATCATGCCTTTGACATTTTGCGTGAAGCTGAACTACGATCTCTGTATCATTAAGCAAACTGCTACCAAATAGCTTCCATGGGCACACTGGGACGCTCGAGAAGCCATTGCAGTCTGTAGGGAACAGTAAGCGGCATTCATCATGATTAATTCTGGATTGGTTGGCAGCTTGTGGTTCTGAGTGTTTTGTAGTAAGAAAAGATTGCTCCGTCCCAGTCCATGCAGCTGCATGAAGGTCAACCGCCCAGTGACCGGATCGGACAGCCCGGAGAATCGTTGTTGCTGTTCCTGTAAGAATTGCGCCTAACTAACCATAGCGACCCGATGACAGGTTGTCACTGAGTCAGAAGAGTAGCAATTCTAGTATGGTCTTCTTCATCCAGGATAGGCTCAAGGACCTCGAAAGCCGGCTCTAGGCATGCGCCAACAAGGTTGCAGTACACATCAGGGTTGAAGAAAGTGCAGTGTAGTAAAGATCGCAGCGCCCATCTGTTACAGCTTAGGGTCATGTAGTAAGGATTAGCACCAATTGGAAGCTGATGAGGTAACGTTCGCCCAGCGTTTCCACATAATATTAAACGACCGCTGGGCCTGCTCCTTGGCCTCTCAACAGCTGCAGCTCTTGGGCAGGCAGCCCTGGCGCTTTGATTGGGTCCCGGCTGCTGGGTTGACTTTTCGATTGTCTGCTCGAGAACAATAGCAACAATACGGGAACAATAGCAAGACAGAATAAAGACGCGCAGGATTCAATGCGCGGCATACGGAGTACATTTAATCTAGACGGCGCTTCGCGTTCTGGCCGAGACGGCAAAAGCCTGAAAATGGCTCTGGAGCCATACTTATGGTGTCAGGTTCCCTGGGAGACCCCTCGCCGCCGCCTAAAACCAATATCGTCGGCCATGACTCTCCCTCGCCGGTGCCATGCAACAGTCTGCTGGCACTATGGCTTGGGAAACACCGTCCAATGATGCCGCATCAGGTTCTGCGCCGGCTGATGCGTCACCGCCGGAGCGCAGATGGAGGGCTCTCTTCCTCTTCACCACCAGGAGACACCTCGCGCCGCTTTCGGCCGGATTGTTTTTCGCTATCTGTGGTGGGCTTGCCGTACCCCTTCTGGCGGTAATCCTAGGTCGTATCTTCAATGAGCTTACCAGCTTTGGGGCCCGTTCAATCACTGCGGTGCAGTTGATGCACAACATTTCCATTCTTTGTGTATATCTACTCGCACTGGGATGCACCATTTTGGCCATACAATCCTTCCACTTTTCTTTATGGATCATTTTTGGCGAGCTACAGGCAAAAAAAGCCCGTAATGAGCTTTTTGAAGTGCTGCTAGGAAAGGAAGTGGAATGGTTTGATCTAACAAGAGATGGAGTTGGCGCTCTTCTGCCACAAATCCAAACGTACATCATCAGAATGAAATCTTTATAGAAACAATGTTAAGCTAACAGACATTTCTCAGAAACATACGCGATCTCCAGCTAGCAGTTTCACAACCCCTGGGTTCCTTCTTCCAAAACCTAGTTGCTGCTATGGCTGGACTTATTCTAGCTCTCTACATCTCATGGAACCTTACCTTTGTTTGCCTCGCAACTGTCCCAGTCTGTGCTATCGTGATTTCGGTTATGTCAAAAAAAGTACAACCCGAAATTGACTCGCAGCGACGAGAGCTTGATCAAGCATCCAAGTCTGCCACTAATGCCATTTCCTCAATTGACGTTGTGAAATACTTGAATGGGCAGGCGATAGAGGTGGCTCATTACATGTCTGCCGTTCAAGCGGCTGCACAGCATTATCTAAAACAGGCGCGATTTACTGCTGTCGAGATAGGGCTTATTCACTTGTTGACCTTTGGGATGTTTGTTCAAGGATTTTGGTATGGAGGGTATCTGGTGGCTATCCAGAAACTAACACCTGGTCAAGTTCTTACTACATTCTGGGCATGCTTTCAGGCGACCCAGTCTATCGAGAATATCATACCACAGTTGTTGGTGCTTGAGAAAGGAAGAGCCGCTGCCGCTGCCCTGAAACAAATATTGGGACAGGCTGGATTGTTGAAAAGTGTACGTGTCCCTGAGGCTGAATCTAAATGCCCACAATTTTGTGAGGGAAACATCAAGTTCGAAAATGTAAGTACATACATAAATACATCCCTTGAATGGCTTCCACCAAGAAAACAAACTAAACTCCCATAAGGTTACCTTTGCATATCCATCCCAACCTGATCGTTTAGTCTTGGATGGCTGCACCTTTTTATTCCCGTCTGGGGATATGACATTCATCGTTGGAAGAAGTGGCTCCGGAAAAAGCACTGTGGGAAACCTTCTTCTACGATTCTATCTTCCAGCTTCTGGGGAAATATCTATTGACGGAAACTCGATAACATCTCTCGATATTAATTGGGTTCGAAACAATATCACCCTGGTACAACAGCAAAGTTCTTTATTCAATGAGACAATCTTGAAGAACATTGCATTTGGTTCCCGAGATTTCGATAACCTTTCCCCAAATGACATTGAAAATTGTATATCCTTTGCAAAATTGCTGGAGACTATCCAGGCATTACCAGACGGGCTGGATACTATTGTTGGACTTGGAGGTGACAGACTTAGCGGCGGGCAGCGACAGAGGGTAGCTTTGGCTAGATCTCGTCTTAGAGATACCCCTATTCTTGTGTTGGATGAATCTACCAGTGCTTTAGACTATCATACCAGGCGCTCTATCATGTCGTCGATCCGCGAATGGAGAAAAGGAAAGACAACAATTGTTATAACCCATGATTTATCGCAGATTGATGAGAAAGACTTTGTCTACGTTGTGGATAATGGAAAAGTGTATCGCCAAGGGCAGAAACAAACACTTCAAAACGACATTGAAGGGGTTCTATTGTCCGCTTCACAGGTCCCAATCCAAAACAATTCGGAAAAATTGAAAAGTATTTCACGGGCACGACTCAGTGCTATTGATCGCTGGAACGACAGTCGCCGCCAAAGCTTCCCAGGGTTTAGTAATTTTGACCATACTATGGACGGACATTCATCCTTAGCCTTCTCCCCTGTGCCTTATTCACCTTTATTTAGCCAGTCGCTTGGGCTTTCTCAGACTCAATCGGCTATTTTTCCTAATCAGCAACGACATTCTTTCCACGGAAAGCTTCCTCTCTCACGAAATGCAGTAGATTTGCCAACCAAAGAAATACTTCCTTTCGAGGAGAACCAAGGTGTAAAGTCGCTATCACAAATCGATGATACCCGTGACGAAGATGAAGAACTTCCGTCCCGGCCCAACTCATTGGACGAAGAACGATACGGCTACCAAAGCCGTTCCCTGTTTGGAATACTTTGTACCCTGACACCATCTTTGAGTCGATCAGAAAAAGTCTTATTATTTCTTGGTTTCGTGTCAGCTTTCTTTCATGCTGCAGCCACGCCAGCTTTTGCATTTCTTTTTTCTCGGTTACTGAGCACCTTCTATCTCACCGAACGCCGTGCCCGGGCTGCCTTGGAATGCTCAATAGGCATTCTAGGCGTATCAATCGGTAATGGCATAGCATCTTTTTGGATGCATTTTCTTCTTGAGCGCTGTGGTCACGCATGGGTTGATCACCTTCGACAAGAGGCAATGTTTCGGATTCTTCAGCAGCCCAAATTTTGGTTTGAGAAGGATATCAATCACCCATCGACGCTGGCCAATTATTTGGACAGAAATGCAGAAGAAATGAGAAATCTTGTCGGCAGATTTGCAGGTTTTATGTTTGTCGCCACTGTGATGATGGTGATGGGTACGACATGGGGCTTAGCAATATGTTGGAGGTTGACTTTAGTCGGCTGTGCATGCGCACCAGTCCTGTATGCTCTTACCAGATTGTTCGAAAGAGTCAGTGGTTACTGGGAAAGTCGCTGTAACCGAGCTGCAGAAGTGGTCTCAGGAATATTTTCAGAAACGTTTTTGAACATTCGTATTGTTCGGTCCTTAACTCTTGAATCTTACTTCCATAAAAAGCTGCTCCGTGCGAATTCGGAGACACTAACTATAGGCATGAAAAGAGGTTGCTTTACAGGCTGCGTTTTTGGACTTTCGGAGGCGTCTATTATATTTGTCTATGGTATGTATTGTAGCCCTGGGCTCTTCAATATACATAATGCTGATAATACCCACAGCACTTGTGTTTTACTACGGTGCTTTACTAGTTTCTTCTACGCAATATACCACAAAAGCAGTTTTGACCGTTTTTTCTATGCTATTATTTAGCATGGCGAATGTGAAAGCGGTTCTATCCCTAGGTAAGCAATACCTGATTGTACGGTCATTTGCTACTAACGTTTGCCTCAAGTGCCGCAGATTAGCTCTTCTAGAGACACTGCTACTCAAGTGCTACACCTAGCAAAACTACAGGCTGATCATTCACATGAGCACCATGGAAAGATACATACCTCGCAGTTAGCCCCAATCAGATTTACAAATGTTAACTTCAGCTACCCTTCACAGCCGGAAAAGTTAATCCTTCATGATTTTAACTTAAATATCGATGAAAACGCCTGCACAGCGATTGTTGGTCCCTCCGGCTCGGGGAAGTCAACTATAGCTTCGATACTTCTTGCTCTGTATCCTATTAGTAAGGAAAATACTGGATATCTACGCCCTCCTGGCTTAATAGCTCTGGGGGGTCTAGATCTTCGGGAAATCCATGTATCTTCACTTCGATCCCAAATAGCAATCGTTCCACAGAAGGCAACAATATTCCCAGCGTCCATCCGAGATAACATCAGCTATGGTCTTGAGGAATCCTCGCCTTATAACACCCTTGCCAACGTGCGTACTGCTGCCAAAGCTGCAGGAATTGACGATTTTATTTCATCTCTCCCATCAGGATACGATACACTTATTGGTGATGGAGGTATAGGCATATCCGGTGGGCAGGCCCAGCGCTTAACCATTGCCAGGGCTCTCGTTCGTCGGCCTCGGGTTCTTATCCTCGATGAAGCTACATCCAGCTTAGACATCGAGAGTGCGGCAGGAATTCAGCGCACTGTGCAAAAACTGATGAGCCGGAATAGGTCCAATGGGCTCACAGTCATCATTATCACCCATGCAAGAGATATGATGGAGATAGCCGACAAGGTGGTAGTGATCGGTGATGGAAGAGTTGTCGAGGAGGGTGCTTTTGAATTGCTAATCAATAAACGAGGTGGTGAGCTTAGGAAACTTCTGGGTATAACAGGCCGAGAAAATTTGTAAATATTGGTTTAATATGTGTGTAAATGTTAATGATAATAATCGACTTCAAATGCCCGCCATTTTGACTTTAGAGATGAGATTAAGAGGCCGAGTTCACCAGGTAAACGCTTATAGTGAACGGAGTACGGAGTAGTTTTTCCGTATATAAAACGGCACCTCCAGAAGACAACATATTATTGTTTTAATCTTGGAATTCAGTTGTGAGTTTTATTTTTGGCTACGTAGCTACTCAGGGGTGGTGGTTGAAGCCTGCAAGCTCATAAAACTAGCGAACCTTACTGTAGTTAACTAACTACGGAGTACGGCTCAATTTCGGCGGATCCCAAATTCCACGATCAATCACAACATACCGACACACCACAGGCATCTCAAAACACCGTTGCAGCTACAAGTCACTACCCAGACTTCGGCCTTAACATCAAGAAAATAATACAGATGTTATTACATGGCTTTTGAATACAAGCAAGTTCTCTGTTCGCCTGACTCTGCTAAAAGCAGACGAAAATGCCGCTGAAATTCGAGTTGGAGAGGATGTTCAGCGCATTGCCTTAACCATCTTCTTCCAGATATTCTCCACTGCTTTCCAATATCTCTTCTGATCTGCTGTGACATGCGCGACATGTCCGCTTCCGTGGAACAGCTCCTTCCGAACCTTCCCACCGCACTTGCGAGCTTCCAAGATGTGAAACTCGATATCTTCGCAGCGCACCATGGCGTCCTCTTCGGAATACAGGTAAAGCCGCGACGCTTTCTTGTTGATTAACGTCTCGTCATTGAGATCATGGCGCGCTTGTGTGAGGACATCACCATTACCCAACTTCTGAATAAACCACAAGAATATCAAGAACAGGCGCGCGAGAATACCCCCAACTAGGCGAATTAATGTTGGTGCATTAGCCAGGGATGACATGATTGCATAGAGACTGCCAGAATATGAAACCACGCCGGGGGTTGAATCGAGCACAACTGCATCCACGGGGACATGGGATTTTGTCTTTTCACGGTAGACACGAGCTAGCTGAGAAGTCATATAAGCTCCCCCGTTGGAGAACAGATGCAGAAGAATGCGAGGCCGGTGCTTCCTTTCGCTAATTGGGAGGATAGTACCGTCGCTTGCCTGCGGTACGACGTCTTGTTCCGTGACGGCTTGGATGATATCCGCGACGGGATGAAGCTCGGTCCGTTTCTTTGCCGTTGGAGTGAACAGCATGTCCTGTACAGAGCAAGCCATATGGACGATTGTTGCATTTGGGTATCGGCTGCGGTATTCTGATGCGAATTGCCCGACATGCTCTGGCTTGGCTGCCATCCAGGAAGCGAGAAGAATGAGTTCCGGCCCTCGGCTGCCGGGCTTGGACGACCCATCGCCTGGGCCGTTGCTGGAGGGAGTCGAAATTGTCACACCATCGCTAAGGTAGTAGAAACGAACCTCCGGTCCTGCTGGTTGTTTCTTCATGTTGAGCAGAATGCTGAGGCTGGCACAATGTTCTCGGCGACGCGTCTAGAGGCTCAAAAAGGAATATCAGCCCCTAACATGCAGACCCTCCAGCAATTAACAAGATACCATGAAGTTTGGCGCAAAGAAATAATGAATATTGATGAGAAGATGGTGGCTGTGAGCCTTGTTTCTCCATACACCAAAATGAGATGGAGAGAAAGTGTTGTTTAGCACAGTGCGCGTTGCTGGGTGGGAAGTATCAAAAACACAGGCGGCATGATCCGTGACCAAATGGCGCTAACAGACGCTAGAACTGTGTGCAGGACCTCCTGGATGCTTGAGTGACTTGTCTGCAGCCCTCTTTGGCAGCTTCTTGGTGTGTATTCTCCCTCAGAGGTTTATCTCGATTCTCTCCAGATTCCAGATGACTGGGTGTCAGGATTTCAGTGCTGGATGGCATATTTTCATTTTATATTCCTCCCCTGAAATCCTCTTTGTCTCTTTCGCGGCGGCAGAAAATATGATGAACTACTATCCATATCCATCCCTTCTTATATCCCTCTCTAACCAACTATTTAGCAATCCCATGTTCTATAACCTGTTATTCACTCCTAGCATTTTTCCCACTTTGGCTGTATGCCTACATCAGAATGCCCTTCTCAAATGATACACAATTCGGTTGCCGTTTCTTTGAGGCATGGTTCAACTATGATCTCCTACTAGATACTCAACCCTACCCATTATCATACATACCTAATGTCCCCATTATATGCCATTCAGGTCTTCATGCGCATTCATAGGCTAAAGTGTGATATCAACTCAAAATATTTCAGGAGTCATATCATCGCGGCCGTTGGGCCAGAATGCCCTCCACAGCAGAAATATGGAACTGTAAACGTCAGCCCAGAAACGATTTTCAGCCACAAACGGCCTAGAAACTGCGAAACATCATTTGCAATGACCTAGTTAGCCTGTACTCCGTACTCTGTACCTACATGCATTTCTCAACAGGTTTCCTAGCTATGTTTTGCAATTATACTGGCCTCTCATGGTCCCGGGCCTGGAAGCCCAGGCCAAGCACATTCTACCAAGGCAGCACAGAACACTGAGTACGGGCCAGCATGTGTCTTTCGGCTCTATTTGCTGAAACTTTCTTAGTTCTAAGCTAGCTAACTAACTAGTAAATTAATTTGTGACTTTTGCCCGCGTTAACTTCCAGGGCTCATTGAAGCAATGTGGCTGCGCTAGAACAGCCAGCAGTTAATGTATCGTGTCTATGAATCAACTATGGAACCAGCCAGAAGAGGCGCAACACCAGCTTCACTACGAGGTAACTTAACTAACTAACTACTGGGCGATCCAGAATTGTTTTGCGCAAGGCTGAGAACTAACTACAAAAACACAAACATCAAGACTTGTCGCCCAGGCCGCTTCACCCATGATTGACTTCCAAAGGATGCTGGCCCCAAGCACCGACTAGCAGCCGTCCCCTGCTCACAGCCCCAGCACCCGCCCAACCAGCCACGCACCATTTTCTATTTCCGTGATATCGAGGCGTCGCGATGACTGCTGCTTAAAGGCCTGGCACGCAAGCCTTCTGGGAGTCATCACCTTGCTGGCAGTCGGATGCAAAATCATCACCATGATTATCAAGAGACAAATGTCCCCTGGTGGCAGATCCGCGGATCTTGCTTTGGTGAGTTGAGCCTGGCGGCCGGGTTCGCCGCCCGCTTGCTCCTATGTGTTTGTGACTGATTTGTTTTTGACTTGTAAAGGTCTTTGTGATTGTCCTGGCAAGCGTTGGCCTTCTCCTTCTAGGATATTTCTTACTGCGAATTCTTCGCGCCCAACACCCCGAACCGCCCAAGTTTGTCCCGTCCTTTCTCAAGAAAAGGTGGAAGAACTGGGTTCCAAAAAAACTCTACGGTCGGGTTCCTGATGGCAGCACTACAGCGGATGGCTCAGCAGTGCCGGATCGCGGACAGAATACAGCATATACTGGTGCAGGAGGAACAGAGACAGCCGCTGCGCAGGTGTCCATTGACCGAAACACCTCGATCCGTTCGATAATGACTCTTCCAGCCTATTCGCCTCATCCAAAACCATCTGAACTGGTGATTGGGAGGGAAGGAGAGCGTGCTGGTATGGACGTCGTCGTGGAATTCCCCGAAACCAATGATGAAGAGGAAAATAGAAGGGAGCAGGAGATGGAATCACTATACCAGATACGAATGACTCGAAGGCGGGAAATATCTGAGCGAGAAGAGAGGCGGCGATTGCGACGGGAGGCTCGAGAGCGAGGAGATTGGGCGTATTTAGAACAATTGCGCTCAGAAAGGCAGGCTACGCTTGCTAATGGCGAACAGTCCATCACTGCGGCCTCTCTTCTGGCGGAGCATCAGGCTCGTGGACGGGAGAGGCGAATATCAAGCGTTTCGTACGCGGAAATTGGCCATGTCCGCCACGATGGCTCTCGACTGCGTGCCAGCTCTCAGGGATCAGACTCCCGACCTTTGCTCGACACAGCTGCACCCATAGGGCAGGGCGAGAGCGAGCCGCCATTAATACACCATCGCACTTTGTCTGGCACCTCTATGTTGTCTCAGTCTACCCTCTCCGATTTATCCCATGCCGCGACCCCAGAGAGTGATATCGCAGATTCAGCCATCCCACAGCCTCCACCATATGAGCATCTGGATCTTGGCGACGCTCCTCCTTACCACAGCCCTCCGCACCGTTCCAGAGATCTAGTACGAGTGAGCAACGTACCAAGCATCGCCGTCGAAAATGCCACGCCACCCCCCAGTGTTCCCACCAGTCCCGTCGATACTCGCAGAACAGCTGGAGATAGTTCTATTCCAAGACGATCATGACGATTGGCTAAATGTCAATATCCAATAGCCTTCTCTAAAATAGGAGCTACGCAAACTGGAGCCCCGATGATGCATTCATTCATCCAAACTACCCCGAGTACTGCACAGTTTCCTTAGAGACGCGCTTTTCTCCTCGATGTACACTAATAGGCCAGACCCTTTGCACAGATCATGACCCAGAAGTGCTTCATGCATTACGATTTTCTTAACTATTTCCCATCCCTTGCTTTATTTGTTGATTGGTAATTATTACTTAGCGTCCGGGCGCCTGGGGTCAGCTTTCTACTTTTTGATAATCTCTCAAATGCGTTTCACTCATTTTGAGAAATCTTTGGCTTTTTTTTGACTTTTTTTCGTGTGTGGTTGAAGGAAAACATATAGCGTGGCATTGCTTGATTTCTATGTGTTTTGTGTTTTGTATCCAGGAATATTGTATTAAATTCCATTTGGATCGAAATTTGGGTTGATCTTTACAGTGGACGCACTTGCACACATCACCAGGTCAGGTATTTTGACTCTACCACAATCTTGGGACCCGGCTTGGACTTCTCCCAACATCGCTATTCTTGATACCAGCAACTATGCGGTTAACTTTGACTTAGCATTCGGAGGAATCACCTGGTGCTTGCCTATTGCTTATATATAATCATATGCCATAATGACATTCCTCAAGACAGCTACATGGGCCTGGCAGTTAAAGAAACTCTATGACTTGGGTTTGTCTAAATCAAAACTACCACTACATTCTTTGGGTACTAATGCTAGAAATTATAGTCCTGTTATAACTAGTATCTTGATTTCTAGGCCCCGGAATATCCTCAGTGTTTTATATTCATCTGATAATTTTTGGGTGGGTCGCGGTTTATTGTGTTTTCTCTTTTAGAGCCGCCAATTTCTTGATGTCCGATTCTTCCGAAACGTCTCCCACAGTGCCAATGATTTTGAGGTTGGCCGCCAACATTGCCTTCTCGATTTCGGAGCATTCTCCGTTTACGGAATAAATCAGCTGGCCGTGCCGTGATTCGTCAGCCATAACAAGCGCCGCACAGCGAGCAACAACATCTGCCGATTGGACCTTGAACCCAACAGATTCCAGAACAGCCCGCGGCACGATCGCCGTATCTGTCCAGCCTGGTGCGAGAGAGTTTATTCTGATGGGGAGTTTTGGGTGAAGATGGGATTTTAAGGCCCGCATAAAACCTTTGAAGCTTATCAGAACTCAACCAGAGACATGGCTGAGCGGTGCATAACCTACCTAGTACACCATGCTTTGCGGTTGCTAAAGGGTGCGATTCAGCATTTACCTTTTAAAAGTTTTTGCTTTTCGTGATGAAAGTGCTTACCATAATCAACAAGGCCAAATGTCTGGAAGCCTGGGTTATGGTCAGTATGGCAAGTAAAATGGTACCGAGAATTGCATACTTGAAGCTGAAGCCGTAATGACTATACTACCTCCAGCTTCTTGCTGCTTCATGTACCAGAGTGCCAACCTTGTCATGTTGATAACGCCCATAAGGTTTACCTCCAAGGTCAGACGAGTCGGTTCCAGTGGGTCGCCGTCTTCATCGACACGGTCATCGAGATACTCAGCTCGGTTGGCAATTCCGGCATTGCAAAAGGCATGATCAATACGCCCGTATTTCGCCTTTGTCTCGCGAAACAAGAGACAGAGATCTTTCCATTTGGTCACATCAACAGGAACGAACATACAGGATTCGTCTTGGGGAATATCAGCCGGAGGAGGTGAAACGTCACCATTTACCACTTTGGCTCCGATATTTAGAAGCAGTTTGACGGTTGCAAGGCCAATGCCGGAAGAGCCCCCTAATTACCGATCAGAGCTGTTCAGTTGACTGGTAAATAGACTTTGGGTTTCTAGTCTCAGGTACAGTTCGACACTTCGTACCTGATATCACAACCACTTTATCCTTGAGGCATTCCAGGGACTGGTCTGAAATCGTAATTGATGTCATATTTGCAAGCGTATTTGATGATGTGAATAAGTTAGATCTAAAGTTGGTGGCTTCTCTGAGTATATATTGGATCAACAGGTAACTAGATGGTTATACAGAAGCCTGAGCGGCCCAAAGAACCGCGGCATGGCTTCCTCGACTGCCTACGCGGAGCGGGGAACCTACCCGTGGTTTAAAGCTAGGGGCTGGTTACATTCGAACTGTCTCCCCCAGTCGGTGCTGTCAAAGGCCCCGAGATCCAGGTCTCAGATATGCCGGCTTACTTGATGCTTCCCCGCATGACCCGACCGCGGCTTTCCCCACAACGCCCGCGCATGGCCGTAAAGCCACCACGGGCGGCCAGCAACCAGAATTCTATGGTCTACAAAGTGCAGAGAACCTACTTTCAGATGAAGAGTTCAACGGGATGCCTTGACGACACTTGCTTCTTTCCCCAGTGTGTAATTGCTTCTTTAAATTGACATCTCAAATAATCAATACCAAGATGATAGATACCCCTAGTGCCAGTTAGGCTAGATGAGCAAATATACCAAATTAACCCCTAAAATTCCAATTGACTCTCTAAAAATTGACCATCTGCGGGAGTATTCTCATTCGTAGGGGCCCTCTCGGCCAGTCAGTCACTTCATTTCACAACTGTATTGAAGGTGGAAGCCAGGGTCTCAGAAATCAAATCCGCTTTGGTGACTTCGATAAGGCCAGTGTACAAACGCAGGTATCAACAGCTCAGTTTTTAAATGACTCAATAAAACTGACCATTAAAGCTGCGGAGGCTAACTTAATACGTTCGACGAGCGTACGGAGTAGCGTGATGAACGGCTGTTACACCAAATCTGACGAGTCTTTGCTAGGATGCTTATGTAACCAGCCTTTTTTTAATGCTGGCTGGTAAGATTCGCCAAGCCCGCATTGCGCCTTCCCACGTTTGGCTAGCGCGAAGTAAGCTTGCTTGAGAAGGTAAACAAACACCAAAGCTGGAGCATTTCAACCACGCAACGGCGTATCGTCCTCGACTACTCCGTACCGACAGCCATCCACGCGGCAATTGTAGCCTCGCAGGTCACGCCTAGGGGAAAGAGAATTTGTGCATGCTCCGCTTGCGTGGCACGCCTGGTATTCTTTCATCGCATCTGGAATTAGCGCGCCGCAGACGCGTAGCTTGAAGCGTTGAAAAGGTATGTTCAGTCTTATGCTAACAAGGAAGCAAAACTATCACGCTCTTCGAAGATTGCTGACTGACTGTCCATATAGAAATAAGAAAATTTCGGCACCTGGTTTTTAATATGCCTTTTCAAGAGCACACAAGGACATCTGATGTCCTGGCTCGCAGTCAGCCATCACGAGATTCTACTTTCACGGACTTCGATATTGATAATGACACGCTAGGATCAAGGCAACACTTTAGGGATAATGGCAGGTATGCTTTACAAGAAGATCAGGATTTAGACTATGCTATCAATACCTCGGCGATCCAAAGCGCGCTGCCATATTTCTCCAGTGCCACCAGTTCTGATGAGTCGGACGTTCCCTCGATAGAAATTGGAAGGGGAGATAGAAAAGTTTCTTCTCGATGCGACCATACTAATAGCTCCGTTATTTCCAATGATGGCCGGAAGTTTGCCTGTTCAGCTTCTAGACTAAATGAAGTCGCTGAACCCCATCCACCGCGACCAGCCCTTCGCACAATCTCCAACAGGACAGCGGCTAAACATCAGCAAAGCCTCCGAAAAGATGCTCAACTTCGACGAGCCAGCCACGTGTCGCAGAAGGAAAATCTTGACCCCAAGAGATTGAAAGTCAGGAATAGCAAACAAGAAACCTTACCAGAACGTAGCTCAAGAGTGCAACGCCCTTCTTTATCCAAAATGCACGCTAAAGTTTCCGAAACTTATGACGGTTCCTACATGAGCGATGAGCGTCCTACAAGTGCGACTGGAGCACACAAGAACACCCGGTTTCGAAGTCTGAAATCACAGAAGAAAGGCGCGGATATAATTCGAGCCGTTAATAGTGCAGCTAAAAAACAGTTGAACACTACCGAGAAAAACACCCTTGTGGACTCTGCCGATGAAAACACTGATGTTGTGGAATCTAATAACATTTTGCGGGAAAACACTAATCATGAATCTTTTGTTTTGCCTGATGTACCGGAGCTTTCTGAATTGGTGTCTGGTATTTACTATGAAGACCTTCCACAAAAGTCTCGTCCCTCTAGACCTAGAACCACCCGATTTGCCTCCCCACCGGCGACAACCATGCCAGAGAATTCCCAGGAGCATGTACCATTTGATGCTGTTCCCATTCCAGAAGACGAAAAAGCGATATTCGCGTCGCTTAAGCTTCTTCAAGACAAGATATTGACATTAGAAAAAGAAAATTCAAAGGTTGAGCGACGGCTTGAACAGCTTCAGGAGGAAAATCACGTTCTTCGTAACAAATCAGATGACAAACAGGGGTATGTGTATAAAAGTGTGGAAGACGAACCAGGTAGGGGTGCTGCTACACTAGCTGTTGAAAGAAATAGTAAGTTTTTCTAAGATGCTGAAATTGTTCTATCGCTAATTGTACTCTTAGGACTTGAAAGCGCAAACATGGTGCTTCAAAATCGCCTGGAAATTGCCAATCATAAAATTGGCGGTCATGATCTAAATCTTCAAAGAGCAAAGAAAGAACGTGACGTTGTTATGAATAAGCTAGGCGTCGCTTATCTTAGCTGTCAAGAGTTGCGGTCCGATAACGAAGCACTACGTCGGGATAATGAAGAACTCCAAGGCCAGCTTTCCTTGTTAACATCGATGCCGCCGGTTGATTGCCAGGAGGATTCATTTCCTAGTGTCAAATCTAAGTCGCAAAATTCCAGACAAAGAACAATAAGTGCATCCCGAAGCGGACGTGAATTGAAAGATAAATTCGGGTTACTGGATATCGAGCAAGAACAAGGTGTTTTGAATCAAAATATTTCAAAAAACAGCGAAAGACGTTCGAAGCTACTAGATGAAACCCATACGAACCAGATAAAAATGCGTCCCGCCGAAAAACAACAATATGAGGAACTCTTTTCTCTTGACCTCCCTTCAGCTCGCAAATCCAAACCTCAAGAAAACGTGATGGCAGCGCAGAGGCAGTCAAACACCAGCAAGCAGCGGGTAGGCAAACCTACTTTAGACAATTGTGATGAGTTGTCCGATGGCGAAATGCAGCTCTCTAAGCGTCCTCGTGCTGAGGCCGCGCAAACACGAGACTTGACATTTCTCAGCTTTATCGACGTAAGTTTTGTGTATTGTCCTAGCGCTATCTTTAGAGTTAGCTGACGCGTTGTATAGAGCCGAGAGATTGCGTTACTCAGGAAGACGTTAGAAGAGGAACGCATTGCAAGAAAAGGTCGACGCTCACACGACATGGATCAAGGCTTACAGAATGATTGCCCTAATGTTGACGCCTTTAAACTCGACTTCTTGACTGAAGCCTTCAGTAAACGTGCGTCACAGAAGCAGGCAAAAGTTTCCACTCAAGAAACCAACATACAAACAACTTCCCTTGACGTGGATCATCATACATCAGTTTCAACCAAAACAAGAAATATAACTGATGGGATCACGCAAGGCAATAATACTACAACAGGGATCAAGCAGCATCAAACCAAGCTAGGCGACATGACGTCGGCCATAATACTTCCTGATATAACCTTGCATTGTGCTACCTCTGGTGAAAACTATGAGCATATTAACGTCTCTGCAGCTGCCCAACGTGTACTGAATGAAGTTGTGAGCCATAAACATGAGGACTGCTTTGTTTGCCAAAATTCCAATTATCAAACTTGCGACAAAAAGAAAGCTTCAATAAACGTGCCTAAACCAGTGCCAGTTTCAGAGCGTACTCCAGCCTACAACGAAGAACCAACCTTACGGCCATCTCAAAAGCCATCTATCGCTTTGGCTTCTGTTTTGAAATCTCTTGAAGATGAACTGGCTCATTTAAAAATGCAGCTGACTGTGTTTCAAACGGCATATGCTAAGCACGACGCGTCTCTTGGAAAACGGCGACGGAAAGCAATATATCAAAAGATTGAAAATTTATTGTCTGAAATCGAGAAAAAGTCCGATCAAGTGTACTCCCTCTATGACGTACTCGAAGGACAGAAACAGCACGGCGATGAAATGACAGATCGGCAGATCGAGATAACCCTTCACTCGTTCGGTATTAACGCCGGACCTAGTGAAGTGCCCAAGCGCCCTGAACAAAGGGCGGGTGAAAGTAGAAAGAAAATCCATAATAATAAGGAAAGCTTTACTGCTGGCATTGACAGCGATAGCAATGAAGAAGAATTACCATGGGAGGGTTTTGATACTACGATTGAATCAACAGGAAGAAGCTTTGTGAACAAGAAGTCAAACAACCGCTGATTCATTTTAGCTCATTTTGGCATTGTCTTTTGTCGTACCTGTTCTGTTGAACGTTGCTTGTTGTGTCTCATTTCAGGAAATTTTTGCTTTATATCCTTTTTCTCAGGAATGCAAACTGGATAGCCATGCCCGGAATTGCGTCTTGATTGAAATATTTTCAATTCTGTTGATCATAGCAAGCAGCCCTTGAGTCCCAATTCCGGTTTTTGACTGGCTTTCCAAATGAAAGTATCGTGTCCCAGATATTGGTAGATTCGGACTTCTCACTCTGGTCCCAGAATTGCACTTATCTCAACCTGAAAACGCATTACGGGAGCTAGGGTCACATTACCTGTTCACTCCAGCAAAACATGAATCCTGACCGCACGATGGTTGCAACTGGGTATGGGTACAAGGTTACTATTTTCGGCTTTACCGCCCTCTTTTTTATATGATCTTTGCCTTATCGAAAGTATTCGTCTGGGTATTAGGACATTGGTTAATTTTGGCGTTTCAGGTTTATATTATTTTCTGAGAGCTTCGGGCATTATTGGCATAACAATTAGCACGTATTGTTGACTTTGGTTGATCATGTTCTAATATCTTTTCCTCATTCTATAATAAAACAGAGCTGGTATCATTTACATTATAGGGTGCCAAATATCTGTTTTGAAAATGCCGTCATATGATACCATCTTACCACCACAAAGAGCGACCCCCAACACCCCGCTATATCCAGTGAAAAAATGCTAAAGACAACCGATGTTCAAGAGCATCGGTAGATATAACGATCTTGCTTCTGGGCTCCCAACATTGTCTTAAGATATTGGGATAGAAGTAGAAGCAGCATCTCTAGCCCGAATCTCTTGTTGAATAAAACACCCAAGACCGGAAAATGCTTCAAAAAGCGACCTGGAGTAGTATTCCTTCAAATCATAACCCCCAGCTAAAATACGAGTATCTTCCCGCATCGAGTCAAGATAGGGAGACGGGTAATAGTCGAGAAGCGTGTAGTAATCGTGTTCAAAAAGGGACAAGCCGCCCATGAAAGGGTCGTATGGCTTCTCGGGTTCGGGGGTCTTGATCCTTTTCAGGCCCTTAATGAGACCTGCACCTTCGCCAGCCCTTGCTTCAGCCGTCTCAAGTGGCAGTGCCCCACTTGATATTTTGGAATCCGCAAGCAAAGCCGCCCGCTTGCGCTTAAGCCGATCCTCCTCACTGCGCCTGGCGGATGATTTCTTGAGCTGGCCAGCTCGTTTCGCCGCACGGGCGATGGCTTCAGCGTCCTGGGCGTTGCCGGTGGCGAGACGAGAGATGATTTCTTCGCGGTCGGCGAGTTTTGCGCGTCGTTCGTTGTCGTAGTCCTGCCTTGCTGCCTCGCGGCGCTGGCGGAGCGCTTCCTGCTCCAGGGTCTGCTGCTCAAGGAAGGACGCGGACTCTTGCGATTCGAGGGATTTATTGCGGCGGATTGAAGCGGCGTTTGCGGCCGAGTATTCGGCCAGCTGGGCTTCTGTTTTGGCAACATCTGTGCCGTAAACGAGGTTCGCAATCATTTCTTCACGCTGTTCCAGAAAGTCATCCCAGGCCCGTTTACCATCAAACTCTTCTTCACGACGATTTAAGCTGTCAATAAGCTCTTGTCAGCACCTCTTCTATCAAAATAGGAAAGCAGCGAAGGCATGACTTGAATCATACATCCCCATTACCCTCTTCCTGATATCAACCTCCCTCTCGACACCAATATCTTCAAAAGTCTGTTTTCGAAATCGGTTTTTGCGGAGAGTCTTGTGACAGCCAGCCACGGGGCAAGGCGCAGGTCCAGAAGAGAATATTCGATCCACGCACGATTCGCACATCTTGTGGTAGCATTCTGGGTTTATGAGGAATCTCATGTCCGGATTCAAATAGCGGGAGGATTTGCAGACAGGACAGACCTCTAAGATCAACAAAAGGTTAGCCGGTGACCATGATACTGGAATCTGCGAGAGAAAGCATACCATCCTCTTCCCCGTGAGTACGGGTGCCATTGGAGATAGGGCCCATTGCGAATATAGCTCAAGGTATTCTCGGCATCGGGTGGCCGCTATGCCGTTATAACGATTCCCCTTGAGCTCCACGAAATATCTCAAAAGATGCTAAAATAAAAGAGCTCATAATTTAGGAGAGAATGCACCATCTCGATGTGGTATGATGTTTAGGCAGCGAATTGCAATGAGATAGATTCCTTGATAGCGCCTCACCTGATATGACCCAGAGGTCGCGGGCTGACAAAGCGCAATACCACGTGACTATAGCTTTATGTATCAAATCCATGTCTATTCCTGGAGGCTGATGATGGTAACTGCTCAGTTCAATAAGAATTACGGAGTGTACTCAGTAAAGGTCTTTTCAAATTATTATTGTGACTCTTAAAACGTCTTCAAATTATGTAGTACTCCGTAAATGCTGGAGTAAATCCAATTATTACATAAGCCGATGACAGCTGCAAGCTAATGTTTGGCCTGTTTGGTCTGATTGTTTTGTCCTTGATTAGTCAGTGATTGTTTGAGTCACGTTTGCTTTTAAATGTACGAAAGCAAGTCCATATGGAGTACGGCAATGACGGCGACGATGGATGCTGGACATATGCGGGAATACTCCGTGTAAGAGGGGTTACAAATTGTGGGAAATCAAACAACCGTGATCCGCGTGTCGCGGGGGCTCAACCGTTTGGTTACGAGTTTATATGGGTGACATTGCGCATGACAGAAAACTGGATTCCCAAGTACTAGCTAGCGCACAAGGTCCTCGTGCGGATACCTGCTTGGCGGCGGCTTACTCGACACCCAGAAATGCAGCAAACGGGGCCTGGGTTGAAATCGGGATATTTAATGCAAGAAATTACTTTTTATTAAGCTAATCAAAGGGTAATTGTTAGACGCATGTGCTATTTTTCGATGCCAAGCTAGGCGGATATTCTAAATCGAAAACGCGATGTATTAGTCAATAAAGTAAAAGTCTTCTATGAACCAAGGGCACATAAACGTCATGAATCATCTAGTCATCCGAGTCCCAAAGCTTGGCTTGGAGCTAAAAAAAAAAAAAAACCTTGGACCCGCAATCAAGGGCAGTGAATGACACCACCTTCGTGTGTATGGCAACCCTAGACAAAGAGTGTCAGTACTTATTGCCATTTCAGGGAAGGAAGAAGTAGAGAGGTGACATACGGCCGGCACAGCTGCAGTAGTTGTTGCAGGGGGTTTCGAGGTCGGAGTAGCGGAAGGAGCTCCAGCACATCCGACCCCCGGAATGGCGATGTCGTAGCCATAGGCGTCGGCAGCAAAGTATTGGAGGGCATCGCTGTCACGAACAGACAGAGATGAGTTCGTGGTGGCGAGGTCTAGAACACCTTGGTAGGACTTCGAAAAGTGGTCGATATAGCCCTCTCCAATCGCAGGGAGGTGGTATAGACGGTGTAGCAGATCCGTCCCAAAGTACGTATTGAGCGGCGAGTTGGCAACGGTATAGCCCCTTGTGCAGAAGTATTCGAGATACAGACGTGTGGTATAGGACCGGGGGCAAATGACGGTCTCCCCAGTTGCATTAGAGCCGCGCCAGTGTCCCCCATAGGCTAGAAGAAATGCATCAGCGACCGTTCATCGACGCTTCGCGGGTATAAAAACAAATACTGACTGGGAATTTTGCAGTTGCCATCAGGATCATCACAGCGAAATAGAGTTTTTGCCTTGTCCGCATTGACTATGCGGTCAAAGTTCCCGATGACGACCCCGGTAGCTGCATCACCGAAGTACTTGCGGTACAGGGTAGAGCTGTTGCCAAATCGCAGAACATGGGCTTTCGCGTGCTGTGCCAAAGCGATGGCATCGTTGAGGCCTCTCTCAATCATGCGCCGTTCGGTGACGTTGCACGAAGTATGGATAGGGTATTTTTGGACGGCGCCCTGGTCCCAGGAGTTGGTGGCTTGACGGGGGTATAGGTCCCTTTCCGCCAGGGGTGCGGCCTGCAGCGGATAAGCGGCAGCGGCTAAACAGAGAAGTATGTGAGAACGCATTGTGGACGGTCTTCCGCGTGGGCGCCGGGGAGTCAAGTTGCGGCTTCTGGAAACTGATACTGCGCTGCAACGGAGCGGGGAGCCGGGCGGCTATTTAACCCTGCTGCGTCCGGCTCAGCGAGCCAGCACAGGGTACGCCTTGTCCCAGCGCTCAAGAGCTTTGTCTCCATAGCTCGCGTACCGTCGACGGTGTATGGCGGGCGCCTGGAGGTATGACGTGCGAGGGCTCATGGTTTGGCGCGCAAGGTTGAGCGCGCTTGTCGAGACGGGCGGCGGGAGGGCATGGGCCGCTGCTCCACCGCGGATGATGGCGGCCGGGCATGGGCGGGATGGAGTGGAATGGGCTGTTGGTAGAGGCGGTGGTGGTGGTGGTGGTGGTGGTGTGGTGTGGTTAGCGAGGTAAGTAGCTACCTAGCTAGGGACGGAGTACGGAGTACGGAGTACGGAGTAGTTAGTTAGTTAGTTCGCTGTTAGCCGCAGCGTGACGGCGATCACCACTGCCCGACTGGGCGGCATCTTAGTCAGCATCGCAACCGTCGTCAACGTCCTCCATCACTGCTCCCCTGCGGCCTCACCAGCTCGCTCCGCTGCCCCTCGCCCGCCCGCCATGCCATGCCAGGTCTTCGCTTCGCCTGCGCCTTCGCCTGCGCCGGCCGTCGCGCCGGGCAGCCCGCCGCCAAGCCGCCGATGGAGCTGGCCGCTGGCCCCGAAGGTCCCCAGGCCCAGATCCCGCTCGCGTTGCTTTGTTTCGCACCGCCAACCGGCCATCCTGCCGCCGCCCTCGTGTCTCGTCGCCTCTCTTTGCCCCCAAAGTCCCCAATTCGCGCGCCCGCCATTGGCCTGTCGTCACTCGGCCTGCTTGGCTCCAGGCATCCCGCTCGCATCGCGCGTCCTGCGATATATCATTTCTTTTCCGCTGGCTTTTCATGCTTTTTTTTCCCTGCTCGTTGGCGGGAGGTGGCCGTCTCTATTTCTTGCTGCCAACTCCGAGCGACCTGCAGCTCTTGCTCGCCGGGTTAGACCTCTCTCCGCTACCTTGATAGTCGCCTAGCGCTCTCCCTCGCTGGGCTGTTCGTCTACACCCTTTGAGTTTTCTTCTTATTTGAAGGCCGGTACGCGTCTCCGGGCCGTCGAGTGTATCGCAGAAATCTGGTCGTTGCCTTGCTCCCTTGCGCCGGTGCTCCAAGTCAGCTTTCAACATGGCGCCGTGGACGTGTCTTCTTCTCCTTGCCGCTGCTCAATTTGCTTCCGTATACGCACAGAGCTATTCCAATTGTCATAATCATGGCCCTGTTCAGTAAAGCCTCCTGCTCTTTGATTCATCTTTTCAAATTGGCTGACACCGTGGAGATACTGCTATGGCCCTGATGGCAAGGAGGTCCCAGTGACAACCAACGCTGCTGGTGTCACCACTCCTGCCCCAAGCCCAGCGAGTGCCTCTGCCACTCCTACGTCTGGGGCTGCAACAACGGCAATAACGGGCTGCCATACTCACGCCACCCAAACGTATTTTGCCCCTATATCTTTTATTGCTCAGCTGAAACTCACTGTTCCACCAGATTCTGTCTTCTCCCAGGGGGTAAAGAGGCCCAGATTACTGGCGGAAAAGCGCAGCCCACACCTCCTGCCCAGTACACTGGCTGCCATAATCATGGCCCTAAACTGTATGTGATCATCAAAGCGTGTTTCTTGCATCACATGTCCTTCCAAGAGTACTGACCTCGAAATTTGCGCACTTAAGGTATTGTATCGGCCCAGAAAAAGAGGAGGTCGAAGTCCTGGGCGTCACGGCGGCGCCGACAGCACCCTCAAAACCCAGTGGTGAAAGTCATGCGGGCATGGACTGCCACTTTCACGCCGGTGTAGAGTGAGTTTATCAAAATCTCAAAAGCTACCCACGTACTCGTTTGCTAACTTCAACAAGACACTGTGTCCCCAAAGGTGGGTCTGAGGGGGGAGCAGCCCCAATATCATGCGCGAAGGTCAACCGCGATTACAATGTGCCTTATCGAATTGGCTCAATATTCGCCATTCTCGTAACTAGCGCTATTGGTGTCTTCGTTCCTGTGCTTTGGAAACGCCTTTCTCCGTCAACAGCAAGCTCTGCGGCATTCCTTGTCATCAAACAGTTTGGTACCGGCATCATGGTGGCAACTGCTTTCGTTCATGTCAGTTGCCCCTGTTTCCTTGAAGAACCTTCAAAAACTAACATACTTGTTAGCTTCTCACCCATGCTCAGCTCATGTTTGCAAATCCATGTCTTGGTCGCCTCAATTACGAAGCTACTACGACCGCCATCCTGATGGCTGGTGTCTTTTTGACATTCTTGATGGAATTTATCGGCCACAGGATAATGGATGCAAGAGCACCTCCTAGACCTGACTCCGAAAGCTCAGATTCCAATCTACCACAACAAGCAAACAACAAGGATCAAGCGGCATCGACATCGTCTACCGACTTGACCACCCACAAGCACGATCACGACGAGCGCAATGATAAGCTCAGCGTTTTTATGTTGGAAGCTGGAATTCTCTTCCACTCTATTAGTGGGTTTTACTCTCCATATATTTCTGAATTCCTTCAACTTACATGCCATAGTTCTTGGTCTGACTCTGGTTGTCGCCGGAGATTCAGGATACACCCCTCTATTCATTGTCATCATATTCCACCAGATGTTTGAGGGTCTTGCTCTCGGCTCCAGAATCGCAGAAGTTGCTGAGACAACACTGTCCGTAAAGCTCATCATGGCCACTATGTTTGCCCTGATCACTCCAATCGGCATGGCCATTGGATTGGGTGTCCGCCATAGCTTCAACGGCAAGGAGAAGGGTACCATTATTGCCATTGGCACCCTTGATGCTTTCTCTGCCGGCATCTTGACGTGGGCCTCTCTAGTAAACATGTGGAGCCGTGAGTGGATGCATGGGGAATTCCAAAAGACAGGGGCTGTCAAGACTGCTCTTGGTCTGCTCTCTCTAATTTCGGGTATGGTTTTGATGTCGATCTTGGGTAAATGGGCATAGATAAAAAAGGGCTTCATATGGATGGAATTTCTGTTTTATCGACACGATAGTGTTTCTCATCTTCAAGCGAATAATGTATGTATTAATTCCGAGTTTCTTCCGACCTCTTCTCATATACTCTAGAAATATGAATTTTTTTGCTCTCGTTTTCAGTGATTAGTCCTATTTTTACAATGCTCTCCAGAAGGAGAGGTTCAAGGCTCCATGGCACGTGATATAACTAGTTGATAATGATTATATAATCAACAATTCTAATCTTGTTACTAATCAAACTTTTGTTCTGCAATCAAAACTGATAAAAAAAACATCCATTGTTTCGTCAAGATCAAACAAGTGAATTATCAGTCGTGAGTTCACTTATTTAAACGTCGACGCACCGTGCTTCTCACCTAAGGAAGCTGTTTTGAGACTCTGAGGATGCTTTATCGACTAGCCTTGAAAGCTTGATGACCTGTTCTATCTATCCTTGAATCTTGATCAGTGGTACTGATGAACCGCGATTGCTAATTGAAGCAGTGGGTACCGCAGCAAAATCTAGAAAAACCAATTAAAACCATGGACGGCAAAGTATTAGATATGTCCACTCTTCGGCAAATGGCTGAAGAGATGAGCCTGGAGTCTGGTGAAGAAGGCCTGCCGATTGTTGAAATCGTCGAGGAGCTTGACGATGAAGATAAGGTTATTTCGGGCTGCACCACGACACCAGGGAAGTCAGCGGAGCAAATCTTGAAAATCCTTAAGGACGCAGGGGTTGAAGATGATCCAAACACAGATACCAGCGGCGTAGCTGGGTCCGCAAAAAATGGAAAAGCGCAATCACCGGAAAAAATTAACCAAGTACCCGTGAAAAGTACTACAAATGCAAATCAGGAAAGGAAGACTGTTGACCAGTCGGTGAAGCAAGCTGCTGGCAGGCAAGTGATGGGGTTTGGTACAAATTCTGTTGGGGAGTCTGCGCAAGCAAAATCAGGGCTGGATGGAGATATTCCAGTGACAGAAATAGACGAGTCTCCAGAAGATGCAGCACTTCGCAGAGAATTCTTGCAATACAGCCTCGAGGAAGTCGGCGCGGTTGTTGCAGAACTTGAACTGGACGAATCTGCAAGCGAGTTTTCGATCTCGGATGAAGAATACGATCAATATAGCCTGAGCGATGAAGATGACGAGGACGAGGACGAGGACGAATATGGGCGGACTACCAGACGTGTTATATCGGATGACTACCATCAGCAGATGCGACAGCTTGAGGAGCGACTAAATGCTAAGATGCTACACAATATTGGCCCCGATCCCGGTGCGCTGCCTCTTGATCTTCAGCAAAAGTTAGAGCAGCCCGGGTCATCTCCTAAGGCAGTAAAGGTCAAGGGAGCCAAGAAGAAGAAAGTTTCTTTCGCCGATGAGTTGGACATCGCTCCTGACTCGTCGTCGGCGATTTCGACAACCGTTGCCGCTGAGAAACCCAGTAAGACTGAGATTATTGAGTCTTCGGCTATCCAAAACGTAATATTGGAGCACAAGGGAGCTCCCGAAGCAGTCACTGCTGAGTCGACAAGGCAAAGAAAAGCCTCTCGTTTTAAGACTTCCAGGACTGGAAAACAAGAAGTCATATCAAATCCTACCATACCCAATCCAAGAAAACGGGTCCACCCTTCACCGAACACTCTTCCTCTCTTCCCAGCAAAACCCTTGGACCCAAAACCATTCTCGCAGCCCATTAAGGACTCCGAAAACATCTCTAATTCCGATGCCGTCGTCGATAAACTTGTCGAACGTGAAGTCGATCAATCCTGCCCCACCTCCCCCGATCCTGACGATTTTGACGAAACTTTGCTAAAACGAGAGATGGCCACCACTTTCTACACCCTCAGAAATCGGAAGATTCAGCAAGAAGGCGGATTCATGCGCGAAGACGAGTCTGGAATTGTACCGCTTGACGACGAGTCGCAAGAGGCTCCGAAAAGAATCAGCCGTTTCAAATCTGCGAGAGTACAAGGCGACTCGAGCAGGTAACCTGGTAGGATTGCTTTTTTTTTTTTCTTTTTTTTCTAGCGTTCATAAAATTGGCATCTTTCTACGGCGTACTATACCAATTCTGGTCCCTTGTCATCATTTCATTATTTATTCTCCCTTTCTACGGGGTACTGGATCCCGCACTCCATGATTTGAATATCAGGGTGACATCTATTCTGATGGAATAGTCAGAAACACAAGAAGCTGTCTCAGCAGGTGTTGTAATACACTGTCTGGTTTAGCTTTATATTTTGTTTCATCCAGCTAGTTCACACCATCTGGTCAATGGACTGTGCTGACTTGAAAGATCGTTCCAACATTGACTTAGAAAATCAGTAGATGATCTAAGAGTGGGCTCTCTGACCGCTTTTCCCCTTCTCAATAAATGCCCGCTCTTCTTTTCTGGGGAGTGCGGGACATGGGATATACTAGAGTGGGATTGTGGTTACGTTTCACTCACTACACTTTGCATACCAATACTAACATGTAGTCCAAGCCAGAATAACAAAACAAGGCAGCCCAACCACATTAAGTATATAATCGTTAATCAGTCATCAATGGAATAGTCATCAAATTTTTCCTTCATCCGGCATAATCCAAGCCATGACCGTAGCACAGAACTCCTCGCTGAAAAGCAACAAAAACAACAACGATATGTATTAATAGCATAAATACGCGAACCCATAACTTTGTTACGGTCAAATCAGCCACTGCAATAATAAGAAGAGGGTAGAATATCCATTGGTTCACGGCAAGAGGTGAACATGGTCGAGAGATCGAAAATACTTTAAGAAAAGTAAGAGCAACAGTAAAATAGCGACTATGGAGACGATACCTTAATAGGCGCAGAAGTGGGAATCTTGCCGGAGGCGGCAAAAGAAGCTGATTTGCAAGATGTAATCGCTGATGGTTGGGAACTGAATGGATGCTAACAGGATTCGCAGAACCAGGAGATGGTTGAATGAGTAAAGGGGTTTCAGGTGAACGGTGCTCGTTTGCCATTTCTGGTATAGACTGGTCGGATGGACGTTCAATTTCAGACGGCTCATTATTTGTGCCATAGCTAGGAGAATGGCGCGGCGGTGCTAGTCGAGGAGTGAGATCTAAGCTGGACCTTCGTGCCTTTGGTGATATCGAAGTGTCTGAGGGCAACGCTAAGGAGTTCGAACGAAGTTCAGGGCCCACGGAGCCATTTCTGTGATATCGGCGACCGTCGGGCACACCCACACCACCTTGGATGCCACTGAGAACCTCGTCAGCCGTTGGCCGTTCGTTAGGATTGACAGAAAGTAGCCGTTTCAAAAAACTATATAGCTTCTCGGGTAATTCTGGCCTCATGCGGCGTGCATCATCGAAACCAGCCCATTGGCTGATTTCAACACGCAGCTGATCCAGGTCTTCTTTATCTTCATCAACAGCATCTGCATTTCGATATGGAAGCTGTGCAAAACAGAGAAAGTATAGTATCATCCCTAATGAGAACACATCTGACTTAAAAGTAAAGTTGCCAAAAGGCCCATCTGCTGAAACACGCCGAAGCACCTCGGGGGCACAGTAAGAAACCGTGCCCGTGCTTCCAGTGGAGTTTCGGATCATATTTTCAGACTGAACCTCTCCAAAGTCGCTGACCAAGGCTCGCAGCTCTCGTCCGGTCTCATGCAGCAGGCAGTTGCTGGGCTTCAGATCACGATGGATGTAGCCATTTTCATGTAGAAAAGTTAGCCCAGAAGTGATGTCTTTAAAAAACGAATATATCTCGTCAAAAGGGAGCCTGAGAGGACCATCAAACTTGGCTGGGTCCGGCTGGCCTTTGGATTTTCGTCGTAAACGGTCCTTCAACTCTTGTGGAGTGATCGCTGGTCGCACAGCTCCGCAAATATACTTTTGAAGATCTCCAGAATTGCAGAACTGTTGCAGTATAAAGGCACAAGGTACACTTGGTCCAAAATTGCTCAATTTGGCATTTTCCAACCAGACATGCCGGTACGACACCAGGTTTTGGTGTGACAATCGTTGGAGTAGTTGTACTTCAATCAACACCTTTTTCAGCCACTCATGATCGTCTCCTACTGGGACTCTTTTACAGGCATATTGACCCAGCGAGACCCCATCAAGGACATGTTGGACCCGCAACACAACGCCCTTGCCACCTCGACCCAAGATACCTTCTTCGACGAAGAATCGATTGAAATACCCCTCACTAAATGCCGTAGACGATATTCCGGGAGTAAGCGGAGTATCGGTATCATATCTTGGAATAGTTTCGGGCTGAATTGGTGGTACTAGCCGCCTTCTCGGAGAAGGGGGGCCAGATCGTTCCGGGGTGTTGCCAGGTAACCAGGAGTCGAGCATGCGAAAGTATTCAGGGTTGATAAATCCTGGAGCTGGGGCGTGTGCTCGCCTTGTATCTCTACTATTCTCAGAGCCATCACGCATCGGCCGATGGCAATATGGGCAATCTGATTGCTCTAGGGTTGCGGAATCGGGATCGGCGCTCTGAAGGACTAATTGCTTAGATGCTCGATCAAACACTACTATGGCATCGTTATGACGCCTGCAATTAATGAAATTAGCGAGCTGAATTCAATGAATAGGTTACACCATCATGGGGAGCTTTTACAGAACGACATCATGATTGCTGCCGTAAGGAATAATCGACATATCCTGTTCGCCAGGCTCAGGCATTGTTCAGCAAACACCCGGACGGTTTACGCTGGGTGCTACAACGAAGAAACAAAAGCATTTCGCAGTTCATTCAATAATTCGGTATACCAGACATCTGGGCTCTGTTGTCGAGTGTTGTCGGGATCGGTCTTGTCGATAACCAAACAAACACTCCAATGGAAAATCGAACCAATCACATGACGCATTCAGACAGCTCCATCTCCGAACTAGCTGATATTCCACTCTGCTGCTGTGTGGAAGATTACGTCTAAGTAAGCTAGATTATGCTAGCCACGATGAAGGGATGGGAATTTCGTTGTTTATTTACAGAGCATACGCCTATCGCCTCTAAAAATAAAATGCGATAGCCCACACAAAGGTATTTTTGACTGCTGTCAGTGTGCAATTGAAACACCATACAAAAGACGTTCACACAAAATGATCAGTCATATCTTCCTTGGGTGTAATATCATCCTTTGAGCCGTCGATGAGTATCCCGCGATGAAGCGCCGTCCAGACTGGAAGTATGAGTCCGGGGAGGTCGAGCGGTGCCGATGTATCCAATATCTATTTCAACTGTCAGCCGTAATTGCGATGCTTCAGCCAGAGCCATCACTAGGCTCAGAAGTGCTTTCTTCGTCATTTTCAGATATCTCATCATTATCGTCAAATCCTTCAAAGGTGTCGTCCATGTCATAAGGGTTAGATTCATCCGATGAGGACCCTTCTGCGGAATTCCCAATCCCACTGTTTTCTAAGTCCTCAACCTTTCGTTTTCGACTAATTTCGCCTAAGCGGCCTTCGCGGCCGCCAACCTTCTCATTTTCCTCGCCTGGCATATGCGGTGGAGGTGTAAACCAGGGTATTTTTCCACGAAGGAAGTCATTGATCACCATCTTTGCTACTCCATCGAGATCAGGTTCTCCACCTTTCAGCAGCCTACCGCCCTTTCGAGCTAATATGCTCAAAAAGTCGACAGCATCGGTATAATTCTTGATTTCATAAGTTCTTTCAATGTGTTTTCGCTGGGTCCGTTTAAGGACTCCAGGAATGTATTGTTCAGGGTTCTCGACATTTTCCACACGGACGACTCCCCGGAGAAGGATATCCTCTTCAGTATCATTATTGCTGGGTGGAACAACTCCAGGACAGTCAATCAAATAAATTCGTTTCATCAGAGTGATATATTGCCAAACTTTTGTCTCTCCTGGAATCGGGGCCACTGTGCAAACCTTCTTCTTACGTAGAGTATTAATTATCGAAGATTTCCCTGTGTTGGGGTATCCAATAAAACCAACGGAGATTTGCTTTCTGTCAGAGTGAAGGGATGAAAATTGGCGCAGTAGCTGAATCAACGATCCTTTGCCAAAAGAGTTATTTATGGAAGCATGGAAAGCTAGTGTTGGGTAATCTTTTGACAGTGTTCGAACCCAGGAAGCCTATTGCCACATGTCAGTAAGCATCACTAGCAAGGACAATATCCGTGGAACAAAAATAGAATGTGTGAAACGTTACTAAGAGTGCTGCTACGAAACCACCATGAAGGCGGAGCAGAGCTCAACTCAAAACGGGACAGACCAAACCCTAGGCGACAGCGCCCTCAAAACGACGGCGAGTCTAACCCCGAACCTCAGAATGAAGCCAGAGTGGCGGGCGGAATCAATCTGCCAAAGCAGTAACAGACGAACTTCCATAGAGAAAGCAGTGCTGCGCACTGGAAGAAGCCTTGACGATGCGATGGCATTTCTTTTGGAATGTGCAAGATCAAAAAGTAGAAGAACAGGGGCCAGGAAAAAACTTACGGCTACCCGAGTTGGCACCAAATCACACTTATTCAGGACAAAAATAAGGTGCTTATGCGCAGCTTCTTCACGAATATATTTCTCAATGCTCCTGCAGCGAGTTCCTTCAGGGTCTCTGGCGTCGAGTACATGAATAACAACGTCTGAGGAGTCAATAACCTTGTATAGCTCATTCCAGATTCTTTTGCTTTGCCCTTTAGAAAAGACCGGCTCCCTGGCGCTTGCAAGTTCTCCATCCTGATCTGCGTCATTTCCAACTTCACCAGAGGTTCCGCTGAGAAGTTTTGCTTGCTCTAAGCGATCCACGTAAGTATCGTGCATTTTCACAGTCTCTCCAGCAAGTTCTTCCAGTGTCCCTACGCTCAGTTTAACTCGTTTCCTTTGAGCTTTGGGCCCGAAAGTGTCACTGAAAGGCGCAGCTTCTACTGCGACTTTTGCTTCATGTTGTTTTAATCCATTTGGGGCTTGGCCATCCCGAATCAAGCTCATTGGAAGTTTGTTAGTCTTCAGCAGCACTTGATAGGGATCGGATGCGCGTTCAGCAACAGCTTCACGGAAGGAATTTAATGCTTCTTGAGAGATCACGCGAGTATTCCCAAACCATTTTCTGTTAGGTTCTATCCTTGCATTCGGGAGTTCTCGAGATTGGTAGGACGCGGCTTTGGTAATTTTGCCGGAGGCATTTCGTTGCGCCCGTCCATCCTTGTACATATTCAAAGTCTTCAGTTTCTTCGCATCTCTAGACGCAAGGTCAGCATGGGCAAAATGTATAATAGACTCGAGGGACAACGGCGGTGCGCCTACCTGTAGAAGTTTTCGCCTTTGACCTTGACGTTAGCCATTCCATCTCCAGTTTTCCCCTGCCGCTCTTTGCGAGCGGCCTCTTTCTTGCCTGTACCCATGATGTAGATGGCGGCCTGATTTTTTCTACTCCGGATACTCGACAGAAGAGCTTGTCTGCTCAAACGAAAGAAAACCAAAAATTTTTGGTTGTGGGAGCGACGCCAAGATATTTTCGTGCACGGGCCATCTCACGAAATTTGTTCAACCTCGCATCTCAAATTCAGCTTGTTCTCAACACAGCCTGTGGGTAGCGGTGCTTGCACTGCCTATTTGGTTATTTTCTTTTCAATGGCGCTCTTGATTGAGTCTAGTGCAAAATCCGCAATGTCACTATGCAGGGCATGCAACGCCTCTCGCGTCAACGTGAGATTGTTTTCTTCATCTCAATCCTCGATGGTCGGACCTGAATCTCCCAATTATGTCGATATCCCCAGAATAATACAGCCCATTCTGCCTCGAAAAGAAAAGCTTAAGGGTGTTCTACCCACTCCACGTGAATTGTTCCCGCCCAGGCGACCTGATAAGCCCACGGTTTCCTACTTGAGCGACGCGACACCTGAGCCATCAACTGACAAGCCAAAGGTCGAGAAGCACCACCCTTTGTACGAACAGCTTGAGTGGAAAAGACGCATGGCGGAAGTGAGACGAAAAAATTTACGAGAGGGTTTAATTGAACTATATAGACGCAAACAGAAGGCGAAGCTGTATACTGTCAAAGAAAGCCAAGAAAAAGAAGCTCGACGGGCACAAATTTCTCGACAGCCCGCCAGAAACGACGAGGTTTTAACTTCAATGTCGAATGTACAGGATATTGGGCGAAAACGGCGAACTGTTCTTCCGGACCCAAATGCCGAACAGCGCCTAGCCAAGTCGAAGGCGAACGTCGCAGTGAAACGACGATTGAAAAGTGAAGAAAGAATAGACTCTATTCATACACTTTACATGAATGCCCGGAGTTTTATCGTAACGGAGGAGCAGCTAAATGCGGAGATTGAACGAGTTTTCCCCGAGGGAGAGAACCCCGAATGGACCAACGATCGGGCAACTGGAGATAGCGTTTGGAACCTTGGTCCTCCCCCGACAGTCAACGAATTGCTTCATAGAAAGGATGAGGAGAATTCTCGATGGGTTTTGTTGCAGGAGCGGACGAAGAAAATCGCCGAAACACTTACTGGAGGAAAGATTTGAGGTGATAACTCTGGCCGGCCGATGCGATGGATATTTTTCTGTACTATATACACACATACAAGCGAGTACTTTCTATGCTTTTTCAATTTCATCACTCAAAGAGAATGAATCTTTTTATTTATGGAGGACTATTTCCTGCATAAAATTATCCCTAACAGTTTGTATTTGTTTCTTTGGCATCATCCATTCATTCATTTGTCAATTATGAAGAAAAGAAACATCAAAAAACTTCTTACTCTATCATACACCCAAAGGGCAAGAGAATTCCAAGTACTACCATCCTCCACCTCCACTCTTACCTCCAAACGCACCACTATCTTCAAGCTTCTTCTGGCCACCACCAGCTTTACTTGGCTTGGATTGGGCAGCTTCGTGCTTGCGTAGTTCCTCAGGGACGCGAGATATCGAAGACTTCATAAGCATTTGCTTGAGATCATACCTAAACAACATGTTAGCTTTCAATAATCGAAACATAGCCTGTATAAAGAGGATGCTAATGAGCACATACATGACATCAGAATCTTCGTTCCCAAGGAAAGTAATGGCGATACCACTTTTGCCTGCACGACCTGTCCGGCCAATACGATGCGTATAGCTCTCAATATTAGTTGCCATGTTGAAGTTGACAACCAAACTAACGTCCGGAACATCGATACCACGTCCTGCAAGATCCGTGGCAACAAGAACGTCTGTATTTCCATTGCGCACGGACGCCAGCGCTGCCTCTCGCTGCTCTTGGGTTTTGCTACCATGCAGAGTAACTGCAGAAAACCCCATCTGTTTAATATCCCTTGCAACGGCATCACAGTTCCTCTTTATATTAACGAAAACAATAATTGGAGGTTGGAATTCGCCGGAGGCAAGAATATCTGCGAGGCGTTTCTTCTTCTTATCCTCACCGGAAACAAACTCAACACGCTGCTCAACGGTATCGACGGCTTCACCAACATTGCCAATAGTAACTATTGCTGGCCGCCGAAGGTACTTCCTGGCAATACGTTCAACCGCCGAGGGCATGGTGGCCGTGTACATCATAGTTTGTCTATAACGGTCTTTACCTCCAATATGCTGGCTCATTGCACGTGGATCTTCTGCTTCATCCGTATCTGGCTTTTCATTCGAAACTGGAAGAGCATCGAGAATCTTGTTCACAGGCTCTTCAAAACCAAGATCAATCATGCGGTCGGCTTCGTCCATGATCACGTAGCAACACTGGCTGAGAACAAGAATACGTCGTTCGATACAGTCCACTAGACGACCAGGAGTGGCAATAATAATCTCGGCACCATTTCGAAGGCTGAATGATTGTTCCTCTAACGAATGGCCTCCAACAATACTAACGACATTGAATCCCAAGGAGCCACAGAACTTTTTGGCTTCGTTTTCAATTTGCTGCGCCAATTCACGAGTGGGCGCTAAGATAATAGCATAAGGCCCGTCGCTTTTCCTCCACTCAAACTCGTCGAGGCGAGGTAGTTCAGCAATGTAGACAAGAAGGGGAAGTAGAAAAGCGGCAGTTTTACCGGAACCAGTGACAGCAACTCCAATAAGATCTCGATTTTGTAATGCAATTGGGATAGCGGCTCTCTGGATGGGAGAAGGGTCTTTGTACCCAACCTTGTCGATAATCTCAAGCAACCTTTTCGGTAATCCGGATTCTCCCCACGATCGCATAGGATTTGGTATACTGCCACCTTTTGTGCTGATATTGAAATCTTCTTTGAAAATTCTCCAATCCCTTTCTCGCATCTGTTCCAGCTTCTTTTGACTCCAATGTAAATCCAGGGCATTTCGGCCGCCTTCCTCTTTCCTTCGTCTCTCCATTTCGAGGATCTCTCGCGCTCTCGCGCGACCAGCTTCTAGATCTCTATCTTCAAGTGCTCTCGCGTACCGTTTCGCGGCGCCGTCGACAACGTCATCTGAAAACCCAGCAAGGCGGCCACGACCAAAGAAGTTCACTTCAGACCGGGTTTGATACAGCGGATTATAGTCAGGACTAGTGTCCTCCTCCGCATTCCATTCAAAGTTGAACTTCCGCTCCGTTGTACGTCTTCTTTTTTTCTTAGCAGAGAAATTCGAAGTCTGATCTGCGCCCATATATCGTTGCCTAATAAGCAAAGCTTGAGCTTCTTCCGGAGCTACCCTCTTCTCACTGGTGGCAGCTGATTCTGACGATGGTTTGTTCCCCGCACGCGAGTCGACATTTCTTGATTGCGAAGTACGCATAGCGGCTGGGCCAGTAGGTATATCACGTCTAAGTGCGCGCGGCGCAGTGGGAACCGTAAATTTCGCATTTCCAGCGTTTTCATCAGATCGCCGTGATGACAAAATGCCATTCGAGTCTCGGGGGGTACCAATCGATTTTGGAAAAACGACCCCATTCGTGTTAACAGCCTTCATCCGTTTTTCATTCTCAATCTGCTTCGCTCGTTTCTCCAAAGCAATCTTCTCCCTCTGAGTTTTGCTAAGAAATTTGGGCTAAACCAAAAGACAATCATCAGTCACAAATGCTACGAATAGGTACTAGGCAAAATATATTTTCCTGGAAGCAAAAAGCCGATATAAGTCGCAGACAATATATTGGCAGAGCCGAGCTTACCCTCGAAGCTGCATAATCTGCTTCCTTCTTCTTCCTTAACAGCTCCTCCACACTTAAAGGAGTACTCGGCTTCCCGCTTCCCCATCCTACTTTCTTCTTCTTCACCTGCTCAACTGGCGGCGGTGGAGGAACATCTTCCGGTGGTGGAGGTGGCGCAAGAGGATCTAGAGGTGGCGGCGGAGGGAGAACGGAATCGTCAATAGGCGGTGGCGGAGGGGTTGGAGGACGCTCAGTGGGTGCTGGAGGTGGATTTAGAGAAGAATTGCCATCTAGCAGAGCGTCATCCATTATATAGCTAGGTAAGGATTATGTCTTACGTGCTGGCATCGCATTCTGTATAAAAGTCCAGGGAATCTTCCTCAAGAGTATGGAACCATACCGGAATTCCAGATCTGTGGAATACCGTAATGTTACGGTAGTGGCAACGTAGCCATGGGTAACCACTACGTAGTAACTCAGCACAACGTTGAAACTACAATTGCGTAATATTACCTTTGTTGGTTGCCACAACTTGAGTCGGTATTCGCAACGTTGTCTTGCATAGAGTTAATTGGAGTTAACTTGGTTAAGTGTATTTAACTTTAGTAATGTTTTGTATTGGAGTACAGCTAGCTATTTCTACCACAAGTACAATTACACCTACATACAAAGAACCTTCCAGAAAATTTCTAAGTCCACAAAAACTATGAAAACAGTAGTAAAAATCGCCTACTAGCCTAGCTAGTAGGATAGTAGAAATCGCCTGCTAGCCTAGCTAGTAGGAATTGTAGAGAATCGCCTACTAGCTAGGCTAGTAGGATAGTAGAAATCACCTACTAGCCTAGCTAGTAGGATAGTAGAAATCGCCTGCTAGCCTAGCTAGTAGGATAGTAGAAATCGCCTGCTAGCCTAGCTAGTAGGATTGTAGAGAATCGCCTACTAGCTAGGCTAGTAGGATAGTAGAAAATCGCGTAGGCTTCTACTGTAGAAGAGAGTTAGTGAGTGACTTAGAGATTTGAAAAAGATGAATGAAAATTTTTCACCTGCTGATCATTTCCTTGTTAGATTTAAAAATGTTGTTATTACCATATAGTAGATTCAACGTAGTGAGCTCTTACTACATAGTAGTCAAAATACGTAGTAGTTACTGTAGCCAACGTTGAAACTACGAGGTGGTGGTAATGGCTACGTAACAGCTCGGAAAATCGGTAACCCGATGGTAGTGCAGAGATCCGCGATTCCGCTATGGAAGCTCATATGATTCACGTGATTAATCACGCTAGTGAATGATGCCAAGATCTATGGAATTTGATGACTATCAGAGCTGGAGAAGCGCAAGGGAGGTTACGTGTATCGGATAATGTCGGGAGCACAAAGATGCCATGCTATACTTCATATATATCCTATTCTTATTTCGTGTTACAAGGTATAATGGAAACGAAACTCAAGAGTAGAAATTGTAAAGTACAGTCCGAGAATTCAACAAACAGGACTTTGACACAACCGCCCGGCTCGCAGAGCACCGTACATTCATCTCCACGAAGCAAATCATCGCAAATACTATCTTATGATTTTTGTTTTTCCTTTCGCCTCCTACAGTTATATTTCCACCGCAACAGCTCGAGCGTTCCAAAGAATAAAGGTATGCCCTAAATATGTGTATAGTGGAAAACGCGACAAACACAGTTGCCTTTTAGTACTTCGCAGCCGTAGCCTAGGTTAATACCAGTTAAAATGAGGACAATATGGACCAATGATGTATGAACTTACAGGTCCATTTGAAGAAAGTGGGGGTTGATAGTATTTATTGAAAGCAGGATCTGCAGGTTGAGGTGCTGATTGAACAGGTGGCTGTACACCTGTTTCTGCGGGGGTCTGGGCACCATTTTGGACAGAAGGAGGTTTAGAAGCCTGGTCTTTTTGCGCATCCGAGTTTTTCAAAACAAGCTGAACCGACTGAGGACCATTTACCTCTCGGTCGAAAGCCATATATTCCTTTGCAGCATCTTTTGAGCCTCTCTCAAGCAAATATACCATGTAAACTTGAATTAATTCTTTCGCAACTTGAGGAGACAAGCCAGGCTTCGAGCGAGCGTCCTCAATCACCCGCTTAACCTTTTCATACTGAGCACCTTCCGTTTCAGCGCTTGTGGGCTGCTCGAGTTCGAATGCTAAATAACTCATCCAGAACGGGCGGCTGTCTGGGTACCAATGCTGGTTCTTGTTAAAAACTTGCCGCGCCTCTTCTGGAACACCCTTGACTTTCCAGAGAAGCTTCGCCCACTCAGCAACCAAAGCGGCTTTAGTCTGTATATCACACTGAGGCGAATCAATCTGCGATTTGTAGACGTCTATTGCTGCCTCAAGGCCGCCATGACGACGTGATAAATTTGCAAATGAAACTATCGTTTCCACATGGCAAGGCATACAGATCAGAATCGCGCCATGGATATCCTTCGCTATATCAATCCGCCCGCACATCTCTTCAAAATATGCGTAGTGGAGTCGAATGGCTGGTCTCGATATCGGGACATATATAGTGCTGCCACGCTGATAAATATTTCGCACTTCCTCCTCTTTTCCTTCTTGACCAGACATCCATCGAGCATAGCGCATCCAGAATTCATCATAATGAGCACAAGTGACAAGACACCTTTCGTATAAGAATTGGGTTCTTGCATAGGAACCTTCCGATTCTTCGAAATCGAGATATTTTCTCCAGTTATTCAACTGTGCGTCATCGAGTTCAGTTACGTGAAAATAGGGGCGCTTGATTTCGGACTCGTACGTCCATCGTTTCGTCGTTTCTGTCTGTGTTCTCGTGAATATTTCCAAATGATAACCGTCTACACGTAATCGAACATCTCTTTCTGTCTCTGCGTCACTTCTAGATCCTGGAGGAATGCCAGCAGCTGCACTCTCAACCTCTGCTCTGAATTGGACAATAACCTCGGGCGGGGCGAGTTCATTAATCGGCCTAGCCTGCGCTAAATGGCGATAGGTCTCAAAGTACCTTGCATACTGATGCATAGGTATTTGGATAATTCGGGACAGAATACCGAATATCTTGTTATCACCAGCCTCCAAATTCTCTTCGAATTGAAGATATTTGTCCCAGAATGGGTGGGATAGGAAGTCTAAGCCCACGCAGTTTGAGCCCCGTTCAAAAAGCCTATATATCGGATGGTCAGTAAATCGGATACTGTTCTAAATAAAAAGGGGAAATATGAAAGGTTTGGGAAGGGACGGGGTGAAGGTTGGCAAACATGGAATATGAATGAATCTTCAGGTATCAAAGTGGCGACTGCAACGTAAGATGGTGCTTGATATCACCATGCAAAAGGAGAGGGGTGCTCCCGAACAAGCCCAATGAGTGGTGTTTGGTGGTACGAATGAGAAAAAGAGAGAACAGCCTGAAACTAATGGGTGAGAAGTAGTTTCAAAGGAACCTGGGTAGTAGACAACTATCTCACCCATCAAGGAACCTTTGATGAATATCAATCTTCACGAGTCCTCGCGATCATACCAGGACTTTCGAGCTACGGTTGGCATGGTTATGAGGGGCAGGAAACCAACACATTTGGCATACTTACTCTCGAATGACATCCGGGTCGTGAGTAGTGTCAACTTTGAAGGTGCAATAGTTGGTCCAAAGGTCTACTGAATTCGAAATGCTCGCCACACCCCGTTCGTAGACCTAAAATAACCGGTCAACTAATATGCGCTGCAGGTAGCCTGTTGTCAAAGTACACTGACCATCTCGGCAGCTTCAGTGCCAGCGATCGAAAACTCCAAATCCGCATACTTTTTCCAGTATCCGAAGAGTAATGGGAACTTCGCCAAGAATTTATCGTAAATCTCCCTCGTAGTCGTGATCGCTTGAGGACTTGAGTTTCTGTTAATACCACCCTCCTGGCTCTCTGCAGCGCGAACGAGCTTTTCCCAGTTTTCAAAATTATCAATATCTTCAAGCTATCCGAGTAGGTGCAGTTAGCACACAGCCATTTGGAGCAAATCGGGCTGTTCGAACAAGCGCTTCAACTTACCACCTCCGCGTTCAGCTTCTTTAACTCCGCATTCTCCTCCTCAGTTCCAGCAAACTGTAAATCCGCCATGGCCGTACTTATAGCTTTAGGGAAAGAGGGCGCTACTTGGGCTTAGGCTGGAAATGAGGTGGTTGTCATTTGATGGAAGAAAGGCGAAGGGAAAGTGAGAAGGATGGGCTGGGGCGGAGGCTCAGAACATGGCCGTACGTATTTTACGCTCTTGTCACAACCCGATCCAGTAAATTACAGTACCACTGTAGTGCAAAGCCAACAAACAGAAAATATCATGTGCCGTACATTCTGTGAGAAATCTCTCGGTCAAGTCGACGCAGCAAACGGACGAGCTTTCGAGAGGAAGCAGAGCAGACGCGATGGCCGCCAAACAGGCGGTATCCAGCCTCACTGAGACTCTTCCTCTCCGGCTGCGCAACTTCTTCGCTCGCTACCCGCCCCAATTCTACTCCACAGCCTCAATTCCCAAACCCACACCACCCGCCAACCTCTCCTCCGCCGCTCCCAGTCCATACACCCCGTTCCGCGCTTCAAAAGCTTCCAGAATAGCCGAAAAAGAGTCATTTTCCATAACTGAATCGATTCTCCGATCCAATGCCGAATATCCTAATCCCTTCCTTCCTTTTCAGAATCCAGAAACCGGCCGGTGGCGAGGCGCGGTGATATCGCTGCGACAGCAGAATGACTTGGTTAAATTAGCGCGGGTACATGGAGTGGAGGAATTGTTACCGCCGGGGCGCAAGTCTACGGAGTATCGTGAGGCGCGAGTAGTTGAGAAGGGTTTGCGAATCAAGGGTACGGGTATAGGACAGAAGGTCAAGGGTCACAAATGGGAAAGAACAATGAAGGGAAGACTGGAAGAAAGGAAGAAAGCTATGATGGAAATGCCAGAAATGATCAGGCTATGGAAACAGGTATGCTTAATTCTTATCCCCTACAAATGCTGAGCTCTTTCGGCTGTGATCACTAACTCTATTTCCAACAGCGTGGACATGGAAGAGGCTGGAAGAAATATCCAAAGAAGTGAATTTCAGAACACTCCAGGTTTTGAAGGTCTTCTAATTACTGCTACAATTCTGATTTAGTTGCAGAATTGATCAGTTTATACTCTGTACAAATATGGGAACCAATTTTGTGATGCATCATATTTTCTTTGTAACTCTCAAACTTAGAGGAAGTGACAACATTTAGCGAAATAAAAACAAGCTGTACCCCTCAGCACTCCATAAACTCCATCTTTCCAGCAATTTTTTGCAAATGTGTCTGTCAGCATGACAACATCATGAAAACAAATTCAAGTCCACCATATCCTACGCGACAACAATTAACGGACCAACAACAGTGCAAAATCAAAATGATGAGCTAACGCGCCCATAAAATGGCAAAATTCGATCACCAACTTTGACAGTAGGACATGGCCCGTCCGTCGAAATGTGACTCAAGGAAACATGTCGCCCAAAGTATGGCTTACCGTCGACCTTCCTGGTCTTGGCCAGGGTAGCATACGGCTCTTCGCTTCGGGCGCCTGTATTCTGGTCGATACAAACCATCTGGCACCGTTGACAGGACGAAAGGACATCAAATCTCTGGGTTCCAACCTGAAAGCCAGACCAGTAATCTTCAAGGTACGGGTGCTCCGTTAATGCCGTAGGGCGGGATGGCTTTTCGCCAAAAGGTAAGTCTTCGGCAATGATAATGTTTGCACGAAATACGTCGCAGGGAACGGTTTTGGAAGCGCTCTTTCGATGTTTGATCTGTTCGTTGAGCTTATTGACACTAGAACGAGATATGAGCAGCATGGGGCTCTCATTTGAAAGGAGGATAGGGTTCTGAAAGGATGGAAACTTGAATTTTGATATCGCGTCAGGTAAGAGAAGTGACCGTCTCTTCGATGAGCGTGGCGTGTAATGGCGGCCCGAGTATTGCGGGGGGGTCCTTGAAAGCATGCAAGGTGTCCCAAGAAAATCGGAGAAGAACGCAGTGATTTTTGGAGAGGTGTATGCGTGGACAATGACTGTGTCGCCACAGACAGTGGCCGATTTGGAACTCTGGGAAAGCTCGATAGAGCGCACACCGGAGGTAGGGCGAGAGAGAGGAAGCTCCAACGACTTCTGATCGGCTGAACCAACGTTTCCACAGGTTATCCGCAGAATGTCATTTTTGAGATCGACTACAGGGCGAATTAAAGCCATCTTGGGGTATTTCTTCTGGCTCAGAGCAGCATTCGTCCCTTGATGAACAAGGCACCACTCCCTGTCCCATGCCAAACCCTCTGGGCGGATTTCCCACGGGGTATCTGCAGGCACAGAAAACGCACCACAACTCTTGATCGGGTATACGCACAGCCGATCAATGTAAAAATCTGACGGTGAGTCATTCAGTGCCTCAGGTATGCGGAACATAGAAGCAGGAGGAGCCTTCTCAACGTAAAAGTCGGAGACAAAGTTGACAAAGGTATCGATATCCCTCATGCTACTCATTGCGCCCAGGCTTACTCTGACAACTCCAGTAGGTCTTCCATCGATGACATCCATCTCATCGCCACAACGCATGCCCAGAGCATAGCTTTTCTTGAGATGATCTGGTGATAGTTGCAGGAAGGATGCGATGCCACCAGGGTTGCAGAGGCCTCCAGAGCGGATATGGATTCCCTTGACGGCGGCGAGCTTCTCAACCTCCGACTTTCCGACCCACACGCCACGGCTATTCTTCATGTTGAACGCAATGACGGGTCCCTGGGTCACTGGGTCTCCATACGTGGATTGTGAGGCCTTGTATACCTCGCACACTTTTGCTCCGTTAAAATGCCTCATGGAAGTTAGGCGACTATACAAGCTTTTGGCAAGATATGCAGTGTGGTAAGAGATATTCTGCATGGATCCATAGAGGCGCTTGTGAACGTCTAGTGCAGCATGGACCGCGATAATATTATGGAATGGCAGGGTTCCGTCTTCAACTGTGTCATGGATGGTGCTGGCTTTCTTGGCGTGCCATTCGTCTCCAAGACTGATCACCATGCCGACGGTGCCTCCACCAAAGTACCGTCTTTTCTCAAAAATGTGTCCAGCCGACTTACGTACAATAAGCACGCCAAGGTCTGGGAAGCCAAATACCTTGTAGAGGCTCAAGGCGGTGAAATCAGGTGCGGAGGCAGAGTCGCTCAAATCCAAAGGTGCAGTGGATACATAGGCGGCAGCGTCATACAAGGTGAAGACGTTCCCCTGTCCACCGGTCTTTTGTCGGATTGATCTGCACCAGTCAAGACCCAAGCGGGCTCCAGTCATGTTTGATTGTGCGGGATAGGCAAATATCCTCGGACACGGGGTCTTTCCATCACTGTCTACTGAGACATCGAGCTCGTCTATCCACTGCTGCACCTCATCATTACCTGCAAAACATCTACTACCCTGAGCAGCAACATTTCTGGGCCCAGTCAAACTGGTGTGTGCGTTGGTGTGATACCCATACCAGAAGCCTCTTTCGTCATAGTCTCTCACGGCTTCTATCACGAGCTTGATCGCCGCAGTTGCATTCGCGACGAAGACAATATCAAACTGGTCCGGGTCCGCGTTAAAGAACTGTAACAGGCGTAAGCGAGCATCATCCACCCGCTGCGTGCAGAGCTGAGAGGACGGTGACGCCGAATGCGGATTTCCAAAGACTTCCGACGTCATCTCGTATGCAAAGGATTCAATAAGGCTTTTTGCATACAACGTCGTACCGCCATGGTCCAGATAAGTCATGTCTGCACGGGTACACATTAGCGATCCCTGTCTACTACACAAAATGGCCGTGAAGCATGGACAAACCTTTAAGCAACGGGAACTCCCGACGCCGTATCGTTTCTATGTCGGCCGTATAATAGTTCTCTGGTTCTTTGACGTCGGAGACATCCACAGCAATCTTCTGTTGTCGGCAGGGCGGCTTCTCGCAGGGTTCCGGGGATGATAAGCCCCGCTTATGCTTCCTGCTCAACCGAGGCAGCGTAAATGACACCATCGTCCCCAACCAGTATCTATGACAAGCAAAAATGAATCAAAGATATTCCAGTCGAAGGGCTCCGTTGGCAGGCTGGAGAGAGAATGAACATACAGGAAAATCTCAAGCAGCACCGCGAGGCCGTCCATTATAAAAGATTATCATCCCGGCCGAAGCGGAATGCTAAGCCGCCGCCGGGAACAAGCGAGAGGAACCAACGGCCACAGCTGAGATGCATTATACTTCACATGGGGCGAGACACGTCTGGCCTGTAGCGCAACTGGCGATCTCGGGAAGCCTCCAATAACGCCGTGGGCACATGTGAGCTGTTTTTGGACCAAAAAGACTCTCTTCCGGGGCCGGGGGCCATGCGCTCTGGCGCGTAGCCTGGCGGTCTAATGGGTGTGTCCGGCCAGTGGTCGCTGGAGGAGGATGCAGCGTTAGCGAGGAACCCAGTCACAACCCTGAAGCGCCCCCGCTCTCCCCGTAGCAGTGGACGGGAATGCGCGAACACGGGTGCCACCAGCGAGGGCCACGGCAATGGGAACACCACGATCCCTGCTTGGTATCAGGAAGAGGCTGTGAGGGCGTCTGTCAGTTCGCCGTCGCAACTCAAATTCGGAGGAAATTCCAAGCTATTGTGGAACAGGCAGGGAAGAGGGGGGGACAGGAGAGAACCTTAATCAGTATCTTGCTCAGAACGGAGACACCAGCGCCGTCACGGCCTTGTCGGAGTGCAGTGCTAAGCAGGAGGTGACAGGAGGCCACGTTCTACTAGGAATGTGTCGACATCAACAAACTATGTATACGCGGGGACGGGCACTGCGCCACCTTAGTGATAGAGTTCGCAGATCATCCATCGATTCTCCGGTACTGCGGAGCCCATCTGGCTATATACATCAAAAAACGCATCATCACATCACACGCCGTGGCTGAAAGACACCACAATCTAGGACGCGGGCCCGCCTGCCCGAGAGTATACCCGCGCATGAACGTAGCTGTCGCCGAGCTACGGCCAACCCAAACCCACCCACGCCGCCTCCTTGTCCGTGATACCCACCCTATATGTATGTACATCCGTAATGTCCGACCCAAAAAAAAAATGACCCAACGAGGCGCGCTTAGACGTGGTAGTCGGTGCGCCGCGCGGAGCTACTGCGATGGCGGTGGTGATGGCGCTCGCGTCTACTGGAATGGCTGCCGCGGCGCGACCGCTTGCCGCCGTGGGTCAGTTCGTGGTTGAACATGAAGTACGCAAACACAGCGGTGAAGAAGAAGGACATGGTGTTGAGGATGCCGAAGGCAAACGTGGCCTTGAGCATGGAGCAGACCTTCTTGGGGTCCTGGCTGAGCGGGTTGCCCGAGCGCTGGCCCCAGAAGCCGAACGGGCCCAGGGTGGCCAAGAAGGGGCTGCGGTAGAAGTTGTTGCAGTTCTCGTCGATAATGCCGCGCAGCAGGTACACGGCGGCGACAAAGGCGCCGAAGAAGCACAGGTCGACAAAGGCGACGAATATCGCCGATCGCTTGGTGCTGGAGAAGCGAACCAGCGTCTCGAGTGCCCACACGCCGGCCAGGACGGTGACAATGAACATGACGAGGATGTACGTCGGAGTCAGCATGTTGGCCTTGACAAAGCCATCGACGAACCAGGCCTGCGCCGTCAGAGATTAGCCTTGCGCGATAAATGGACAAGGCCCCGGGCGGCGGCCTTTCTTTTCTTTTCTTTTCATTTCTTGAGCAGAAGTTGCGCAACATACCAGCATTCCTATAGGCGGAATCAGGGTGATAAGCTGGCCAACCCTCCAGCTGAGGAAAAAGAAGTCGGAGAACATGGTGGCCAAAGAGCGTCTTGTCCTTCCTCCTCCAGTCAATAGTCGATGCGAATGTTGGCTCCACCGGTGTTTCTGATGCAAGATGCTGGGTTCCCAGGCGGCAGGGCCGAGCGCCACGCAGAGCCGGGCAGAGACGACGGGCCTCTCTGGGATAGGGAGCGGCCGAAGGCGAATAGTGAAGCGACCGTGGTGATCTAGCGACGCCAGCAAGCCCACCGAGGAGGCGGAACTATGGAGAATCAGAGCGGTTTGGCGGCTTCTAAGCAGAACAGGTCAGAATTCGGAGCGGCAGCGCGACCAAAGGGGAATGCAGGGCTCGCTCACCAGCATGCGCAAGCAGAGACTGACACACAGGGCCGCGAGGGAAAAGCAAAACAGCCGGAATAGTTAGTTGGAGGGTCTGCTCCGTGCTGGCAGCGCCTGGATGTTTGTTGTTTTGTGTTTCTTTGTCGGGGCTGGGCTGGGCGGGGAGGCTGGGAGGCCCAAACAACCACGGCTTGGCTGGGCCCGCGTCTTACGTGCAGCAGCGGGCGTGGAGTGCACGCCCAACCAGCTGGCTCGGGGCTCTGGAGAACTCCGTCTGTGTGCTGTTGGAGGCTGCGCGTGTCTGGCCGGCTGGCGGCCTCGCCGTGTAGTCAGTTACGTGTCGAGCCGTGCGGCATCCGCATTCGGACACCAACCCAACGCCCGCATCGCCGTCACATTAACCGTGTAGTTAGTTAAATCTCGCTGCCCAGCGTATCGCGCGCTCCGACGAGAGTCCAGCCCAGCCCTCGCTTTCGCTCTTGCGCTCTCTCTTTCTCCTGCCCGCGCCACATCCCAGGCTTCTGGGTCCTTTGCCGCCTCGCTGACGAATACCAAAAAGCGGCCCGCCCGCCCGCCCTCCGTCGGAAATTTGTGAGACGCCCGATGCTCACATCCAAGCGCCGGCGATCGTCATGTCCACTACAGCCTCATTCCTCCGGCTGAGAGGCGCCCGTTTGAGACGTATCTGCAGCCCTTTTTCTTTGCCCGCAAGCCACCCCAACCCAAATGACGTGCCGTGGCTCTGTACGCCAGTTTCGAGAAGAGCTCAGAACCATACTGCTCAGGGCGTTCATCCCCAGCTGCTGATTCATTCTTTACTCAACCTGAAAGTACTCCAGATGCTCGCCCTTGATCTGTAGAATACATTATTTGCTGTGTAGTAGGACACCACCAAAAGGTGCAGATATGGCACATATGTGTAATCAATCCAACAGCTTTCTTCTCTGGATACAGATGCCAATTGAATAGGCTGTTATACCTTTTTTAGTCATTCCAAATCTTGTCTGTTCTGTTACCTGTATGCATGGTTGTATACACAAAAAAGACACCCTGCTACCTGGTCAGTTAAGCTACGGGAAGTCCGTAAGCGATTTGGTTGTGTAGTAGAAGATGATCCTCTACTCCGTATTCTCCCTCCATTCGTGGGTAAGCTCAAGATGCTGACTAACTAACTAACTATTTTGGTATTATGTACAGTGATAATTCCATGTCACACCCAATGGTTCACAAGAAACGAAAACCCCTAAAATTAAAACTGCAAAACTATCGTGCAAAGACTAAAAGGAGACAATACAAACGACAACTATTATCACGCAAGACTCCATTTTCCCCTTGTGACCCTAACTGACCAAAAACCAAGCATTCATAGTCGGAGCTGCAGCTGAACCGCTGGCGCAAGACTCAGCGAGCCGCCATTTGTTGCGATGGAGGGTGATACGAGGTGTCTGCTGGACGTCCCGTACCCAACCGCTCCTGTGACTCGCTAGCTTGGTGCCTTCCCCGATATCCTGATTGCATCTCGTAACCCGGAGTCTCACCGCTGGACGAGGAGTAGTTCCCTTGGCCTTGGCCTTGCGCTCCCCGCTCGTAAGCCCGCGGAGGTTGGAACGGATTGCTGCCAGGGCCCGCGACTTCGGTTTGCTGGTGCTGCGCAGAATAACCCTTGCTGGAAACACCTTGATATTCCTCGTCGTGCGCCATAGGTTTTGCCTCATCGTCATCCTCCATGTCGACGCGGCGAGTCTCGCGGTACACGGGTGGTTCTGGAATTGCTCCCCAGGTGCGCATCGGATAGGCTCTTCCTTTTCTCCAGGCTTCTGAGATGGGTGGGAAATATTGGCGATAGGCCAGCCATGCACACACAACGCCCAATACTGACCCCGAGACGATGTCGATTCCGTGATGGCGAGAGTCCATCACTCTCGTCGCGGAGACCAGTGCGGCGCCCAAGGCTGGAGTGGTGACAACGAAGGTTTTCCAGACTTCTCCGCGGCTGTCCATAACGTGGAGCTTGCCTGCAAGGTATAGGGAAAGGTAGAATAGGCCCGCAAAAGCAGCTATAGGCAATTGTTAGTCCAAACAGATCCAATCAGAAAGTAAGAACAAGGCATTGTTTCGTACAGCTACTGTGGCCTGCATGAGAAAAAAAAAAAAAATAGAGGTTAGCACAACTCCATCTTCAAGGAATTTGATGTTCTCATATGCAACCCACCAGAAGGCCATGATCGGAATCCATCTTTGATAATCGCGGGGTTCGTCTGCGTGCAGATAATCGAGCGTGAAAGACCAAAAACCGGGCCATCCTCGCTTCCTGCTCTGGGGCGGCACCGGTCAATGAAATCTGGGCGGGGCTTCCCGACAGCATTCTTCAACGCCGTGGTGATCACGAAGGCGGCGGCCTGGGACAGCAACAGGCCGAGGACGCCGCAATTCAGTTCCCACAGTCGATTCTTCAGGGGGTAACGGCCCATCAGCTTTACTCGGCCCGTCGCCGGGTCTGTGCGCTTGCTATGTGAGAAGAGGCCGTCGATGACGATGGTGTAGAGGGCGATGACGAGCAGGGGCGCGCCGCCGGTGATGGCGAGGGCGGTGTACATGGGGATGCGCTCATGCTGGGCGAAGGGGTACTGGATAGCGATGTTCCTCAGCGAGAAGTTCTGGTGGAACGGCTCGATGCGGTCGAGAATGAAAAAGGCGATAACGAGGGCGCTGCATAACGGCGGGCGGTTGGTTAGTCGAGACCAATCGGGCACCGGGTCACATGGGCCGGCACGCAGGGGGAAAACACGCACATGAGAATAACATAGTCGAGCACGTAGCTGGCGCGCGGGCGGGCGGTTAGCTAGATGTCATTGAGGCTTTCTAGAGCAGCGATACTCACGATATGATGGCCCGCACTCGGACCGGCCCTTTTGCGAAGGGCAGTTTCTGCTGGAGAGCGTTCATCGCGTCAGAGCTTCACACACACGGCGACGAAACACAGCGTCTCATGAGCCGGGGGAGACTAAGCGAGGGGAGGGTGGTAATGAGAGAAGAGCAGCGGTGGAGGGAGAGAGCGAGACACGAAGACAGAGAAAGAAAGAAAAGCGAGAAGAGAGAATGACGGTCGCTATCAGCGTAGGACCTGCGTTGGGTGGGTTTCAAGGCCAAAATTAGGGCCGGCGGTGCTGCGAGCGCAGGCCAAGCGCGTGGCGACGCGGGCTTCCCTCGGCGGCTCGATGCAGCGACAGACATCACTCCTTCAGGGCACCCAGCAACCAGCAACGAACAACGATTCCTACGCTCGGCTCTCCTGTCGCCGTCGAACGGCGTTTCGAGCCAGCAGCCGTCGTCGTCGTCGTCGTCGCATCTCCTCCGCCTCACCCTCGCAGCGCGTCCCCAAACACGGCGTGCCTCAGCGCTTCCCGCCGCCCATCCGGCCCCCGGGCAAACTCAGCTGTCCACGTCAGCCTACGCCCGCCACACCACCCTCCGCGCCTAACTAGCTAGCCCACGAACTAGCACTCCTTCGCTGCGGGCTTGCAGCTGCTGAGATATATTTATGATGTGGCTTGACCTCGTTGCGCTGCCAGGCAGACTGGGGCCTGTCAAATGGCGTGGCCTGCATGCATGTTTGCAGTGCAGAGTGCTCTGGGGCCTCTCTTGGCTGACTACCTTGAGACCCTCTGCCACTCCGATGTGTGCGTACGCGTGAAGCCCAGTGACTACGCAATGCTCTCACGAGGTTCACTCAGTGGCAATTCAACTGCGGTGGGCCAACGGCAAAGCCTGCTTAAGCTCAGAGTACTCCGGAACCATGTTTCAATCTCATCTATTATTTCGATGGCCACTAGCTAACACCAGGCAATACAGAATCAAGCCACGATGGAAAGTCAAGTCAAGTACTGGTAGAAGTCATAGCGTCATTGCTGGCCATTATTATTAGCGCCCTCCTCCTACTGAATAGTCATAATTATATCGCTTGGCCCCCACTCGATACCAAGTCTGAGCGTAAATCTTCTTCGAGTAGTAACCATTGCCACATATTCACGAAGACCACATGCTTACTGCCCAGTACAACGTGTGATGAACAGCCCAAACCTAGAACGTTGTGTTAGCAATCCAGATTACATCTACCAGTCGGGAATCCGGCTCAATAACTTACGGAGCGCCTCCATAATTCTGGAAATATTTCAGGGTCGTCGAGCCTGAATTGGACATTTGAAACCCAATCTTTTCCCCCATGGGACACTCAAAATTCGCAATGGTATACGTGTGACCCGGCTGCAGCTTAAACACGCCGTAATCTTCCCGCATTCTTGGGGTGTTCTTGAACGAGGTAGACAGGGTAGCCGGGGCTTCTAGTTTGCCAAATCGAACTCGACCATCCCCTCGGAAGGTATAGTACTGCGGTGGCTGCTTCTGTGTGCTGGGGAAGTGGAAGATCAACGAGCAGGCCTTGAGGTTGCCTCCAGGCGGGATGTCGAAGTTGAAGAGCGATGAGACCGTGTCCGAGACCTCGCCGTCGAACGATCGGCCAAAGACAGTGTCAGGCGCCGCCGAGCTCACCGGCATGATCAGATGAGGGAATTCGAACCCATCGGTAAGTTCGGTACGGCAGGTAGAAAAGTTTGCTGCACGGAGTACCAGGCGCTCTGACGACTCTGGCGCGCCAGAATTGACATAAAGGGCATTGGCCCCAATGGCGAGAACAGCAATAGGGATAAGAAACTTCATTTTCAGAAAGAGGCTCGTGAGGAGTGATGCAGAATGCTAATGCTCTTTTGGTCTTCAATGATAGAGTTACCGTCTTCTTTGATACTTCGTTCATGAGAATGCGGTGGCATATTTATATTTTCGAGCGCTCAGCAAGTGCTGTTCAAGTCCTCCTACAAAAGCCTGAAGTTGAGGATAACATGTTCCACGACATGCCACAAGAACTTGCGACCCTGGCTAAACGTGTGAAAATAGATCAGAAAGGCCGGGAAGCAGACAGAAAAATTGCATGACTACCCGTGGAATAGCAGGTACCCGTCCTCGGGGCAGACATAGTGTGCCTCGTTACCTCGTGGAGTAACACAGACTTGTGTGGTCAAGAGGGAAGGGAAAAGATGGATAGAAGTTCAGCAATATATTCTTCTCAGGTTTTTGTCGGAAATTCCGCAATAAACACGAGGTATTCAACAAGCAGAAGGTCTAATTTTTGGGTATGGCTTGATGTGCAGACACACGCCCACGCCGCACCCCACCTCAAGCAAGAAATGCAGCGTACTGTGTAGAACCCAGAAAAGCAAGAGAACATGACGCGACAATGAATGTCATGCCAGACGGTCACGAAGTACGGGTACTTGTGTCCACGGCTGCGACATGACATTCGAGTATCCGCCGGAAGGATGGGTTCAAATCATGATCGACAGCCGTATGTTTGCGGCTTCATTCAGAAGGGCAAGGTAAAACCTGTCATTTGGCGGCAGCTAGCATACACCAGATGACACCTTCGCTCCGAATGTATGCAAGCATTCAAGAAGGGGTATATAGCTCCGCAGTTTCAGGGTCTTCAGAGGATATCAATAATGGAACCGATACTTACCCCTTGGGTCCAAAGGCAATTCTAACTAAGTTCGGGGATGGGGGCGACTCCCCGAAGCAAGAAGCCTTAAATCCGCTGAAGGCCCGTAGTAATGCCAGAAGAAGTACTGCGGCATTTGATTCAATCTCAGGTTGTCATACAGCCCAGTATCCGTCACCTGATAAACATTGATATCCCGTATCGTGAATGTGCTTGAAACTTTTGTGTAAACTTCAGGTACAGCCGCATGAACTTCCTTCCACGGCAGATCCGTGATATAGGTGGCGATCGCTTGCGTGGAAACAAACAGATTGGGGTCGAACACCTCGAATTGGCTCATCTGCAGCATCCCAGAGGCCGAAGGACATCATGCGTATAGCCGGCGTTACACGCGAGACTGTGCAAAAGTAAATTGAAGGGTCAAGGAGGCGAGATCTGCAAAACGTGCTGAGGTCATTTACCGTGTGCCGTCTATTTGCAAAAAATTCCAGTGGTATCCGAGGCCAGCACCGCAAAAGGCATCGAAAATATGCGTACTTGTTTTCAGATGTCATTATTACATGGGGTGGCTGGATTAATACCAACGGCAGGGTCTAGAAGGAAGCGGGTACATAGTCTTGGAAGCATGAGCCTCCTAGTGGCCGAACGGCATGCCAATAATGTAATCCCGCATTTTGCGGGACGCTGGAGCAGGGAATGTCGTACATGAAATAAAAAACGGCCTCCGTTGCGGCAAGGGAGCTCCTTTTGCTCCATCGCTAGGCATAATCCTGCCGACGCATTCCCGCCTCGATTGCGGAGACGGATAAGAAAGAAGCCTTGGGCCAATCAAGTGTGGATGGGCTGCATCAGACAGTGGCCATCCTGGATAACCGACGTAAAGCAAGTGTACTCCGTACGGAGCACAGAAACTCAAAAAAGGGCAGATATTCCAGTCTCATGTCGTACAAGCGGGTCTAAGTATTGCGTCGGGTGCAACCTTGCGTTGTTCACTCATGTCCCCTCTACTCCGTATGGATGGACTCTGTATGCATGTACTCCGCATTTAATGGCGGCGGGATCATGGCTTCCCGTACGGAGTAGATTTAGCCCTTTCTCCTACGCCGAGAAATAAGGAGCTGATGCTGTCGTGTTCTATCATTTTCTGGCCATGTCCGTCAGGATACGTGTTTTTCCTTGTTGGCGGCCATTCCTTCGGCCTTGCGTCTCGTTGCTATTATTATTGTTGTTGTTGTCAAAGCACACTCTTGGAAAGAATAAATGCAGTCCACTTTCCAAAGCTACACAGAACAAGCATGCCTTGCATATGTATGAAAGAAAGAAGTTCGTATTTTCGGAGGTCATTGATGCAGGGCCTGTGCGTATCAAAGACAGGCCCCGCGCGGGTTGGCCCAAAGAACCCTGCAGTGACAAGAAAAGTAAAATATCAGCACAGGGAAGGAGGAAAAGTATTCCTAATATTAATTCAGAGAACCCATTGCCCAGCAACTCGCTCGCGGCTCGCGCCATGGACGGCTGAGTGGAGTCCAGCATCAAAAGATTTGTGTGTGGCGCCAGGTTACTAATCGGCACGGTCCAGGCGGCGGATTATCGTGCCGCCGAACGCCAAGCCGCTGGGTCCCTGAGGCCGGTTCGGAGATGGAGCGAACCTTAACAGCAACCCCGCCGTTCATTGGCCCGAATTCCCCAATCCCGCAAATTCCGCCGTTTCCCGCCGTTGATTCGCCCGCCAACCCATGGAACGCGCACGGCCCCACTGGCGCCTGCCGCCCGTCTCACGTGATATGTGATGTATGCGGCCCAGCTTTCTGGGTCTTGGAACAGATTGACCGGCGATCCGAGATGAGCTTAACGTAAACGGAACTGGAGGCTCGAAAAGGAGACGGTGGGCGCGGAAAAGGGGGCATGCAATTGTGACTGGTCAGGACGGCTGCTCGCTGGTGCGACAGTTCCTGTTGTGCTGTCTTTGGCGAGCGGTGTTGGGCCCGAAGAGCGTTCAAAAACGCAACAATAAATGCATGTATGGAGCATGTACCTATGTATGGATGGGTATGAGGACGTATGATTCCGGTGCTGCTTATGGACAATACTAGTAGGACGGAATTTTCTCCGTACGTTGCCGCGATTTTGCTTGGTCGAAACTGTCGAAGTAGCCCATCCATGTTTTGAAGAAAGGGGGCTGCAGTTGCTAAATATTCTTCTCATCCTGCGCCCCACTACCAAGGGTGGGTCTGCGGTGATCGAACAAGCATCCGTCAACGTGACAATCAATTGTGATCGCTCCATTGTGATTCAACGCACAATGTGATACTTTGACCGGGGTCAAGCTCCGACGCCCGTCGCTGCGCCAGGACGTGAGATACATTTAGAGACCAAATGCGTACGATGGGCGCCTGTATGTATAAATATGTATAGAATGTAGGTATGAGTACTTGTGATATCGACTACCATATATCGAAATAGTCCAAAAGAAAACAGATTCACCAATTTTGTCCACGACGCCGGCCAACAAAAGGAAGATGATGGAAGTTGGGCAAAAAGGCGCATTTTAACCCTTAGATTCCCAATAATACGGAGAACTGCCCAACCCAAAGGGCCCACTGGTATCGCGGATACCTTGGAGGAGGAGACTACTCCATAACGCCAGTGCACTGATAGCACTTTCTGCCTCCACTCTGAAACATAACCTGGTCTCAGGGGCGCGGATCGCCGTTTGAACGAACCGAAAGATTTAAATAGGAAATAGGGGGGGAGTCGAAGGGTAACGGCCCGTAGGAAACTAGAAGCTTGACAGCAAATACGGAACATTGATGGAGACAGACTGCAAGGTCGCGAGAAGAAAAAAAAAATATGCAATCAGGGTATCTTCGGGTACAAATCATGTCGAACGCTTGGAGTGGGGGGCTTCGTATGTCCTTAGCCGAAAATATAACTGCGAAGGTTGGAGCAAACAAACCAGCCTTTTTTATGAAGAGGCCAAATGAAGGGCCACATGGTAAAACAGAGGGGAAAAAAAAAACAAAACAGGTGGCCAAAATGTATAACATAAACGAATGCGTGTTGCTAAAAGTGGTCAGAAGACGCCTGCCCATAAAGGTTGCCCTCAAATCATGTATCTAGATATCCAAATTTCCCAATGCAAAGCTGAAAAACAAAGAAAATAATCAAACAGAAACGATTCAGCATTCGGCTCTTAGATGATTACCCTCTCGGAGGAGGCTGAGAGGGGGGCGGTTGGTAAGTTGGGTGAAGAGGCGCTTGGAACTGTTGTGGAAGCTCCGACGGCATTGCACCTTGAGCGACAGTTGCCCATGGACTCTGTGGGCCAAGCGGATATCCTGGAGAATTGTATACCACAGGCTGAAGGGTGGCAGGCAGAGACTTCCGCGAACTCGATGATTCTGTTCGAGGTCGAACATTGCGACCAGAGATCCGCCTATCGTCCGATTCCGAATCCGACACCTGCTGAAGTGGGGCGTGCTCCCGAAACTTGGGAGAGACTGGACGCTGTGATATATGTGCTCCAGGAATCCTAGCTACGTAGTCTCGATAATAGTCGCGCTCGTTTCTATAGAACACTGCAATTTGCTTTAGCTGTTTTATTTCTTCTTGAAATCGCTCAATAATGCGCCTCTGCTCATCTTCGGTTGCCTTCTTTCTTTCGCGAAACCTCTTAGAAGCGCAGCTGTTTTTCTGACGCTTGACTGCCGCCTTTCTTGATCCCGAATCCATATCAATGGTAACCGGAATTAAACCTTGGGTAGCATCAACGGGCATCTGGTGCGGCACAAATGAAGGTAGTCCAGCTTGGGGAATAGCTAATGGCTGATGCAATAGATGTGCTGGTGAACCCTGCGGAAATGGACTGTAGGATGAATGTGGTGTGCTGGGGCTTGTTTCTTGAGATAGTGGCTGCGGTTGCGTTTGAGGAACCCGTGGATCCGACACCAGGTTTGGCGGATGGTAATTGAAACTATTAGGCTGCAGGATTGAGCTGCTTTGAGGAGGCGGGGACCGAAGAAAAGGAAAATGCGCTACATCCATAGTACCAGGAAGCGGCGTGTATCGGCTGCCTACGCCTCCAGCATTAAGAGCAGGTGATCGCGGAGTAAACGCCCGCTGTTGCTGATTTCTCGGTGAGGCTGACTTGTCAAGGCGGAAGCGCGCTGGATCAGTTTGCGAGAGTGCAACCCCCGGAGATGGCGATGGAGAGGGTGATGTTGATAAGGTGGGGGATTCCAATGTGCTGCCTTGGCCAGTGTGAGACGGTGACCCAAAGGAGGGGTTTGCGGGGGGATTGAGAATTGCATCAACTGCAATCGAGCGAGATGGGCCGTGGAGAGGCGTTGAATCCCCCGTAATTGGCGTGACGCTTCTGGCTTCAGGTCGGGCATGGAAGAGGCCGTCAGGTACTGAGGTACGTTCGGACGAATCTGCCACCTGCGATGGCTTCGACATAAGCTCCTGTTCTCCTCTAGAAGGGTGCGTTTTTGAGCATGGGTAGTCCTTCCCTCTCTCTGAAAGGCGATTCACCTCGAGTAATCGAAGCTGAGAGAGGGAGGGGGGGTGTTTTGCGGCAAGGTTGGCAAAGAGCAACGGGCGTTGATCACAAGCGGGTATACTTGATGGTGCTGAACAGTCCGTCAGACGACAAAGGTTAGGAACTCCGAGGACAGCCACGATGACGGAGAGATGGGGTTTCAGTTGAAAAGAATTAGTATTCCGGCGATGCGAGGGAATGGAAGGGTGCTGAGTAGATAGTCCAAGCAGATGTGAGTGCGCTCTGTTCTAACCAGTTGAAAGAAGGATGTTTGTACGCCAGAGGAAAGAATTATGATGGGCTGATGATACACGGTCCAAGGACGGGCCTTAAAGTATATACGACGACAGCCCTGACTCCCAAGTGTGCTCTCGAAGGCGTTCTAAAGGAAAAATCCCATCTAACTCCACGCTTTCACGGCCACGAGCTCCACCAGAGGAAACTAACAGCAGGTGAAAACAGGTTAATGGAACCAGGACCCACGACGACTCGATATAGGGAGGGGGGCAGGAGACTCCATCCAGATGTAGGCCACACGCTAAACGGAGTGCAAGTTAAGCACCGTGAGAATGGTTGGATCTCAACAAGGGTGGACCAGGAAGTTCCGGCAAGGGCTTTAGACAGTATTCAATTCGCTGAGAATAGTTGCACAGCCGCGTTTTTAGGGATTCTTGTTCTAGCTGTTTTGCCAGTCTCTTGTCTGCCCGAGGAATAACATAATTAGCCCATGGTAAAATCTATCCCGCCTTCTAAATGGTCGACTTTTAGAGTTAATGGTCAAGTAAGTTTCTCTCTTTCGTAACGTGCCATCCTGTCAATTAAAAAAATAAAAGAATAAAAGAAAAAAATAAAAAATAAAAATTTAGTAAATGCAGGGAATTTCGGCGAATCCTGTTGTGACTCCGTATTAAGAACTCGCTAAAAATACTCGGTCTGGAGGACTTGGTACTGCGTCGAAGGGCAAGAAAGCAGCAATCAGAAGGAAGGAAACTGTCAAGCAAAATCCCACTCCTCCCTCCAAGGCGATATCGCACGGATGGAGCCTTGGAAGCTATGCGGTCCCGAGAAATTAGTAGTAGTGATCCTCCGTCGAAGCTTGCAGCTGTTTGTGTGGTTCGACTGGCTTAACGGGGCGTTTGCGGGGATTATCCTGTAATAAAATTTCTGCCCAGAATAATTTCGCTTCAAAACCTCAAACCACCGAACGTTAAAATACTCTTGTCCTCCGAACGATGGTATTTAGTACTCCGTAGTGGTAGTAGTAATATACCACTCGCTGGTGGAGGAGAAATGCTGCCCGACGAACCCATGCAAGGAGGTGGTAATAATACTGAAGATCGTGGCTTCGTCCCGAACGGAGCCTGTGGAGTGTTCTACCTGTACGGAAGATATATAGTTACCGCCCCAGCAAGGGAACTAGTATGCATGAGTAAATTAGCCTCTTAATACTCCGTACGTATAACAGACGAGATTCTACATTATTGGCGGAACGATGATAATAAGTGTGATAATATCACCTTTCCAACGAATCCTCGGTGCAAAAAAACTCCCAAGGCGGTGTTTGGTGTTAGCCATACCCTTGTAAAATTATCCTTCTTCCGTACGAGGCTTACTCCGGATTGCGTCAAGGAAAGTGGCTGATGGACCCATCCTTGTCAAACGTGGTTGAAGAGTTTATGGGCCGGCGTTCACTCTTCCAAGTTCACATAATAATATGCAGATCCTGAGCGAGTAAAAGGGGATGAAGGAGCGCAAGTTTGCTTTACAACGCCAGAAGGTTCCTATACTCGACATGAAGTTTGACAAGATCTTTGTGCCACAATCAGCAATAATGAAAGATGAGAGCATATGGTTTCAGATGACTTACTTCAACTCCGCACGGGGCCAGGCGCCTATTTCGCTGCTCTCCAGGAAGGGGGTTTTGAGGTATGAGCTTGATATTGTTCGGCCGATGTTGACAGCGAAAATTACGTGGTACGATATATGAGTACATGTATGTACAGGGCTGTAAGGAAACCCAAGTATACAGTACATACGGATGGAGGCCACACGCGTGGGAAAAAAATAGTGGATGGATAAGTGTCGAAGTACCCGTATTGTAACATACATATGGTCACTTTACCGCTTGTGGCGACCTAAGCCGTTCGAGTCGACCAGTTTGCAGGTTTGCAATCAGCGTCAACCCCCCCGTCAAGGGCGATATCTTGGGAGTCCTGTGCAGACCGGAAATCCAGCATGCTTAATGATGGACCGAGAATTGCGCGGTTTCGCGCCGGCACTATTAACCTGGAGTAGCTTACTGTGACCAAGGCTCCGTGTTGACCCTCGAATTTCGCATTCCGAAGCTCCAGATTCTAAGATACTTTCTTTTTGCTATGTGCAAAATAATACATATGCAAGGAACACTCTGGAACAAGTTTAAACGGCAGCCCAGTCGTTTTTTCTGCAAGGAGACCGGACAGGATGATAATGAGACCCTCTACGGAGTACGATATACGGAGTGCATACGTGCATGATAGGAGAGAGCGTGCGGGCTTGGAAGGGAGAGATCCACGGGCTACCGTTTCCAAGAGGAACACCCGAACAACAGAGCTTCAGGGGTCGAGACCGTGAAGACCAAGCGATGGATCACAGCCGGCATCCTGAACGGATACGCACGCTCCCCATATGGAGCAAGCTTAGGGTACCAGCTGCAGGATAGGGATGTGGGGCCGAGGTCTCCCATGGAGCGGGCGAGGCCGTTTTGAGAACCGCCAAAACAAAAAGCGCCGTGTGTGGGCGCTGTGGAGGTGGACACGGTCATCTCGGGAGGGCTTGCGCCTCAGGAGACGGCAATACGTGCCGCTGCTATCGGTTCTTGTTGTCTAGCTTGAGCCCAGCCCTTCGATGATCGAGTTGTTTCAAAGTGCCTTGGGTCTCGCGTTGGCTGGGCCAGGAAGTCCACGTAGACAGACAGCCACACCCCGGACACCGCACCCATGCGCCTCACCAGCTTCGGTGAAACACTGGGTGATCCGGCCACAGGGCCATTATTTTTACTCCGGTCACCCTTTTGGCTTGCGACCCCAGCCTGCTGCAGCCCCAATAATCATGTGCGTTTTAGGGGCGCCGCGCCGGTGGTTCCATCGGCGGATAAAGAGACCCGCATATGCAGCGCTTAAAGGAACAATAATAATACGGAGTACAGAGCATCGTTGAACAAAAGAAAAAAAAAGGGAGAACACCCATGCAAATTTCCAAACATACTCGGTACGGAGTACTCCGTACGTCGGGCAGACACTGGTATTCTTGTCAATGCCCGACGCACCTCGCAGGCTGTGCATCCTGCGTACGGACTATATACAGTACATATAAGACCGCTGCTGGGTATTTAAACCCCCACGGAACCGGAATTTGTTCTCCCTCGCCAGCCGCCGCCCATCTCAGGCGCACAGCACGGAATGCCCCGGATGTGGCTCCATCTACTCCGTATCAGTGCACGTACGTATGTGCGTCGCCCCTCCGGAACGTGCGGTACGCCCGAATACAGTACAGAAGGTGCCAGTAGTACACCAATATTACTAGTACACATGGACCCGGGGTATAGATTTGGGTTTGGACCACGGCTCTCCCTTCCAATCTTCCATGGTGAGGGAGTTACCTGGCCTGGCGATCTGAATTCGCTTGAGGGCAAGAGTCATTTGTTGTCGTGGCCGGAGTGTTTCCCTCTGTCATTGCCCATATGATTTCATAGTTGGAGAGTCTACCCTCGGTCCGAGAGGGTTCCAAGATGCGGAAAGAAAAAGCAAATATAGGGAAATATCAATGTTCGACTACGAAACCAGTCGGCGATGAGGTGAAGCGAGCCAACGTTCCACTCACTCGGTGCTTAACTAGTTATTGTCCGTTATTAGCCTTATCCTTCCCCCGATGTTTCTCAGCGACAATGCCCTGTGGCTTCTTTGTTATAGCACAAGTCTGAACAGCACCTTTAAGCTCAGAGAAAAAGGCTCCATCTAGTGCTTGTTCTTATGTATGCTCATCGGTTGATCTACGCTGGAGTCCTCTTGGGAGAGCTCTGGAAATCAAAAAATTCCAAATTTGGCTGCACTTCAAGCTCAATGAATTACTGCTGATCATTCGATGATGGAAGACAACTGCTCTGCTGCTGGAACGCTATTGACAGAGATCAATTAGAGCATCCATCTATTTTCAGATGTCACCAGTCCCTAAACGGTTATTCTTGAATGCGAGAATCAATCTTATTAATGTGCAACAAAGTACTCCGTACTCCGTAACATGCAAACAGCTTTCAGGGAGGACAGCAAGCCACTTCGCCCCATCAAATTTCAACATCGGTACGGAGTACTGAACAGCCTTATACAGCCATCAAACTCCGAATACTTTTGTATGTACTCCGTATGTGTATGTTGTATGTACGGAGTATGGATGTGCGTACGAATGAACCTAGGTATGTGCGTACACATATACTTTCTGTTCGACCATTCACCTGATGCGTCTTTTCTCATTAGCCGTATTTGCGTCAACCTATAACAGGGGTGGATTGGCGGAAAGAATGACCCTCCAGTAATTCAGTTCCAGGATTTGAATCCCTGGATGAAAATCTTTCGCTGGGCAGGTAGCAGAGTTCGAATAGAAACCGGAGAAAGCCGGCCAAATCCTCCGTTCTAGTCAACGGTTTGGAGCAAAAGAATGAGCTTGCCTCAGCTTCATGCATGCAAGACTGCATATTATCACCATCGTCATCAACATCCCTGCCCAACGTCACCTGCATGGGGGGGGCAGCAGTCCGGGTTTTATAATATTATTATGTGAGCACTGGGAACGCCAATAATTAAGAGACAAACAGTCGACGGTAGTTTTTCGACAGGGATACAAGAGGAATGACTGCAACGCCGCCGGGGAAGAGTTCTGATGCTAGTACAATTCTCCACTCCCCCCCCTCAAAACCTTGGCTGAGGCCCAACAGTGAAGCTCGTTTGGATTTCCGAGGCGACGGCCTCTCAAGGCCTTGTCTTTGACAAAGGACTTTTATTCTTTGTTGCAATAATCACACTGGTCATAATTGCTCAAAACGACTCCGTAAAGATAGTTCCTGCCCCTGATCCCAGCTCTCTCGAGTTGAATCATTCAACTGGGTTTGTTACGTCGAACCTCAGTACCAGTAGTAGTACAGTGCTACATATGTCCGGAGTGGTTAGTGATTCCACCCACTGTCGCTGTGGTTTCTCCATTATTGTTCCCGTTAGTGTGCACCCCACAGATACCCTGCCTACCCGGGCCCCAATCCACCACGCCAGAGCTGTCAACATCCGCGATTGCCTGTCTTAAAATTTGTCCCGATGATGGCGCGCGATATGCGCAGCAAATCAAGCTGTCGGCTTCAAACTTCTTACCGCAACTCAGTTTATGAATTGTACAGTTAACATGTGACCATCGTCTCCGTCTTCAACCATACTGCCTCCATTTCCGTTCTCAGAACTTTTACAGATCTACTTGTCCAGCGTATCTCTTGGAGTCTACTTCACCTGAGTTTCCCAATTACCATGTCAGTCTACACTTAAGGCAGAAAACCAGCTACTAAAACTTCCGCGAGTTATCGGGCCGCCACATTCTGCCTTGAAGACATATCTTGCTAACGTTATAAAAAATCTCTCGTGCACCAAGTTGAGTGCCCAGATAGAAACTGGGCCAATGGGTCCCGGCATTTGATAAACTGTCTCATTTGCTCTGTATATTCCTTTTCCTCGGTGGTTTCAATCAAGCCTGGGGATAAAACAATACGGGTGTGTGCGACTTCTACAAAGGGGTCTTGTTGACGTGAAGCATGAATATTGGTATAGTGTGGACTCTGTGGAGCACGGCACCGTCGTACCAAATGTGAAGCCGGCATTTGGCTGAGCTGTTGACAGACTATGGAGCATATGCATGTACGATGGCTTACAGGTTCAGGGGTGTGAAGTTCGCAACCTAGAGGTTGTACCCAGTCATACGGAACCTCGTCTAATCTGCCGTATCATGGGCCGAGATGAGCGAGCAAGCAGACATTACTAGCCTGCATGGTGAGGCCTGGAGTTTAAAATGTGATATTGAGCCGCGATGGTGTCTATGGGAGTGGACAAATGCGGGAATGACTGCGCTGCAAGCGTCATGTAAACAGAATATTAACAGAGCTATGGAATAATAATAAAAAATAAAAAGAGCGTGGTAGGAGTAGGCATGGCTCTTAAGGTTTGTTCGCTATTGCTGCCGGTGTGATGTCTACTATGTATCTAATTACTTCATAGAGGGCCCAGTAGTATCTGTCAAAAGGCACTGGCCAATCTCTGGAACCAGCGTAAGGTTATCCCAAAACGCTCGGTCAACGGGCCGTTAACCTTGCTGGACGAACTATCTGGGGTCCACCATGACAGACTGGACCAGGCTCGCTCACCGCGTATCAGGAAAAAAGTTTGGTATTGGGACATCATCGTGGAAAACGACTCCACCACAAAGAGAAAAAGAAAACCAAACGTGATGGTGCAAGCCACCCGGGATTTAAAAACTTTCCCCAAACCCCGAAGGCCGTCAGAACCGTTTTCCTTTTGTTGCTTCTCCTGGAATCATAGTGGAATCATAGGTGTCACGGTGCCACTTGATGGCTTGATCACCGCATGCAGTATGTATGTGCATACCTTCACTATCCAGTCCCAGACCAAAGTGGACTCTCCTGCTAAACCGGGTAGCTTGCACGTCAGTCAACTTGCCTGGGCGGATGGATTTTCATGCCTGCTACGGAGTACGGAGTACTCTTGTCGAGCGGTCAATCGGAAACTCTGGTAGATGGCAGGTTAGGATCGGAAAATATGACATGATGACAATGACATGATGACAATGACATGATGACATGGGGACGCACGGCTGAAACCATAATGGTAGACAGTAAAAGAACGCAGAAGCAAGTAGGCACTCGGAACCCCCATTTCCACGGCGAGATGGATTCTATCCAAGAATTTGAATAACGGCGAAGACCGTGGCAAGGACATGATTAGCGGTCTCGATTAAGTACATAAGTATTTCTATCTAGTATACACCAGTGAAGAGTATCATGAATGAATATCAACTGATCAAAACTCAGACAATGTAGGGCCACAAACAAAATGCAGTGTCGTTATTAGGATTCAATAGAAAAACAAGAAAAAGCGATAAAGGCTTCCGAGTGAATTATAATAATAGGAGAAAGGTGTGTGCTTAGCCAGATCATTCCGGCTTTCTTCCAACCATCAAGTACATTGGAGTAAACAACTTGAGCTCACCACCCTTGACTAGGCAGTCAGCAGCATACGCCAGGCTGTCTGCTGTCTTTTGTGATCCTTTTGGGAGTATACCGATTGTCTCCATGCCTCCCATGAATTTATGAACCATCCCACGACCCCACCACGTCATGCGAGCGATGGTGAGGACATCCCAAACTGAAGTCATGTGTTTCCACGAGCCTGCAAGGGGATAGTACCACGGAATATCATCTCCGCGGTCGGCCAAATCCTCTGCCTTAATCAATTCGAATCCAGCAGCCTTGAATGCTTTAAGGGCTTCTGTTGCCTTGACCATGTTGGAAATCCCATCGCCTTGTTCGATACCAAGTCTAATTTCGCGGTGGAGAGGGTCATCATTGTTGTAAGCGTCAGTCATAACCCATTCGTATACGCCGAAAACACCACCGGGTTTTAGCGCGTTGTAAATCTGACGGTATACGCCTTCAAGAGAGGGGGCGTGGACAGTAGCTTCAATTGCGTACGCAGCATCGAAAGTATTGGGTTCGAAAGACATTTGCATGAAGTCGCCCTTAGTGAAGCGAAGCTGATTCGACAACCCTTCTTTCTGAGCATATCGTGTCGCACGCTCGATTTGATAATCGTTGTTATTCAACCCGACAATTTTGACGCCGGCAAATTTGGCAATCTCTCGCGCAGGGCCACCGACACCACAACCAACGTCAAGTACAAACTGGCCTTCCTTCATGTCAATAGAATGGGCGAGATAATGCTCGTGTCGGGCAATGGCCTGGCGAAAAGGCTCTCCGTATGCGAAACGACAGAAGTGAAAGGAGGTACCCCATCCATATTCATACATATCTGTGGCCAAATTATAATAACTAACAAACGATTCCTTGGTCAATTGATATAACTTCAAAAGAAATACTTTACAAAGTCCAAGGGTATAAAATGCTTGACTGTGATCAGAGTATCGACTTACTGTCTTGTTAAAGTAGCATATTCAGCTCTTCTCGCCTATCACCGGTATTGTAAGTCGGGATTCAAGAATGAATACTACGGGCTCATTGTACGCACTTCTCTGATTTCTTCTGTTTCGTTCTCGGACGGTTTTTTATCCCAGTGTTTGAAATACTCGTCCAAGGCGGCTTCCTGCGCTTTATTGTCCTTGCTCATCATTGCGGCAAAACCGCCTCGAGCCTTAGCCGATTCACCATGAAGTGCTTTGTTGAAAGCAGCATCGCGAGCATGGTCCTCTTGTTCCAGCTTTGTAGGAGCCATTTCGGATAAATGCGACGGAGGATGAGAATGTCTGGGTTAGCTCAAGCGAGAGAGCAGAGGTTAAGTATATAAGGGTAGCAATTTAAATTAAATGCTGTCGCGCCGTTAAAAGATTTGAAGAGTTCCGCTTTGGTAAAGCGCTGGCTGGACCTGATGCTGATGGTATCGAGGGTTCAAAAAAAATGCGAGATTGCGTTTCGTCCAGGGGCAACATTGGCTTGGCCTGAGCTTTGTGGCGAAGCTCCCGATTGGGTACCACTATTCCTGTTCTAGACTAGCATGCATCAGCCACACAATGCCCATTAAGGTTTCCAGCTGACAAAGCCAAATATTATTATGTCAGCATAAATGACTAATTTGGCGTCAACCTTTTCATCATCGCCCTCTTGGACGGACAGTGTTGCTCAACGAGTCGCCGAAAATATGCCGCCGCAAATTAAACAAGACATAAACCGTTCGGGGTGGGAAACCACCGATTTTCCCTCTGTGTGTGAACAATGCCTGCCCGACAATCCCTATGTCCAAATGCTCAAAGAAGATTACGCCGCCGAATGCAAGATCTGTACCCGACCGATGACGGTGTTTCGATGGAAGGCCGATCGAACTGCACGAACGAAATCCACAAACATATGTTTAACGTGCGCTCGCCTCAAAAATTGCTGCCAATGTTGCATGCTTGACCTGTCTTTTGGCCTTCCCATCGTGGTGCGTGACGCTGCTCTGAAAATGGTGGCGCCGGGGCCGCAAAGTTCAATTAACCGGGAATACTACGCCCAAGAGCACGAAAAAGAGTTGGAAGAAGGCCGTGGCGCTGTGGAAGAATATGAGAAAACTGACGAGAAAGCCCGGGAGCTGTTGCGGCGATTAGCGAGAAGTGAGCCATACTATAAAAAACAGCGACGCTTGGAAGCTAGTGGGGAGACAGAAGACGCTGGCTCTACAGGCGAGAAATCTGGGCAAAAGCAAATAGGTTATGGGCCCGGCCCCATTCGAACTAACGATATGCGACGTGGCGGTGTACACAACGGCCGTGGAAGAGGGAATGCGAATCGTGGGCGAGGCGGGCGGTCGTTTCCAAGTGCTGCCCAACTCCCACCAAGCCCCCAAGACATTCTACCCCCTGCAGACCCAAAAATCACATCACTATTTCTTACCGGTGTCGAGGATGATCTTCCTGAACACGCTATTCGAACATTCTTCACCCCTTTCGGCACGATTCGGTCCCTCATCTGTTCGCATCGATCTCACTGCGCATTTGTTAACTATGCAACAAGAGAGGGTGCGGAAGCCGCCGCCGCTCATTGTCAAGGGAAAGCTGTTATTCAGGGGTGCCCACTCCGAGTGCAGTGGGGCAAACCGCGGCCTCTGGATAATATGGAGCGAGATGAGAGAATGCAATATGCTCGACAAGGCCGACAAACCGCAACGGCTCTAAAATCCGCTGCCAGTGAAGGAAGAGCTATTGAAGGTGCGTTGACGAGTGATACTGGACCGGCAGAGAAGACCGCCTATGTACTTGCCCCTCCACCTGGAAAAGAGGAAGTGCAATATGCTAGTATGGCCGGTGATTAGTGCTCTTGAGCTATCTATTTATGATGTGATATGGATTGGCGTTCCTGGCCTGCATGTACAGTATACACTAGGTGTTTGGTATTTCTAATTTACATCTAATTGAAGGAGAGATTATTTTTCGCAGTTCCTGGAAGCACTGTACGGACTACTATGTACACTATGATATAGACGAACCTTTTCCCCAAAGAGCCTAACCAAATACCTTTTGCCTCACTAGTTGATTGTGTTTCATAAATAACCAACAAAAGTGCCTATTTCGAGCAGGGTTTCACTTTTACTGCTTTATTCCCAGCTGTTTTAATCGTATCGTTGTCTCCTCGCTCGATATGCTCATGTATCCTTAAAGCTGATTATAATGTCAGCGCAACCTGACACGGTCGCTAAATCGATTGAAAAACTCACAATAACTGTCGATCGTCTCTCCCAGCTCATTTCTACTCTCCATCCTTTGACCTTGTACTAAGTTTGTTTTCAAAATCTGCGCCGTTTCCAGCGCATATTGGATTTTCATCGGAGTGTCCACGCCCGGTTTGCGGCTGTCGTCGAATTGTTTCCGGGCTTCGGCTCGTGCGGCGTGAAGGACTCGATAGTCACCTAAATGAGAAATCTTTTAGCGCCATACTTCTGAAGGCGTGAATGCTCCAATCAATACCTTCAAATGCAATACGGGTTGCACGGAGAAGTTGCCGGTACGCACTGAGGGCACTGACTGAAGACATTCTGCCAATTCTTGGGGAACGGAGTTAGAAGTAAGTGTCGAGACAATGAAGCCTGCAATTAGTCGAACAGGCGTTATTCATGACAGACGAGACGAAATTGTCTCTGCCTTCGGCTCAAGTTGATTTCTTTGCGGGCAGCGGAGCGTCGTCGCAAAACCCCCAGCTGCCTTGGACCTCAAAGTGGCACTAGTACTAATATGGTTTAGTCATATTAGCGCGCCCTAAAGATTAAAAATTGAAAAACAGCTACAGGAGTGTTTCCAGCGCGATTCACGGGTCAAGTTGCCCACAGCCTTTTATATACTGTTTGAAAAGATATCCTCCCAGGATGGCCACTCCTGAGATTGTCCACCTCCCTTTGCCCCATTTGCCCGAGGGCTGGGATGGCGGTGATAAGGGCTTCAAGGCTCTCAGCAGTTTGTCTGCATTCAGCCAAAGAACCGTTGAACCCGTTGGGCCTCACTTTCTAGCCCACGCTCGCAGAGTACGTTATCCGAATCTTACTGAACTGCCCGTGCCTTTTCTGATGGAATAATTGATTAGAAACGCCACCATCGCACTTTTTCTGAAGACGATCGTATCCTAGCTCAAGAAAATGTGAAGAAGGTTGAAGAGGAGGATGATGGCGAGATTTCGGAGCCTGAAGATCCGATGATGCTCCAGAGAGACGCCAAAGACTGGAAGGTACAGCAACAATTTTGTATTCCTGTCAAACATGCGACTAGTTGTTTACTTTTCGATAGGGTCAAGATCACTACGCCGTTCTCGGCTTGAGCAAGCACCGGTACAAGGCTACCAACGAGCAAATCAAACGAGCCCATCGCAAGAAGGTCCTCCGGCACCACCCTGACAAGAAGGCTGCTTCTGGAGATGCGGATGAGAACGACAACTTTTTTAAGTGTATTCAGAAGGCAACGGAAATTCTCCTCGATCCAGTGCGTCGTCGCCAGTGGGATTCCGTTGATGAATTGGCAGACGTTTCACCACCAGGTCCCAAAAAGAAGGGGGATTTTTTCAAGCTATGGCGCCCATATTTTGAGTCTGAAGCACGCTTTTCAAAAATCACCCCTGTTCCTATGCTGGGAGATGACAATAGCACTAAAGATGAAGTCGAGGAGTTTTACAATTTCTGGTACAATTTCGATAGCTGGCGATCCTTTGAATACGAGGATGAAGACGTTCCAGATGATAATGAGAATCGCGATCATAAACGACACATTGAACGGAAGAATGCCAACGCCCGACGGAAGAAGAAGACCGAAGATACTGCTCGCTTGCGAAAGACTGTAGACGACGCCCTAGCAGCTGATGCCCGCATTAAGAAATTCCGACGGGAAGAACATGCCAACAAAAACAAGCGCAGGCTTGAAAGAGAAGCTGAAGCTAAGCGAGCTGCAGAAGAAAAGGAGAAGGCCAGATTGGAAGAGGAACGCCTTAAGAAAGAACGCGAAGAGGCTGCTAAGGTTGAGAAAGCAGAAGGCAAGAAAGCCAAAGAAGCCGCCAGGAACGCTGCAAAGAAGAATAAGCGTATTCTCAAGGGTAGTGTGAAGGACGTCAATTATTTCACTGAATCTGGCGACGCCTCTGTTGCACAGATTGACAGTGTTTTGGGAGATGTGGAACTTATCATGGGAAAGATTGACAACGAGGAGCTCGCTGCCTTGGCTAGCAAACTCGGCGCTGCCGGGAAAGATGTGGCTGCTGTCAAGGCGGTATATGGCGCAGAGGCAGCACGACTTATTGGAGAGGGGAAGATAAAAGATAGTGAGGTGAAAGTGTTTAAGGCTTAGATTAACTATAGCAAGGTTGAGGGGTCGTAGTTATGTGTAACGACAAGTAAAATGATAGAGAAACCTTTGATTTCCCGCTTGATTCATTATACTAGCAAAACATTTATTGTTTGAAGTACGCCAAAAAAAAATGATAGGATTACCTTTTGATGCCCCGACTAGCAAGTGACGTTGTACGACGAGGATCTGACGTGATCCCGGTGGTCGAAGGCGATTATATCTTCAATAACCGGCTTATATTATATAAGACCTTGCTTCGACCCTTATCACGCCATCTCACTGGTTTTGACATGTACTACTGTCCAGAAACCAACAAAGAGCAACAGCTTCTTGACTTATCGTGGGAGGTAACATCCTGATCAAATTAGAGTAAAACAATGTTTGGTGTTAGGACAGGTTTGAGGAGGTGGTCATCACCGGTCACTTCTTGTTTCAAGATGTCGAGTCTCAGGATGCAGACGATAAGCGGATATCCTTGGTGGGAAGATCATATCGTTTGAAATATACACGTCTCGCCATGATGAGCGTTCATTTCCTTGACGACAGGTAGATGTGTTCAAAGGGCGGTCAACACAAGCTCGCGATCTTCTTTGTATATCGCGTTCACTATCATAATAGCACGACCGTAAGTTGGGCTACGGAGACTGTGGATACCGAGTACCCAGAAAGAATAGCGATGTCGATATGCGAGGGATCGGTGGGGACGAGGCAGGATAACATCCAAGTGCCCAGCCAGCTGGTCTGCGGTGTGCAGCTTGTTTCAGCGGTCAAACGCGTTGGCAGCGAGTCGCTGATCATGTAACTTGACGCATCGAAGGTGTGACTGGGAGTGTGGAGACGCTAGTCAGCAATTCAGCTAGCTGCCTTTAGGCGCGCGGGTTGCTAAGCCAATAGAGGGTCAGAATATAAGCGCCAAGCTTTAGGGTCGGGGTAAGGGCTAGCCGCATACGAGCTAGCGCTGTTCAATGCGTCCACGTGCCACACACCAGGCACGAAGGTTTCATTCAACATCGTCTTTGTTGGCCGTGCAGCACAGCCGAGCAGTGTTCTCCGAGCAGCGAACTATAGCAGCACACGTATTGCACCGCACACAATAGATGGGAGGTGAGTCACTGGGCTTGGGGCCGCCTGTGGATCCGTTTTCCTATTACGGCGCTCCTATTGCAAGGGACCAGTCAGCCTCCCTGTGCCCTTCTGCAACGCGAACGGTGCAGACATGGGCTGCGAGCGTGGGGCAGGCTTTTCTGGTCACCTTCATGCCTGTCGCCCATGCTCGCATGGAGCCGGGGTCTACAAACCCGAGCGAGCGAGCTTCAATGCGGCTTGATAATCACAACATCGACGAGATAATGGTATGTATCGTATGGTCACGGACAGGCCTGACACTTCTAGACCCGTAATTTATTTTTCGCTCGCGAAGCTTATCTACCCTTTACATTCGCGCTAGGCCCAAACAGGCTCTAGCAGCGCTGCCAATTCACCACGCGTTTGGCCAATTTTGACCGCCAGACTGCCATTCCGCGACTGCGAGGGCGACCAACCTCGAGCAGCGCCTGGGAGACCGTGAGAGAGCAGCAGCGAGATATTCCTGTCGCCGTCCCACCGAGCCAGCTTGAGAATCGCGTGCCCGCCCTCCGTCTTGCCAGCAATCAATACACCGCCCATACATGTCTCAACATGTAAACTGACAGGCGCAGCGGCTTCGTCGCCGTTTCATGACTGGGGCTCCACTCCCGCTAGCCAGAACTGTGGAGCCTACCAGCGCCGGTACTCGGCTGGTCACGCGCCCGTACCGTCTCGTTTGTTTTTCGGGTTTTCCCTGTCGACGAGAAGACTGGCAGCCGCATCAGACCTGGGGAGCCATTATTCTGCCCGTTAAAGGAGGGCCTCACTGGCCGCGGATGGGCCCTGCGGTCGATCGTCGAGTACCCGGCCGGGGCACCTGCCGTCTGGGGTTTCGAATTATTGGCTTTATGTATCACGCAATTGAGCCGAGAAATCAACTGCTGCCTCCCTTGCCACCAGGCGAAGTCTGCACCGATAGGATGCATGGATCAACTGTTACTAGCTTGGGAATGATGAGAGATCAAGCCCAAATGCTTGGCTCTGGCTCCCCGTCGCTTCTGCTCAAGCCATATATAACCCCCTCCATTGCCTCGTTTTTGGTCTTTGACTATCGCTTTGCCAGGTCACCAGGGGTGGCATTCTCCTACAATACTTCATAGTTACTCATACTAGCGTTGAAATAGTTAACTTTTGTTACCTATTGTTTGGTACTTTATCTGCCTGGAGTTTTTTTTTTTTTTTTTCTCCTTCTTGCTGTTCTCTCTCCCTACTACTATCTAGAGCTTGCCACCCAAATTTCATTTTTCTACTGATTGAATCACAACAAGGCGCCATGGCTACTACAAAGCAGCCTAACATCCTCTACATCATGGCGGACCAGATGGCCGCACCCCTGTTATCAATTTATGACCCTTCCTCCCCAATCAAAACACCCAATATCGAGAAGCTTGCAGAATCTGGTGTGGTGTTTGAATCAGCATATTGCAATTCTCCACTCTGTGCTCCCTCGCGCTTCACCATGGTCAGCGGACAGCTGCCCTCTCGTATTGGAGGCTACGACAATGCTAGTGACCTTCCTGCCGACACCCCTACGTATGCACATTACCTGCGAGCGCAAGGGTATCACACTGCGCTATCTGGCAAAATGCACTTTGCTGGCCCTGATCAGCTGCATGGATATGAGGAGCGGTTGACAAGTGATATCTACCCTGGCGATTATGGGTGGACTGTGGATTGGGACCAGCCGGTGAGTTAAGAATGCCGAGTTTTGAACAGATTCAATATGATGTAATATCCCATTTCGCGTCGCATGGCCTGATGGTGATTGATTATGTCATTTGCACAAGTTCATGAATTGTTAACACTAAATTTTCATGTGCACAGGAACTTCGCAAAGATTGGTACCATGATATGTCATCTGTGATGGAAGCTGGGCCATGCGTTCGCAGTAACCAGCTTGATTTTGATGATGAAGTCGTTCACAAAGCGACCCAGTATCTATACGACCATGTTCGTTATCGGGAAGGCCAGCCATTCTGTCTTACCGTTTCAATGACACACCCCCATGATCCATATACCATGACCAAAGATTATTGGGATATGTATGAGGACGTCGAAATTCCCCTTCCCAAGACGCCTGCTCTCCCTCAAAACAAGCACGATCCTCACTCGCAACGTGTGCTGAAAATTGTCGATCTTTGGGGGAAAGAAATCCCCGAAGAGCGTATCAAGGCTGCACGTCGTGCATACTTTGCCGCTTGCACTTATGTGGATACTCAGATCGGGAAGCTGATGAGTGTTTTGAAAAATTGTGGCGTTGCTGATGATACCATTGTTGTATTTACCGGAGACCACGGTGATATGCTTGGAGAGAAAGGCTTGTGGTACAAGATGGTTTGGTATGAAATGTCTGCCAGGGTGCCCATGATTGTTTTTGCTCCTGGAAAGTATCAAGCAAGGCGGGTCAAGGAGAATGTATCTACTATGGATTTGCTCCCTACATTTGTTGCAATGAGTGGTGCATCTGTTGACCCTACTTTGCCTCTTGATGGCGTCTCACTGATGCCCTACCTCGATGAGAACTCCGACGGTGAGAAGACTGATACAGTTCTAGGGGAATACATGGCAGAAGGTACATTGGCTCCAGTAGTCATGATCCGTCGTGGTCCTTGGAAATTCATCTACTCACCTCTCGACCCACCTATGATTTTTAACGTGGAAACCGATCCTGCAGAGTCTGTTAATCTTGCTGAAGGGCTCCAACTCCCATCCCATTTTACAGCCACTAAAGACGGCTCCTCTCCTACCACTCAGCAAACTACTCGCCCTGCATCACTTCCCACCCCCGCAACCTCCCCTAGCCCTCAAGCATTCCTACTACCCTTCTTTTCCCAATCAAACACACCTAGCCCTTCTGTCTATACCCCTCCCCGCAGCCCAAGTCCCAACAAAGCCTCGATCGCCGCTGGCCGCTCTGCCGACCAAAATGACATACCCACCCTTCTTGCAGAATTCTTGAAAGAAGTCCATGCTCGCTGGGATTTCAAGCTTCTTCAAGAGCAAGTCCTACAGTCCCAGCGTCGACGGCGCTTAGTGTATTCTGCGCTGACTAAAGGCAAAATCACGGCATGGGACTATACCCCTCTTGCCGATGGCAGCCAGATGTACATCCGCAATGTCGGCCAAACCGCACTCGGCAACGTCGAACACTTGAACCGGTGGCCTAGAGTTGGGAGGGAGGTGCAGTATCGACCATAAAGGAAACTTTGGCTGGCTCTTCATGTGCAACTGAGAATGAGATAACCAGCAGTGTGGAGATGGACCTACAATGGCGCATTTCCTTGGACAAGAAATACTTACCAAAAAAGAACAAAAAAACAACAGAAAAATCTTGCGAAACTAGTTACAATATCTCGTGGGGATTGGGACAGGAGGAAATGAATGAAATTGCAACAAAAAAATGGGAAAAATCACAAAACCCTTCTAATATTCGTGGGATATGCTATCTGGCATGTCCTCTGGTGTGGCTGGCCTATGAAAGCGCAGAGTGGGGCAGGATAGACTCTGTGTAGATACCTTTACCTATGTCTAGCTTGAGCAGTTCTTTACTCTGTATCTGTCATCTAAAGTGCCTGATAGTTAGATAAAATGAAGAGGACACTTATACTTGTACAGCTCTCATCAGCCCCGTGCTGCATGGCGATTCGAGGTGGCGATTGAGAACCCTCTCCGGCCGTAGTGAGCCCGCCAGTCAGTTACCCCTGTTGCCACCATGGACCAGAGAATCCCATAGCCCAAACATACTTTGCACAACATCGATAAATTGCCACTGGAATGGCTCAGGAGTCGTCGGTATTAGTTAAAGCAGCGGTACCTCGCGCCTTGAAGAAGCTAGTGGGGCCTCGACGGCCAACTCCGACCGCCAGTAGTTATCTTCCAAGAACCCCATGGCCTCAGCGGCTGAACGTCGTTCGCGGAGAAGATTTCTCTTTCCATAGGCATACGAGGTCTTAGGAGTTCGCCTGGGATCTACTGCGTTTACTCTGACAGCTATATAGCCTCCTAACTCCTTATCGTTCTTTTGACTATCGATACTGCTTCAATGATATCCCTCTTTTGATATTTCTACCTAAAGGCTGTCCTGCTTTTCTTTTGGATACACTAGGCTATTACCAAAGCCTTTCATCTGATTGTGACTTTTTTCATCCCATATCAAGAAGGGAGGCCAAAAATACTATTATGAACGGCAACAGATTTAGTGACCCTCCAGGCAACTGTGCCCGTACAATTTACCATGGAACGTTCATTCATTTACCACGTATGCCAGACATAGAGGCAACTCCAGAATCTGCCCCAAAATATCACTTGATTGTCAATCATGGCGCCCTATGGGTGAACACTTCCAGTGGGAGAATTGAAGGGTTTGACTGGAATGTGAATGGCGACAAGGAGCTAGATGTGCTGATTGAGAAACATGGATGGAAAGTGACTGAAAATGAAAATGCAGAGAACTCTGTGAATATCATAAAATCCAGGGATGCGAAAAATGGCTTTTTCTTTCCAGGTTTTGTGGGTATGTTATCTCTCCATTCTGTAGCATAGTCCAGACAGGAAGAAAAATTGTATAGTTTAGCAGTGTGTGCATTACTAGAATGTGCTATTGCTCTTATCTGCTTCTATCGTATCATTCGTAATGGTAACCGGGTGGAAAGTGCTGACATTCTATATAGATACCCATATCCACGCACCGCAGTACCCAAACTCTGGAATTTTTGGCTCTTCTACCCTCTTGGATTGGCTGGAAACCTATACGTTCCCTTTGGAATCATCATTTGGAATTAAGGAACACCCTGATACTGTTCCCCAATCGGCTCATGTGGTATATAATAGGGTTGTGTCTCGGACTCTATCCCATGGCACTACCTGTGCAGCGTATTTTGCCACAATCCACCTCCCAGCTACTAATCTTCTAGCGGATATCTGCTATGCTCGTGGACAACGGGCATTCATCGGCCGCGTATGTATGGACGAACCCCAGACATGTCCGGACTTCTATCGTGATGAGTCTAGCGAGCAATGTGTAGCGGCTGCACGGGCCTCAATTGCATATATCCGATCTCTAGATCCAAACGCCGCCCTCGTTTATCCAATAATCACCCCTCGGTTTGCTCCATCTTGCACTTCTGCCTCTCTTATGGGCCTTGGTGCATTGGCGGCATCCACTACGCCGCCAACGTCCATCCAGACACATATTTCAGAGAATAAAGATGAGATAGATTTGGTCTTGTCCCTTTTTCCAGAAAACACTAGCTATGCTGATGTCTACGACAAGTTCAATCTTCTCACTCCGCATACCATTCTTGCACATGGCGTTCACCTTACGGAGCCCGAAAGAGCTTTGATCCATTCCCGAGGCTCCGCAATCTCCCACTGCCCTGCGTCCAACTCAGCCATTGGCTCTGGATTATGCCCAGTTCGAACCCTCCTAGATGATGGTATTCCTGTTGGATTGGGTACCGATGTGAGTGGCGGGTATAATCCAAGCATCTTGGAAGCTGCCAGACAAGCATGCCTGGTGTCCAGGCTCCTCTCCTTCCAGAATGGCAACACGGGAAATACCGTTTCTGGTGGGAAAGGGCGCGAGAAGCTGAGCGTAGAAGAGGCCCTCCATCTAGCGACACGTGGTGGAGCAAAAGTAGTGGGAATGGAGGACGATATAGGGGGATTTGATGTGGGGATGTACTGGGATGCGCAGTTGATCGAGCTGGGTGGAACCGTGGATGTGACCAGAGAGAATTGGAATCATGGAAGTGTAGATATTTTTGGCTGGGAGAAGACTGAAGAAAAGATTGCCAAATGGATGTGGTGTGGTGATGATCGCAACATAAGAGCTGTCTGGGTGGGAGGAAGATTAGTTCATGGGGAGGTGCCAGACTTTTGATATATGCTATTTAGACCATAGAATTTCCAAATGATTTAGACTCTCTTACAGTTGAGCTGTAACAAAACAGTCCATGACTCTATACATTTCTTTTAGATATTTTCCAGTCACTTCTCTAGTGTCTATATAGACGAAATTCTGTGTGAATTCAAAGACAAGCATATAAGGATAAAACTATTGGTTTTAATAGCAAGGTCAGTCTATCATGACAATCATAGGAGGGTATTAATATAATAAGTCTTTTGGTTTAAATGGCAATTGTGTTGAAACAAACACGTGCATCTCAGGTGCGACTCAAGACATGTTTGATGCTTTTGACTGTTTATTTGTACACGTGACAGGAGGGGAAATGAAGAAGGAACAAAAGGGTTCATCAAGACAACTAAGGTGAGGTTTTTGTGGTATCCAGGAATGTTAAAAGGACCAAGATCTTAGGATGGGTTGAAGGACAATAAGGTACGTTTATGAGGTATCTTCGACGGGCCCACAGGTACAGAAGAGATTCTGATCACCAAATGCTAGAGAGAGTTGAATTAGTGATATTATTCCTAAAATATATTGGGCAGGGTAACTTACCATCATCAACTCGTGTCACGCTAGGCCAGAATTTCTTTTCTAGGAGCCAAGGCACGGGGTATGCAGCCTTTTCCCGCGAGTAAGGGCGGTCCCATTCTGAAGACAGAAGATCCCGCTGGGTATGGGGAGCCATCTTCAAAACATTGTTAGCCTTAGGCTGCTCGCCACGCTCAACAGCTGCGATTTCTTCGCGGATGGAGATTAGGGCGTCGCAGAATCGGTCAAGTTCGGCTTTAGGCTCGGACTCCGTGGGCTCAATCATCAGAGTGTTTGCTACGGGCCAGGACATAGTTGGGGCATGGAAGCCATAATCTTGCAGACGCTTGGCAATATCAATGGCCTCAACACCAGCAGTTGCCTTGAATTTTCGGACGTCCAGAATGAACTCATGAGCACAGCGACCGTTTTCGTTGGTATAGAGGATTGGATAGTGAGGCTTTAGGCGGGAGAGAATATAGTTGGCATTCAGAAGAGTGATCTTGGTAGCATGGGTGAGACCCTTCGAGCCCATCATGTTGATGTACGAGAAGGTGATCGGCAGGATGCTTGCACTTCCAAATGGAGCAGCTGAGATTGGAGGCGAGTCCACATTTGCAGGTCGTTTGGCTAAAAGGGATTCACTCAAAGGATGGGATGGAAGGAATGGTCGAAGATGTTCCGCGACGCCGATAGGTCCAACTCCTGGGCCTCCACCTCCGTGAGGAATACAGAAAGTCTTATGGAGGTTAAGGTGGCACACGTCGGCTCCAATTTCACCTGGAGAGCAGAGGCCAATCTGTGCATTCATGTTGGCACCATCCATATACACCTGGCCACCAAATTCGTGAACGATGTCACAAACTTCCTTGATAGTGGGCTCATAGACACCAAAGGTGCTAGGATAAGTAATCATGATGGCTCCTAGTTCATCTTTATGTTTCTGACACTTTGCTCGAAGATCTGTGACGTCAAGATTTCCAGTAGCAGTGTCACACTTCACTGGAACAACCTTCATTCCCGCCATGGCAGCACTGGCGGGGTTCGTTCCGTGTGCAGAGACGGGAATCAAGCAGATATTTCGCTTTCCAGGTTCACCAAGACTGTCCTGGTATTTCTTAATCACCCGCAGACCAGCAAATTCACCCTGAGCGCCTGAGTTAGGCTGAATGGTAACTTCAGCCATACCGGTGATATCGGCCAGTTGCTGCTCAAGGTCTTCGACCATGTCGACGTAACCCTGGACCTTTTCTGCAGGGGTAAAGGGGTGCACAGTCGAGAACTCAGGCCATGTAACAGGTACCATTTCGGTCGTGGCATTCAATTTCATGGTGCAAGAGCCAAGAGGGATCATAGAGTGAGCGAGGGAGAGATCCTTGGACACGAGATGCTGCATATATCGGAGCATTTCTGTCTCAGAGTGATGAGTGTTGAATACCGGATGGGTAAGGAAGGTAGAAGTCCGTTTAACGGGTTCGGGAATTTCAACTGAGGGTATATCTTTGCTGAGATCCAAAGTTTCGGCGCCCTTTTTCGAAGAGAGGTTCGCAAAAACGGCGAGAAGCTCCTTCAGCTCATCCACACCAACACCCTCGTTTAAGGAAATGCCAACTTTAGTTGGGTCTACTCGTCGAAGGTAGATGCCAGCATCCAAGGCTGATGAAACAATTGCGTCCGCTTCTGAGCTGTTTTTCGCCTCCACAACGACAGTATCGAATACAGCGTTCCCTCTGACAGGTACATTGAAGCCTAGGAGCTGTAATTTGTTGCGGAGCAGAGAAGTCATTGCCATGATACGCTCGGCGATGGCCTTAAGACCCTGTGGCCCATGATACACTGCATACATGGCAGTCATATTAGCCAGCAGTGCTTGAGCAGTGCAAATATTGCTGGTGGCTTTTTCTCGTCGAATATGCTGTTCACGAGTCTGGAGCGCAAGCCGCAAGGCACGGTTTCCGAGACGGTCTTTTGAAACACCAACGATACGGCCTGGGATTTTACGTTTATACTTGTCGGTACAGGCGAAGAAAGCAGCATGGGGGCCGCCAAAACCCATGGGCACACCGAGTCTTTGCGCATTTCCAAAGGCAATATCGGCGCCAAACTCCCCTGGGGCCTTGAGAACGGTCAATGCCAAAAGGTCAGTTGCAACGGAGAATGTGCCGCCTTGTGCGTGAATCTTCTCGCCCAGAGTTTTAAAGTCGAGAATGCCTCCCTCGGTATCAGGATACTGCGCGAGGACACCAATCAATCTGTCACCCTGGTCTTTCACGATCTTAAAGTTCTCGGCCATAATATCACCAATTTCCAATTTGATTCCAAACCCCTCAGCGCGTGACTTCATGACAGCAATTGTTTGCGGGTGGCATAGGTGGGATACAACAAACACTTTGTTCTCTAGCTTTTGCTTATTAATAGGGAGATTCGCCCATGACATGGTCATGGCTTCGGCAGCAGCAGTTCCTTCATCGAGCACGGATGCATTTGCGACAGGCAGGCCGGTCAGATCGGCTGTCAAAGTTTGGAAATTCAATAGGGATTCAAGGCGACCTTGACTAATCTCGGGTTGGTAGGGTGTGTAGCTCGTGTACCAAGCGGGATTCTCCAGGACATTCCGCTGAATAACAGGGGGAACGACAGTGGGATGATAGCCACATCCGATATAAGATTTCCCCGTCACATCAATTTTCTTGGTGTATGATTCTAGGAATTTGATCATGTCTTTCTCCCCCAGACCACCAAGGATGCCATCTTTTCGGAGCTCTGCAGAGGCTTTCGGCTCGGTCACAGAGAGGTTCTTAGCAGTCAGAATATCCACAGGTAGCACCTGCTTCACAAAATCGTCGAGACTTTTGGCTGGAGGATCCAATACTCCGAGCATTTGCTCGGTGGCATCGGCACCAGGCCCAATGTGCCGGCGGGGGAAGGTGTCAAGGGGCGAGTGAAGGTCGCGGGGTTGAAGTTTATCAACATCTCCACTGGAACTTGAGTGCACTGTTCGACGAGCAGCGGTTGTGTGCTGGAGGCGGGCCAATTGGAGGCATTGCCTGCAGGCGGTGGACGGAGAAACGCGGGAGGCTCTCAGCGAGGCAGTACGGAGGGGATTGAACGCCAGCGGACGAGCTCCAGCACGGAGCAGTGAGAGCGGTACAACCATTGCTACCGAATGTGCAGAATTCGCAAATCGGCCGCAGGGAGCAGAGGCAGCGTACCCCGATGGGTCAACACGATCAAGGATGCCGAAGTCCCAACAATTGAAACGAATTGAATCACAATACCCTTAAAAACGACCGTGGAGTTGATGTAGTGGACGCAACGACAGAGAACTGTCAAGAAAACAACAAGGAAGAAAGAATAGAGGGGCAGGGTCAGGCCTATGTCACCATCCGCATCATGCCGGACGAGCACCCAGAATTAATTGTCGGAGAGATCGTTTTGGTGGTGGCCGGCCGGGGAGAGCGCCGCGCGTGATTGGCTGGGTAGTGCAGGCAAACCTCGGCCGAGATCAACGGCAGCGTCACGTGGGATACGGGCGGCCGAAATACTGCTGAGTCAGCTTGCTATGGAATATCAATGGGAGCCGTGATTGGCCCGGCGGGTGTGGTTGTGAGAATAAGCGCCGAGCCTAGCCTGAAATGGTAAGCTCCGATAACCTGATGGGCATCACGTTATCAGATAAGAATTTTTCCTTCTCCGACGGGCAACTTGGGACTCCGATTGGTTCTGCGGCGCACACAGTTTCCCGACAGCCGGCGGCGGGTGTGACTGCAGCTCATATTTAAGGCGGCAGAGGGTTTAGACCGACGCTTTTGCGACCTGAGCAAGCTATCTCGAAGCTGCGCTTGCAGACCCTAACTAGCCGGACGCGGAGTACGAGATACCTGGAATTTCGGTGGCCGTGATGCCTGGTGGCGCACTTAAGTGCGGAATTATGCCGGATTTTTTATTAATCCAGTGTATTCTTCAGGGCGGGGAAGACTGGAAGTCCGCGCCCTTTGACCAGAAATGTCTGACTTTAGCTGCGTGGCGGGCGTTCCTTAGGTGAAGCTTAGAGATGCTCTGTGTGCGCATGTTGAGCAAACAGGTCATTATTCTCCCTAAGATCTTTGTATATACCCGCCTGTAAACCCCGCCGCCTCCGATTCACATTTCCCAAGGCATTCTTGACATTAGATCGACTTATCAGCATGGACGCAGAGCAGTTCCGGAGAGCTGCTCAGTCAGCCGTTGAAGACAGTAAGCTGCGTCGATGCCGAATAAGATCAATTCCCAGCTTACAGGTCTTCTCCAGTTATTCAGCACTTCAATACCCTTCCATCCCGTCGAGTTATTCCTGATATCGAGCCCGGGTACCTCCGCCCACTGATTCCGCAATCCGCCCCGACAGAACCGGAGACTTGGGAACAAATACAGCAGGATATCGACTCCCAGATAAAACCGGGCCTGACACACTGGCAATCTCCCCATTTCATGGCTTTTTTCCCGGCACTAACGACTTATCCCAGCATGCTGGGTGAGTTATATTCGGCAGCATTCAGCGCGCCTGCTTTTAATTGGCTGTGTTCGCCTGCTTGTACAGAATTGGAGATTGTTGTACTAGATTGGGTTGCGCAGGTTATTGGACTGCCGGGGTGTTTCCACAGCTCTAATAAGACGGGTGGCGGCGGAGTTATTCAGGGCAGTGCTAGCGAAGCGGTGGTCACGGTCATGGTGGCCGCTCGAGAGAGAATGCTTCGCGATCTTGCGGCTGCCAAGGGTCTCAAAGAGGATACGCCCGAATGGGAGGATGAGATCATGTCTGTTCGTGGTAGCCTTGTGGCGTTAGGAAGCGACCAGGCTCACAGTTGCACTGCTAAAGGCGCTCGTATCGTTGGAACTCGCTATCGCTCAGTGCCCACGAGCCTCGAAGAGAATTTTGAAATGACCGGAGCTTCGCTGCGTAAGGTCCTTGAAGAGTGCGAAACTGCTGGGTTAGTGCCGTACTACATAACGACGACCATGGGTACAACGAGTACATGTGCAACAGACCGTTTTGCGGAAATCAAGGCCGTTCTTGCATCGAAGCCCTCGTGGCAGAAGATATGGGTGCACATTGACGCGGCCTTCGCTGGCGCTGCTCTCATCACGCCCGAACACCAACCCATCGCAGATGAATGGAGTTCTGGAATCGACAGTTTTAACTTCAACATGCATAAATGGCTCCTGGTCAACTTCGATGCTAGCTGCTTGTTCGTCCGAGCAAGAACTGATCTCACATCTGCCATGGATATCACACCCGCGTACCTCCGCAATCCGTACTCCGACCGGCCTGACACGGTGGACTTCCGAAACTGGCAAATTCCTCTAGGACGACGGTTTCGTGCCTTAAAGATCTGGCTTGTAATGCGCGTATACGGGGTCACGGCAATGAGAGCCTTCATCTACAAGGGTTTGCATCATGGCGACGTCTTCAGTAAACTGTTTCGTAGCAGGACGGATTTGTTCACCATTGTGACTCCGCCGGCATACGGACTGACCGTCTTCAGAGTCTCAGATGATTCTGCTGCGGCAGTGGGAAGTACCAGTGCCGCCATCTCACAGCAACTATATGAGACAATCAACGCCAATGGAGATATTTTTATAACATCATCAGTGGTCGGAGGAATCTATGTTATCCGGGTAGTGAGCGCCTCGTTGTTGTCGGAGGAAAAGTACGTGCGTGAAGCTTTTGATATCATCGTACGAACGACAGAGGAGACCCTTTTAGGCACGAAAACAGGTGGACCAAGTGGCTTAGACAATTAACGTTGGGGAACTGGGCGTTCAATGGTGTGCATTGAAAGGATTGAGCATATATAGAGTATAGTTATAGAAGCAATCTAAAGCCCAAGGATTTCAATTTAACAGTATATATTGATAACCAGAGTCAAACTTATTACTGCAGTGAACATGGACTATGTATTTTGACCGGTGAGCTAAAACTCCTCTGAGGTTTGGCTTTGTAGGTTTGCAAGTTTCACCGCAATCCCATGCTAATCATTGCCTTATATTGTCACCGGCCAGAAACAATATTTCCTCATTCCATTCCCCATCCACAAATATGCTAGTTATTTCGCATTTCGGCCAACCGATATAGGTTGAAGATAGACGTACGGAGTACGGGGTAGACGTTGAGGAATAGATAAACCACCAATTCCCTTCGGGGTCTAGATCCTGCGGGATGGGTGCGGTCCGGCGCGGCAATTCCTTTGTCTATCCTAGTACTGTAAGCCAGCTGGAAAGTATGGCGTTTATCGTATCTGGAAGTGGTGCAAGTATGTGGTGATTGGCGAGATGATTGGCCTTTAAGGACTCTACAAGCTGTTCTCTCGTCCCCACGGCATCTGAGCGTGCCAATCCCGACAGCAAAGGAACTCCTGACAAATATTCCAGCTTGAGGCTTGGTGGGATTTCAAGAGAAGAAGTTATCCCCAGCTTTTTGAAAATCTGGGTCTATATGGGAAGAAAGGTCAAACCAGTGCAAACCGGCTCTAAACCACACGCCCTCGCAAGGCTGATACCGGTGCAGCTCGCCTAGCACCAACCAACAAGGTCAGGCAATTCCAAGTCTGATTCCAACAGAATTTATTCTACCCATTCGGATGCTCTGCGTCTCCGGGTGGAACGATAATCAGTAGAGTTCAAGCCCTGGCGTTTTGTATAGCAGAGCCCAACATCTTGGCCTTCAAAAAGGAGGGCCTAATATGGTTGGGTATGTTGAAATACCCTGGCCGACACTTCGAGCATGTAATGCCGAAAAAAAGCATTCCTTGGTTTAAAGGAATTGGCCAACAAGAATGGAATATAGGCTTGGTGTTACCAACAACCTGGCTCCCATCAAGCAATTTGCTATGTCCGTACCGGTAAGATGCGCATCCTAGAATGTCTCAAGCAAATCCATATATTCAAACGCACCAAGCCAAGTCCTCCCCTTTCACAGGGCCCGTTATATATGTATCTTGAGGCTGTAGATTGGACAGACCATCTCATGCGGAAAATCTGTTGACGGCGGAAGACGGTTAGTTTCACTCAAACGTACATCAAAGGATGTAGTTCGAATTATTTGTTATATTTGTGCGAACATCTTTAGTCGGAGAAGGAGGTTCCTAGGGCTGACGGAAGCCAAAGGGAGGTGTGAAAAGGGCTGCGGCCGTCAAGCGATCTTGAACTGTGGGGTACAAGAAGAACAGGAGAGCGTAGAGGCAACGTTACTCTGTCCGTATATGCCTGCGAAATAAAATTTGATACGCCTGCTAGCATGTACTCTATCTCAAAGTTCGATATTCTGCTATATAACTGAAGTCATGTGCCCAAGTTGCCTGCCAAAAGAACAATCGGTAAGTCCATGCTATGGACTTAAGGCCAACCGTTAGACATAATACCGACAGCTAGAATGCTTCTTTAAGAATGTGCGAATAAAACATTTAATAATAGAAGAAAGCTGAAGAACTTTTTATGCGGGTCTGAAGGGCGGATGTAGAAGGCTTCGGTATCCTTGCCAAACTTCCATGGTGTTCCAGAAGGCAGTGGTCTTATATACACAGGGGTAAGTCTTCGATGGCACCATGTCTAGACAAGGATGTCGAGAGAGACATGCAGCAGCTGACGAATGATAATGGCATCTGCTCTTGGTCTGAAATTGCTGGTGGCTGGCAAAGCGCGTGGCCTTTCTTCTTGTTAACTACAATCTCCACATTTATATTATCTACCCCAGCATCCACTGCGAACCTAAAGCAGTGCTACAGTAATACTCTATGCACCTAGCTGACTCTCCTGTAGAACCCACCTACGCTTGTGGGAAGACTGAAGGGGCCGGAGGAATATTTATGATTTAAGAAGCAGAGCTTCCTTTTGAATCCTGTTTACTCTGTAGCAGAGCATCATGGATCGATCTTACGAGATAAGATCGAAGTTCTTGGTACGGAAGGCGGCCTTCTTTGTTTTACAAGACACTTCAAGGCCAGATACCGGGTAGAGCCACGGCACACACAAGACGGCTCTATGCAGCATAACTGCACTGCAGAAATAACGATGAGTAACAGTCAATCTGCCTCTGCTTGATAAGGAGTATGGCCCAGCATTGGCCCCCTTTGGGGGCATATGGGGCTGAAAAAGGCTTTCACCGACGGGCTTCTGGTTCTAGTCTTCTTGCTGATCGTTAATGTGGATGGGATCCCTTTGCGGCTTCGCAGAATCATACAGAGAATGATAAAGCTGTACTCCGTACTGCTTAAGGGGGCGGAAAAGTCTTCAGCAGGAAGTGCTGGATCAGGCTGGTTGACTGAAGGAGCTTGAGCAAATAATAATACGGAGTAGATTCCAGAGAAAAAAAAGCCACGTCCATCTGAGACGGGGAGCCAATCCTTCCAAGCAGGCTCGCAGATACATCCCTTTTCCGACAATGTATGAGTAATAGCGGCCAACGCCAATTAACTGGCTGTGTTGTTGGCTTTCAAAAAGCCAACGCCGAGCTACGCCACGGGCAAGAGTTGGATTGCTGTTACATATGCCCGGTCTGCGGCGGCGGCGGGTGGAGATGTCGTCGGCCAGGGCCAGATGAGGTACGCGGCGGCGGCGGTGATGCCTTTACGGGCTGAGATCCTGAGGGAGTGCGGCGGCCAATCAGCGCGCGCATGCTGCCGCCCCACCACCCCCTGGCCGAAGAGGCCCTAGTCCTTCCCTGGACTAGCGCGGTTACATCCGGCTAGGCGACTCCTGAGTCACGTGCGGTGGTTTCAGAACTTGGCCAGCGTGTCCTTTATAAAAGGGAGGCGCCGACCCAGGCTGGCACTCGACTCGCCAACAAAGAAAGAACAGGCTGGCCTCTTCCGCTTTCTGTTCTCCCGCGTCGCTGCCCCGCGTGACTCGTCATGCTCTGTCAGCCGCCGTAGTGCCATCGTGGCCTCAGCATCACTGCTCCCTGACATCCACCCGCCCCTCTAGCTTCACAGTCCTGGTGACTAGCCGACACCTCCACCGGCGATAACTGTTGTCGACTACACTGTCAATCATGGACTCGACCTTCTCGACCTTCGACTCGATGTCGTTGCCCGGATCAGATGTTCCCCAACTTACCATCTCGCCGGCTGAAACGACTGTCAAACCAGATGATCTTGTCGCAGAAACGGGCCTCGAGGCCTCTCCGAAGCCAGAGGAGAAAAAGCCCGTAAAGAAGAGAAAGTCATGGGGTCAAGAGTTGCCCACCCCAAAGACGAATCTTCCTCCAAGGTCAGTTCTATCCAAACCTGGGGTGGTAGGTGATAATGTACTGACGTCTCGTAGAAAACGAGCTAAGACTGAGGACGAGAAGGAGCAACGACGAATTGAACGAGTTCTTCGAAACCGAGCTGCGGCCCAGATTTCGCGGGAACGCAAGAGGCTGGAAATCGAAAAATTGGAAACCGAAAAAGCCAAGATGGAACAGCAGAACCGCGTTCTTCTTCAGCGCCTAGCACAGATGGAGGCAGAGAACAATCGCCTAAGTCAACAAGTCGCCCAGCTATCCACCGAAATCCGCAGCTCTCGAGGGGCTTCGCCTCAATCCTCTGTGTCCGCTCCCTCACCAACCCTCTCCCCTATCCTTTTCAAACACGATAACGAGGAGTTGATCATCGAGAAAACCCTTATCCCTTCCCCACCAACCACCGTCTACTCCCCGATGACGACCGTCATCGATTCCATCGAAACCTCCGATATGACACAACATCCTGCCGCGGTGTTGTGTGACCTGCAGTGTCAATCGGAGGAATCGGCGGACCAGATGACGGTCTCGATCAATCAATCTTCAACCCAGCATCCAGTCTATGCACTCATGCTGCAAGTCATTCTGCAGCACCTCTTAGTGACGATGACTTCCGCCGCCTATTCGACGGTGATTCTCCCGTTGAACCAGATCTTTCGTTCCTTGAAGATGGGATCTCCTTTAACATTTTCCCGGATGGAGATCTCCCGTCACTTGCCTTTGATTCTATGGTTGATTTCGACCCCGAACCTGGTAAAGTCGAAGACTCCGCGTCAGCGATCGGTCTTCCGGATCCGGCTTCTCACTCGACTTCTGGCTTGCAGCCCAGCTATGGCGCGTCCACTCAGAGATGCGACGAGCAAGGCATTGCAGCTAGCGGTGCGTGAGTCTCAACGATCTGGCAGCTCTCGATTTATGGCCCAGGACTATCGATCCAGTCAGAGTTGGGAGTTGTTGATGACTACACTCTGGGCAACCGATCAAATTACAAGATCTGAAAATCTCCCTTCCCATAAATCTTTACGAGGGCGGAATGGAACAGCCAGAGCGGCACATTATGCCAGGGCCAAGCAATTCTTTCTACGTCGTTCACGGAGTTCGAGGAGTATGATGGACTATGATGGGCATTCCGGGTTTTAGCATATGTATCAAGGCCTGGTGGTGTCTTGGGAGGCAGGATGTCTTCCGAGTTCAATTTCATAATTTGTCTTTTAGAATGTAGATTTAGTAGTTGGATCCATTTGACAAGACCATTCTCTCTATAATTTCGCTTCGTGCAGCACCTTTTTTCACTGGCCTTTCTTTCACTTGGGTTCTGAGTGTCCTTTTTTGCCCAGCGGCGTGGGGTGTCACGTGATTGATGACATGACGCACGCCTGCAGGCACCATCGAATTGCCGCTCCTGCCCAACAAGACATTATCTCTCGCTGTCTCGATATACAAACCCATATTCCCTCTTTCCGAGGGCGGTTTTTGAACTTGGCCAATTGCTCTTATCCCGGGAATACGTATATATCGCGGAACAACATCCACAGCAAAAATGGGGATGCGAGATCCCCTCCTTGAGGCTATGGCTGAAGTCAAGGTAATTTAGCAAAGCTACTCTTTCTTTATTCCAAAAAAGGCCGATGTTTCATACACCGTGCCCAGATCCTTCGTATTTAGCTAATATGGAGGTTTCTCAACAACACAGGTCAACGCCAACCAGCTTCGCAAACAAGCCGTCAAAGCCGAAGCCATGTCAAGGTCGCAAGAGGACAAAGCAACCAAAGCTCTAAAAAAGGGCCAATTCCAGATCTCCCGCATCCACGCCGGCTCCGCGATCAGGGAAAAACGCCGCTCCGTCACCCTGCTCTCTAAGGCCGCCGAGGCGGACGTCATCTACTCTGACCTTGCGGCGGCGAAATCAACGCGAGACTCGACGAGGTCATTGGTGAAAGCGTCCAAGGCCCTGGAATCGGCGAGCAGGAGTATAAATCTGGAGCGCACGCTGGCGATTGCGAATGCGTTCGTGGCGCGGTCCGAGGACTTCAAGCTAGCCGGATCCGCGTTGGAAGGTGTCTCAAGAGACGTCCAGATGGCGGAATATGGGGCGGAGGGCGAGGAGGAAGTTGACAAGTTGATGGAGAGGCTTGCGGACAATGCGGGTGTGGATCTGAGGCAGAATTTGGAGGAGAATGCAGCGCCCAATGATGAGATTGGTGTCAAGGCTGGAAAGCAAAAAGAGGCTGACTTCGAGGATGGTTTGGCGGGAAGACTGAGAGCATTGAGGTCATAGATGCCACTATTGCCCCCGCGCTGGCCCTGTCACTTTCGAATGGCTTGGATCCGATGAAAGGCCGGATACGCATCTTTTTCTCTGCATTTCGGCTTGATTTTTGGAGTTCTGGACCGGCACCGAAGGGTTATCATTTCTAGATCGAGAGGTTACATAACGAATTCATGAAATTTCAAAATCGCCTCAACTTGTTTGATCGATAGCTTCGCTGTTTGACCCTCCTTTTGACACCTTACGTAGTGACGAAGCTGTCAGTTCAGCTGACGCTTGGGGTTGAACCTCTATGGACATTTTGTCCAGTGCTTCTGCCTCACGCGGCGTGTGTTCTTGAAGTATTTGTCCAATCATGGGCTCATCTTCTTGCATATTTTCTCGTACCCCAGGTTGATTGTCCTCTTTTCTCGGTGGGAGCTGTTCTTTACTTTCTTTATTATGGACGAGAGCGGCATTGTGGCAATCCTTAATCGTGATGCATTGCCCACCCGCGGCTGTTAAAATGTCCTGATTCTTTAATAGAACCCTCTTTACTTCCGTGGGTTTATACCCTTTGCCTATCTCGTTTCCAATTGCGAGCCTGACACCGGAATTTCGTTTTATCTGGTCCATATCGTCCAGCGAATGGCAATGGGCATTACATGTCCCATGGTTAGATATCTCGACAGTACCATCTTTCCAAAAACGTTTTCGAAGCTTCATTTCACACCCCACGGCGCTACGGATCGTGCATTTTCTTTTTCGCAGCTCTGGAGGAACCGCGGATCTAAGTATACGGAATCAGTAATTTATTTTCTATGACCTTAACATGAGACAACACTCACTTCTGATCCTGCTTACGAAATAAGCGACACCAGTAATATTCTGTACGGCAATCCGTGGAGTCTTTCACCTTATTCCGCACCCAAAAATTGTCAACGAAAGGCCAGTAGATCTCATGTTCGTAAGGGCTCTGGACTATCGGCGTTTCTAAGGAGAAAAAACGTTGTCTCATTTCGCCAATATTCTCCGGTGCGTTTAAGATATTATTAAACAGCGGCTTTACAGGAAACGGTATCGGCAACATAAGGTATCCGGGAGGTGGGTTCGGGAGCAAGCTGGGCGGCACAGGATGGGACTGGGCGTGCGTGGCAGGATTGGAAGGAAAACTCTCGGGCTGAGCCTGCACCGCAGAGGAGTCTAGATGCACCGTTGGGCAGGGAGGCATATTGCGTGTCACGTCGGGCGGAGTATCTGCCGGAAGCTGAGGCGTCGAATTTAGAGGTGAATGGGGAGGCAGATTGGGAAGCGCAGCATTGGGAGGCGCATCGTGTAGGTATGCCATGGTGCTGACGCAGGCGAGAGATAAGAGAGCGTACGGAGTAGTAGAAGGTCTAACAAGGCTCGGGTGCTGGAGCTCGCCCGCTTCCGGGACTGCTCTGCAAACAAATCTAGAAGATGTGAAGCTTCGAGTAAATAGATATTGAGGCGATGTTTTAAGAGACACGCTGCTGGATCGTCTAAAAGCCAGATCACATGATGTCCAATCTTCGCGGTTCGGATCCCACGCCGGGCACGCAATTGGATTCAAGAACTCATGATCCTCGACCTACAGTGACATAAATGTCCCTTCTACGAGAAGCAGAGAAATGTCTTGCTAACCAGAAGACTTTCGGACGCCTCAATGCGTTTATATCCCCGCTAGATCGAGCTGGATCTTGGATAGATCGGGTGAAAGATGCCGACGCTCGTCGAAAACAAGGTACAAACTCAGGCACCGGCTCAGTTATTAGATCCAAGCGGCTAATGTTTCTGTTTTTATGTATAGGGGTATCTAAGTCACCTCTAGATGGAAAGTTTATAGGAGTGAAAGACAACATATGTACCCGGGATTTCCGAACAACATGCGGTTCCGGCATGCTGGAACACTTCACGAGCCCATTTAATGCTACGGTGGTGGAGCTGTTGAATTATTCCGGGGCAGTAGTTGCTGGGAAGACTAATATGGATGAGTTTGGAATGGGGTGTGACTCGCTGATTCCAATGGATGCGCCGGAGGCAATATTAACGGGCTCCTAGGTCGCATTCTACATATTCGCATTTTGGAGCAGTTAAGAGCAATTGTATTGAAGGAACAGACACCAAGTCTGCTGGTGGAAGCTCTGGGGGCAGTGCAGTTGCTGTTTCTACAGGTCAATGCTATGCGTACGCCCCATTCTGAATACTCTTGTTTGTGAGAAAACGCAAGCTAATACTATCCAGAGCTTTGGGAACGGATACGGGTGGCTCCGTTCGACTACCTGCTGCGTATACAGGAACCTTTGGTTTCAAACCTTCCTATGGATTGGTTTCGAGATTTGGCGTTGTTGCGTATGCTAATTCTCTTGATACTGTGGGTGTCATTGGACCCAACACGACAACACTAAAAGAGGTATTTGGTAAGCTTTTTTTTGGGAAGATTATTATTATTATTTCTAACCAAGACGGCAGGGGTGATAAATAAGTACGATCCCCAGGATCCAACAAGCCTGCCACCGGACACACGCACTTACATGGGAAAAGCCACCCACTCTTTGGCAAAATATCGACGGGATAAGCTTCGCATCGGCGTTCCTTTAGAATACAATCTCCACGAACTAAGCCCTTTTGTTCGTGAGGCATGGCAAAACTCTCTTTCGTACCTGCAAAGCCAGGGACACACGATTCACCCTGTCTCCCTTCCTACTAGTAAGCAGGCGTTGTCCGCATATTACATTCTTGCACCCGCTGAGGCATCTTCCAATTTGGCGAAGTACGACGGCGTGCGATATGGCACGCGCGATATAAATACTCCCGATAATGCGGGAGGATGTCTCTATGCAAACACACGCGGGTCCGGATTTGGGTCCGAAGTGAAACGTCGCATTGTCTTGGGTGCATTTACCCTTAGTGCCGAAGCTATGGATAACTACTTTATTCAAGCTCAGAAAGTCCGTCGGTTAGTCCAATCTGACTTCAATACTGTATTCCGTCTCCGTCACCCCCTGCTCTCTGAGCCAATTGCCTTGCAAGGTCAGACCCTACAGTCCGATCCCGACAATGCTGGCAAGGTGGATGTACTTGTCTGTCCAACAGCACCTTCTCCTCCGCCATCTCTACGGTCACTGGAAGATATTCTTCCAATCCAAGCCTATATCAATGACGTATTCACTGTTCCCGCCAGTTTGGTAGGTCTTCCGGCCCTGAGTGTGCCTGTGCCATTTAGCAGAGTGACGGCTAGCAACAATTCTGCTAGTATGCCTGTGGGGATACAGGTAATTGGACAGTTTGGTGATGATGAGCTTGTCCTTAATGTAGGAGCCATTCTTGAACAAATAGATATGTAGTTCTGGGCTGTGTGTTTTCTTACATATCCTCAACTGTACGTCATTTGTGTTTTCAGCTTCTTCTGATAGAAGTACATTAAGACCTATACTGTAGAATGTATATAATACCAACGCATTTGGTAAATATCCCCCTTATGTTTCTTTTTGTTAGTTACTTTGCGCTGCGTCGCTATGTGAGTAGTTAACTAGCTGGTTATCTTATCAACGGCTGATAAGCTCCCATGCCTAAACAAGCGGTTCGGTTTTCTTCCGGCTCTGTAAACCTCATTCAACTCCGAGAGCATTTCTTTCCTGCCATTTAAACATGGCGACAAATGCTGCACTCGCCAATGGAAAAGGAAAACGTACCAAACGCGACGGCGGAGCTCGTGAGAAGCGCGGCGCAAAGCGGCAGGAGCTTGACGACGGAACGACGACGTACAACCGGAAAACAACTGCATCGGTTTCTAGCTTAGCGATTCCGCCGTTTGAATTGTCTATGTCAATTCCCATACCGCTGGCGGATCCGCGACCCATCGATATTCTCCATCCGAGACCTCGACAAATGAACCCTGCGTTTACCACACACTCCGAATCACTGCAGCAATCTTGGGCTTTTTTTGACGTCGCCGATAAGTGAGTGCTGCAGTCGTCTTTGCGGTATAATAAGACTGTAGCTAATGTTACTTTTTGTTCTATAGGGTGAGCAATCGCAACGGCTTTAGGTACAGCTACGCCGTTGCGGATCCTAGATTGTCCCATATTCTCTACCGTCAGACGGATGTTCCGCCATATCATTCTCGGTTTAGCTTTGAAGATTCACCTTCTTGCATTGCTTTTTCTAAAGATGGTTTAGCAGTCAGCACAAAAGATCCGTGGCATTCGGCTCGTGCAAACGTTTGCGCGCGAGAAGGAACCTATTACTACGAAGCCCGCGTTATAAGCGGCATTGTCCGGGGCAAAGCTACTGGCACCTCGCCTCGAGGAAACGTAAGACTAGGGTTTGGGCGTCGAGAGGCAGACCTTGATGTTAACGTTGGTGTGGATTGCTATGGGTATGGAATTCGTGATGTTAACGGGGAGGTGGTGAACCGTATGCGATGCGAATATTTTTTCCCCAAAGACGAGTCCATCAATGAAGGCGATGTGATAGGCATGTTGATTACATTGCCGCCATTGAGTGTGCACAAGAAGATCGTGGAGGGAACGTATGATGTCTCAACAGATATCAATGGAGATACGTCGATGCAAAGCAACGGCGCCCCGAAGCCACCCGCTGCGGTGAACTTCATTCGAGACCGAATACCTTTTCATTTAAAATCAGACTTCCTTTACCAGCAAAATCACGTTTTTCCTTCCAAACACCTACGAGACTACGCTTTCAATCTCAAAGAAACGCCGACTTATGGCCCGCCATCTCCAGGAAACGTCGAAGATCCTTCTTTACGCACACTTCCTGGTTCAAGTATAACAATTTATAAGAATGGAGTTCGAATGGGCACTCCGTTCACAAATCTCTACGCCTTTTTGCCTCCTGCGTCTCGTGCCACTCAAGCAGCCAACAATCTTGGGATTGGCGAAAGAGAAAATGCAGATGATGGAATGATTGGATATTACCCTATGGTGAGCTGCCATAATGGCGGAGCGGTAGAATGTCGATTTGAGAAACCATGGTGGGTTGGTCCACCAGATGTTCCCGACCTGAAGCCATTTGGTGAGAGATTCAATGAACAGATTGTGGAGGATGTTGTGGCAGATATTGTGGATGAAATTGATGCTATATCTATGGGTTGGAGTGTGACAGATGCATTGAATGCTACTGTAGGCCCGAATACTGCTGTTGGGAGTGTGCCAGGTACAGGACCGCCAACTGCAGTCAGCACCCCACAGACAGCACAGTCTGTTACAGGAGACATGAGGATGCAAACTGATGAAGTCTCAGGGACGCCAGCTCCTGTGGATGTTTGATCTGGACATATATGGATGTACTAACATTATCAGCTTTTGGATATCCACTGGTCAAATTTGAGAAGCTTTCGCACACATCGAGCAACTTACTCATTTTCCAAACTTTTCATAGTCCAGATTGAATTTTTATCATAGAGCCACATAATTCATCCCCCCCAGCTGTAATATAAAATATATAGAACAATATGCTCCTGCCCGACGCCAGATGCAAGAATAGGCAAAAGAAAGCTGATGAACAGCAACATCTACTGTAAGTATTACCAAAAGTCCTGCATTTAAATAGTCATATCCATAGTATCATCGCCGCCATTATTTTCCTGTTGGGCTTCTGGTGCAACGACACCCCTGCCTCTCCCAGCAAGCAGCTCTCTTCTCACCTCTGGCCCAATATCTTTATGACTCACTATAAGTAATAGGTCTAGGAGTGCTTCCCGTTGATCCTCTGTAATATCGTTCCTGTATCTCTGCGCAAACACGAGAAGTGACTGGTGCCATAGGACAGGGAGTTTATACGCCTTGGAGGCTGAAGCATCGGCCATATCAGCGTCGCCATGTACATCCTGCGACTGGACGGCCCGAAAACGAAGAAAATGAAATACAAGTGCGTCGATAACTTTATAAGGTAAAGCGTATTTTTTTTGTAAAAAGATGCGAATGAACATATTGGTAGCCCCAGTGCCTTCAGATGTGAGGGACGTGCTAGTTTGTTCGGCAGATATTTCACAGAGACGAAGTAGTGCGGCAGCAGAGTGAAGGACGGGGATCGAGACACGCGCAATGACGCTGGATACAATGTGGGCTTCTCGTAGAGTGCATGTACCGCTGGCCACGAGGGGAAAAAGAAGGCCTTTGAAAAAACAGGCAGGTTTATAGAGCGCCTTTCTAAGCGCGTTATAAACGTGGACGTGAAGTTTTTTAGTGTCGCGAATCTCTTCACGGACGCGGTCAAGAAGGACAATCGAGATGAATTGTTGTGCGATATGGGGTTTGGCAGAGATAAATATTCGGGTTGCAGCGTATATAGAGTTTGGTGTCCATTTATCTGGCTGTGTAATATCGAGTAACGCGTCCCAGTGTGGTAGCGTTGGTAGGATTTTGAATGGTTTTGGAAGGGGACCAGACTTATAGCGAGAAAGTAAAATGCCAACCCTGAACATGATCATTAGTATATGACGATAAGTTGTAGCCCTTTGAACGGAGCGCTTACTTTTCATAAACTTCCACGGCTTTCGCAGGTATCTGTACAGCATCTTCTGGGAGACCTCCCCCGAGAATTTGGGGTTGTCCGGCTTCTTTCGCTTCGAATGCAGCAATCTTCTGTAGTATAAGGTCCGCTAAATTGGTGCTTTCTTCTTCACCATCACCGCCAGGCTGACGAGGGTCAAAAATAGGATCTTCGTCATCACGACCAACGAATTTATGAAACATATCAAGGTCATTTGGGTCAACCTCCTGAGACGTAAATATAAATCAGTTATGGGTTCGAACATGCAATCACATAGATGGACGCCAGCGGGGCTTACAATCTCTTCTACCTCGCCCTCATCCTCCCACTGGCCATCGTCCCCAAAATTATCAGCGTCAGGATCCTCCTCATCGAACTCGTTGAACTCTGTCCCAAATCTTGACTCGAAATCAAAGGCGGTGCTAAGGGCAGCCGGACGCCGCGCAGCAGCAGCAGCCTGCTCCTCGAAGGCATCTTCCTCCGCAAGATCTTGACCAATCTGGAGGATCTTTTTTGACGATTTGGCATCGATGTAGTGGTCGTCCGTTGCGTCTTCGGGGTCATGTCTCGATTTGCGTTTGCTGCTCTTTTTAGAACGGGGATGGCCCGCATTTAGAATCTCATCAGCGAGTGGGGCATGCCGTCTCTCACTCGCGACTGTGGGCCTTGCAACTGTCGACTTTGGCATAGCTGTACAAATCTTCTTGAACAGTTTTGGCTTCGAGGGGTAACTATGTTGCGGATTCAACACGTCGTTTGCACAGGGTGATGCGGCTTAACAAAATACACAACGGCTCATGTCTTGTGCCAATTGAGTCACCGGATGCCTTGCTGGTACGGACGACAGCCCTTTGAGATGCTTTGAGTCTTCAAAATTTCGGCGGAATTGATAACATTTTTCGATGTGTGATAAGTGATAAGCAGCTTACCCCCATCAGGCTTAGCGCCACTCTTATCGATAAGCGCCATGTGAGTACGGAGTACCATGAGGCCGAAAGAATGTGGCATTGAAATTGGAAATAGCCTATGGTATATAGATACACAAAACTCCAGAGTCCCTTTTCATCTTTTGTTCCTACGCCGGTACATTTTAATATGCCCTAAACCCGAAGCAAAATCCTCCTTGGGCAACTGAGCAGCCCCTTTGAGCAGGTACATACCACTTGTTATAACGAATATTCATGGATTGCTGTGGGGCCAGTCTCGTTGTACTCAACGCGGCCCAAGAATCCTTTGCTCAAACCTTGGTCAACTACGAATATCACTTTGGCTGCAACTTGTGCCCCCAAAAACGTTGCTTCCTCCATGCCAACATTGTTCAAACTCGTCGCAATACCGGTAGGAGTTCCTCCGCTCGTCGGGGAATTGTTAGTCGCTGCACCGGCAGCTGAACCACCCACACCACCCTGATCCTTCCATTCAGGAAAATACTCTGGGGGTTTAAGGAGCCTGACCGATGTTGGGGTCTGAGAGTGGCCTGCGGATCTATGATGCATAGCAAGATTTGGGTCTGTGTGGTTGTGCATATTTGGGTTTAGATGGCCTGCTGCTGGGTTGTTTGCATGGGTAGCGGCTACAAGGAGAGGGTTGACTCCATGGGCTGAAGGGTTGAGCATCATACCAGGATTTGGATGATGCAAAGGCGTATTTGATCCTCCTGTTGGCAAGGGAGTGGACAGAGCAGAAGGTATTTCGGAGGTAAAAATAGTACTAGAGGGCGATAGGACATATTTTTGGGTAATGGTGGATACCAGCGCCTGGGGAAATCCTATGCGAAGGTATCAATTTTGGGATATAAAACGGAGGTATGCAAGAGTATTTACCTCTAATTTTACTTCCATTGCCTAGAATTACCATGGAGTCCCATAATTCACTTCTTTTGGAAGAGTCAGGTACAGCATGGATTGTATGGTGTATCTGGGCAGCGAGAGTATCGAGAATGCCGTAAGAACCGTGCTCACTAGCGTGTGCATCTCCAGGAGACGCGGCTAGGAAGCGCTCCGTTCCCACCTCAACATCCCGTTTATGGAGGGAATAATGCGAAAAGATATTACCATTCTCATCTTTGGAATCGATAGGCTTGTATTCTTGAAACTGGAAGGCTGCCTTCTCTTTCTTTGAATTGGGAAGCCTAGCAGCCTTTGTAGTAGTGGCAGAGTCCCCTGTATGTCCTTTTCGTGCGGCAGCTTTTTCTGCCTTTTCCTTTTCTCTTCGGGCAAGAAACTCGCTTGTATTACCACTTACAATAGCAGCCACGTCAATTATGCCGTCATCTTCCTCGGTTTCACCATTGCCTCCGATGCGAGAAACATCCGGGCCCTTACCGGAAGCCATAGGTGCAGGAGGTTTGCTATGTTCTTGTGATTGGTCATTTTTAGGAAGTGGGATCCCAGAGGGCAAAATCTCGCAAATATTACTTTTTTTCAACTGCTCGCACATTTCTTTGGTCAGTCCTTTTGGTTGTAATAGCTCAGTGAGCCGTCCAGTCATGGCTTCGCCGCCACAACCGGGTAACGCAATACCCCTGCCGTGCTCACTAATAACGAAATCCGTTACAGCTGTGACATCAGCCTTGTCATGGCCAATATCAATAATAGTGGCATTGGCAGTCCCATATGCATAGCAAACAGCTAGAGCGGAGTCCATCAGGCAAAATGCCGGGGTTTTAAATTTTTCGAATATGAATTGCGTCAATGTCTCACGGTCACGCGCGGTCCAAACTGGTTGGGCTATGAGCATAATAGGAGTATGGAATGGAGGGCTCAGTGTGTTGTAGATATGTGTCAAAAGAGCGAAGAGGCATGTCCAGTTAACGATGGCACCGCCGCGAATTGGGTAAACAGCTCCTTCGTCTGTTGTTGGGTCCTCCTCATAAACGACTTGCTCTTCCTCAACTTCCATTGGTGTGGGTTCCTTATTTCCTCCTGCTCCAGTGGTCGGCCCATTTTCATCACCCTTGAGCTCTGCAGTTTCCCCCGGCGGGGCGGTACTTTTCGTCGAATCGGGGACAACAGTTCGTTTGACGGTGACGACCCTTTGCCGGATCTTGAGCGGCTCCCATTCTCCTTTGGATTCGGCCGGAAACATGCGTGTAGGGAATCGGAACTTGGCTGGAGTGAACGACTCCGGGAGCCCTAATTGCGCCAGAGTAGTTTGGGACCCTGGCGCAATAATCTAGACGCGATTCTCACATCAGCAATTTATCAACGAAGAAACGAGGAGTTTGAAGATATTGCGCGTTACAATTGATCGCACATTCCTGATACTTACCAAGATATGTTCATCTTTAAAAGATGGCATGGCGGCTGGACTGCAGCTAAAAGGGCCCTGGTGCTCATCGCATCCACTGTTCTCTTTAGACCCTTAAACCGTGTAAGCTGTGAGAACATCGCGATGACTAAGCGCTCTACCCAGATTTACGCGTAGTTGATACACGCCTGCCACGCATGTATGTACATACATACATACCTGCTATGTAGTATATTAGAGCGAGTGCGAATCGAGAAGACAATTCTGATGGGTGCCTAACATAGGTGCACGCTATGAGTGGTGCTACCGGTTTTTTTCTTTTTTTTTTTGCTATGGAAGGCTTTTCGACTAAAAATCATCAACGTCTAGAATATTGTACCATCAAAGTCCCCCAAAAATGAACCCCATCAACAAAGACATAGCAAGAAGAACGCCTATAAACTCCACCAGATACCATTCCTCGTAGCTAATAAATCATAAGGCCTTGACGGTAAAATTGGCAAAACTGGAGGGACGTTCAACTCCCCGCATGGTATTTCTCCCCTGCAGACCTGAAGAGCTCCTGTTGTAGCTGATACAGCTGTTCTTCAGACATGCCACTCTGCTCGATTTTGTTGGTCCGTTTCTCACGCGACTATGAGAATCAAAGGCAATGTCAGCGCATTCGAAATCCAAGCTTAAAAAATAAAAAATTCGTCGCGGCAGTATGCTCTAGCAGAAGGGCAAAACCCACCTTCAGCTGCTCTTTGTGCTCCTCTGCAACTGCAAGGACGTCGGGTACATAGTCGCCAAAGCCCAGGTCAGTAAGCGCTCGCTCAATATGCTCGCAAGCAATTGTCTTTTTAGCTTCCTTTTCGCTAATCTCGTTGGCTTCGGAAGATATCAACGTAATGAATTCAACGCAACACTCAATCAGAAGGTCGCGCGCATCTTTGGCAAAATTTTGCCCCGATGAGGGAGGGAGAATCTCGGTGATAATCTTCTGGACCGTAGCTAGATAGAAGAGACGCGATTAGTTTCGGTACAAGGAAGCAATGTAGACTTGGGAAGGCAGCTTTCGAGAAAACTCGAATGACAGAAATTGCAAATCATGGTAATTCCTATAACATCGGCTACCGGCAACCGTACCTTTTGGAAGGGAGAGATCATCATTACCTACGTTGCTGTTAGTCGCGCGAAATCCTCGATATGTTCAAGGGCACTAGTCCTACTGGAAAACTCTCTGTCGGACATACTGAAACCAGCCAACAGGTATCTGGTAAAATGAAGCTACTTGTCATCGCACATAGGGAGGCGTGTTTATACACCCGGCGGCGAGCTTCACTGCTATTTATACATGAGAACGCGTTCTCACCATCGAAGGGACCAGTGTTTCACGTGACTCACTAGCGGCATTACTGCTGAATAAGCAGTCGAGCTAGTTACCTACTTTAAGATCCGCTTTTTTTGTGTGAATTTTTTCTCTCAGAAAACTGCTACAAAGCTGCAAGCAACAAAATAAGATGCCACAGCAGTACGGGGTTAGCTGTATTGGAACATGTATAGAGTGAGTTATTCTACCATCTGCCCTTTTTCTATCTCCTATTATTATGATGAACTTTGTTGTCGCCCCTATCTTACAATGGGCTCTTGCCCATGTGGTGATTTACCTGTCCAAGCCAAACGGACTTCTGAAAAAGGCCTATATGAATCTTGTTTACAGACTCTCTACTTCTTAAATTGACACATAGACTAATTTTGATTCACCTCAGCATGGCTCGCCCAACATTAGTACAACCCTTTGTGCTCTATGTTGCCATAAACTTGATTGTAGAATTGTTGAAATCCTACAGCCAATACTATGCGATGGCATTCCGTACCTATCGGGATCATCGCTACCTTGAATTGTAGTTTTTGGTGTTCTCGGCTCACGACCATCGAAATATTTAACACTAACAGTAGATATTGTATCTTGGATAACCAGGAGCTTCGCATTTACTAGGTACGCATTTTATTACAATTTCTGGTTATTCTTTTATTCTTGAGTACATTATGATGAAAGAAAACATCACTCCATGCTAAATATGAAGGTGCTCTTGCATCTGATGCTTAGCTACATGTATCCATTTAACCTTTCGACTGACATGCCCTATCACTCTGTTTCCAGCGTTCTTATAGTACGTAGCTGGCGAAGGATAATACTAACATCATGCTTTAGAATTTTACTTTTTTGGTCTCATTCCTGGTAGGCTTTTAGCTCTTGTGCATTCCAACTATTATGTGTTAGCATGTGAGACAGTATACACACGGGATTGTGTGTTCTTACTTCAAGAATTGCCCAGACAGCTCACGGGGAGCAGTGGCAGCCAACTTAGCAATAACCCGAGCAGGCTTTTCAGGTGGCAGTAGCTTTCCTTCCTTATGCGCAGTGAGGAATCGTTCGCCGTCCTTTGGTCCAAGAACGTCCATATGCTGAGAGCGTAGTTCTTCCTGCATTTGAGTGTCCACCATGCCTGGGCGAATTGCAAGGGAGACTATTTCAGGTTCTTCTCTCGCCAATGTCATGTTGAGATGGTTCATCGCAGCCTTGCTAGCTCCATAGAAACCCCACCCGGTAGTCGGCGCCACGGCAGCTCCAGAAGAAGTGAAAATTATATTTCCTCTAGAGATACGGATGTGAGGGAGCGTTGCTTTGACCTGGAAAAATGTTAGACAGGGTAGTTGATAGCAACAATGAATTCTCTGCTTAAAAGCCCATTTGCAGACTTACAAATTCAACCGCGCTGAAGAAGTTGGTCTCAAAGCCTTTTTTCCACTCTTCGACATCGGATAAAACAATCCTGGCTACTGGACCCAAAATTCCATGGTTGACAATGAGGCCATCGATTCTACCAAAGGCAGTTAGGGCCGCTCTGACAGCCTTGTCGGGCAATTCGGTGTCAGTCGCATCGCCACAGAGAACCTCGACTTGCCGCCCGTACTGCTCCTTGAGCTTGAGAAGAGGTTCCTCAGAACGAGCGATGACAAGAACGTTGCTACGCAACGGAGGGCTCAGCAGACAATGAGCTATTTCCAATCCAATTCCTATAGTTGTACCGTTGGCTTTTGTATTGATCATCTTCAGGGGGTACGCATTACCTCGGGAAGCCCCAGTCAGAACAATAGTCCTGCCGGCTGCGAGCTTCATTTCGAATTAGATGATCGGCAGGCTTCACCTGTGATATGAGTCTGATTAGTGTTAATTTGAAGTGAAAATGATTTGCAACTCTCCAAGGCTGAAAGGAATGAAACGCATGTCTGAAACTTTGAAGCCCACCACTCACAACATGTCGCATAACTTCAGCTTGGTATCATTGAACGTGCAGATAGTTTGTAGCACGTACAGAAGAATAGAACTATTCAAAAACAATTTATGAATTGCAGCCCTTTTTTTTATGTCTTTTTAGGATATTTAGGCGAGCAGGCAACAACAGAAACATAGGCATTTTGGGATTTTTCAGGAGAAAATACATCTTTAACGTGCAATTCGCGTGTAAATGATGAGCATAGCATAACTGTAAATTGGTACACAAACCTTTAAGAGTCTTGTCGCGTATTGCAAGCAGCTGCGTTGTGACGCGAGAAAAGTTCATGGGTGGTGGTTACAAAAGAGGAACAGATATATGTAAAACCTTGATCGCGGGGTCATCAACTTGTTTTTGTTCAGGTTACCTGTTGCTCTAGGAACCTCCCGCTATTTTAACACATCTGTTTGGGTGGAGGGTAGTTTGCGAACAAGAGCCTTAAATGCCCCTGAGTATGTTCTTGAAGACCTTCCCTGTAGAATACTTACTGCCGGTAATAGAAATGCTTTTTATTTCATCTATATCGTGAAATTGTAGATTCCAACTCATTTTACCTACTTTTTATTGGATAAATAAGGTCTAAAATCACAAATTGGTCTTGTTCTAATGGGTATCGAGTCAATCGCTGCCCTAACTGGCTACATAATAGTTTAATAGTATAAGGAGACAAAGCGTTTCTGGCGTTTTAAAAATACCATAGACTGCCAAAATCATTCTCATACATGAGGTATTCATAAACTATATATCTAAGTTGTGAATTATAGAATGCATAATAATCTATACTGCCTTGTAGACCAGCCCCTGTCCAGATTTAGGCTGATATCCACGGTGGCATATACTAGAAATTACTGCTGTTACTTTGGCATCCGATTTCAATAGGTTAGATCCTGCTGTAGTTAATCCTGTAAATTCGTAACGAAGGGATACAAATAAAAAAGCCGCTTTCCTTTGTACTATTCATCTTCTCGAAAGGACACAGAAACCTATGTCAAAGAGAAAGATAACCGGAGAAAGTGTGAAGTATGCAATCTAAAATCACTAACTACTGCTACTTTGCGCAATTCAATTGACTTTGCAGTAGTCTTCAAGGCGTAAGTTTTGAGCACGCCGATAATTTTAGACGCCCTTAGTATGTTGAGGCTGGCGTAAATACATCTGAAGATTAAATTCTTTTAAAGCAAGATCCTAGGAGGGTGGGATAGCAGAGGCAATGTGCCTTGGGGGCTTTATTGTCTTTTGAATGATTCGGGTATCCTTCGCTAATAAGACAGCTTACCCAGTGTAGTCTAAAATGCGCGCTAGGGCACCTCAGCAGAAAAAAAGACAAGTCCATAGATATGAATGTGGTGAAAATAGTAGCTTTATCCGAAGGAACAAGATGGAAGGAAGGCCGGGGCATTTATCATAGTAGACCCTATTGGTTTGATATCCGGATTAGTAAGCAGACATCCTTTCGACCGACCAATCGGCAAAACCTGTGTTCTCCGACGGGAATGCTTCGCCGAGCTTCCAGCGAGCAACAATATCAACCGCCTTCTCTCCGAGTCGCTACTCCTTGACTAGTGGAGAGCGTAGTCCGCCCGCACTTCTTTTCTCAACACATGCAGCATGCAAACCGTGTAAAATGCATGGTTCCCCTCCCAGGTACATAGTTATAGTCCCTAGATACAGTAGCAATGCCGAAGTGGTAAGCATCCTCGGCTACCTCGCCGGTCAGTTTGTATAAGGAAGAAGGAGGTAGAGTTTGAAACTTAAACTGATAAGGTCATCCAGAGTCAACTCAAAGTGAAAGAACGGCTTGGGCTAAAGTGAGCTAATACTTCCAAATTTAAGCACAAACACGAGAAAGAAGCGCCTTATCAACGGTGATCATGAGGAGGGTGGGGATGAAGTGGCGAGCTTTGTACACTAGTTAAGGTTATGTAACGGAATCATCCCACTCTCCCCAACCCAAGGCTTCTTATAGTCTTCGCTTCCCATGTTTTTTGAAAAAATTGCGTGCATATGCTGTGATACCCTACTTGAATCTAAACTGCATTTTTGAATGTTTTTGCGCTAGAATCAAGCACCGCAAAGTGAGTGAATGATACCGACGAGGGTATAACTGAAGTAATCTTATTATGGCAACCGTTATCATTGGGGGTGGTATTGTTGGTGTCTCGATAGCATATTATCTCTCAGATCCCGAGAGGTTACAAAGGCCAAAGGATATTCATATTGTTGACTCTTCTGCCGAGTTGTTCGCATCTGCATCAGGGTTTGCAGCAGGGTTTTTGGCTAAAGACTGGTTTTCTCCAGAAATTGAGCCCCTGGGGAAATTATCCTTTGGCCTGCATCGTCAGCTTGCAACAGAAAATGATGGAGCTGAAAAATGGGGGTACATGGCTAGTACTGCAATTAGTTTGCAAGTGGAAGGGCCAGACGGAACAAAAACCAAACGGGGTGACGATTGGCTGCGGCGTGGTGCTAGTAGGGCGGAGGTTGCAGTGAAAGACAACATAGTTGTCAGCCTATCGGACCGATTCCCGGCATGGTTGACTGAGCAGAAGGGTGGGATAGTTGAGAAAATAAGCAATACCGGCACTGTTGCCCAAGTGTCAGTTGCTCTTGTGATCAAAGTTTATAGTGGTTTCTTGGCTGACAGTGCAGACACACAGGGATCCTCTACGACTCTGCCGCTTTCTTTTGGGAAAGTGTCTTGAAAGAGGCGTGCAAATCCATTATCCAGCTCGTGTCCTTGCTGTCTCCGGGAACCCAGACAAAGCGGTTCTACAACGCCTAGATACGAAGAAGAAATTCGATATTGCATGTACAAAACTCATCCTAGCGGCGGGACCGTGGACGCCACGAGTATTCCAAACCATTTTTCCAAGGTCGAAGTCCAATATCGAAGTTGCCGCTTTATCGGGATATTCCCTTGTGTTCCGTTCGCCCCGATACACTTTCGAAGACGAGAAGGGGACATATTCCGGCAAGAGTCATGCAGTATTTACTACCCATCCTAAGTCTTGCGGGTTTAGCCCGGAAATTTTCTCTCGTCATGGTGGTGAAATTTATATCGCTGGACTAAACTCCTATGATATCCCGTTGCCAGAGGTGGCTACTGATTCATTCAAGATAATGGAAAAGGAGAAATCAAACAGAGTCAGACGAGCTGCTGCAGTCCTCATGGGACGGCCCCAGGGACCAGGTGCAGATAATGTCGACGACTTTGAGATTGTGCGTGAAGCTCTCTGCTTCCGCCCAGCAACAGAGAACGGTCTGCCTATAATTGGGCGGATTACACATCATCTGTTGGGCTCCAACATAGATTACACCGGCGATGTTTTCGTTGCCACAGGACACGGTCCATGGGGAATAGCGCTGTCGCTAGGTACCGGCCAAGTTGTTGCAGAAATGGTTACTGGAGCAAAAACAAGCGCAGATGTGAGATATTTGGGGTTCGACCCAAAAGCTGGAGAGCTTTCTAGCCGCCTATAATAACTGTCAACCTTTCGCTGTAAATATGGTAATTGGGGCAGCAAGCCTAAGGAGCTCACTGAACATAGTTATTAGAAATAGATAGAAATATGCTGGAATAGCATTGGGAATTTTGGAAGGGAAAGTTGATGCGAAACCTAGGGAGCTTGAAATTGAGAAGCGCACAGAGTACGGAGTACGGAGTAGTTAGTTAGTTAGTCGCGTCTCGACGCGTTGTACGGAGTACGGAGTGCCTAAGTTAAGTTAGAATTAGAGTTCAAGCCCACCAGTGTGAAAACCGAGGAGAAGTTCAGAGTTTCTTTTCAACAACTACAAAGCTCTATTTGTTGTTGCCAATAATGACGCCTGGTAATGATTATGATGACAGCCACCGGGCTTTTTTGCAGGCCTTCCTGGCTCGATCCACCATGACGTTTGAGGAGGCTAAGCCAATTCTTGCGGCCATAATGTCTGTTAAAGGTGGGAATTGGCAATCTCTTGACCCGCTCAATACCTGACGTCTTCCATAGATGGACGAGAAATCCGTGGGCAAGATGTCACTCAAGCTGACCTTTCAAACTATATTTCATCTGTAAACTCTGCGATATCACCCTTCGACTTCGAAATTCGGAGCACTATCCATCAGACAAGCCATACTCGCTTTTATGCTCTTGTCAACACCACGAGTGACCCGTTGATCCAGCTAGCTACAACGTACACTGCCGATGAAATTGCTTATGTCAAACGTCTTCTTGATGCCATGTTTGAGACGAATAATACGATGCGTGAGGAAGTCATGGTTGTATCTGCGATGAAAGCGGTGCAATTGGCAAGAATCCCGAATAGCAGTAGCCGGCGGGAATCCCAAGCTGCCACCCAGGGAGGAGTAGCCCAGCAACTAAGTATGAGGGAAGCAGAAGAAATGTTAAAACGGCTCATTAATGAGGGGTGGCTTGAAAAAACTCGGAAGGGCAATTATGGTCTGACACCGCGCGCGTTGATGGAGCTACGGACCTGGCTTGTTGAGTCGTATAATGATGCAGATGAGGAGGATTATGATGGAGGATATAGGCACAAGAAAATAAAAACATGCAATGCTTGCAAAGATCTGATTACTGTGGTGCGTTATATGCTGTTCAAGACGGGCAAAAATTGCCACCCGCCTGCTAACAACTATACAGGGTCAAAGGTGTTCTCAACGGCAATGTCCGGCACGTCTTCATGATATGTGCACTAGGAACTTCTTTCGCCTGCAAAGAGGCGAAGTCTGCCCTCTTTGCAAAACCAATTGGACGGGGGATCATTTCGTTGGCGAACGAGCCTTAGGAGACAAAGCATCTCGAAATAGATCGGGGGTTGGCGTTTCACGACGCGTCTCTCATCACACCTCGACTCAGCCTGACGATGAGGATTAGTTTTGGCTTTTAACATAAAACGGAATGACCGGGGCACTATTCAGTCCCTCCAATGCTATCGAAAAGCCCTTGGGAGGATTCTTGCCACCAATGCTAATCAGATAATCATTTAAAGGTCTTTCTGAAATAGGATATAAGGAACTACACTTCTCTTTGCAGGTTCACGGACATGAACTCTACAGTTTCTCGAATTCCGAAACTGGATGCTTGCTTGAAGTTGAAGTCCGATTTGGCAAATGCACCTAGTGCCGACTCATATGGAACGTGAGCGTGCTGGCAGTGGAAGACACTTCGGCCAGATACAGACTCTGTGTCTAACCTCACAAGCTTACATGTTCGTGGGGTGTTTGCTTTATTTGTCAGAACCGGCATGTCATTGAGATTCCAGGAGCAGCTTATCCCTGCGCCTTTGTGATACGGTCTTCTGATGTCCATGAGTTGTTGCAAAGGTATCCCTTCCATGATACTCAGCTACCACTGACGGCGAGAATGGTATAATACCTTGCATACAATATATACAAACATACACCATACGTTCTGGACTTCGATCATTCATTGGAAAAAGACGGGTAGAGTACAATTTTGAAGCGTTCATGGATACCCACTGGTTATCAAGGCATCGGGGTGCTCAGGGTGATATGTAAGCCCTTTGCATTGGGCGTTGCTGCAGAAAACTGGGTTCCCTTATTTCTGAAATCCCTAGCCAATATAGACTCAGCACTCCGTAAGTAGTTCTCCCAAAAATCCAGAAAAATTTTAAGTAGAGATGCCACTGCCTGCGATTTCGCGCCAAGCCAGCTAACTTACTAGGTACAGAGCTTTAAATAACGGCCCAGCCGCTCTCCGTTGCCGACAGGGTGGCAAGCGGGGTTGCAACGTGAAGGTCGCATCGGCGGATGCCGACTTGCACGGCGCGAACGTTTCCCCGTTTCATTTCGGGCGTGCGGGTGGCGCGGTGACGACATGACCCCAGCGATCGTGGTAAACGCCCGAGCTTCCCGCCACCATAACCATGGAACAGCTTGGGCTGTTGAACTTGGCCCGGGTTGAGCAATAATGGAGCTGCTGCCCTCAGAGTTCCAAGCCGTGACCAACTTTTGCTGTCCGGCTGGTACCCCCCGGTACATATACCTGGCCTGGCGCTAGATGTTGTCCTCATCATGGATTAGCAGAACGACCTCGGAGCAATAGCAAGTTACCTCCTCATACAACGATGATTATTTCGGTAAGTTTGTTTACTCTCGCCTGATGGGCTTTGTAGCTGATCGGAATTACGAGACGCTCCTTGCACGCGCTCTAGAGCTGTCTGTCGGTTCGCTCAACGTCGATCCTCGTCCCAACTTAAGGGCTAGCGATGTATTCGGTAGCAGCACCCGACTACATTCCCAGGAATCAACACAGCAATACCCCACCAGATTTGAAGGCCTTACTTGGGATAATGCGAACTGGCGACTAACCACAACTCATCTCGACCAAGGCCATTACCAGTCTCGTGGTTCTATAGCAAACGGCTATATGGGAATTAGTGTTGCTTCTGTAGGCCCGTTCTTTGAACTCGACGTGCCTGTAAATGGCGATGTGATCAACGGCTGGCCTCTTTTTTCTCGAAGACAAAGCTTCGCTACCATCTCTGGGTTCCATAACCTCCAGCCCGACGCAAATGGGACCAACTTTCCCTGGCTGAGCCAGTATGGCGGCGACAGTGTTATCAGCGGCATTCCACACTGGAGTGGTCTCATCTTAGATCTTGGGGGCGATGCCTTTCTAGATGCAGGTGTAGATAATAGCACTATCTCCAATTTTGTTTCGATTCTGGACATGAAGAAAGGAGTTTTGGCTTGGAATTTCAAGTGGTCTCCTGCGAACAGAAATTCTACATTTGATATATCTTATCAGCTTTTTACCCATAAGCTTTATGTGAACCAGGCCATTGTTCACATGGAAGTAACCCCGTCTACTAATGGGAATGCTACAGTTGTCAATATCCTCGATGGTTATTCTGCTGTCCGTACTCAGTTTATCGGATCTGGAACCGATGGCCAGGCCATCTACTCATCTGTGCGACCGAATGGCGTTAACAACGTTACTGCTTACATATACGCTCAAATGACCGGCTCACAGGGGATGGATATGTCTACCGCTGCGATAGTTTCCGATAAGCCCTACATCCGAAAGAATGAATCAACAATTGCCCAAGCAGTTAATGTCAACTTTCTCGCAGGACAGAAAATATCAATCACTAAATTTGTAGGGGTGGCTTCTACCGATGGATTTGCTGACCCCAAGGTATCGGCCAAGGCCTCTTGCACAAGTGCGTTAAACAGCGGATACGAAGCATCTTTCCAGTCTCATATCAAGGAGTGGGCTACGATATTTCCGAGGGACTCTGTCGATGATTTTACACTTCCAGAGTCCGGCGCGTTACCTGCTGACAAGCATATAATAGAATCAGCGATAACAGCAGTTGTTAACCCGTATTATTTGCTTCAGACAACAGTTAGTGAGAATGCAATGAAGATGTTAAATAATTCTTCATTAAATAGGGGAAGCATGTCAGTTGGTGGCTTGACTTCGGACTCATACGCTGGATTTATCTTTTGGGATGCAGATATATGGATGCAGCCGGGGTTTGTGACCTCATTTCCGGAAGCAGCGCAGACGTTCACCAACTACCGGGTAGATAAATACGGACAAGCCCTCGAAAACATTAAATCAGCTTTCACGTCATCGAAAAACCGCACCCGTTTTTCGCCTGGGGCGGCTATCTATCCCTGGACTAGTGGTCGATTTGGTAATTGCACAGCAACAGGACCCTGTTTCGATTACCAATATCATCTGAATGGGGATATCGGGTTGCAGATGGTCAACAACTGGGTCACAACTGGCGATACGGAGTATTTCAGATCTACTCTATACCCTATATATAACTCTATAGCCACGATGTTTGCCGACATTTTGGAGAAAAACGGCTCATCCTGGACCTTGACTAATATGACGGATCCAGTATGTATGCCCCTGACATTCTGAAGCTCATTTACTAACGCTTTCATAGGATGAATTTGCAAACCATGTTGACGCCGGTGGTTTTACTATGCCTATGATTGCATCTACTCTGACTTATGCAAATAGATTTCGCCAGCTGTTTGGAATCGAAGAGAATCAGATATGGAATGATATGGCTAAGAATGTCCTTATTTCCAAGGAGCCAGCTTCTAGTATAACCCTAGAATATACAACCATGAATGGGAGCACGCGAGTTAAGCAAGCCGATATTGTGCTCAACACCTTTCCACTGCGCTATACCGATAATTACCCGCCCGAAAATGCCCTGACGGATTTAGATTATGTATGCCTACTGACCCTTTGGTTACTGTCTCCCTCTAACCATACTATATAGTACGCCGGAAAACAGTCACCTCATGGGCCAGCTATGACATACGCTATGTTCTCTATTGTTGCAAACGAGGTATCACCTTCAGGATGCTCAGCATATACTTATGCACAATATTCGTTCAGCCCATATGTCCGAGCGCCTTTCTTTCAATTTTCAGAACAACTGGTCGATGATTGGCTCACCAACGATGGCACCCACCCTGCCTTCCCATTTCTGACTGGAAACGGTGGTGCAAATCAGGTTGTTCTTTTTGGATATCTTGGGTATCGCCTTTTGCCCGATTCTATCCTTCATGTAGATCCGAATTTACCGCCGCAGATCCCCCACATCACCTACCGCACATTTTATTGGCATGGTTGGCCGATAAAGGCCTGGTCAAACTATACACATACTGTGATTCAACGGGCGCAGAATAAGACCGCTTTATCCACTGCTGATCAAACCTTTGCTAATGCACCTATACCTGTACATGTCGGCCCTGCATTGAAGGCAACGCGTTACTCTTTACCGCCATCTGGAGATCTGGTTATTCCCAATCGTCAAACTGGCTCTATTAATACCTTTCCGGGAAACCTGGCTCAATGTCAATCTGTTAATTCTCCAAACGACTATCTACCCGGCCAATTTCCAATCTCAGCCGTTGACGGAGCGGCATCCACTAAATGGCAGCCAGTCAGTGCCAATATGACTGCTTCTCTCACGGTTGCCTTCCCCGACTCAACATTACCATCGAAAATCGTTGGTTTCGGGTTTGATTGGGCTCAAGCACCCCCGGAATATGTGAAAATCTTGTTACATAACTCACCTCTTCCTCAAACAATAGATATCACATCTGCACCTCCTCCTGGAGCTGTGGTCATCGCGGACCTACCACAGATTGCCATGTCGGATCCATATAAACCAAATATTACCGATCTTAACGCCATCGTGCCGTATAAAGGAAACACAACAAATATGACGCTGCCCTCACCAGTACCAGTAACCAAGTTTGCTACTCTCTTAATTCGAGGCAGTCAAGCTCTAGGAGAGGCAGATATTAAAGCAGGAAATGGCACTGGAGCAACAGTGGCAGAATGGTCCATTCTAGGAGCCGATACTGGTCAGGGAAAAGGCAACTCGACGGCGAAAAAACTCAACGTTTACGGGGTATCCTAAGCACACGGAGTTTAGCATTAGATATAGTTGGTTTTAATGTTTGATTTTCTATTTAAGTTGAATCTAGCCCGTAATTTCTTGCATTAACAGTATGAGAGAAGCTATAGAATATAATAGTATACATTTAGCTTCTTTTTTTGTTGACAGTTTATCAATACTAGCACATCCATGGTTATATAGTTATACATAACTATAACTAACTACGTAGTTAACTACAACCCCTCTTACATAGCAGCTCCAACTTCACATCAACCCACAACCCCTACAATTATCTAGCAAGAATGCCTGACCGCGCGCGCACCATTCCCCTTATCTATGGGTTTTTCTTTTTGGTACGTCATTTCAGACTTATCGTTATCAGCGGGTCAAGTGGAGACTCTAACGACCCCCTTCCCCTGCCTTTGAGCTGTTGTTAACATCATCACTCGAACATAGGCATCGACCGTTTCGCTGATCCTTGGAGCGTACGAAGCCCTGAATTTAGTCTAAGTCCCATTTTGCTGACTTGTCTCTCACGCTGTAAGCCTCGCCTGGTCGCGTACGAATTGGTTATTCCTTCCCTTACCCGTTGGTCTCTCGATTGTGGCCACTTTACTGCCTCCGCTGGCGATCCTGATTCTCGTCGTCACAAATTTTCTGAATGCCCCCAATTTGCAGCAAGTCAAGGATGCAGTACACCAGTTTTTAGTGATTTTGTCCACAGCTGTTGCTACAGTTGCATTCACGTACCTTTTTCCCGGCAACATTCTTTCTTGTCACCTTGAGCAGCAATGGCAGGGGTATTTTCAATCTAGAAACTCCCAGGCTATTAGATCTATTCAAGATAATTTTCGATGCTGTGGACTACGGAGTGTACGTGACAGGGCCTGGCCATTCAAGGACAGAACCCACGGAGATGATGCATGTCAGGTACAACTTGGTTACCAGCAGAGCTGTTTTGCCCCTTGGAGGCAGCAGCACCGTATTGCAGCCTGGATGGTAATTACTGCTACAATTGTGACACTAGCTGTACAGGCAAGTGATACAAACATCTGATACCGGTGCGTTGAAGCTCATGTACCTCATTATAGATCCTTTTCCCTCGAGTTGTGCGGCGTACGAGCTGGCTAGCGGGCACAAACAACGGGGAAACTAACTACAGAAGACTTGAAGCATCAGAACGTGTAGAGGAAGAAGATGAAAACGAAAATCATGGCGAAAGTAGTGGAATCGCCCAATCGAACGCCCCATATCACGATGATTGGAGAGATTGAGTCATTTGCAAATACCCCCAGCATGCCGCTGTGCACCCCCGATTTAATTAACTCTGCTATACTATGGCTTAGCTTATTGCAATTAATTGGCTTGAGCGTTCTGAGGCTAAATACTATAGTCTTCATAGGAACCCAAATGGAAAGGTTTTTGATTTTGATAAAAATTGAATACAGTTTTGACGTTTTAGAGTTTACCTGGCAAAGCTTTTTATTGATATCGGAAACAAAGTACATACATAGCAAGAACCTATCATTCTAACGTCATAGCTGTCATCAGTCTTAAATCTGTTATTCACTGTTGAACTGGTACACTCGATCATAGAATAAAACCCTTGGTGACGTCATTGGCGCGGACCGACAACAACATTTTTCCGGTGTCCTGAACATCGCATTGCAGCACAGCACAACCAAAAAGTCGACTGTTCATCGGAATGGCGTGGATGAGGCCCCTTATTCGCCTCTCCTCGCAATTCAAGGGGTTTGGCCCCTGTACTAGAGACCCCGCTGTCGCCCGCAGTTTCGTGCCTCGCCGGCACATATCTGCCTTTGGGTATACCCAATCGAAAGCCCTAGTATTCCCTAAATATGGCGAACCAAAAGATGTTCTGAGGTAGACCTCCAAGTCATTCAGCAGCAGGTTACTGTATTTAACAAGGGTAGTCTTCACTCGTACTCTATATCTCCCCCTCACGACACCCAATGCACAGTTCGCCTCTTAACAGCCCCGTTAAATCCTGCAGATGTCAACCAGATCCAGGGAGTCTACCCAAGTTTACCGAAATTTACGACCAGCCTTGGAACACCGGAGCCCCATGCAGTCCCTGGAAATGAGGGAGCTTTTGAAGTACTTTCTACTGGCGCTGGAGTTAAGAATATCAAGAGGGGTGACTGGGTAATTATGAAATGTACTGGAATGGGAACCTGGCGCACACATGCTCAATTCGATGAGTCTGAGCTTATAAGAATTGATTCTACTGGCCTATCTCCTTTACAAGTGGGAACTGTAGGAGTCAATCCTGTGACTGCATATCGCATGATCAGGGACTTTTGTGATTGGGATTGGCTACGCAGTGGAGAAGAATGGCTAATTCAAAATGGTGCGAATTCAGGGGTTGGACGGGCAGCAATTCAAATTGCGCATGAGTGGGGTATCAAGACAATAAGTGTGATTCGTGAACGAGAAACGGAAGCGGAGACTGAAGCCCTGAAGGGCGACCTTCGCTCTTTGGGTGCAAATGTTGTGATTACCGAATCAGAGCTTCTCTCATCTTCTAGGCTGCGAGAGATCATTGCGGAGGCGACCCGTCAAGGCAAAGAGCCAATACGGCTAGCCTTGAATTGCGTGGGTGGAAAGAGTGCAACTGCCCTGGCTAAGGTTCTCGCCCCTAACTCACAAGTTGTGACATACGGAGCGATGGCCAAACAGCCTCTCAATCTCCCCTCCGGTCTTTTAATTTTTAAAAATATTGTATTCCGAGGCTTTTGGGTATCACAATGGGGGAATAAGCACCCAGCTTTGAAAGAGGATACAATCAACGATATACTTCGGATGACCCGAGAAGGTAAATTCAAGGATATACCTGTACAGAAAATCAAATGGACGAGAGATACAAATGCCGAAGAGCTTGCACAAGAAGTCCAGGGCACCCTAGGGGGGTTCAGAAGTGGGAAGGGAGTATTTGTATACGAAGGGGACTAGACCCGAATATCTATCATCGCTCTTTACGGGAACAGCAGCTATTGTATACCATAGAACTTCTAGTTAAAATTAAGCATAATCCATGGTGCTTTGACTTAAATATGATGTTACATAGCCTGTAAAATGCAAGGACCTCTAGCGGTTTAGATAAGGAATTGAGGTATTGTTGCTACGGGCTAATTTCTCGGCAAACTTCTAAGCTATATGCAATGACCACATAGGGGGAGAAATCAACAGTTTATCCAAAAACGCGAATATATATAGCTCTACCTAAACATCAGTTTTCACATTTCCAATTCTTTTCCACCCAGGATATCAGTATTGATCGTAAGCTTGAACCAGGCATGTATTCATGCGTATCTTTTTTGATGTCGAAGTCCAACCCAACAAACTTTGCAGCTATATCAATAAAGGGCTCGATGAACTCTAGGTATATGAGGTCAACATTTTCTGGTTTTATGGACCTGTGTTTTGATTTGGAAGAAGGAATAAAGGCTTGGATACAATTTGGTAAGCGGTGAAAGGAGATGGGAGAATGTATGGTATCGTCTCCATCAGTCCCAGCAGCATCCTTCGTCGTATAGCCAGGTATCAGGTTTGTGGCGGGAGGCATATAATTTGAATTATCAAACCTGACTTGGTCCGATTTTAGAGTTTTATCCCAATTGCTGTCTAAAGATAATTGCTCAGGTGGGACTAAAAATGTCGAAAAAGATGTGTTGCTGTGTGCCATTTGGGTGAGGATGCGAGGTGCCTTATTCAATACCTCTAAAATTTTAGTAGCTTTCTCGTAAGGAATATTTTTGGTGTAGCGAAATCCACCCGTAAATGGGGATAATATGTACGATGAATCCTCCGTAACTTGGCCCTTGAATAAATCGAATCGTATAGCTCCAGTATTCACTAGGGCCAGACTTGGCTTCTCGCCAGCAAGAGCCTCTGGAAGTACTTCTTCTTCCAACCACGAGTAAATGCTACTTTCTGAAGGATATTTGGCTCTAGACATCCATAGATCCCTGGGGCTACAGCCATAAAGCCTGTCAAGATTTAAAGCCCGACGAGCGTTGAAGATCATGTTGGAGGCAGCTTTTCCTTCCGTTGTAGGGAAGGTTGTTTCATTTAGGCCTGTATGGTGACGATACGACCAGAGGTTGTTGTCAATATATCTGCGGTTAAATGTTAAAGGCACGGTAGATTTATTTCCTCCAAATGAGAGACCACTGATAGACATGAAACCTACGGTTTCCATAAATCGACCGCTCGCTAAACCGTATGAGCTGGAATCGTACTTAACGTAATCTCGAATGTGATGATGGCCACCAAAAAACTGAATGGGTACATCCCAATTGGCGCCCCGAATTGCTTTGAAAACAGCGTCGTACTCCTTGGACTGCACAGGAACATGTCCGACCACTAGGAAGAGGTCCACCTCTTTATCCTGGATGGCGTGTTGGAACCAATCCTCTTTAATTGTTTCCTCCACAGGCTGTACAACAGTATTGTTGTAGTTTTCTTTGAAGTCGAACAGAAAACCAAACGCCATTATTCGAATGCCGCGTACCTTCGTAGAGAATTTTTTGAATTTCGGAGCCAATGGTACAAGGTTACCCGTTTTTGGATCTATTATCTCGATGTTTGAGGATATATAATCACCATTGAAGTTCGGAACGGTAATTAAGTATTCATTCTCTGAAGAAGCTCGCTTATATAGCTCATGGTTTCCAGAACAAAGTGCGTCGATGTGCTGTGATTTGAATATATCTGCAGTGTAGCGTCCTTTAGGGTCAGAAGCATCATATAGTCCATTCCCTTCTATCCTATCTCCTGTATCAATAAGGAGGAGGTCCATGCCGCGATTCTCGGCCTTCTTTCGCATGTGGGACGCGAAAGAGAGATAATCCCCCCAATCGGCACCGTACTGGGCTCTGTTTGAACAATCATTTTCAGCTGGAATATCAGTATATGGCGTATTAGGAGAATATTACTCGTTTAAATGCCCAGCTAGCCATCCGTGAGTGTCTGTTGTGTGCAAGAAGTTCAGCTCGCCCCATGTTAGGTTCCGTAATGGTGCCGGGATTGGGTCTGGAGAGCTCGGCTGAATACCGAGAGCGGGCCCGGCAAGCCCCACAAAGAGTACTGCCAGAAAATCAAGCATAATTGTACATTGCAGGACGATGTTTCTATCGCCTTCTGAAGAGTAAATTCGACTCTCTGCCCCTTAGCAGGAGCATCGTCGATGAGATGTTTGTCCACTTGTACGAGGATGCACGTGCCTAACGTATATCGGGAGAAGGTTATGCCGGAGCCTTAGGCGGCTGTTTGCACCGTTTGTAGCTTCGCAAGGTACCACGTAACGGTATTGTACGTACTCCGTACCGGCAACCAAAATCGCGTGTTGCTTAGGCTTCGTGAGGAGTATGCGAATTCATCTTGGCGAACATTAGTCATACTTTAGAGTTCCGCGATCCTCAACAACAGGCTAAACCAAAAGCAGTCTCAATGAACCCCAAAAGAAAATCGTTGATCGAGTTGTCAAAGACGAAGTCCAGCTCGGGGCTGAAAAGACAATTTCTGCCGGCCCTTGCAGTTTGGGTATTGTTTTAATTACCCGAGAAGTACTTACTGGCTTCCCTCTTCTTCCGGTCCTCTCCACTCCTCGAGCAATGGCGACTCCCAGATTCCTCCGACCAGCGTCGCGATTACTATCCTCCCGCTTTGGCTTATCCCCAGTGCGTTCAAGCTTTCAACCGGCGATTTGCATCAAGTCCCTTCCTCTAAGGACGTATGCGGATCAAAGTGGTGTTAAAGAAGTTGCAGTTAGAGATGCTTTGAATGAAGCTCTAGCTGAGGAATTAGCTTCCAATGAAAAGGTGTTTATTCTAGGAGAAGAGGTTGCGCAATACAATGGAGCGTATGTGGTTCTGCACCCTGTTCTGTGCTCTACTTTATCCGCCTGCTAATCTTTTCCCTCAGCTACAAGGTCACGAAAGGCCTCTGGGACCGTTTTGGCGATAAACGGGTGATCGATACACCAATCACAGAAGCTGGTTTCGCTGGGTTGGCAGTTGGAGCTGCTTTAGCCGGTCTACATCCTGTGGTATGCTGCCTCTTCGTTACTAGGACTCTTTTGTCCTGTGGTGCGCTCTATGTAATCTGACTCTTGATGGGCGTGTAGTGTGAATTTATGACGTTCAACTTTGCCATGCAAGCTATTGACCAGGTTATCAACTCCGCCGCGAAAACCCACTATATGTCGGGGGGCATTCAACCCTGTAACATTACGTTTCGTGGGCCGAACGGTTTTGCTGCCGGTGTCGCCGCCCAGCACTCCCAGGATTTCTCTGCCTGGTATGGAAGTATACCTGGGCTGAAAGTACTAGCACCTTGGAGTTCTGAGGACGCAAAAGGACTTCTAAAAGCGGCTATTCGAGATCCCAACCCTGTTGTTTTCTTGGAAAATGAGTACGTTGGCATGAAATCATGAAATTGACCAACGCTGACACAAATTAGGCTCATGTATGGTCAAATGTTCCCAATGAGCGAGGCTGCACAGAAGGACGATTTCGTTCTTCCCATTGGAAAAGCCAAGATCGAACGCCCTGGAAAGGATTTGACTATTGTGACATTGTCCCGGTGCGTCGGGCTGTCAATGAATGTTGCAGCCCAGCTAAAGAGCAAATACGGCGTCGAAGCAGAGGTGATAAACCTGAGATCAGTCAAGCCACTTGATGTTGAAACAATCATCAAATCCGTTAAAAAAACTGGGCACTTGATGGCCGTTGAGTCTGGCTATCCAATGTTTGGTGTTAGTTCGGAGATTCTCGCTCTTGCCATGGAGTATGGCTTTGACTATCTCCAGGCGCCCGCAATCCGAGTTACGGGCGCCGAGGTGCCTACCCCTTATGCTTTGAAACTAGAGGAGTTGAGCTTTCCCCAAGAAGATACGATACTCTCCCAGGCCGTGAAGCTGCTTCGTGTATAAATGCTGCCTTTTTTGGAGCTGCATACAGATTTCTTTTACCTTTTCTTCTCCCCCATATCCACCCAAAATATGCATTCATATCATCACCTTCTCTCCTACCTTTCCACTGTATGACTAGATATTCTGAACCTTATTTTGTTCTATTTTGTGGATTTCAAGCGTGATGAAATTCATGCTCTGCTGTTACATACTCCGTACTCCGTACATGCCCATGGAAAATTGTGCAGATCTCGGGAAACTTGCGGGCCGAGAGTGATGACTAAGCCTTTAACAAAGTTTATTATCTAGGCTGATGATCACAAAATAGATTTGAAAGTCTCCGCAGATGTCATTCATTCTAGTATATTTATTCATGGCCACTCGCATTTAACACGACTAGTGCTATAGGAAGGTCTAGCAATCAATATGCCGCCGGTAAATCGAATAGCCATTCCAGCAACTTCTTGTGAACGAGGTAACGATTCACGATGCTCACATAGACATGCAGCGCGGCTTTACAAACCCAGCGCCGAAGGTGATCATATCTTGCTTTCATATTGTTCTATTCTGACTGATGATACTAAGACCGATTCCGCCCGCTCCGCTCTTAGCTCTTTCACATGCACGCTCTGTAATAAATCATACTCCCGCCATCCTGAATACGAAGCACACATCTCCTCCTATGATCATCAGCATACAAAGCGCCTTCGGGATTTGAAACAGCTGTCCCGCGATCCAAATGCGGCCGAGAGAGCACGGCGTGCCGAACGAAAAGCGGACGCGGAAGCTGGGCTAGTTGTTGTCGATACTGCCCATCCCGTATCGACTGGAGGAGCGAAAGGCAATACCGGTGGTGGAGGGTTCAAGAAAGGTGGTTTTAAGAGCTCTTTTGCGGTTGTTTCCACAGGAGTGAGTAGCGGCACCGGCGGAGGAGGGGCCACGACGACGGGGCCCGGGTTGGCGAGAAAGAATGTGCTGGGAGATGACGACGATGAATCGATTCCGACTCCTGCAATCTCGTCTCGATCGAAAGAGGAGAAAAGCTCGAAAGAATCCAATGCTGTGGAGAGCGATACAGATGATGATTATGGTGGAGATGATCTGAAGGCTGAGGGAGGATATTACGATCCACGGAAACCTACAGGTTGCTTCGTAGGTTGTAAGGGTTTACGAAGCGTGTCTGTAGAATAAAACCAAAAGCCAGATGACCTATTTTGTCACTCTACTCAAGTTTCAACAATTTTGGAAGCGCGGTGCTCGGCGTTATCTGTTCTACCTATGGCTAGAATCAATCTAAATAATTTTACTTTTTGAAGACTCTAGGTGCTATGCTACTCGTATTATGATGCACTGGACTAGATTGGATCTATTCACAGGGTTACCACGACAATTAATCACTCTTCTGTGAATAGCAGGTGTCACCAAATGGTTTTACAACAACAGTGCAATATAGCTTCTACGGAGTACGGAGTACTTCGAAGGCTTCATACCTCTCCGTAGCCGCTGTGAGCCAAGAATAGCCTCACATGACGAATTCATATAATGACTAAGCTCGAACTAACCAACTCACGATTCGGCAGCCAATAGCGAAGTCCCAATTTCATTTTCAAACTATCTCTCACCCCGAGCAATGGCGGACGAGAAGCAAATGAATTCTTTCAGTGCCACCTGCAATAATGGGCACCCTGGAGGACCCTTCTTTGTCGCTCCAGGAACTAGACCCGGCGCCGGATGAAGCTTTACTTTCTGCCTTAGAAGATGGACTATATGCCCCACAAACGCAGACGCAGACACCAGGTGTGCAAAGTAACGGGAAATCAACTGGTGCAAGGTTGGGCTTGAGCGGCCATAGCTGCGATTATTGGTGTATGAATTTGATACCTACGTGGTCGTGTTCTTACCTTCAATGTGGAGCTAATAAATTTACGGGCAGTGTCGCGGATCCAGAGATACTCCACCTATCCCCCTTCGATATTTTTCGGCTTACACTTACTCAACACTTCTTTAATCCCTTTGGCTACTCAATCTGTTGCGGCAAGCGAAACCTACCTGCTTCTTACGCGCCCGATCTACCAGGCCCCAGCCCTCGAGCCCTTGTTACTTACCATCCCTATCGCCGCACACGTTGTTTCGAGTATCTCCCTTCGATTTCTTCGCAACTCAAGACGAGCGAGACTATATGGCGCTGAAACGCGTCAGCAGCGAAAGGCATTGAAAGCCGCGAATCGTATTAGCCGGCAAGCAATACTGGGGTATCTTTTGCTCCCATTTCTCGGAGTTCATGTTCTCATCAACCGTATTGGACCTTGGTACGTTGACGGAGGTAGCTCTAGTGTTGGTTTGGGCTATGTCTCCCATGGGTTTGCTAAATCGCCGTGGACTATTGGGGCTTGGTATATTGCCTTTGTTGGAATAGGAGTATGGCATTTTGTTTCTGGCTGGGCATGGTGGACGGGCTGGAGAGAAACCCCAGGCCTAACCCGAGAAGCGGAAAAACGCCTCGGGGCGACCGCAGGCTGCCTTGGAAACCCATCAGAGGTACAGGCGCTACGCAAACGTAAATGGCGAAGACGAATCATAACCAGTGCTGCGTGTTTCGGAACCGCGTTGTGGCTGGCTGGAGGACTGGGAGTCGTTGGAAACGGGGGCGTCGGGGTTGGGTGGGAGGCGAAGACGTGGGATCAAATATACTCCCAAATACCCATTCTAGGACCCTATTTGGGTGGCTGAATGCCGAATCCATCTAGTCAAATCCAAACCGGCTGGAAAAATGGTCGCTTTATCAACCTTGACAGATTGCGAACGTTCGAGTCATCGGAGTTACGACCAGCTCCTTCCATAAGGCCTTTAGTTTTGGAATCTGCCTGTTTTCATATTCTAGTGTTTGCCTATATATAACATTCGAGCCGGCTTTTTTTTTTTGGCCAGCCATGGGTCTGTTATGACTACTCCGTACTCCATGCACATACATACATATTCCGTATAGGTATATACAGATGATAGATTAAATAGTATTTCCAACCAACCATACAAAATGTCATCGTTATTTTTGTTGTACTCCGCGCAAAAAGACTGGCACTATGGAGTATGTAAATGGTACTTGATCCTCCAATTCCTCCATCTTGGTGATGCTTGCATGTAAACCTTATCGCGAAGCGCCGCCGCGCCCTTAAATTTATCAAGACGCCAAAATTTCTCCCCGTCACCTCCGCATTCAGCAATTCTTCGATGCTTCAACTCAACACTATTCAAAAATTGACAAGTCGGACATTATGGCCAATTAATTTCCCTTTTTGTTTCAAGACCTTGGCACTGGTGTCTGCTGGATTGACTGTCAGGCCCGCCGCCGCATGCCTTGTTCGCACAATGGCTTCGGATAATTCGACGTTCGGCACATTATCGTCGAGCCCACAAGCAGGGCAGATTATACTCTACGAGGACAGAGAATATGAAACTGTGAAGGAGGGTCTTGCGTATATTCTCGTCCCTCGAGTGTCTACATCCCCGCCAGAGAATGAGCCCAAGAACAAGCCGACGGAAGACAAGAATCGACCCGCCGTGTTCTACAACCCCATCCAACAATTTAACAGAGATCTGAGTGTGTTGGCAATACGTGCATACGGGGAGCATGCTGTTGCAACAAAGCTTGAGCATCGCGAAAGAGTAGTACGGCGCTGGGATCAAAGTAAGTGCAAGGGGAAGAAACGAAAGCGGGAAGCTGTTGGCAGAGATAATACTGCAGCTTCCAGTGGTCAACTGAATAAGAAACAATACATCAATGAGGCACCAGAGGTGTCTATTTCAGAAGAAGCCTCTGTAGTGGCCAAACCCGATACATCAGAACGTTTCGAAGAAGGCAAAAGAGAATGGCGTCCGCCTTTCAAAATCCTCGACGCATTATCCGCGACAGGGTTGCGAGCTCTTCGATATGCCAAAGAACTCCCCTTCGTTACCCAAGTCATCGCTAACGACTTGTCTGCTGCTGCAATTAATTCCATGAAAGCCAATATACAGCATAATTCCGTCGAGAAAATCGTACAGCCAAACAAAGGCGATGCTTGCGCATACATGTATAGTGTACTAGGTCCTCAAAAAATGGATGAAAATGGTTCTTTCTTTGGTAAATTTGATGTCGTCGATCTCGATCCTTATGGAACTGCTGCTCCGTTCATGGACGCTGCAGTACAAGCTGTCGCTGATGGAGGAATGTTATGCGTTACCTGTACAGACGCTGGTGTATTTGCAGCTGTTGGCTACCCAGAAAAAGCTTTTGCGCTCTACGGCGGCATACCTATCAAAGGGGTGCATTGCCATGAAGGTGGGATCCGTCTCATTCTGCATGCTTTGGCAATGAGTGCTGCAAAGTATGGCATCGCGATCGAGCCTTTGCTGTCGTTATCTATTGACTTCTACGCGAGGTTATTTGTTCGTGTCCACAAATCTCCTTCTGCGACGAAATTTACCGCTTCAAAATCTATGATGGTGTATGGTTGTGATAGCGGTTGCGGAGCCTGGACAACACAGCGTCTTGCTCAGTCTCGAAAACGAGAGGGCAAAAATGGTGCTTACTTCTACACCCATCGCTTGAGCCAGGCCCCTTCAGCTGCTCCACATTGTGAACATTGTGGGTTTAAGACTCACATCGCTGGTCCAATGTGGGGTGGACCTCTACACAATCCCCATTTTATTCAGCGGATCCTTGACCTTCTTGCCGGGGCTGACAGAGATACATACCCTACATTTGGCCGCATCGAAGGAATGCTGACCACCGCTCTTGAGGAGGATCTAACTCTTGAGTCTTCAAGAGACCCAACACCAGAATCAGACTCTGTTAGCGTGAAAAATAATAATTATGTTAACGGAAAAGATTCCCTTCTGATTCCGCGAGTTGACCCGGATAAGCTGGAGCCATATCCCTTTTTTTTTATGACTAGTGCTTTGTCCAAGGTTCTTCACACCCAAACCATGCCTGAAAATTCATTCCGTGGCGCGCTTCGCCATCTTGGATACAAATCGACTCGTAGCCACGCAAAGCCAGGCTCTATTCGGACGGATGCTCCATGGAGTGTTGTCTGGGAGATAATGCGAGAATGGGTACGCCAAAAATCGCCCGTAAAAGCCGGTGCTATTACAGAGGGAAGCGCTGGATTCGGAATCATGGGTAGAGGAGGAAGAGAAAACCCTGACGCTGATGGAGCTGGCGCCGGACTGAGGTCACTGAAACTTGATATCCTTGGTGCTGTGGACTCTGGCCGAAACTTGGCCGACTTGACCATGAAGATAGAGGCTGCTCTGTATCGAGCCTCTGCCAAGCGGCCAGCTGAAAGTAATGCCGCAGAAAAATCCCCTGCAGATTGTAATTTAACACCGCGGAACAAATCTGAGGAAAGCTCCCTTTCTAAACAGCCTGCCTTGTCTAATCTTGATATTGTATTCGACGAGGCCCTGGGGAAAAAAGCTATCGATGCTCAACGCAGAAAACGGCTTATTCGTTATCAAATCAACCCGCGCCCTAATTGGGGCCCTCAGGCCCGGGCACCAGTTATAAACACGAAAAAGGATTAATTGAGCGACTCAAGCATTTAGATCTCTTTCTTGTTAACATTTGAACATATGTGTCATTAGGAAGAATGTATAACACATCAATTCAAGCCATTACAATGCTTTTTTGCTTGATTATTTCTGACTATTGTTATATACCTATATTCTGCTTGATATGGGCAACAACTGCATCGCCAATATCTGTTGTCTGTGCTTTTCCTCCGAGATCAGATGTGCGGATACCAGCTTCTAGAGAGGCACTGACGGCCTGTTCGATCGCTTTCGCCTCCAGTTCCATACCAAATGAGTATCGGAACATCATAGCAACGCAAAGAATCATTGCAATGGGATTCGCAACATTTTTGCCGGCGATTCTAAACAAAATTTTGAATTAAGTTAGCTGAACATCCCTAACCAGCCTCATTGCCTGATAAATGTACTCACGTTGGTGCGGAGCCATGGGTTGGTTCGTATAGGGCGTATGAAGTTTTACCATCTGCCCTTCTTTCACCTGGGATACCACTTAAACTGGCACTTGGCAACACCCCTAAGCTGCCCACGATAGACCCAGCCTGATCGGAGAGCATGTCACCGAACGTGTTATCGGCGAGAAGCACACCGTTTAGTGACCGTGGGTTGGTTGCCATAATGAGCGAAGCAGAGTCGGCCAGTTGGTGAGAGAATTTGATTTGCGGAAACTCTGTTGACAGTGTTTTATCAACAACCCGGCGCCAAAGACGAGATGATGCCAATACATTTGCCTTGTCCATGGAGATGATTGGCCAGGGAGGTTCGTGCCGCAGGGCAATGTGTGCTGCAAGGCGAGTAATTCGTTGCACCTCCTGTGTCGAATACCCCCATTCATCCATTCCTACATAATCCATAAGCCAAAATGAAACTTGTCTCCTGATTACTCGAGTATCCTGTATAACTAACCGTAGTCCTCTTCCTCAACCTTCTTCCCAAAATAGGCTCCCCCGCAATTCTCTCTCAAGACAATAAAATCCACCCCCTCTACCACTTCCTGGCGATAAGGGCTAAATTCTTGACTCACGCTGCGGCAAATATCCGTGCTGCAAGGTCGTAAATTCCCATAGACATTAAGAACTTTTCTCAACTGCAATAATCCACCTTCTGGACCTTCTAGCCCTCTTCGTGAGGAATCCCACTTTGGCCCGCCTACGGAGGCAAAAAGAACGGCATCGGATTCCAAAGCAGCTTGTTTCACTGAGTCAGTGATCGGTGTGCCGTGGACATCGATACTGCAACCCCCGATGAGCTCCGTGCGGAGATTGAATGATCGCTCCAAGGACGAAAAGGTCTGCAGGACTTTGATCGCCTCAGCCATGATTTCCGGGCCGATACCATCTCCTGGGAGAGTAAGGATACTGTATGATCTAGGAGCCATTCCGCAAGAATGTGTGTTAAAAGGCTTTGGACTGTTGTTATGTGTTGATGTATAGTCCGTATACCTTAGCTTTTACCTTTGCAACCCCTTCAAATAGCAGAGCTTCTTTAGCCCTGTAACTAAGTGAATCTCTTGTGACCCAAATGTTTTGTATGTGGCTGCTGGCCTGCTTATATTGAACCGAAGCGCAATCCCCGCTGCAATGAGTCGGCACCAGCCGGCCGTCGGCGATCTCGGCATCCCGGCACGAAATACTCGGCAAAATGGCCAGTGCGTCTGATTGGCGGCTATTCTCCGATATCGCCAGGGGAGATAAAGCTTGGCAGAAGCTTAGTTAACTTGACTAGAAATGATGTCATGATTTGGATTGCGGCAAAATGGACACAACTACAAAAACTACTCCGTACTGGGGCTGATGATGAAAACAATGATAGATTATCTATATGCCAATCGACTGGGAATCTATGAGAAAGTGCCCGGGTTACAAGCCAACTTTTCAACTCCCAAGGAAACACGGCGAGAAACCACAACAACATTCGTGCATAAGAGAAAGAAGATGATATGTCCTTCATGAAAATTAATAGGGTCATAGACAAGTACATAAGACCACAACAAAAAGAAGAATATCGTGATCCTGAAAAAGCAATCGGGGTGAAGAAAACATGGCTGTTCCATGCTAAAGTAGCAGCGAGCCTAGTTCAATGTAGCTTGAGCAACAGCTACAGCTTGAGAGTCATTGTGACTAATGCTGACGCTGACGCCTTTGATGCCCGCTCGCTTCGCAGCATCTGCAGCCTCGCCGTGCAGCTATCATACTTGATTAGCTTGTCATTCCAGCTATAGCAAAGGGGATTAATGAAGGACCTACAGTAACAACTGGAGCACCGTTGGAATCGTTTGTGATCTCAATATCCCTTAGAGGTGCTCCGGCGCCCTTTCCTGGAACGCCAAGAGATTTGAAGACAGCTTCTTTTGCGCTCCACCGTCCTGTGAAGGAGGCCCTGGGGGATGCAGCCTGCAGGCAATACTTCTGCTCAGCAGCTGTGAAGTTTCGTTTAATAAACGTTTCGTTCTCAATGTTGATCGCATCAAGACTCTCAACATCGACACCAACACGAGTGCTGTTCCCCGCAGCAGCCTTCGCTAGCTTCTCTACCATTTCCTTAGTACTCTCAGAGGTCTTGCGAGCAGCATTCTTAGCTGGATAATTGAACTGAGATGTCTTCTCATTGAGAGTTACACGGGCATCAGGGTTAAGTAAGACCCCTGATTCCTGGCTATCGTCATAAGGTGATTTATCCTTAGCAACGAAGATGCTGTTATTGATCAATCCGTTGTGGAAGTATCTGTATGCCTTCTTCTGGCGAGCTTTGACCTTTGTCTTGTATGCGGCGTATTGAGTGTCGCTCAAGGTGGCGAAAAGATACTTGGGGTGAATACCAATCGCCTGGGCGCCCTTCTGCCCGAATCCGAATGAAGTGACAGAAAATGCCTTAATCCCATCAGTCTGGAGGCTGCGGCTTGGGTATACGATATAGTCAAACTTCTCCATAATTTTGTCAACATTATCCGCGTTTCGATTACCAGGAACGAGGCCACTGTTCAGGGCCTGTAAGCAGCCGTTGAACATGAATCCACCAGCAGCACCTTTTGGATGTCCAGTCAAATACTTCTGGAAAATACCAAGGAGGGCATTGCCCTTCTTTCTGCCAAGATGCTTCATTTGTTTGCATAAAACATCACACTCATTCTTGTCGTTGGCAACCGTTGAGGTGCCGTGGAAGGAAGCAACATCAAGATCATCGATTGTAAGACCCCACGTTGCAAGGGCACCTCGAAGAGGAGCAATGCGAGAATCCTGCTTCCAGAAATTGTTGCCGAGCGCAAACTGGGCGTCTTTTTCCTGTCGGATGGCTTCACGATGGATGTGCTCCACACGCTCCTGTAGATATTCCTTTTCGTCAAAGGGCTCAGCGGCCTGGGACTTCATAGCTTCGACTTCTTCTTGGAGGTATAGCAGTTCTGACTCTTGCCATTGCTTGATTTGGGTTCGTCTGAGTTCCAGTTGTCGTCGACGGTATTTAATATCCAAAAGTGGAGATGGGAACATGCCTGGGTTTTCGCGAGCGGTGGTCAAAACACCTTGGCCAGGCGCTGGCACAGATCGGCCAATCTTGTCAGTAGCAGTAGTAGTTAGAGCAAGAACACCGTAGATAGGAACGCCCATATCCAAGGCAAGCTGAGCACTCATGATCAGCTGCATACCACACCCTTGCGACTCCATGAAACCGGATCTTGTGGTCGTAGTAGGTCGCGACATTTCTTGAGGAGTTCTTCCGTGGGCAAATTCAGTCTCTGCGTTACTGGTAGCATTGATGTTGGCAAACTCGTATGAGCCTTCTTCTTGGAAATCGTCAAATCCACCAACAAAGCAAACACGGGCTTTACCCTCAACAATTGTCTCATATCCAATGTCAATGGATTCAACAGCTGTCGCACAAGCTCCAACAGGTGTTTTGATCGGACCGCTGGATGACAAAAGCAACATGTTCACCCACGCACTCATGGTGTTGATGAAGGACTCCTGTAAAATGTCCTTTTGAAGCGGTTTGTCTAGATACCGATCTTTGTACATTCCTTTCAAAGCAAGAGACCCGCCGATTCCGGAACCGATGCAGTTGCCAAGCTCAGAAACATGGATGTATTTGTAGAACTCATAAGGATCTGTAACCCCAGACGAGAGCAGAGTTTCCGCTGTACAGACAAGAACATACAGAGCAACGGGATCAACCTGGCTGATAATGTCGTCAGGGATGCCGTAATTTTTGGGGTTCCATCCAGTTGGAATCTGACCAGCAACAAGACGGTCAAACTTCAAGGCTTTGGGAATGAAAAGGGTGGCACCCTTGAGAAGACGAACGGTGAATTCGCCGGATTCCTTGATTTCAAAAATCTCGGCTTTGTCGCCGTGTTCGCGTTTGAACTCTTCCGCAGTTTCTTTGGAAGCTTCGAAAGTTTCAAGATCCTCTTGAAGTACGACTTCTTGTAGAAGCTGCTTCTTATTAGGATCGTAACCTCTGAATAGTTCTGGCTCGATAAGACGTATACCAGAATGCTCCAGGATGTATTTCTCGTATTTCGCTTTAACGTCCTTGTCACTAACAGGGTCGCCAGTCTTCGCATCTACCCATCCAGAGTAAGGTTTGCCCTTGATAGGTCCGTTGTGATTCTTGATCAAGCTCATGATCCAAGCCATCTCAACACATCCTTCCAAAGAGAATTCGCCGTATGCCTCCATCTCCCAACGGGTCCTCGAGTTACCCCATGGGCCAAGTTCAGCAAAACCGGCAACGACAACTACTTTATCGAGATTAACCATCCCCTTAAGATCCTTATTAATTGACTCCAAATCCTTCCATTCTGGCAAAGTGGGGAATTCGAATTTAATGTTTGCCCTTGGCTCTGTAACCACCTTTTTGTATAGAGTCTCACTATCCTCTCCATTGACAACCTTATTTTCCAAAGCGGTTTCCTTGATAACAGCCTGTCTAACAGTACTTGTCTCAACCATTTCACCACGTAGCTTTCGCATGAGCGCATTGAGGTCAGGAATGAACTGAAGGCCGCCATTCAAATCAGCAAACACCGGATTGCTTTGGCAAAGATCGACAATGGCTGGTGCCATAAGCCCAAGCAAATTAAATGCCATTTCCTGTTGTGAAAATGTTCGAACGCCAAGTTTCTCGACACCTTCGGCAATTGTGTCATTTGCATTCATGAGGCCAGTAGAACGGGTCCATCCAATGACAGCGCCACAAATGGTCAAATAGTGAGCCCAGTTTTCGGAATACCATCTATTGAAAAGCGTTTCCAAGCCTAACTTAGATTCCGAATATAAACCATCATTTCCGAATGTGCCGTGGTTAGGGGATAGCGGCAGAATGACTTGAGCAGGTCGCGTTAAGAATCCTCGTTCTTGTTTTTGTGTCTTGACACAACCAATCAAACGGTAAATGTTGGTTAACATGAGACGGTGTGCTAATTCTGATTTAGAGTCGATACTGTCAATCTCACGCCCATTCTCAGAAATGGCAGCAAATGGAACGACGTAGTCAAGATCCCAGCCCAGACCATTTTTGGTGTCATAAATGTAATTGACCAAGGCCTCAACATCCTGCTTGCTGCCTTGATTGAAAGGAACAACAACTAATTGAGAGCCCCTAGCCCCATATCGAGTATACATTGTTTGGTAATATTCGGTAACTTGGCGGCTAAATCGGCTCGTTGTAACAACGACTTTGGCGCCGCCGCTGATCAAACCTTGAAGTACTGCTGCACCGATAGAGCCAGCGCCAGCACCGGTCATTAAAACATTTTTATGACTAAAAGTAAGACCAGCAGCAGCGGCTGACTCAAGTCCATCAAGGTAGACTCCAGTTAATTTTTTGCTATATTCCCAACCATGTGCCTTCTTCCTTTTCAAATGCAAGAACGGAATGGTTTCAATCTTGCCTGGCTTCATGTTTGTTCCATTAACAGGAGATCGAGAACCGCTGCGTGTTCCCTTTTTAGCACTTCCGTTTTCATGTGGCATGATCTGATGTTCATTCATAGCAAGAGCGCGGAGCACCTCTCTATACATGGCGTTAAACTGAAGCTGAGATGACTTAGATAACTTATGTTGTTTGCGGATTAGCTTATAGACGTTTCTTAAATCATTCTGAACCTTAGTGCGGTTACTGTATTCGGAAATTGGGCCACCTTCAGCCATCTGCTTGACATAATGTTCTAGTTTGCGTACACTCGCACGCGGGGCCTCTTGGTAATTGATAGCACCGCGGGCATCAACCACGGTTTGCGGTCCAGTTGGAACAGCGACATCTTTGTACACAGGGTCTGTATGTAGAACCTCTCTGCAGTTTTCAATTAGCTGTTGCCCGAGTTCCTTGGCTAATTTGTATGTCTCGCCGCGTTCGGTCGGGCAGTTATCGATGTGATACTGCATGAAATCGAGAAGAAGAGGATTCGAGCGGTTCATGATGCGAATACACTGGCTCACAATTTCACGGTCCACAACCTTCAACCGGCCAAAGATGATATCAAAATACATACTCAGAGCATCCTGCCTTGCCCAATTCCACGATGAATCATATACACGCGCTTTTAAGGGATCAAAAGATGGCTCAATGCCGGACGCGTAGATGTCACCGTGTTCCGCATGCCATAAATCTAATTGAGCCTGCAAGGCAGTATGAGATTCCTGCGATGTTAAGTGGGCTTTGTCGCCGGCTCGTAAGTCCATCTTTAGGTAGCGTGCAATGATTTCTAACTGTTGTTTGAAAAGAGCTCTTTGATCTTTCGTTAATGCATCGATGGCAGCAGGGTCCATCATCATCCCTCCGGCCGCGGCTCCGCCATCACCGCCAGCGCCAGGTGTAGCAAGAGTAATGCCTTGGATCGCAGCATACTTGTTGGCAACGTCGTCTAGATATGCTTTGGCGTCGTTTTCTGAGCCAAGGCGGGAGGCAGGCTCCATAGTCATGGCGAGAAGGAGAACGCCATCTTGTCGGCCACTACCTAGCCCCCATCTGGTTTCGAGGTACTTTCGGACAGCAGTGATGTTGAAGCCACCTGGCATTTTAGAAGATACCAGTCTGGCAACCAGAGATGCAGATTGCTTGCCAAGTTGGCCATTGAAGGTTGCCTGTAGCGCGCCGGAGAGCTCATCAATAGGGGTATCTTCAGGTCTCTCGGGTGTTGAGCCAAATTCCTTGCCTAAATCACCAAGAATTTCGTTCTGGAGCGTGGATTTACCTGAAATAGGCGTAGGAACAAATTAGCGAGAACAGTAAAGGGCAGATAAGATGCAATTGAACGCCTTACCTCCTACTAAATCTTTGATCGCCTTGTTAGGCGGAATGTCTGCAAAATTCTTCTTTAGTTTCTGTGCGACTAGTGATCTAACAATATCAACGGCAGGAACTGGAACATCCGCTATCGCAGCAGCCGGTCCAGCACTTGGTGCAGGCGGTGCGACGGCGGTAGCCGGAGCCGCAGCAGCAGCAGCAGCAGTTGGTGCAGCGGCGGGAGCAGCGTCACTTGTTGGAGAGGGTTCTGGTTCCTCTTCCTCAATAGGATCAACATCGTAATAAATTTCTTTTGCGTCCTTGTTGTAGCAAAGAATCTGTCGTTGGACGGAGGTCGCTGCGTCGTAGGCTTCGTATTTTGAAGATATGGTTCGTTTGGCCATTCCACCCAGCGTGTCTGCTGGGCCAATCTCAACGATGCGCTCTGTCCTCTTCTCCGCGAGAATAACGTCTTGAGTTTCAATCCATCGGACCGGGGAAGCGAACTGGTATGCCAGAAGCTCAACTAAGAGCGTATGGGCCAGCTCCTGCTCGACTTCGGGTCTCATCGTGACGGCTGTGGAGTGGTATTAGGAAAGATGGGCGGAGCTGTCGGCAAAGGGAAGCTTGGAAATAGTCTGAAAGAGAAGAGAAAATATCTGCCGGGTAATCTCCGCGTGCCTATCCACGGCGCAAAGTGAAAGTAGAAAGGCTGTTGGTGTTTACTGCTTCAGCATGGCCTCAGGAACTAAACGGAAGGTTTGACGGCGCCGTCGAGCTTCCTGAGGAAGGGAGGCAGGTAGAACAGCAAAGCTGGCAATATCAACAGCAGTGCTGGAATACGACGAGAGGTTGAGCCTACAGGCAGCAGGATTAAGATGGAGCGAAGTTGTTGTCCGCGTCGTGTCCCAAATGTTGTTGGGGGCTCCGCCGACGACGACGAAAATTTAGAGTTGGGACGCAGGTCCAGGCCAGACCGTATCGTCATATTACAGACGGCTTGGTTGTTCTCGGCTGGTACGGGACGACAGTGCATGCATATCTAGCCGCGCTGATTGGCCAGACACCGTACGTGTCGTATTCGGGAGCTACAGGCCGAGCCAGAGCTTCCTGCGCTGTGGGAGTGAGCAGCTATGATGCTGGCATTGGCACCGGCGGGCTCGAGGCAAGACAGCATGCTCTGCCCGACAAATCTGCCAGCCACAGTGCTGCTTGCTGCTCACGCGCATGTGTGCTTGACAGTGCGAGTGGCGCTCCTCGCATCCCGACGCCACGCCGAAGCCGACACGTATCATTATTACCAGCTTGTCCCTGATTCCAGCCCAACCATTTTGAATTCTTTGGGGACGCTGGTATGGGGCTAGTCCGCATCGGAGCTGCCTTGAACTCAACCAACCGCCCCGGCACATCAGCCACGCTAGCCCCCAGGCAGCCTAGCGCAGTAACGCCGTTACGTGACGGCGTGCTTCCCGGCACCGGATGACAGTGGCACTGCGGTATTCCCGGTATGATGATGCCATCCGCTCGACACTGTTGTGTAAGGCTGTTACCGCGCTAGTCCGCTTCGATTGTTGCGAGCAAGGGCCGGTGATACCGTCAGCACTCGAGCCTGGAAAAAAAGCGTCGCAGCTCCCGCACTCCTCCAGCTTCACCAACTCCAAAAAAAAGGGCATCGTGGGTGTTTTGGGCTTTTGTTTTTTCCTTTCGTCCCCTCTTTCGAGCTCCTTCCGCAGCCGCCGGTTGCAATCCCTCCTTCTCACCACGCCTTTGCGATTTCCAGCTTCCCATTTTCCCATTTTGCTGTGAAAATCACCGCGGAGGATAGCATGCTTTGGGATAGTTGGTATGACTCTTGCTCCCACTAGAAACGCGCAAATGGAAGCTTGCTGGCTGGCCTTTTATTCATTCGTTACTCACACTACTATGCATTCTTGTAGACAGAATATTAAATCACCTCCCGCTTGTTGAGCTTCATTCTGCCTAACAGTCCGCACCATGTACGGAACATCGACGGGCCCGCAGACGGGCATCAATACTCCTCGATCCTCGCAATCTCTCCGACCCCTTTTCCTCTCTCATGGCTCCCTCGATTTCTCTTTCCTGGTTCCAACCTCGCTGCATTTTCACGCATCCCAGCTGAAGGATGCATTCTCTGGATCCCTTCCTGCGCCTACAGATGAACTGGCGCAAGATGACGAGCCTTCATCTGTCCCAGAACTCGTTGCCAGATACCTTAACTTCGTCGCACGGCATGTAGAGGAAGGAGAAGATGACTCCCAAGGATCTTATCTGGAGCTTCTAAAGCTGGTTCTCAACGAATTCGAACGTGCTTTCATGCGTGGAAACGACGTCCATGCAATTGCTGGCTCACTCCCAGGAATTGCTGCCAAAAAGCTTTTAGTGGTGGAAGCATACTATGCCGCACGCGCCTCCGCTGACAGACCCACAAAACCACATGAATCTGCTTTACTTCGAGCTGCTGCTGAAGGCGATGCTAAGATATACAGTGTTTATGGAGGCCAAGGCAACATTGAGGAATATTTTGACGAGCTTAGAGAGGTATATTCAACTTATCCATCCTTCGTGGAGGATTTGATATCCTCTTCCGCTGAACTCCTCCAATCCCTGGCCCGAGACCCAGATGCAATTAAGCAATACTCGAAAGGAATGGATATTTTGCGATGGCTTCACGATCGAGACTCCCAGCCGGACATCGATTACTTAGTTTCAGCACCTGTCAGCTTTCCGCTGATTGGTTTGGTGCAGCTGGCTCATTACATGGCTACCTGTAAGGCAATGGGAAAGCAGCCTGGTGAAATATTGGAGCGATTTAGTGGTACTACGGGGCACTCACAGGGTATCGTCACAGCTGCTGTCATTACAACAGCCACATCATGGGAGTCTTTTGGTAAGGCTGCAAAAAATGCCTTGACAATTCTCTTTTGGATCGGTTTACGCAGCCAACAGGCATACCCCAGGACTTCCCTCGCCCCATCTACTCTCCAGGACTCTATTGAAAATGGCGAGGGTATACCTACGCCCATGCTTTCAATCCGAGATTTACCTCGGGCCGCAGTACAAGAACATATCGATGCGACTAACCAGCATTTGCCAAAAGACCGCCATATTGGTATTTCGCTTGTCAACAGTGCGAGGAATTTTGTTGTAACAGGCCCTCCAATTTCTCTTTACGGTCTCAATTTGCGACTACGTAAAGTGAAAGCCCCCACTGGCCTTGATCAAAATCGTGTGCCCTTTACTGAACGAAAAATCCGCTTTGTGAATAGGTTTTTACCAATTACCGTACCATTCCATAGCAAATACCTCACTTCCGCTTTTGACATAATTACGGAAGACTTGGAAGATATCCAAATCCCAGCCAAGTCACTTCGTATCCCAGTGTACAATACCAATACAGGTAAAGATCTGAGGTTGAATGGTGATGAAGATATTGTTCCAGCCTTGGTTCGCATGATCACGAGCGATCCTGTGAATTGGGAAAATGCCACCGTTTTTGATAACGCTACCCACATTCTCGACTTTGGTCCCGGAGGTATTTCCGGCCTTGGAGTATTAACTAACCGCAACAAAGATGGTACTGGAGTCCGGGTTATCATTGCAGGTTCCATGGATGGCACCAACGCTGAAGTCGGCTATAAATCGGAGCTCTTCGATCGAGACGAAGAGCACGCAATCAAATACGCTGTTGATTGGGTCAAGGAGTTCGGACCCCGTTTAGTTAAGACATCTGTAGGCCAGACGTTTGTCGATACAAAGATGAGTCGTCTACTTGGTGTACCGCCTGTCATGGTCGCTGGTATGACTCCGTCTACTGTTCCATGGGACTTTGTTGCAGCTACCATGAATGCCGGATATCAAATTGAACTTGCCGGCGGTGGCTATTACAATGCGAAATCTATGACTGAAGCCTTGCACAAAATTGAGAAATCCATCCCTCCTGGACGTGGTATCACAGTCAATTTGATTTATGTCAACCCGAGAGCAATGGGCTGGCAGATTCCCTTGATTGCAAAACTTCGAGCTGATGGAGTTCCTATCGAGGGTCTTACAATTGGCGCTGGTGTCCCATCTATTGAGGTGGCGAACGAATATATTGAAACCCTTGGCATTAAGCACATTGGATTCAAACCTGGCTCCATGGAAGCCATTCAGCAAGTCATCAATATCGCCAAAGCAAACCCGACGTTCCCAGTATTTTTGCAGTGGACTGGTGGTCGTGGAGGTGGGCATCATTCCTTCGAAGATTTCCACCAACCCATCCTTCAGATGTATAGCCGTATCCGAAGATGCGGGAACATAGTTTTCGTGGCAGGTAGTGGTTTTGGTGGTGCAGAGGATACTTACCCGTACTTGACTGGTACCTGGTCTAGACAGTTTGGGTACCCCCCTATGCCTTTTGATGGATGCATGTTCGGCAGTCGTATGATGACTGCCAAGGAAGCCCATACATCCAAGGCAGCAAAAGAAGCTATCGCAGCTGCACCAGGTGTTGACGACAGCCAGTGGGAAAAGACATATAGCGGTGAAGCAGGTGGTGTCATTACTGTCCGGTCTGAAATGGGCGAGCCGATTCATAAACTTGCCACTCGTGGTGTTTTATTCTGGGCCGAAATGGATAAGAAGATCTTTTCCCTTGACAAGGCCAAACGAATTCCCGAATTAAAGAAACAGCGCGACTACATTATCAAGAAGCTTAATGACGACTTCCAAAAAGTATGGTTTGGTCGAAATTCGTCCGGTCAGACAGTGGACCTTGAGGACATGACCTATGCTGAGGTTGTTCATCGCATGGTTGAACTCATGTATGTCAAACACCAATCACGGTGGATCGACGACTCCTTAAAACGTCTTACTGGGGATTTCATTCGCCGAGTAGAAGAACGCTTCACATCAGTTGAAGGCCAAGCATCACTGCTTCAGTGCTACTCTCAAATTGATAAGCCATACCCTGCCGTCGACGATATCCTCAAGGCATATCCCGAAGCATTTTCCCAGTTAATCAGTGCTCAGGACGTACAACACTTTTTAATTCTTTGCCAGCGACGTGGCCAGAAGCCGGTTCCATTTGTACCTTCACTTGATGAGAATTTCGAGTTTTGGTTCAAGAAAGATTCTCTCTGGCAATCTGAAGACCTGGAAGCCGTCGTTGGCCAAGATGTTGGCAGAGTTTGTATTTTGCAAGGGCCAATGGCTGTCAAATACTCGAACACTGTTGACGAACCAATCCAAGACATCCTTGACGGTATACATACGAACCACATCAAAGGTCTTGTCCGAGATGTCTACGGCGGTCAAGCATCGAATGTTCCTGTTGTGGAGTACTTTGGCGGCCATCTTCCCCTTGAAGATGAGGATGATCGGGATATCGATGGCCTAACCATCTCTGAAGAGGCGAATAAAGTGTCGTACAGACTGTCTTCATCTCCATCTGCAAACTTGCCAGATCTAGAACGCTGGCTTCATCTTCTCGCTGGAAGAGGATACTCTTGGAGACACGCCTTTTTTACTACTGAAGTCTTCATCCAAGGACATCGCTTCCAATCCAATCCTATGAAACGGCTGCTTGCTCCTACACGTGGAATGTACATTGAAGTGGCTAATCCTAATGAGCCACAGAAGACTATAATCAGTGTCAGAGAGCCTTCTCAGTCTGGTAAATTAGTGAAGACCGTTGAAATACGGATGGTCGGCCCTAAAAAGCTCGCTTTAACGCTTTTTGAGGGAAGAACAGCTGAAGGTGGCGTGATTCCACTTCCATTCCAATTCACATATCACCCAGAAACTGGTTATGCTCCTATTAGGGAAGTAATGGAGGGGCGAAATGATCGCATCAAGGAGTTCTATTATCGCCTTTGGTTCGGCGAAAAATCTGTGCCGTTTGATGCCCCTGCCACGAGCATATTCGATGGAGGAGTAACAACAGTTGTATCTAAGGATATTGCTGATTTTGTTCATGCCGTTGGAAACACTGGCGAAGCTTTCGTTGATCGCCCAGGGAAAGAGGTCTTCGCCCCCATGGACTTCGCAATTGTGGTTGGATGGAAAGCCATCACGAAACCTATCTTCCCTCGTGTCATAGATGGAGATCTTTTGAGACTTGTTCATCAATCAAATGGCTTCCGAATGGTACCAGGAGCAGAGCCTCTTAAAGTTGGTGATGTTCTCGAGACGACTGCCCAGATCAATGCTATTATCAACCAGGACTCTGGGAAAATGGTTGAGGTTTGCGGTACTATTAAGCGCGATGGTCAGCCTGTCATGCATGTTACCAGCCAGTTCCTCTACAGAGGCACATACACCGACTATGAAACAACCTTCCAGCGCAAAGAAGAGATGCCTATGCAAGTACACCTAGCGTCAACGAAGGATGCAGCTGTTCTTCAATCTAAGGAGTGGTTCCGCCTCGATGACCCCGATGTTGAACTACTTGGTCAGACTTTGACTTTCCGCCTCCAGAGTGTTGTCCGCTTCGAAAAGAAGAATATTTTCCGAAGTGTCCAAACAATGGGACAGGTGCTTTTGGAACTTCCGTCGAAAGAAGTCATCCAAATTGCCTCGGTCGAATACGAAGCTGGCACCTCCCATGGTAATCCCGTTATTGACTACTTACAACGCCATGGCCAGGTTATTGAGCAACCGGTTCACTTTGAGAACCCAATCCCCCTCAGTGGTAAAACGCCACTCATTCTCAAGGCACCTGCATCCAATGAAACCTATGCCCGAGTTTCTGGAGACTACAATCCTATTCACGTTTCTAGAGTGTTTTCGAGCTATGCGAACTTGCCTGGAACAATCACCCACGGCATGTATACTAGTGCTGCCGTTCGTAGCTTGGTGGAAACTTGGGCTGCCGAAAATAACATTGGCCGTGTCCGAAGCTTTCATGCTTCTTTAGTCGGAATGGTTCTTCCTAATGATGAGCTCGTTGTCAAACTCCAGCACGTTGGCATGGTTGCTGGACGAAAGATTATCAAGGTTGAGACGAGCAACCAGTCAACAGAAGAGAAAGTGTTACTTGGTGAAGCTGAAGTTGAGCAACCGGTTTCTGCTTACGTGTTCACTGGTCAAGGCTCCCAAGAACAAGGGATGGGCATGGATCTTTACAATTCCAGTGCTGTAGCGAAGGAGGTCTGGGATCGTGCGGATAAACATTTCTTGGAGAATTACGGATTCTCTATTATCAACATTGTCAAGAACAACCCACGCGAACTGACTATCCATTTCGGTGGCCCACGAGGGAAAAAGATTCGCCAAAACTATATGTCCATGACATTCGAATCTGTTAACTCTGACGGCACTATAAAATCAGAAAGAATATTCAAAGAGGTGAGCGAACAATCGACATCGTATACCTACAGATCTCCGTCCGGCCTACTTTCCGCTACGCAATTCACCCAGCCTGCTCTGACGCTTATGGAAAAAGCAAGCTTTGAAGACATGAGATCCAAAGGCTTAGTTCAGCGTGATAGTTCATTCGCTGGGCATTCGCTTGGAGAATATTCTGCCCTTGCAGCCCTCGCAGATGTTATGCCTATTGAAAGTCTCGTATCTGTTGTATTCTATCGTGGGCTTACCATGCAAGTGGCTGTTGAGCGTGATGAGCAAGGCCGATCGAATTATTCGATGTGCGCCGTCAATCCCAGCCGTATCTCGCGGACTTTCAACGAACAAGCCCTCCAGTATGTGGTCGAGAATATTTCCGAGGAGTGCGATTGGTTACTGGAAATTGTCAACTACAATGTTGCCAATATGCAATATGTTTGTGCTGGAGACGTTAGTGATTTCTCTTCAATTCCATTTAAAAGTAGCTTGCTAACTAACAATTTTACAGTTGCGAGCTCTTGACTGCCTTACCAATGTCCTCAATGTACTAAAGGCTCAGAAAATCGATATCCAAGCTTTGATGAAGACCATGTCGTTGGAAGACGTAAAAGCTCATCTTGTTGAGATCATTAAGGTGTGCAAAAAGCAAACTGAAGCGAAGCCGACGCCTCTTACCCTTGAGCGTGGTTTCGCTACAATTCCTCTCAAGGGCATCGATGTCCCATTCCACAGTACATTCCTGAGGTCAGGTGTGAAGCCTTTCAGATCATTCTTGCTCAAAAAAATCAACAAGTCCACCATCGATCCCAGCAAGCTGATTGGCAAGTACATTCCAAATGTCACCGCACAGCCTTTCCAGATCACCAAAGAATACTTCGAAGAAGTATACCGGCTGACCAACTCACCTCGCATCGGGCATGTGCTAGCAAATTGGGAAAAATATGAGGATCCTCTAGACGCGAAAAACTAAAGGGGCAATTGGATGGAGTCTTCACCCAAGATCGTTATTTCTTTTCTAGTCAGATTTCATTTCTTTTTGCTATGAATGAATATAGACATCTTTAATATTAAAATCATGATGTATGCTTTTCTTCCCTACTTCTTGCTTTAACTATCGCCAGCTCGTTTCTTTGTGCCTTTGATTATTGCAGTGCTGGAGACTTGCTTCATATTCTGTGGTTCGAGGGACGCTCTGGAAGCATGATAGCTTCAATATATTCTTAGCACAGAGTAATAGATATATAAATCGAAATGGTACTATTTTAGAAAGTCAAAGGAGCTTTATGGAAGCTGGAAGCCAATAAAATAAACTGTATGATAGTAGCGGTCGAGGAAATTGATATGATGTTGTATCCTGGTTTTCTGTTGCTAATAGACAATTTTAGACAGGTATGCCAGTCACCAGAGACTATTGGCCATGAAGTAAAAGGAGCAGTGAGGGCGAATAAATAAATAAAGATGGAAGTCATTCATAATACATCTTCGCAGAAGATTGTGATTGATACTCACGGGAACGACAGAAGTATGATTAAAATCTCAAAGCATGTAGGTGCCCACGCTGCTATGAGCGAAGTAAGCCAAAGGCTCTTATGCGCCCACAATATCTAATATGTTGTAAGACAACTCAAGAGCCCGGTTTAAAATTAGGCGCTGGTCTTAGTAACTTGTCCTCTTTGGCAAACACTCCAACCTCCTTAACGATCGCGATGAACTTTGGATAATTGGTCTTCATGTCACCAAGGCGGGGCCGAAATAGTTTTAGCAAGTCTCCGGATAGTATTCCACTTTGTGGAATAGCAGCATGAACTTCAGCATGGGTAGGAAAGGGACCGACTGCTGCCGCGGCAGGCGTCGACGAGCGCACTTGATAGATTGTCAGTAGACAAGGGGAGAAAAAAGGGAGAAAAGGTAGTCCTTACCGGGAGGGCTGGGGCGATTGCCAGTCAACCCAGCTTTACCGTTTGCGGGAACTGGACTACCAGCGCGAGAACCTACCGGAGTACCTCTTTTCGAAGTAGGAGGATTTATTTTCAATTTCTTCGCAGTTACACTGTCGCTCATTTCCGCGCCAGACACTACAGCCTTCTCTACGTCGCTACCAGAGCCCGCTCCCCCGGCCCCAGTGCGGGCGCGTTTCTTTCCAGCGGCCTTCGAACCATCAGCTTTCCGTGGAGCAGAGGGTGCGGCGGTAGAAGAAGTTGTTGAAGGTGCCGGGGACATTGGTCTGGAGTTGGGCTTTGATTGTTGGGCAGATAGGGATTGGGCGATATGTTTATTCTTCGCTTTTTTGCGGGGCGTGTCGGTTCCGCTAGCATCAGAAGCATTTGGGGAACCGGCTCGCTTTCTAAATTGCTGCGCCGGTCCCTTTTTCAACGGATCTGTAAACTTTTGTCGATCGGATGGAGTACTTGAACCTTTCGCTATAGGCGTAGAAGACTTGTCTCCTTTCTCCTTTTTCTTTTCTTCTTCGGCCTTCAGACGTTCGGCTTCAGAATCGTCGGTACTCTATGGCATATTGGGTGAGCTTTGAAAAGAACGGAGGAAAAAAAAAATATAAGAACATACCTCCTCCTCGGACCAGGGATTACCGTCGGATCCGCTGCTGTAATCAAAGTTCTTTTCTCGTCGCTGTAGAGCTTTCCGGACCTTTTTGCCAAACTCCTTGAGCGCCTCTTTTTCTCGTTGCTCTTGTTTTTCTTCTGCTTCGTAGTCCTTCTCATCCCTTAGATCGAACACATTGGCTTTTAATTGTTCTTTTTTGATACGCTTCTCGGCAATTTTTGTTTCCTCGTCCTCTTCTACAACCATGTGCTCTTCATCGTCTGCAAATCTATCTTCCTCAAAATCCATGTCGTCGCCTTCACCGCCTTCACCAACACCGGACGCCACCACTCGCCCTGTATAGACCCTTCGCTGCTTTGCGAAATCGGCCAACTCTTTTTCTTGCTTTCGGGCTTGCTCCTTTTCCATGAACCATCTCGGATCTTTAATTTTCTTAGCCATGTATTTCTCGGCCTCTTCAATAGTAAGAGCTTTAAATGGATTTTTTGCACTAAACTTATACCATTTATCAATAGGAACCATTCTTAATTTTCCACTATTTTCTAGCACAAACATGACGTAGGTTTCAGACATGGCAGCTTCGTATTTGCCAACCCATGTATTCTTATTATCAAAATCTTCTAAATGCCATGGTAAAGCTTCCTCATATTTCACACGGGCTTTTGCGATCTCGTCAGGGGTCATTTCTGATTTGAATACCTGCTGAATTCGTTGTTTTGGAGCATTCGTGCGTTTTGCGCCGCTTGACGCTGATGGAGCAATCTGAGCGAGATTTTCCTCACGTTCTTTTGCCCGAGCGGCCTTTTTAGCCTCTAGGACTTCACGATCAACCTCAGTCATACCTCCTTCCCGCAGGCCTTTCTGATTTATGTCCTGCTTATCAACGCTGGTTTGCTCGACAGAAGCTCTTGGATCCCGGCGTTGCAGTCTGACAGGTCGGGTAAAATGTGCTTCATCTCTAGGGTCAATGTTTTTCTTCGATAGAAACTTTGCGACATGGTTCCTCAGTCCCTCTCTCATAGCACGCTTTGTTGTAACTACCGGGAAATCGACATACTGCTGTGAAATAAGAGGCCCACTGAATCCGTTGACGGCTATGTCGTCGGCACTAGGAATTCGTGGGGGCTTAGGAGCCACAGGGGTCTGAGATTTTGGGGGTAACTGCGGCACAGAACGTATATCTCCACCTCTAATCGGGGCAGCATCTGGTTTCCGGGGCTGGGGCCGTGGAATCGGCCTTTTCTTTGGGCGCACTAATGGGTCTGCGGGCTTTGGTCGACGGGGCTTCAAAACTAGGCCATTGGGGCCGACAGGAGGAGCACGGTTGGGAGGCCGATTAGGTGGAGCTGAGCTCATGCTTGAAAAATTAATGGCAGGAACTCAGCGAGAAGATGGAGGTCGCGAATAGCGGCGCATTCAAGGTGCGATTCAGTCCGCTAACGACCTTTTCTTGAAGAGCCGTCCGTGTTTAAAAAATTGACGTCGGAGTGCTTGGTGGAAGGTGGTTAACTAAAAATGCGCAAAAGAGGGATTGTGGATGAAATTCCAGGTCTCCTTGCCGTTGCGCACCTGAAGAACGGCGTCAAAGCTGTAGTCGATGATATGCCGCGCCTTGAGATGCTGAAAGGGCGACTAATGAGGTCAGGCGTTTTGCTGAGTCACCTTTCTTACGCGGGTTGCTTATGTAACTAATCAGTCACCTAGTTTAGTAAGTTAATTCGTTGCATGAGGTCATTGCCAAGGCTTTAAATTCTTCGGCTCCACTATCCTCCGCTTCCGAGGTGATTTGACCTCCAGTCACAACTACGGTCTGCTCTGGCACGAGATTCCAACTTCCAAACGGCTCAAATCGTACCACTACGGTGGTATGAAGGGGTCAGGATATTCATGGTCAAGTTTACACTGCCTAAACTATCCGTGAGCCTGGCCACTGGGGCTGAGATGTCATCCTTGATCCGTTGAGAATGTCACTGCTAAATGTCCAAATGGCAACCTGGGGACGCACCTGGGAAGAATAGATTGTGGTATTTTTTCCATCCAGTACAGAATAGTTGCAGTGCTATTTTTATAGCGCTCTTACTACAAATGGTAACTGTCCGGCCCCTACATATCTATCTTACCAAATTAACAGATGTACACGGATAAACTGCTATATACCTCGGTACTGTTTCAGTATTGCTCTAATTTCTCACGACAAAGTCATCATTCTGTCGTCACAGCTGACTATGCAGAGTGATAGGTGTTTGTTGGTTTTATGTTTATAAAGGCATGATAAGTATCTGTGTCTTACGCCATTGCTTGGTTATCATTTTTTGAAAAAGCTTTGTATTTTGCACCGCAGTGCAAATGAGAAACATCGGATTGTTAAAAGCTGAACCTACCCTCTCACTATTTCCTATTCTAGGATGTGGGGTGGAACAATATGGAAATGAATGTTGAGCATTCTTGTCGCAAATTTCCGTTTCTCTGCAAGACTGTCACGCTTTCCCTAAAACGGAGTGACTTTTCTGGAAGCGAGGTGTCTGTGTTGCTAAAGCTCTGCCATTCCCCCTACTTGAACCCACAAAAGAAAGAATTTCTCTCTCTTGCCTCTTCTTCCCCTTATCATAAAAGGGCCTTTCTTGGTAGGTATACTGACCGGTTCATGTTCCCAAACTCCTTTTGGTATCTATCCCCCTAGTGATAATATCTGCTGTCGATATCGTCTTTTATAACATCTCACCTTTCGACCAAGCCCCCAAGATGGCGGCGGGACCTTTGGTTCCGGCTTTCAAAAGTACACGGAAACCCGAATGGGAAGGCCGCAGCACCATTGATTATGTGTCTGAATCATCCAGAAGACAATTCCTCAACCTGCCGGAGGAGGCCCACGAACGTCTTCGGCGCGCTAGTGCTGAGCTCAATGCCCAAAATTCTTTCGTTCAGTCTATTCTCTCGAACAAAACAGACCCGCTGGAGATGTCTACCGCTCAGCAATACCAGCTAGCTCGCTACAAGGTCGATTTTCCATCACCTATCATTGAAAAACGTGATATAATGCTACCGCCTGTGCAGACTATGATTGGAGGAACAGTTGCTAGGCTTCAATATATGAAAACCAAAGAAGATTTCATGGAGTATCTGGTTGCACAGGTTTCTCACTGGGAGTTGTCGGACTGCCAATTTAGGCAGCGTGACACTGCCCGCAGTCGTTTACTCAGATACGTGGTAAAGGCTATTCAAAACCGACTGACGGACGCGGAAGTGCAGACGGTTAAGTTCACGATTAGGCTAAAATGCTTTGGGAGCTTCCGCTCCGGTTTTGCTATTCCTTCATCCGATATGGACTTTGCCTTAGTCACAAGGGGCCTGCCATCTGAGCTGGAATTCGAACTTCCAACGATAGTCAAACAAGCTTGTGTTTTAGCTGGATACAATGTACTCTCTGCCAATCCAGAATCAAATATTCTTACCATCTCCGAGCCTCTAAGAAGCTCAGATACAGTCCAAGTTTACCACTTATATTTTTCAGATTTCGCTTTAAAGATGCGAACTAGCACTCTTCTGCGGTGCTACAGGTCATGCGATGACCGAATATATGAAATGGGTGTTTTCATAAAGACATGGGCGCATGCTCGCCAGATCGATGATGTGAGAAATGGAACTTTGCCATCTTTTTGTTATATTCTGATGCTTATTCATTATTTAATGAATATTGCGAAACCACCGGTGGTTCCCAACCTACAACTCTCCAACATTGGCAGAAGAAATCTGCAGTGGATCGACGGACATGAAACCTTTTTCTGGGACGACTTTGAAGAGATTGCGCGTACTTCTCGCCATAGAAAATTGACTCATAACTGCCAAACTACCGCCGAGCTCCTTCGAGGATTTTTCACGTACTTTTCCCCCACAGAGTACAGTCCTAAGTATCAGTTTAGAAGAACGCCCAAGTTTAATTGGAAGCTTCATGTCGTTTCAATCCGGTGCCCAAACATTGTTTATAAAACCTCTAAAGATTGGGATCGCTTCAATCAGGACGGACGCCGAGCCTGGACCTTCTTTGCTGTTGAAGATCCATTCAACCCACAAAACAATATGGCGCAAAATGTTGACCTAAATACAGTGTTTTTGATTAGAGAGGAATTTGAAAGAGTGAATATGATCATGAACCAGGCTCAGTTTGTTTCTGGATTTGGCTGGGAGTGGATTAATAAAAATGGGGAGGCTGGTGAGGACATCTTCCAAGACAGACTTCCTCACACCTCTGAACTTCAACAATGACATTTATTTTCTTCACATGTTCTATGGACCCTCCAAAAGGTATTATTTGTCCCATCCCCACTCTTGGTATTTTGTTGCATTTATACATTTTATCAGTGTTCTTTCTGTTTGTTATGACCAATTCCTTTGTAAAAACCATTCATCCAGTTTCCCTGATTCCTATACAGAAAAGAGTTCTCTAGAACATGCTTATTTAGAAACCATGTCCTGCCTTTTGGCTTGCTTACCCCTTTTTCTTACTGTCTTCTTTCTGATATTTGAGTGTCCATTCTGTTCCTGAAAGTTACAAAAAGTAGTCTGTTACATGCACTCTTTCTAGATGACAATAGAATTCTCAAAAAGATGTATATGCTCTGATGTTGGAGCCTCCTCCCCTATTTCACCTTTGGCATTCTTCCTCATAGCACACCACCCATCCCACCAGGCTCTGATCCCCACAACATCGTAACCAAAACTCTTTAGCCTGCCACTATCAGAAACAAACCACTCTTTTCCACCTCCACAGTCCTTTTCATATGCATTTAAGCTAATACCCTCCCACTCATGTGTCTTGAGGTTTCTGAACAGTGCTACTGTTCCAACGGGCGGACAGAACTGCTCAGCATTAACAAAAATGCTGACAGAAATCCCAAGTCCAAGCTTAGTATTATTAGGGTGTTTGTTTTGGTAAGGATGGTGAATAAAGCTAGGATCTATGACACGTAAATCGCGCTTTGGAGGCATATTACGTCGTGTAATGACGGTAGGAGAGATCCATGATATAATTCCAAATATATCAACAATATAATTGCGTTTTGGAAGAGGGTGTTGAGGTTGAAGAAGTGCGTGTAAAGGAAGGACGTTAATGGGTTGGGTAGTCGGGAGTAACATTCGAGCTTGGATAGCTTCCGAGCGTACATTGAAGTGTTTGGTTGGATCTTTTATGGACGTTATTGGGCCATCTATGGCTGTAGAGTTGTGGTTACATTTTGATGGCGATAGCTGAGACTTGGGCTTGCCACCTTCGCAACATTGGTGATGTGAAGGGAGCTCGCGAACCTCTTCAGGCATACAAATATGATTTTCTGAGGCATCAAGCAATATATTTGTTTCCACATCCCCACCAAGTTTCTTTATAGTCCCATCCAATAGTGGTGAGATGTCTCGTTCCTCAAGTTCGTTGACTGCTTTCGAAGTCCGAACCAGCAGCTTAGGCGTTTTGGACGGGGATTGTGATCCCATGCCCTGATTATCTAGAGTGTGTTTTCCGGAATATTTTTCCACTGATACGGCCTTGATAATCGGGAGACCAATTTCAATTTCATCATGCAACGGTTCATCAGAACGCAGCTGTTCACGGTTTAGCGTCCTGAATCGCTCCACTGCCAAGTACACAATAGGTTTCGGAGAGCATGGTCCCTTGTAATTGTATCCAGCTGGGTCGGTGATTCTATCAGCCTTCCTAGTCTCATATCTCTCTAATGCGAGAACGGCGCCTGGTTTTACCTCCCGAGTTGCCACGAAAAAATGCAACTCCTGCCGTAGGAGCGCTTGAATAGTGTATTCACCATCTCCAAGAAAGAGTCGGTATGTTCGACGAGTGGGAATTACCACGTCGTCGTGAGTTTCGGGCGCTATCAACGAGCTAGGCTCAGGCAAACGGTCAACAGGTTGCGACAATACAATAGGCACATCGATCACACGCTCAACCCGAAGAACAAGCTCTGGAGGGTGATATCCCGTTCGAAGTAGTTCGATGATGCATGGCCGGATGTCTGGAGATGTAGGCGGATTGGATGCGTCTTCCTTTTGATGAGGCAAATTTCAATTAGAAGGGAGCGATTTATACCTAACTACAGGACACGGCTCACATACCATGTCAACTGGGCCGGAATAGCCATAATGGCTGATTGCAGCACTTAGCTCCCTCTATGAACGCGTGTGCTCCTTTTCAGAGCTGCAGATGCGCACAGAATAGTTACTCTGTGGGGATCAAGCAGCGAGTTTGTCTGCTGGTTGTTACGACGCGACTGAAGTGACGCGACGAAAACTCTTGGGCCAACCTCGGCCTTGGCACCCCTGAACTCCTTGCCGCACAAAGTCTGCGTAGTTATGTCAATATCAACACAATGCTGAGTTAACTAGTTAGTTACGTAATCCGATGGTATTCCGACGTGTTGGTTGATGTTATGTAACTAATAGTTAGAAGAATACATAATCTGATGATATGCCAAACCTCCAGAATTCCGGTGTGGATGCTTCAGTTATGTTGCATAATAGTTAGGAGAATACATAATCTGATGGTATGTCAAACTTCCAGAATTCCGGTGTGGATGCTCAGTTAATGTTACATAATAGATAGAAGAATACATAATTTGATGATATGCCAAACCTCCAGAATTCCGGTATGGATGCTTCAGTTATGTTGCAAATAGTTAGGAGAATACATAATCTGATGGTATGCCAAACTTCCAGAATTCCGGTGTGGATGCTCAGTTGATGTTACATAATAGATAGAAGAATACATAATTTGATGATATGCCAAACCTCCAGAATTCCGGTATGGGTCTTTCTATCTGTGGGTCGCCTCATATGCCTTGGACCAATGGTCTGGTTGTGCTGAGTGCATATCGCTGCGAGGTCCTGGAAAGAATCTCTGAGGGCTGTGTGGATGTTTGCAAATGATCCACTGTCAAAAACTTCGGCCCTGGAAAGGATTTCCAAGGGCTGTGTAGATGTTTGCAAATGATTTACTGTCAATAACCTCGGCCCTGGAAAGGATCCTGAAATCAGAAGTTGATATAAATACTGGTTCAATACCCTCTCATTCACAAGCAACACTCAATCAGCAACAGTAACAACAATAACAACAAGACTGAACATTTCTTTGATTTTCAATTGATATCAAGATGATTTCTTCTGTATCCTCTTTCATATTTTTCTCCCTTACCTTCCTTACCGCAATTGTCGCTGCTGAGCCACCGGACAACAGAGATTTTTTCCAATACAATCCCGAAAGAACCCGCAACTACCCAGAATGGTGGAGTCATCCGGAGCAATATGACTGCACTGGAGATTATTTCACTCTCCTTCAAGCAAATAAATGGACTCGAAATCGGTCCAAGTGGTGCCAGAAGAAAGCTACAGGGGAGACCTTTTTCTTTGTAAGTATATCAAGTGATATACTTATTCCATATCGGCGCCATGCTAATGACATCTTACAGCAAGTGACCGACTATTATCATTCCTATGGGTTGAGTTATTGGTGTGCGTCACCAAATTATCCGGCACACACAGAGGTCAATTTGCTGGAGAATAATGAGAAACTTGCCTATTTCAAGATCAACCAGACTGGCTGTATGACCTGGACAAAAGTGGAACTTGAGCGACCGTTGAAGAAAGGCTTGAATTCCCTGCACACAAATATGCTGATGGCGGGGCCGTATTGGGAAGGCGAAAAGGGCAAGATATCTGGAACACATCATTTTAACCTTAACGTGTAAGGAACATAATGGGGGGATATGACGGTGAATATTGAAGAGCCGAGCGACTGAAAAGCACTGAAAGTTTCAACAACTCCAATCCACAGTCCTTACTCACTCAGGTACTATGTATTTCAGATGTGTTGGGGTTTTATAGATCTTGTATACAGTTATGAATATTATTGTTTTCTCCAATCTCAAAATTAACCATATTTGATGAATATCATCTCAGGTCATGTGTTACGGACTGAAGTTTTTGACAGTGGATCATTTGCACACATCCACACAGCCCTTGGGGATCCTTTCCATTGCATAAGGCAAGGCTCTTAACAGGCGAACCTCGAATATTCTGTAAGGAGAAAAGGGGTATAAGATGATTGGGTCGTCTGGGGGCGACCTTTTAAATGAAATGCAAATGATGACAAATTGGTTGAAACTCTATCGGAGCGGCGAACCAATATTGACCCCATGCTGAAGGACAAACTATCTGCGCCACTCCACCCCGACATCCCTGGGTTTTGTGTAGCCTACTTCGATTGTATTGAATATCTTAATAGCACCGTGATGGCCGTGTTTGAGAGTTGCAAGACCAGCAATAGCCTGCTTTATGTTGATGACAATGAAGGCAAGCTGGCCAAACTTTCCACCACTGACCCAATGGCCATTCAGAAATTCCCTCTCAAAAAATCGCTCTATGATCTTCATGACTACCTTAAGAGAATCAACCAGGCCTTCTAAAAACTCAGCCCCACCTATCCCCAAAGATGGCCAAAAAGCAGTGCCGAGGTTGCTATACATTCTGCAAGGCCAGAATGCTGCATGTCAGCTCCAGTCATAATAGAGTACTGTTCATTTAAATTACACAGAAAACGCATGACGGTGCATATTGGAATGGGGGAGTTCTTGGTGTTTTGGTTATGTCAACACACTCGGGTATTTTGTATCTTTGGTACAGTTGAACGAATGAACAAATCAATTTGACTATTTTGCAGTTTGAGAAACACCTTGTGTGTATGAATGATGCATGATGTGCAGGGTAGAATGAAACCCGCAGTGCATCTGTGAGTGATTCAGTCAAATGTTCTGGGTGAGCAAATGAGGTATGCGCGGTCGGATGTAATGGGACCTGTTCAATTAAATGGTCACAATTTGAAATTTCTTGTTCCCTCCCTAACCTGCCGGACTCGATGCTGCGCCATGCATCGGCCCCAGATGGTACTTATCGCTTGACACATGTGCTCCGTCGCCTGTAAGATTTAGCTAATGATTCTTTGTCTGTAACATAAGAATTGTACCTAGGCCTGCCCAATTTTGAGCAGATGGCGCTTCAGTGTTCAGTTTGCATTCTAGCACCCTATCATTTCAAACCTGTCCATTTGGGTTGCTTATCGTGCTTTGTTGCACACGGTTGTTTTGAGCTGAATGATTGTCAGCAGCATCAGCATGGTGAGAGCCATTGGTCGGTGGCTCCTGACAATGGTTCATAGTGGCCCCTTCTGGTTGCCAGATTAGAGTCAGTGGTGTTCTTCGCACTCCTCCCTGAGCAGTCAGCTTTCTGATGTGCTGCTGTCGGCTGTCCAAACATGGAGGTATTGCCGGTGCGTCAGATTCAGATCGTCTCGCTATACCAAAGCGCTGGGAGCTACCTTCGTCGCCATATCCCTCCTCTGGAGTGACACCATCCACGCCCATGACCAGTAAGCATCCGCGTACCACTGCAGAATGATGCCCGTCTCGATGTTGTTCCAGTCTATTTCTCAGATCCCCGTTACCACCTTCGGCGGGCGTGGCCGCGGGTTGTACGCGTAACGCCAGCCCGAGGCATCGACGGACGCTATCCACACTGCATGCACCGGCACATCATTAACCTCCGCCCGATTGAAGACTTGGGTATGACTCACTCTCGAATACAGGGCAATTACATTAACACACTTCCTCAGCTGGGTATCTTCATTGATCATACATGACTCTAATTAATAATTCCTCTCGGTAAGCAATGCCATTGAAACCTTTTCTTCTTATTAGTGTCCTGTACGGAGTACTCCGTAATGCCGTAAAAAGCATCGAAACAGATTTGCGCCAACGTTGAATCCAAATCAACTGCCTTTCACGAGGAGTGCCGGTCAAGGTATGTACAGGGGTAATGCAAGCTGAATAAGCCATGTGTTTTCCGATTTGATATTACATGCCCAAAAAATTCAAAAAATCTCCACAATTTTGCTCTCCTCATCCTCGCGAGGTCCTTCCTCCAAAATTTGTGACTTGGTCTTCTCCATTGCCTCAGCATCTTTTCCACCTTCGCCCTCTTCATCACGCATGAGTACTTGCACTAGGCGGTCACACCCTTCTCTGACATCTTCATCCTCGACATGTAGGTGGCATTCACGGATCAATGGGTAGACCTGAACATCCCTCATTTTCTTTCGCCCTTCTAACGTCGTAGTTAGCAGCAAGAGGGTTTCTAGAAGGGTAACGAGAATTTCATTATCGCTATCCCGCTGCTTATCCGGTGGCAGCAGTTGTAAATCAGGAAGCATGGAGGCACTCTCATCATCATCAAATTCCTCTGGGCCAGCGATAGGGAGTAGAATATAAGGAAGCAAGTTGATTCGCGACTCCGATAATAAGTCTGAATGCGCAGGTATTTCAAATGCAACATTTTTGATTGTCGAAGCGACTCCTTTTCTTCGAATGTTGCTGTGATGTTCTGTGAACACAGTAAGCTTCGTGATAGGAATTACCGAATCATATTCTTGCTGCGTCACGAAATATGCACGGCCTTCTTCATATTTCGAGATATCAGCAAAAAAGTAAGCGAGATAGTCGTAGTTTGTTTCGCTCGACTTGTTGAGGCCGCCTTCATTGCCGTTGACAAAACAGTCCATCAACTGATCCATCGCCTTCGAAGAGTTTGAGACCCCAGTAGGCACAGTTCGCGTGAGGCTGATTATTCGTTTTAAGCTATCCGATTTAGCCATATTGGCAAGAAGCATTGTGAGTTCGTTCGCATTCGGTTCCTTTGCATTCTATGTGTAATTCAAATTCAATAAAAGGCAATTGCAACGACGACAGGATGGCTCAGATATTAAATTCAACAAGTATTGCAGCAGGTACCTACATACGGTCACTTTCGCTAATATTGTTTCTAGAAATGCGTCATCTTCAGCAAGCTGCTTTAAAATTTCATCATCCCCCGAAAGGTTGACCAGCATGGTGAGTGCATTTTTCGCAATGGGCTGTTGGACGGATTCATGAGTTTCTGCATAGCGGCAGAGGAATTATATTGATATCAACGTACAGAGTAATCCCTCGCAAGTAGCTTAAGATCACGAATTGGTAGGAGCTGTTGCTGTTTAAATAGGGAAGGTTGGGATATAGAGTAGCCGACGAGGTGTTCGCAAGCTGGACATGGACACAATAGTGTTAGCACTGCCGAAAGAGCAAAATATCATGTACGCAAATACCTATCTGTCTTATTTGCGTGTTTCCATGGTGGAGGAACTCAACGAGCTGCAGGTGTATAAAAGTGAGTATAGTGTGGAAAACTTTTGGCAGCGCAAATTGGTTGGCTAGTTATACCTCCTCTAACTCAGTCGGCATGCTAGTGATTCCTTTTAATTTAGGATATACAGCCAAAATATTAAGTCTAAAGAAGTAAAGTTGTGAGGTACTATACTGCGAATGTTAACAACCTCCGTCTCCTCTCCCCTCTGGAGATGCCGCCAAACAAAAAAAAAAAAAAACCGCCCCGCGATCTCAACTTCTATAACGCCGACCTTCCGGCAGAACAACCGCACGGACCACATCGCTTGTCTAGCACGCTTCTTGACTTGCTTTTCGTGCTGCTCCTTTTTTGCGATTCTCGGTCAAGTCACACGGCCTGTAACAATGGATCACCCTTTTATATTCCCCATACGTTAAAACTACTGCTGACTGCCATCATCCTCCACACTCAGAATCCAGATCAGCTTCAATGACATATCCAGCAGTGCCTGCAGTTTGGTTGCTTGTTTTGTTAGAAAGTAGGCCCTAGAATCTTATAAGGGTGGACTGGTTGCATGTCTGGATAATATTGTGGTCTGGTATGAATGTTGACCGGGTGGTTGAGAAGCAGTCCCAACCAAGTTCCGATACTAACCGGTGCCTCCGCTTTTAAAATCGTTACTTGATATTATGATGTGGCATTTCACCACCTCATATTGGCTAATAATTTCAACCCTGAAGTCCTACAGGCCAGTTGAGCATTGCATCAGTGTCTATACAAATGAAGCTGGGTTGCTTCTAGTGCACCTGGCAGAGTATATTGAGAAGAACGTTTTAGTGGTTATGAGGTGTTGCCAGTAGAGGAAGGGCATAGCCTGTCACTGGTAAATCAATTCAAAAGTTAAGGCAAGGGCTGATAATGCGTTCTGCTTGAACGGCAAAGAATGAGAGGCCTGTATTGCTAGAAGAGTGGAGTCTTGAAGGTTTCATAGAAGTGACATGTCCAAAGCTTGCTCCTCTGAGAGTCTTGAATCTTCAAACTGCCACTTTGATGCCTTGAAATGAGTCATCAATGATGTAGCAAGAATACAAACATGTATTTTGTTCTTTTTTTTTGGGTGAATTTTGTGCGCATAGTGGATGGTGCAGCCCTGTCCTGAGTCGCACAGCTATAATTCGAGTGACGACGGCAGGTCTGAACCCTGCTCTTGACGGCTGAGCGGTCGTACGTAGCATTTGACATTGGAGTAGCGCATTTCTGGCCATGACAATAGTCTTAAACGTCCGGAGCCTGTTAGCAGGGACTTTGTTCGAAGGAGGGTTTGGTGGCGCTCGAGTTTGCGGGTGAGCGGGCGGCATCCGGGAACCCGCTCCGCAGCTTAGTTAGTTACATAGTTAGAAGCGTCAAAGCTTTGGGGCTTTAGGAGCCAGCTCGCTAAATACACCAGTAGCCGAATGGAGTGCAGGAGCATGGACAACTGTTTGAAGCCATTAAAAACGTAGTTAACAAAGAAGTGGCTGATGGATTCAACATGGTAGTCAGCTCTTCATCAACATCCAACAAAAGCTCACAGCGGCCTGTGCGGAATTACTTAGCCAATACACCATTCAGCATAAAGCATGTTAGCTGCACGATTGTCCAATCATTCGCAACCATGCGAGGTGAGGTGGCGATATTTAAACGGCAGAGAGCTCTCCTCTGCTGCCATTGTTTTGCGCAGCCCTGTTTCTTCCCGCCCCTCCCCCTCCAGCATTTGCGATGACAGTAGCCGACAGCATGGCAAATACCGCAGAATCCAACAAAATCTCCGTTGTATTGCTCTTCCTTTATATGGTACCGATGCTTTGTGATTTGGTGGCTGATGATGGTGGTGAATGGGCAGGACTATGACCCATATCCAGCATCAGATGATGAGGATCTGTAAGAGCTACATTAACACGCGATGAGGCAAAGGTTGACATGCTATGCATAACCCAGATCCAGTGACACTACCTCGTTGCACTCTGAAGTTCTGAAGTATCGCTTTGAAAATGGTCGAAGATACCATGCATTCAAAGATGGAGCATATTGGTAGGGTGGCATCGCTCTTACGCAAGATTCACACAGTACACAAAAATAGCTCACTTCACTTTTAGGGGACCGAATGACGATAAACAGAACGAGCAGCTTGATATTGCGTGTGTAAAGATCTTCTTCCTCAAGACTGGTCGAGTGGAAGTTGACTTCGAGTTTAGCCATCACATGTTTCTTTTGCTGCTAGGAGGTAAACTTCTTCTTGCTCCCATCGATGAAAGTGTCAAGGTGAGTTAGCAAAACTGCGCTCGTAATTCGCACTTAGTTGCTAAGACTTGAGATAGAGAGTCCTTGACATTGGGACTGGTACAGGGTTGGTAGGTCATGGCTCGTACAAATATGCTTCTGATGTCTGTTGACCTTATTGCCAGTGGGCAATGCAAGTAAACTCCAACCCGCTAGGTGGCGGATGATCAAGGATCTGACGCCTTGAGTCAAGGGATTTTGCCGATGAACACCGTTCTGCAGAGATCATCGGCACCGATTTATCACCTATACAACCGAGTTTCATTCCACCAAATCTGCGGTTTGAAATCGACGATGCCACGGATACATGGACATACCCAAATAACCATTTTGATCTGGTTCATATTCGAGCGCTCTATGGAAGCATTGCGGACTGGCCTGAGTTTTATAGAAAAATACTTTTGTATGGCTGGGTATAATAGGGTAATGCGAGAATGCTGACCTGTTTTTGTATAGACATCTGGCACCGGGGGGCTGGTTAGATCAGCTTGAAATGTCCATACAATTCCAGTCCGACGATGGAAGCATAACAGATAGCCATATTCTATCAGAGTGGTCCAGAATATTCATCAGACTCGGGGAGAAGATCGGAAAAACACTTCGGATCGCAGAAATGGCTAAGGAATGCATGGAAGATGCTGGGTTTACAAACGTCACCGAGGTCAAGTTCAAACTCCCTGTTGGGGCATGGAGCAGTGATAAGCGCATGAAAGAGCTTGGCCAGTGGAATCTGCTTCACTGTGAACAAGGAATTGAGGGATGGGCATTGGCCCTTTTGACAAGAGTTTTGCAGGTTCGTGCATACCATGATTGTCAACGCTGTTGAGCGGTCAAACCTGCTGACTCGGGGTCCAACACAGTGGTCGGCGGACGAAGTTCGGGCGCTGCTGGCGAAGATGAGAGTCGGGCTTCGCGACCCCAGCGTGCATGCGTACTTCAATGTGTAAGTATCTCTGGTCTTCGGATCAGTAATGGTCTCCGCTGATAGCTTCCTGCAGTGTTAGTGTATATGGTCAAAAGCCGTGCAGGTGAACAATGAGTTGTCGCATTGGTGGCGCGCCTCGACTTTTCGAGGTTGCACTTATGTAGGGAGTAGTCACATATGTACGGATAGTTATGTCTTGACAGGGTGATCTCGGGGACAGTATTGTGCACAGCTGCTTCATCCACAACTTCTTTCATGAAAACACAAATCACTGTCCTCTGTTCCTTGTTGTACAGTACATATTTGTCTCATCGCGCATGTGCGAAATACTCACCGTACCACCTGCGGCCAGCCTGGAAACCCTAGCTTAAGGGTGAAACAAAAATGATGCAGCGGTAAAAGTGATCCGTAGTCAACGTCAGCCGGGTACTCCGTAGTTAGTTACATATGTACTCCGAAACTAGGGTTGCAACCTCTTGACCGCCGGTTCTGCTGTTTAGCCACGCAGGCCGCCTGAGGATCACCCATCGTCAGCCTGAGATCAGAGTAGTGCTTGGCCAGCTAACTTAAGCAGCAGCACAAACAAGCATTTCACAGGCCAGACAGCGCCCGTTCCTTGCATGGCACCAAACTCTGGGCTGTGAAAGCTCCGAGCAGGACGTCCAGCACAGGTAGTTAACTATGTAGCGGGCCGCAATTAACTCGGCGGTCGCTTGGCCAGGCCTCATTTCCCTCGCGCGCAGGCCGATCTCTGTAGGTACCTTGCGGAGGGCCCAAAGGAGCTGTCCCAAAGTTAATTTTTTTTTTTTCTTCGCCATCAGAAAGATATGCTGTAGCATTGACGGAGATTACCTTGCGTAACCTGCGCGCATCGGACGGAACGCCCACATGAGCGAGGTTAAGGGCTATTCGTATGCTTGCCACCCTTGAGTGATAGTTACATCAACGACCCTCGTCTCTGGATGCGACGATTTTGCAGCGCATGAGTTGGTTAATTATTAGATTTCTAGAAGCATTGGACAGGGGACGACCCCGTCAGTTAACTAGTAAGGGCAAAGGATGAGATCGGAATCGCACGATATTCGCCCGCCAAGCAGGGCCGGGCCATCTCATGTGAAAAGTGCTGGAGCTCTTAAACAGGCGCATTTCTCCCCGCCGAGGGGCTGTGGGCTCTCTGGCAGCTGGGTTTGATATTTTTCCCGGGCGCCGTCTTTGTTATTTGCTGCCGAGTGCAGGTCGACGGCATATTGCATTGCATCTGCATAGTTAGTTACTGTTAACCTAGTGAACCTTGTGGGCTGTTTGTTTGCTGGATCTTTGTCTGAACGCAGATTGAAAACATCGCTATAACCCGGCGGTTGACAGGGACCAGAAAACAAGCGGTGCCTTAACTACTCGTGAAAGTTTCTTCTCTCCGCCGTCTTATTTTGAGTTGCCGGAGACACTTCTACCAAAAGAAAAATACAAAAAGAAAAAATACCCGTTCTAGCGCGCTACAATGGCGGCCAGCATCCCGACACCAAATCTACAAGACATCCATGATTGCTTCCTGGAGCTTGCGGAGAAGGCGGGGGAGATGATCACAGGCGCAAAGCCGCTGGTCAATGCCGCGGGATCAAAGAAGAACAGTACGTCTAGATATGGATGGATGTATGAACCTATACCCGAGGGGCTGCTAACAGGGTATCTGCTGAGCACATACATAGGCTCAGATCTAGTGACGGAGACAGACCGCGCCGTAGAAAAGATGGTGTCAACGGAACTGCAGAGGAGATATCCGCATTACGAGTATGTGGACGGGTGTTTGTTTCTCTATTTGCTGGCTGGCACTGCATTGCCACTGACGCGAGATGGTCAATATCTAGATTCTTGGGAGAAGAGACTTACCAGCCGGGAATGCGACTGACCAACGCACCCACATTCGTTGTTGATCCAATCGACGGGACTGTAAACTTCGTCCACGGCTTCCCCAACGCCTGTATTTCGTTGGGCTTCGCCATTGACCGGCAGCCAGTGGTGGGTGTTGTATTTAACCCGTTCACCAACATGTTATACAGCGCCATCCGTGGCCAGGGGGCATTTCTCAACCGCACCACCCGGCTGCCGCTCAAGGGAGATGCTATCGAGCCTCTGAAGGGGCTTTCCAACGCGCTGGTGGGCGTGGAGTGGGGATCGGATCGCAGCGGGCAGAACTGGGACACGAAGATCCGCACGTTCGAGATGCTGGGCAAGACGCGGGAGGAGGGCGGCGCGATGGTCCATTCGATGCGCAGCATGGGATCCGCGGCCTTAAACCTGTGCGCCGTCGCTGCAGGGTTCATGGATCTCTACTGGGAGGGCGGCTGCTGGGCGTGGGACGTGTGTGCAGGTTGGGTGATTCTCACGGAGGCGGGAGGCATCATGGTCGACGGTAACCCGGGCGGCTGGAAAGCAGAGGTCGACGGCCGACAGTATCTCGCGATCCGGGCATCGAAGAACGGCGAGGGGCAGCGAGAGACTGCCACGGAGTTCTGGGGCTTTGTCAAGGGCAGGTTCAGCTATGGTCAGTGAGCCAACCGAGGGCGTTCAGCGCCGGGCGGATGAAACGCTGCTTGGGGGCGGGGAACAGGTGACGGGAAATAAAATCCACTGGTAGTCGGCGAGGTAATTAAATAGAACGGACATAGCACGAGATACATGCCTAATAATCAAAAGAATTGTCTTCGAATGAGCGGCGGCGACCAGACGTCCAACGCGCGCATCCCAAACACGCCGAGTCGCATCTTGGCCGGCGCGTCTTGAAGCATCGCCATCGCCAATCACGCCGCACTGGACAGCAACAGCACCACCACCACCACCACCACCCGCCCAATGCTTGGGCTCCGCGCTGCCCTTACCCTGTGGCTCCTCGAAGTCTCGCTGGGGTGCCAGCTGGCCCGCATCTGCTGGCGTGCAGTGTCCCTCTGCCGACGATGGTGGCCGAGCCCAAACACGCTCGCGAGCGCCCAATCAGGGTCTGAATCCGACGGATTTCCACCTGTGAACGAGACGCGGCGCAAATCCATGCCAGCTGGAGGTGGGCGGGCTCATGCAATCGCGTGGTTGGCGTCTGGAGAGCGCCTGGAGGACTGCCCTGGGCTTCATGATAAAAACCCGGCCCGGCCCTTGACCTGTACTCTGCCAACCCAAGTGAATGCATCGACGCCATTATGGGCGGCCAGGACTGGCCTGGCTTTCCGATAGTTGACGTGCAGCTCTGCTGTCCCGCCCTCTACTAACTTCGACCCGGTCTCTGCGGCCACTGGAAGCCAGTTCGCTACGTAAACGTCACTTGCGCCAGGGCGAAACACATACAATGCCGACGACCGACCGCGACGACTCGCAGATGTCAAGCTCTCGACGCCGTCGGCACCGGCGTGAGCGTCAAGAAACTGAAAACGACAAAGACAGACATCGCAGACACAAGAGCCGGGCGTCAGACAACGAAGGACGCAGACACAAGCATAGGAGGTCCAGGTCACAACCAGAACCTCAATCTGCTGCTGAGAATTCAGCTCCCCGGTCTAGAGGTCATGAAGATGATGAGCCCAGACACAAAATGAGCTCGACTGCCACTCATCGAGGACGAAGCCGGGTCAGCAGTCCTTCACCTCCTTCCAAGTGCAAAGCACGCCGGACAGCCACCTCCAGGTAAGCACTCCTGTCTGGGCTGTTTCTACTTCATATTCCTTATATGGCTCTGTCCTATCAGCCCAGCCCCTGCCAGGCGGAAAAGCTCGCCGCCTCCTACAGCAACAAGAACGAAAGTGCCCCTGATGGTAAGAACTCTGTCTGCTCATCACCATGGTGCTATGCCAAAAAAGCACCCGAAAGAATCCCCGGAAAGCCCTGCTCTTGAGGCAGCTCAAAAGCCTGTGCCGTCCTTTTTCTCATGGGGCGCACTGTTTCGTTCTCCGCCTCCGCCTCCTCCTCCCCGTGAGAAGAAGTACGTCGATATACCCCTTTGTATGGTTATTTCTTCGTTCACTGACACAGCTCCAGGGTTTCGTGTTTGATCTGCATGTCTGATGACATTCCGGTTAGCCGGTCAGCTAAACTTGCGTGCTCACATCGCATGTGCTACAAGTGCCTGAAACGTGCCTTCACCCTTTCCTTAACCGATCCGCAGCACATGCCTCCTCGATGCTGCACTGCTGACCCTATTCCGGTGAAGTACGTTGATAGACTATTTGATGCCAGGTTCAAAGCAACTTGGAACAAGAAATTCCACGAGTATAGCACCAAGAACCGGATATACTGTCCCGCCCGAGGATGCGGAGAGTGGATTCCTCCAAAGCATATCCATCAAGATACCAGCTATGGCGCCCACCATGGAAGGAAATACGGCAAATGCACCAAATGTAAAACCAAAGTCTGCGTGCTGTGCAATGGCAAATGGCACCTGACGAAAGATTGCCCTAAGGATGACGACGCAAAGGCCTTTACTGAAATGGCCAAAGAGGCTGGCTGGCAGCGGTGCTTCAACTGCTCTGCTATGGTAGAACTCAAAGAAGGTTGCAACCATATGACATGTCGCTGTACAGCCGAATTCTGCATAATTTGTGGATCAAGATGGAAAACATGCGACTGCCCATGGTTCAATTATCAGAATCCCGGCCAGGAAGATGGACACAACTTTGCATATAACCATCATCCTGGAATGCCGTATCCCAACCACCGTGGTATGCCGCAGCCTCGTGGCTATCAACAGGAAATGGACATGCGAAACGAACAGGAGCGGGCAGACGAGTACCTTGCCCAAAGGCTACAGGAGAACCATGGCCGCTACGACTATGACTACGACGACCTGGACGATGACGCGGCAGATTATCATCGCCATGGAACCCCAACGTTTGCTGGTGACCCGTTCCCCCCGATTTACGACAATTTCGTGCTCCCACGTCGATTTGTGCGCCCTCATACTCCTCCTCCGCCAATCAACCGCCATGTACGCCAAATATACCCTTTACCCCGCCAAGTGACCGAGATCCGACCGTTGTCGCCCGACTACGCTACGCGTCGGCGACGGCGTATGTGTTCCACAACTAGAATGCCTTTACATACCCCTAGGGTTGAAGAGTATAGGATAGGAGTGAGTTGGTTTGGCCGGTGATGCCGTTTTACAGACTACGAGACAAGGTACTCGCACTTCGATAAAAATTATCTTATCTAGAGTGAAACGATTGAATATTTTCGTCAACTTGATATAGGATCCCTACTATTATTATGGATACGAAGCTTGCTATCGGTCATGCTGTTGGATATTTCATTTGTTCTATCTAATTTTTGCATTCATTATCTACCAGACGGGTTTTTTATGGAACAATTCTTACTTGCCTTGGCTAGGCTATCTTCTAGTTGGAAAATTGAAAGCTATCACAGTCTTTACCCCTTCGCAACAGCCCCCTAGGTCATGTTGTGGCAAGTCAATGCATGTATGTATGTATTTGTTCAGTGCTCTAGCTCTCCACTCAGATCAAGAAATACTAGTATGTGCAGGAACTGAAATGCCTTGTACCATATCAATTGACCATGGTGCCTCGGCTCTGCAACTTCAAGGACACATAGCTCGGTCAAGAACGCAATCTGAATAAATAATAATGGGCAACAGAATAAACTCAGCCAAGCATCCCGGCGCCAATAAAAAGAATTTCAAAGGATGCCCAACCTCACTATAAGCCAACAAGAAAACACAACAGTTCGGGTATTGCTGGGCCCCAACCACTAGTTAGTTAGTTAACTAGTTAGTTAGTCGCCGGCCCTCGAACTAAAGGCTGTTTGCGGGGCTATAAACAAGCCAATACATAGTGTAAACCTTCATTCAAAATCAAGTAGTAGTATATATAATCTTCCCATGCGGTGGAGTAAATGATTCGCATCGATGAGATATAGCATTTCGAGAGATTGTGTAATAGCCTTTCCCTTCAGGCCAAATTAAAAGGAGAACCGAGAATTGGATATTAAGATTAGCTAAGCTACCTCATAAAAGATACCAACACCCCAATCATTCAGAGAGAAGATATCATCGTCGGCCGTGTCTATTACAAAGATAGAGTTCATGATGAGTCGCAAAAAACGAAAATAAGTATTTAACACGCCATTGAGCCATAGAGAGCCACTCAAGACATCCCTCAATGCACATCACAAAACAGGCTTCGAAAACCTTCACCCCATGAGCAGCCATATATTAGCCAGCGTCATTCTGTATGTTTGGTTTTTTTTTGTCATCATTAACAGTCGAAGTAGGACTCTCTAGAGTGGAAGGATGTATGCCTGAGCTGGTATTCAAATTGCGTGTTTGGAAACTATGTCTGAGTTCGGTGTAATGTTCGGCTTCATCGGAATATTCATCTTCATCTCCGTCGTCTAGATATCTGTCTGTCCACTGTGCGGAACTTTGCCTCGATATCTTCGAATGGTGAGATGAACGCCTAGAACTGATATTTGATTGCGGGAAAAGCTCCTCTCCGTTATCGAGAGAGATAGGACTTGAGCACATTGCCGGGCTTCCGATCTTTGGGCTATTAAGCCTCGATGCCAATTCAGGTACCTGATCGTTTTCTTCACCCCCAGAATCCTTGCCATCCGCCCCCATGTTCTTGGTATCTAGTCTGAGGGCTCGGGATGTTGATGGAGCATCGGTTTGCCCCTGAACTTCAGTACCATGTGCGGTCACAGCTGTATGAAGAGGGAGCGCTCTTTCTTCATTCGTTGTCTCATTGTCAGCTGTAGTTGCGGCCAGGGTGTAGGCAAAATGTGTATCCACTAGATGTTTCACCACTGGCCAGCCATAGGCATTTGAAAACATGCGTCGTACGATGATATTGTTATGGGCGTCAGGCTCCAACCTAACTAGAACTTTGCGCCAGGAGATGTCGCGATGATAGGCTCTCGCAATCTTTTCCTCGACTTTCATACCACTGCTCATTTTGGACCCAGCGGCAGCTTGCAGTGACGGAACATCACTTCCATGCTGAGACGCGTTATCGCCGCCAGCCTTAGCACTGCTGACGCTGGCGGTGCGGAATAGAGAACGATTTCTTGCAGGGGGAGGAGGAGGTATATCGCCAGGGTGGTAGACGCGATCATGTAGAATGGTTCTTGGGCGGGAAGATGGATCAAGCAAATAATCCAGGGTGGGAAGAGGGGGGCTAATAACATCACCAGCAGATTCAAATAGCGTTGTCTTTGGGGGAGTGAAAAGGCCCCCTTCCTCATATAGAGAGTCTCCACGAGTACGGCAAGGCGGCCGTGACTGCGGCCCCCCGGGCTCATTTCCTTCAGGGGGAGTCTCCCGAATTGTTTGGCTTCGTTTATATATTTTAGAAGCCTTGTTCTCTCGGGTACTTTTGGAGAACTTGAACAGTGCCATGAACATATTGAAAGGGCTCGCCGAGGAATCAGATGGTTCGTCGGATTTGGAGCCGGACAGGCTTTGGTTTGGCTCAGATTGCGACGGCGAAGCTAGAAACTGGCCTGGTGAAGGAAGCTCAGGCGTTTCTGGGCGGCGGACACCAGAGTCAGGATCCTTGCACGCACCAGAGACCTTGGCACTTTCTTGGGGTTCTTCGGCCGCGATCGCGGTGGGCGTCCGACTGGAGCGCAGAGGGTTTGAAGCAGCACCGGTAAGTGTAGCCCAGCCCCATTCAGCTACTGTCCCAACAATACCATTCTCTCTTCTTGCCTTTTCCACGCGTTCCAGACCTCTCCAGTCCAGGAACAGCAGACACGACGTGCGGAGGGGAACGATCCCATCGTTCACCAGGTTGCAGTAAACCGTTCGATTGCGAAACTTCTTCAGCACTAAGTGAGCGGGCCCACTTGGAAGGATTCTTAGCAGAGGCTTAGCCCCTGCCTCTGGCTGGGATTTGTTGGCATCCGCTCCGATGCCTCCAATCATGGCTTCCCAGCCGCTTCGCATTTTCGATGGGCTGCTCCACGAGAGCCCAAGGTCCTGCCCAGTGCGGCCAACCAGGCCGAAATCGAGGGCAAACTTGACATACATGGGGTTTTCGTTACTGAGTCCAAGAAAAGGAGAAGCCAATGCAACGAAATTGATCGGTTTGATGAAGTCAAAGAACTCGGGCGAATGTTTTTGGATGTATGCGATGGCATATGTCTGTACAAGGCCACCTAGCGAGTGGCCAATGAAACTGATGCTTGTTATCTGATACGCATACCCTTTGTGGGCCGGGTCTTTGCGATAGATGGCGCTTCCAGAATGAGAGGCGCAGACCTGTTCAGTATGCTGTGACTTTTGAAAGCCAAATGTTTGGCTGAAACTCATTTTTCTTGGACTCTTTGTGGGAAGATACGGTTGATCGGGATATGTCATCAAAAGGACGTATTTAGCTAAGCGTTTCCCCAGGTACTGTATACCCCTCTCTGTCCGCCCTGCATTTCCTGGGAACCCTCGGACAACAACTAACTCGTCGTCATGGTCATCAATATCGTCATGAACGTTCGTGGCAGATGCAGTCTTTCTCCTTTGTTCCTCCCTAGCTTGCTTGCGGTCCTCGCGCGCCTGCAAGGCTGCCGCATCGATACTTTCTTTCATGTACAACATATCCGCACCAACATTGCTGTGTAAACCATGAGTTAAAACCACAAAATGCACGTTTTGTCGTTTCCGAGGCCCTCCAGAGCATTCAGAGCTCCCATGTAAGGGTCTATTCACATTCTCTGTTTGCTCGACTTCAAGATCCTTCAGAGCTTCAGTGTCGTCCCACGAAGGAAACTGAGGGGAGGTCCACAGCGCAGCCGTATCAGTGACGACTAGGCTAACAGATTCAGAATATACACCTTGATGTTTCCCTACATTCCCGTTCTTGCTTTCTTTTGAACGACGCTTGTGCTCCCGAAGCTGCCCGGGAGCAGGCAAATCAGCAATGCCGGTTGCGCCCAGTTCAGTAGACTTTAAGTCTCGGCCAACGAGAACTTCGAAATTCACGCTAGCGGTATTAGAGAACACCAACTGCGACGAAATCTCAATCTCCCAAGTGACGCCACGTCCCTCGGGACTCTCAGATTCTGGATGGTTCCCATCTCGAAGGTGCTCTGGCACAGGTATTATTGAATCCCAAGCTGCTCCCGGTTGCAGGTGAGGCTCAAACTGTGGGGTTCCCTCACTTTCTTGATTAAGAAATTTTCTATTCGGGTCGAAGGTAGACGGATAGCAAGATGTGTGGAGGGTATAGGGTCCATGGAGATAGGCAGCACGCAATGCAATCGCCGAGGTATTCTTGATCTTGACGAATAGCTCAGTTGGGTGAGGGAGTATTCGATCAGCGGAAGGTGTGTATGTAAGGGTATACCTATCGTCTCACAGCAGGAGTAAGAAAGCTAATTCAAAGCGACCAGGGTGAGTACTCTCTTACCGAACAACCTCTCCTAACCGAACACTCCCAGTCTGGTGTATCAGCAGCATTTCTGCTGCCTGCCTTATCTCTTCAGGGGGCACTCTCCACCCTCGAAGCGTTCGGAAGGTAGGATAGTTTTCGAGGCTAAGCGATAGCCCTTTGTTTGGAGTTTGAGAAAGACGATATGTGCGAGGAGTGACGAGCATCGAACCGATCAACTACATTGGAGGTGGATTCTCCGGTGTATTATGGCTAGACAGATCATGGTGGACTTGAGGAAAGTAGGGTAGCAATTTTAACAGCAGTAGTAGCGCACGCTACAGAAACAATGCGTTTCTGCGACTTATCCAAACCACTCCGCCTTGATGTCGAGATCATACTAGGAAAGCAGCCTGGCAGAAGGAATGTGGGATATTGCTTATGTCATCAAATCATCATTGACACGTGAAGATCGTTCTCGGGACGATGAAGGTCCGGTGCCGGCCCGCTGAGTCAGCATTCAACCAGAACAACGGCAGGAGAACAGAATTGCGGTCCGAGTACGTACCAAAAGACCCTTAATAATGCCTCTTTAATGAACTCTCTTTACATGAAGAAATATGCCTAGTCGACTACTAGCAATGAGCCCATTGTATGTTACATACCGACGTCGTTGTATTCTAAAGATCCATGCATGGAGCACATCGGAGCAGTCAAGGGGCTTCCTTCTACTCACTCAATATCTTCTTCCTTTTATTAGTTTTTCTTCACCTTCATTTCTCACCCAGCATCCCCTATGGATCAGCTGTCAAACTTCCAGAGTATGGCCCTCATAAGCTCCACAAACCGGAAAATGGACAACAATGATATTTGGATTATTACAGTCCCATAGAACTTCAGAATATAAGACCTCATTGTGGAACACTCGCTTAGTATAAGTCTACAAACCACAGCCCATTCGAGCGGCCTATACACATACTAGGTACCTACTTTGAGCAGAGGCGATTGCCTAGGAGTTTGCCTGTTTGGCTGCACTTTTAGTACCTCAAAAGTGTTTGCTTATCCTACCAGCTGATTGTCAAGTGAGAAGTCCACAAGATACTTTAACAGGGTTTATAGAATAATCAAGTCCAACAAATTTTCGCTGGACGCTCTAACTTCTAGCCATCCTCCTTTTTCTATTACCAGAATCTTCCCGTCAACACAAACTCGCCTCCACTTGTCATCTTCCTCCTGGAACTCAATTCTCACTCCTTCCACAGCTTCATATCCAACCAGATTGTCGTTCACATGTTTTCCACCATCGTATGCCTTCATCATTAGTCCCATAGCGACATCCGGATCCAACGGCCCAAAATGAACTACCCTTAGCTGCCCATCTAATGGAGTAGACGATGGAGATATGGTAAATCCCTTCTCAAGCTGCGACATCAGCGTAACCAGAACGTACATATGTTTCATTCTATCAACCGCCACTACACCCTCAGCGCCAGGTAGGCCCTTCTTTATTAGCGTTAATCCGCCTTGGTATTGGTGTGTTTGACTGCCATCCGAGGGGTATAGGAGCTCTTTTGCCGCCATTTGAAATCGCTCGGCACCGAATTTGCGATATTCAGTGGTATCGCTTTCCGCTACCAGGGATGCGTGCATGCCCCAACTAACAACCACTGCTCCATACACCTCTGCAGCGCCATTTGTCTCGGTGGATTCGAGCATTGGTTTTTTCCGTCGCCCTTCATCTATCACATACGCTGAGCCTGGCGACAGGGAGACTCGGAATAGGGGTAACCTCTGGGGTCTTCCGTGTAGCAATGTGGATAGTCCCCATGTAGCATCTCCAGCTAGACCAGTTGAGTTTGCGGTAGCATTTCCGGTCCCCATGGGAATAAGGGAGACATATGGCGCGACAAACACACCCATATCACAACTACTGGAGTGTCCCATCCCCGAAAGGACCTTGATGATATCAACGAGCCCACCATCCCCTGAAAGTAAAATAATAGTTTGCCTTACTCCTGCTTGTGCCTTTGGCAGGAATATCGCTCGGCTCAATTCAATGATCGTCTCTGCTGACTGTGTTTCATAATGTTGATAACCCTCAATGCCCATCTTTGACAGCAGAGGCCGTAACGCATTGTCGAAAAAGCGAAGAGCTCCATGGGTCCCTGAATGTGTAGAGACAACAACATGTATGTTCGAAGTGTTGCTTGGTGGGATTCTTAAATATGGTGGGAGCACGGTCATCGTCCTGTGCCACAATGCATCTTGAAGCCCGCGAACTTCCAGGCACTTCAACCTGATGTCCGAATTATCCGAAGCGCTCTGCTCGATAAAAAGAATGCTGATTTGAGAATCCTCATTCCCTTCATTGGAAATAGGAAAAACGGTTACTATCTTGTCCAACAACACAGATGACGTTTGCGTTGACTTTAGATCTTCATATTCGAAGCCCGTTTCCGATACAGAGACTGCCACCTGTTTTCCATCTAGGTTTCCTTGATATTTTAGAGACATAATCAGAATAAAATTTTCATCTACAGGTAAAAACCCATGCCACGCTAACCGAAAATCCCGTCAAAGCGGGTGGATGACAGTTTGACCAAGTGGTTGGAATAGGATTGGCGGCCAACCCGAAATGACAGGGTATGAATAGCTATGGTTGTGTGGCCTCTACAATTCAAACTTGCTGCGTGACCCCGTAGAAATGATTTTTGCAAAACACGTACATACATTACCACGAAGTACAAACATACATATTAGACAGCCATATGTAATAGCAGCTGCAACGGGGTAAAATGAGCGCAATTTCTCAAGACAGATAGAAGCCTCCCATCGCCGATTAATGCCATCTACCGATCTAACTCTATCTCAAGCCTTCGCAAAAAATAAGCCAGCCACTCAACCAGGATGCAGTAGGAAAGAAAAGACTGTCCAACTACCGAAAGTAGAATACCTCCCAATATAGTACACCGTGAATGATTACATTTCTACCGTTTCCTCTTGTCTGGCAGCGGCGTGCTTGTCACTAAGGTTAACGGCAATGAAGGATTTAGGTAATTTTACACTGCAAACAACATTAGTCGTGTTTATGGGAGCAGATAGCGAACTACTTACGTATCGAATTTAGCTTTCAAAGTTTCGATGACCTTTTTCCAGTCATGATGCGCTGTAAGGCTTCGTCTAGGGGCGCAGCCAATTGCGTGTCTTGAGTCAAGTTGGACATCAAGTGGATCGAAAGCGTGGCATCCAGGACTGATGGAGATTCGAATGGAATAGGAGGACTTGTCAGACTCGTTGTCCCTCGACTCATACAGCTCAAAACAGATTTGGGAAAGGTAATCCAACTCTGGGATGGCTCGCCGCGCGATCTTTGTTTGAATTCCCCCCTCCAAAATGCAATTGAGTAGTGTGTAAATATGTGACTCTTTGGTGAAGTAAAAGAAAGACTTTGCATCCTCCGAGGCCTGTACTTCTTCTAAGTCCATCACAATCTCCCTAAGTAGCGGCAACGATGTCAACAGGCCAATTTCCAGCTTCTCTTCATCCTCAATCCCATACTCTTGAGGTGTCACGAAGTCAAAGAGAACCTTGGCTAAGCTGTATAACTGTTTTAACCTGGACAGTCGTTTATCTATTTTAGGTTTAGTAGGCGTAGACCCTGGATACAGTTTAAAGTATGAGTCGTAGGAATCTTCAATTGAACCAAGAGGCTGCATCAACCCGGCATGACCTTCATCTTCGTAAACAAAATGGTCTGGTGGCAAAAAAACCCATTCAAGGAAAGGCCGATTATGAAGGGCATCGAATTTCATACTGTCATATAGCTCAGAGAGCTTGCTTGGATCAACCTTTTCAGTATCACAGAATTCTTTGAACAACTTCTCCCACCGTTCTTTGAAAAGTTGCGGATCTTCCCCAGCACACCACCGGCCTTGAATGTCACGCAATTTAGGGGATTCACTCTGTTCATCGGAATCGCTATTCGGAGAATTCAATTCCTGTTCGGCTCGTCGGAAGTTGTGACGCATGACGCTGCGATGGAATTTCATGAGCTCAACGACGGTTGACAACACGACAGAAGGTTCCGGTATATTTTCTTTAGGCCAAGCAAACTGAGGAGGGGCGGAGTTTCCTTCGCGCAGCAGAAGTTTCAGCTTCTTTTTGACCTTATCCATAACATCTTTGGCGGCGTTTGAATCATCAAGTAAATCTTTTCTTACTTGAATGAAATCCTCGGGCAACTCCTTCAAATCAAGAAACGCGGAGGTAAAAATTTGGGCTACATCTAGGTAAGCAGTCGAAGCAGTCGAAGCAGGCGGTGTACTGTAGTTGGATTGACTCACCACTCGTGCTCACCCTACGTTCAGAGCTGGTGAATATCCGGACATCATTGAGACATTCCTTGTTCATCAGTTTCAAATCATCTCGCATATTCAAACCTACATCCTGAGACTGATACCTTGCGGCATGGGTGGGCTCGCCACCCCATTTTATCACTAGTTGCAATTTGTCAAGAATCAAATCATTTTCGACGGCAGAGAAGCGTGAAAATGTTGGTCCAGACATTGAATCACTCCTAGCAACGGGGTACCTAGCACCGTTTCCTGAATTTCCGGAATGTGAAGCTTGACTGTCATCAGTTAAGGCTTCTATAGCCGGAGAATGGGGAGCTATGGGCAATCTCATCTCTTCTGCCGTGCGCCTTCTAAACATAGGTTTAATTTGCACCTTCGTGCCCGGCCAGCCGCCCTTATGATGAAGGGAAGCTTGGAGTAGCTTGAGCTTTTTGACGTCTTCAACACCTTCCTTCATAGCAATGTTAACAGCATCGGAAACGTTGCGTAATGCAGTTTCTCCTTTTATCACGACTTCTTCCTGGTGACCCTTAAGCAGGTCAATGAAAGGTTGTGTATGAAAGGTAAACTTAAACTTTTGTTTCGGCGTTCTGTCGGCATGTCGAATAACAGCAACCATACCTTTAAGCTTCCAAGAATGCTTTGAAGATGGTGGAGGCGCACTTGATGTTGATTGAGAGCTTGAAGCGCCTTTGTCTTGTGGGGGTATACTAGTTACCGGGAGTGGAGACCCGATATTGGATGCAGATAACGTGCCAATTGTGGGCTGGTTGCTGGGTTCGGATTTCAGCGATGCAGCCTGTTGATCAATAGTACCATCAGCAGAAGAGGGCGAATTTATCTTGATTCCGTGTTTATTCAGACCCAGTATACTGGGAGACTTCAGAACACTATGTAATGCACTGCGGTGTGATCCTGAGTTGCTGTTAGTTTGGAAGTCAGGCGGTTCCATAACCCCTTCCCGTCTCTGTTTTTCCTTGACAAACATGTCTCGGAGTATTTTAGCACATTTGTCGTAGTAATCATTGTTGTCTTTCACAAAACTCCAGCCGTTGACATCAATAACATAAGAGCTATCCCCAACGCGAAGTAGATCAAATCCACAAATTCTCTGGCCAAATCCATTCGAAATTCTGCTCGCCATGGCCGCTTCTGTTTTGCTCAGTTTCGTAATATAGCGAAGTTCCTTGCCATGGGTATTGCGACGTACGACTCCGTCAACGACTGGTGATTTACGGGTTTCAGCATGGCAAAAGTCGGGCCCAACCGTGTATGCCTTGACATCCTCTGCGTTGTCCACCCGGAGGAACTTTTCGTAGAGATAACTGCCATTTGGTTCGGTAATAGAACGCGGAACTTTTAGATCTGGGTCATATTCAGAACTCTTGTTTCCGATTTTTCGAAACAGTCGGCGACCGCCCCCGCCATAATGCTGATCATCGGGAAAGTAAATGTGAATATTATGATCTTCGCCACTGACAGGCTTCTCAACAAACGGCTTCCCAAATACTTTGCCATCCACGATGAGGGACTCTCCATCTTCAGACATGGTCACGCTTTGCGTCCGTGGGGTCCCGCCGCCTGTCCCATCATCTGGGCCTTCTAGACGCACACCTGTCAAATTATATACGTGTTGAGCTAGCTCGGGAGTAGCGAGTCTGGGGCCACCATCTCGGTTTACTTCCACTCGTCTCGGAGTAGGAACTTCCATGTGGTCCAATATTCGAAGGCAGAGACGGCGATCCCAAAGAACTTCCTGCATGGGAAGATCATTGATACAGAATGGCTTCCGAAGATGGGCATAAGCGATCGCCTTATCTAGAGGAAACCCGTCCGAGAAAAATGCAATAAGAAAATCACTGATATGATTAGTTTACGCTCAGTTTTGCCACTAATGGAGAAGCAGCTTACCATTCCGGCCAGTTTTCAACATCTTAGCAAATCATAAGTTAGTCAGAGACACAATCGGAGCCGACATTTGGTAGGAAAAATTCACCTTCATCAAGAATTACTTTATCGCCAAATACAATCACCTCGAATTCACCATTTGATTGTAGCCTTGTGAGAATATTTTGACTTGGTTTACTTCGGGCTTTGACGTCTAGAGCGCAGACCCCAATTCTGCCAACAGTGGCCAGCTTACCTATTTGATAGATTAATCTCAAAGTAGTATGGCATACGAGGGAGTTACGCATACCATCCAGTTCACTAATGCTGCTTGCACCAGTACTACCACTAAATCGACGAGGAGTACGACTAGAAGACCGCCCTGGACGTGAAACCCAGTTCGTGGCTAACGTTTCTCCACCATCCGCCATTTGGGACGCAAAGGAAAGACCTGAGGCGCGTTTTAGTCCCGACTAAAATGGTTCTTCATGAGAGAAATAGGATTATAGCAGACCTTGAGGGCTTGGTTCTGGGGAACAGCAAACGACAGCACTGGAAGAGCTGGTGTGGGATGGTGTTGTTGATGGATGGACCCGTGAGTTGGTATCGAGCGTCGAACCTACGGCTGTAGCGGGGGGTTTTAAAGGTGTTTCCATACTACCCTTGATAGAGCCAGCAAAGCTGGATACCGTAGTGCTAGGGTACTTGTCCACTGCTGAAGAATGGAAGCTTGAGGAGAGAGAATGGAAGGATGAGAAGGAAACCCGGTGGCCTTCACGTTCAGTGGCAATGCGTTGTGGCTTATCTTGTGAAAGAACGGAATCCTCCTGGGCAGACCGTGAAACAACTCCCTTCTCCGCAACACCGCTTGGTGTTACCGGGGCGACAGGGAGACCAGGTTGTGGACCCTGGAGAGCAGTGATATGTGAGCGCAACTGGTTGCTCTTCACAGAGGGGCCAACACTGTTTGCTGGTGTGCCGGGAAACAAAGTGAAAGGGGGAGAAGAATAAGCAGAAGTCGAGGAAGGAGGGACAAGAGGCGACGTCGAGGCGGGAGCGGCTTCTTGTATGCCGGATTCGGTAACGGGAACACCTGGCACGTCCAAAGTACCCGCGTTGGCCGCCAGTGAGCTGCTGCTGGGTTTGCTGGCAATGCTTTTCTGGTCCATGCCGATGATATAACGCTGGATAGCTACAAATAACCACAGGTGTCAATTGGACACAAGAGCTCGGCTACCAGCGAGACAACGACGGGCTATTTAAAGCCAATGTTTCGGATATCCCGCTGCAGGTATTTTTATCTGGGCTAGAGTAGTGTCTGGATTGTTGTACGGTGATAGTTTTTGCTGCCGTGAAAAGTTTCAGCGCAGTTCCGCCACCAACTCCACTCCTCCACGTGTATTTGCTGTGTGATCTATATGCTTCAGCAGGCAAATTCCCCTAAGAACCACTCATTTGATTGGTAAACGGCAGGTGAAAATGCATCGGGCTGAAAAATGGCTCTTTGTTTTAAGAAAATGGGGCACAGCGGCAGCGAGGAGCAATATGTAGTTACGTGGGAGAATGTTCGTGCTAGACAGGAGTGGCTTCAAACTCCGGCGCCCATATTGGCGCCTCGGTCATAAAGCGGTGAGATCGAAACGAAGAGGAGGAGTGCAGACTTGTCGCGAAAAGGAGAGCAAATCCCGGGCCTTCAATTTGGGAGCAGACTGAAATCAAACGAATAGTGAGCGAGACACATTGTGCGAACGAAACTGCAGCGCAGCGCAATTCAAGTCGATACTGCGAAATAATTTCCTCGTTTTTCCCCAAATCTTATCTTATCGCAATCACCCCGATTGCGGTTAGCACCGCCAAGGCTGATCGCGGCGTCGAAAAACAGCTGGCTCCGATTTTTTGAGCAGCAACCCCAACTGCATCGGGAGAGTGAGCCATGCCGTCCATTGATGATGGCGTCTTTGGGGTGCCACTCGCGAAGCGCCAGAAGGTTGCGCCGGACGACCGTACTGTCCAGGCAACCCAGGTGCAAGCCCCCTCTGGCTCAAGGATATTTTCTCCCTTCCGTGTAAGTTACCAGGCCCGTTGAATTTATATCATTGCGATATCTGACCATGTCAGACTTTGGGCCTAGTGTCTCCGACATCCGTTCCGTTTACTTCTGTCGCATTAGGGAAGACTACGTTCCAGATCACTACGTCTGTTGGCAAATGCCTGCAAACGTATGATTTACGACGCGGCCTGAATCTTGTATTCCTCACCCGTCCTGAAACTCCTGGAACAATTACGTCCATATATGCCTGGAAAGACTGCGTTTTCGCTGCGTGGGGTGGCTCCTTAGCAAATGAGCACCGCGGGGTGTGGGTATTCAAACGAGGGAAGAAAATTGCGGAGCTGGAGCCCCCCGCAAACTACCATGATTCTATTGAGCAATTGATGGTTTTTGGTTTGTGGATAATAGGATGTGGGAGCAAAACAGTCCAAGTCTGGAAGACAGCAACATATCAACATTATACCACACTGATTCCACCCGCTCAGCGAGCAAGTTCAACAGGGCGGGTACTTACCGGCAAGATGTGCAGTATGCCAACTTATCTAAATAAGGTGTTTGTTGGAAGATACGATGGTGGTATTGACATCTGGAATGTCTCGACCGGAAAGCTTCTCTACACACTGCTGCCTAGTCTTCCTAATGCTGGGGCAGTAACCGCAATGGAACCAACCCCGGCCCTATCGGTCCTGGCTGTCGCTTATAGTAGTGGCGCGTTAGTCATTCACAACATTAGAACTGACCAGCCAGTTCTCCAGCTGCGTTCCTCGACCTCTAATACCCTTCCTATTAGCTCTATATCCTTCCGCACCGATGACCTTGGGGCTGGGAATGATGGAAGAAAAGCAGGAGTAATGGCGACGTGTGCAGGCGATAGTGGAGACATTACAATGTGGGACTTGAATGATGGTGGAAGGGTAACAGGAATTTTGCGAGATGCCCATGAGGCTTCTGGAGGGGTCCGTGCGCCAGGCATCAACAAGATCAAATTCCTGAGTGGCCAGCCAGTTTTAATATCCACTGGAACAGATAATGCGCTTCGATCGTGGGTATTCGATGAAACCCCTTTCTCGCCCATTCCACGCCCGTTGCATGCGAGATCTGGGCATTCAGCACCAATTACCACGATTACGTTTCTTCCTCCTGGAACAGACGGCTCGGAAACTACCGGGAAGTGGTTGCTCAGCGCAAGCAAAGATCATAGCCTTTACGGATTAAGCTTGAGAAAAGATGGTCAAAACGCAGAACTTTCTCAGGGAAAAGTGAAGAGCAAGTCAAAGAAGATCGCAGTCACTCAAGGTGCTGGCGAGTACGTTTCAAGATCTGAAGCCCTCAAGACTCCAGAGATTACTTGTATAGCATGCTCTCTCAATCGCGATGGAGGCATGGGTTCTGCTGCTGCTGGCCCAATCTGGGCTAATGCCAAAACCGTAAGTGCCGATAGCACAAATATGACTGGTTGGGAGAGCGTGGTCACCGGGCATAAAGGCGACAGATTTGCACGTACATGGCTTTGGGGAAAGAGGAAAGCTGGCCGTTGGGCACTCGAAACTGGTGATGGCACCGAGGTCAAAAGCGTTGCTGTATCGTCCTGTGGAACATTTGCTCTTGTCGGGTCCGACGGTGGATCCATCGATACCTATAATTTGCAGTCTGGCATTCGACGCCAGTCATTTCCGACGAAACTCTCCCCCGCTCAATTACGAAAAGCAAGGCTGGAGCAATTGCAAGCGGAAGATAGCGGCGATGTGGCAGGTGTTATCCAACCTGGGCAGGGAAAGCATACCAAAGCAGTGACAGGTATTGTTGTTGACAGCTTAAATACTACTGTTATCAGCTGCAGTTTGGATGGAAAAGTCAAGGTAGATCTTCCCTTCTCCCCTGTTCGTTAATCTCTCTAACTCTCCTCAAGTTTTGGGATTTCGCCACAGGCCGCTTGAAGCATGAACTCGATTGGTATCCAATGTGTGCTATTACTGGGCTCCGCTGCAGCAATTCTAGTGATCTCATTGCTTTAACCTGCGATGATCTCTCTATTCGCGTTATTGACACCGAAACCAAGAAGCTTGTTAGAGAGCTCTGGGGTTGTGTCGGTCAGGTCAATGATTTTTGTATATCTCACGACGGTCGTTGGGTTATTGCTGCGTCTATGGATTCTGTGATCAGAGTATGGGATTTACCAACAGGCCACCTCATCGATGCATTCAGACTGCAAAATACGTGCACCTCCCTTGCATTTTCTGCCACAGGAGAATTTTTGGCTACAGCCCATGCAGATGGTGTGGGCGTTAATTTATGGAACAATCAAAGCTTGTTCACACATATACCAACTAGTCATATTGATGAAGACGCTATCGTTGAGGTTGACGCGCCTACTGCATCCGGGGAAGGCGGTGGTGCGACTATTGAGGCCGCCTTCAGAGAAGATGAAGACGGAACGGATAAGAATAGCCTGATCATGTCTGCTGAGCAACTTGGCAGTGATATGATGACATTGAGTATCACCCCTAAAAATAGGTGGCAGGCATTACTCAATTTGGATTTGATCAAGGTATACCTCTTTCTCTAAAGTTACACCCCAGATACTGATAATTATAGCAACGAAACAAACCAAAGGAGGCGCCCAAAGCCCCTAAAAAGGCACCCTTCTTCCTTCCATCGACACTTTCGAAACTGGACTCAGAGGAAAAGTCACTAGATGTCGGCCTGACAGCCAACAATGAAGAAGATCATATTTCAACTACCCGTGCCGAACGGACCAGAATTGCCAAACTACAACAAATCCACGGCGCTCAACTTCACACTTCTCATTTTACGTCTCTTCTCCACTCTAGCAAGGACACGGGCGATCACACCTCTTTTATTGAGTACCTTAAATCACTCTCCCCCGCCAAAGCTGACATAGAAATTCGGTCCCTTGATCCTATCAACCGCGAGTATGGAAATGAAATGGCAATGTTCGTCACCGCACTCGTAGCTCGATTAAAAGAGAAGCGAGACTTTGAGATGGTCAATGCATGGATGGCTGTATTTTTACGAGTGCATGCCGACTCTATTGAAGCTACAAAGTCTGAAGATGTCAATAGAGATACAGTGGATAGTGATGGTGACGATAACGGAAGGATAGCTCTTCAAACGGCTTTGAGTGAGTGGAAAACGGAGCATGAAAATGAGGGTAAGAGGTTGGCAGAACTGGTTGGATATTGTCGAGGAATAGTTGGGTTCCTGAGGTCGGCAAGATAGAGAATATATCTTGTTAGATATGATAATATATATGGGTTTGCAATCCTCTGTACAGAATAGTGGCCCAAAGTTGGGGATGATGTTTATTCCGGATAAATGATATCCCAGAACGATATGAATAGCTTACATAATAGTTACACGCTTGTAAAAATACGGCAAAGGCTCAAATGCAGCGCGGCCGACGTCAACACCAATCTCCTGCAATTTGGTGATCGCTTGTGAAGTTGTGTGTTTTGCAGCATTGGTGGTCTATCATTGAACAGAACATCTTGCAAACAAGGCTTGCTGTGTTCTATCTTTTAATCCAATTCACCGTTCATTTCATTGACGCTCGTTGAGCCTTACCCTCTTCAAGAACGACTGGCCGGTGCTACCAAGACGGATAGACCACTCGCTTCTTTCTCCGCTTTAATAGCTCCATGAAGCATCGCTACTACATCACCAACGAGGACTATTTGGATTCACTATCTCAATCGCTGTATTTCGAAACGGCAACCGGCCGTCTTAACTTCCCGGCTTCTGCTTATGACCCATCGCGCCTGAATATTGTGCCGGAACATTGTTTCAAGATTGTTTGAACGACGACTTCGGCTGCATCTCATGCCAATATAAACCAATTGCGCAGCACATCGCTCAAACTTGGTCAACATGCGCTGGAGCCTCTTTTTTCTGTTAATACTCGTTTTCGCTCTCCTTGGTTTCGTTGGTTGGGTTACATATTCGCAGGTTCGTGCACGACGAGCCGGCCTTCCACCACCAACATGGAAATCATACATTCCATTCACATCCTCCTCCACTACGTATCGAGACAGCAATTTCCCATCCCCTCGACGCGGCGGTATCGTTGGCTGGGTTAAAGATCGCTTCGCATCGTTGACAAACAAGCGCACCTCCCGTGGTGCGTACGAAGAGCCAGCTACCGGTGGTCCGGGACCATATCGGGGTGCAGGCGTGGATCATGATGAGGCTTGGGATACGAGAGTGGGTGCGCTGGAGGACGGCCCTTATTCGCAAGGGTCTGGCCCGCATGGCCATTATGGTCCACAAGAGTCTGGCACTGGCCCCAGACGAGAACCGTATGATAGTGCTGGGTATGATGCGGGCTTTACAAAGAGCAGCAAGGATGCAGAACGGGGCAGAAATCACAATCGTGGACCAAGCTCACCCCATGTCCCACTCACGCTTGCTGATACGGGTAGGCCGCTGGAGAATCCGTTCGATGATAATAACGTAAGTACTTTACGGGACATTAGTCCTAGGCCGGTGGTTGAAAGTCGTACCGGAAAGTAGCGTATGCGTGAATATTCTGCTTTTGGGAAGATTCTATGACGCCTAGATGGGCAGTGGCTTTTGAAGGCATTGATAGGTATATACGGAACTAATGAGGCATGACTTTCTTTGTCTTTTTATTTTATCTCTTTGGAGAGCATCCATGTACTTAAGTCCTTGACAAGGCACGGTTTTTATGATTCCAAATAGCCCATCCACATTTTCTTAATAGGTAGGCTTCTAATATTCAAGGGCATCCATATCCCCAAGTATGTCAAATAAATTAGTTGTATGTTTGGCCAATTTCACCGCCTGGCCCGTGACAACTGGTTGACCGCCTTGTTTACGCCGAGATGTGCATGTGGTTTCAGTACGGGCGTTATGACCAGTGGAAATTCTATTATTACCATGATCTTGCACAGGTTCTCCTAATTCTGGAGTCTGTGCGTCGCAGTCCTGCTTTTGACCCGAGAATAGTACGAATAAGGTGTGTTTGACGGATTCCCTTGGCATGGGTTCATGCGTCGAAATATCACTTATTGAATGGGACAACATTCTCATTGGTGGAAGTTCATACAGGAACTTTTGGAGCAATGGAATTTTGTTCTTCAGAGCGAGCGGTGCTTGCAAGGCCGATGATCCTACAGCCTGTTTTAGGATTCTCAGCGAGTACAGAATGGATTGGAATTGAGCGTTCAGATGGATGTCATCCCAATCCAGCATTTCCCCACGATGGCCAGTCTCAAGAAATCTTCCGAGGTGGCCTGGGCTGGGCCAATCGTCTTTATCTTTGTGGAGGAAAATTTCTTCGAGTGCAAACATTTTCCAGGCTAGTATAGAAGCACCACTGCACCTCATAAAAAGTGACTGCAGTCTTTTATTTAAGGTGACGATGAGAGAAATTAGCTCATCTTCCGAGAGCAATTTGATGGGAGTTGAAGACACCCTAGTCCCTCGCCGAGAGTATTCAAGAATAGTGTCCCTCTTGTCGCCGACAGTCGCAGAAAAATTAAGCAGTGAAAACGCAATCGCACGTATTTCACTTCCTTCACGCCATGCACACCGACGAAAGTGATTTTCGAGTAACATCGGCAGGTATATCGCCAAAGGCTGGTTTTCGGGGTGAAGTCCGGCATGCGTAAGCTGCAGATATAGCTCTGATATTCTGGGATCGAGGCCCTGTATGTTATCTTCAATATCTTCGTTAATAAATGTATATTCTTCAAGAAAAGCAAGATACGAAGCATTATTCTCCACGCCTCCCGTGTTTTCTTTTGCGCGCTGCACGATCTTTCCGAAGCTCAGATAAGGATCTCTCTTCAGCTCGAAGGCAAAGCGCTGGATGCTTCTGATGCCCAGTTTTCTGGCTACCTCTCGCGGGCGTATTTGCATTGCGCGTATCTTTGGTCGTTCGTTGTCTACATTGTCTTCGATAGACTCGACTGAACTAAAGAAGATCACGGACCCAGAGGGACCCAGATCATGAACCAAAAGGTCTGAGTCGCCCGTCAGGACCGCCGCGCCGGATTCGCTGGCCGCACGAGCACAGAATATATCAGCTTCTCCAGGCACAATTGCGGTGATATCCTCCCACACAAAACCATGAACGCCATGCAATATATTACTGGGGGCAGGATCCACAAACGTCTTGATGGTGTGACGGTCCCATCTTCCTTTCAGGTCTTCAAGCACACCCGGGACTATAAAAGGATTCTCGGGCAGAGTAGGAACTCTCTTTGGGGGCAAGTGATGGCCAAAGACCATCTGAGGGGTAGCCAAAAGGGGTTTCGTCCTTAAGGTATGGTCTGTGAAGCCCGGTCTGGTTGAGCCAATAAAAGCTTCTAGTCTCCGTCGCGAGACCTCCAGGCGTTCTAGTCGTGTCTCCCGTTTCGATAGGGGAAGGCCTCCGTCGAAGTAGATGCGTTCTCTGTCCTTCTTGGTTAGCAACTCACTAAACCGAAACGGCATGACTCCACCTTGGCAAGTAACACCGACATTGAGACACCCAGTTCCATCAAACCGACGAGAAACACCATCGCACCGATGCTCACTTCGTTACAGGTGGGCTGTGTGGCGAGAGCATTGCAACCCTGGGGCATATTAGCCACCAAGCAATAGTAAACATGGTACACCAGTGCTGGTCCGTCGATCACCACAGACGTGATGCATCCGGGCTCTGTGCGATGGCTCCTGAAGTCTCCCAAGAACACGGTTTCCGCGTGCGGCAGCAAATGTCGAGCTAGATGCGGGATCCCCATTTACCCGCCTGTGCTCCGTCGCACTCCGTCTTAGGAGCATTGGCCGTCAATAAATACGGAGAAGCTATGGAGTGTATGGAGGGAATACGCAGTACGGAGTACTCGGAGGCGGATTGACTGGATGCGTGAATCCTTCTGAGTTTGGCGATTCCACAATGCTTGCGAGGACACGCAGGAATCGAGGCACAAACCATCCACATAAGCATACTAAGAATATTTGTCCGCTAGCTATTCATCGGCAAGAAATCGGTCTAATTTCGCTCTAGAGCTAGTTAACGCTGCACTAGTTTTATATACACAGGACGAGTTATCGCGCTCTGGTTGCGGAAGTTACAGTAAGGAACCAGGTGGATAACTGATAACTGACTAACTAAATGAGGGGATTTGCAACAACTCGAGGGAGCACTACGGAGTACTGCGCATGCAGGTAATATAACAGCTTAATAAAAGTGCAATCCTTGGGAGGGATGATATTGATGATAATATATTATCAAAAAAGATGGTTGATGTTATTCAGCCTTATAGGACAAGGTATGTACCATAGCGGAATCGCGGATCTCTGCACTACCAATTTTCTGAGCTGTTACGTAACCATTACCACCACATCGTAGTTTCAACGTTGGTGACAGTAACTACTACGTACTTTGACTACTATGTAGTAAGATTGTTGTTGTTGTTATTCATTATTTTTCATAGGCTCTTATGGAGTCGTAGACTATGAAGAGCCACTCTCCCTAATCTGGCTTAGTTATAGCATGTGTTATTCTTGATATCTGGGCTCCCGCCACTCCATTCTGTTAAGTCTCAAACTGTAGCATGTCCAGGGGGGGCCAAGACCCCTTATTTGACTTTTCACCAAATTCTCCTCTTAGATCATACCCTCTAGGGAAATCCTCACAAAACCTAGAGTGTAGCTGGTATATCTAAACATGACAAGAACCAATAGAAAATCAGAACAAGATCACACTAAGACTGACAAGCTCAGTCTATTAAGTTAACCTAGCATATGCTTATGTAACTCCCATACCACTCTAAACTTTCCTAGTTCCCAGCAGCCAATAACCTTGTCTCCTAGGGAGAACCCTCTCCACCCAGAGAAGAGGCTTCTCTGTTGGTAAAATATCATTTGGGGATAGCAGGATTCAAACCCGCGACCTTCTTTCCCAGGTGGTTGTTCCCCAAAAACAACAAACCATGCCAGAAGGATTCCTGCAGACGTTTACCAACTACGCCATACACCCTCCCCATCTATGTAGTAAGAGCTCACTACATTGAATCTACTATATAGTAATAAGGACATTTTTAAATCTAATAAGGAAATGATCAGCAGGTGAAAAATTTTCATTCATCTTTTTCAAATCTCTAAGTCACTCACTAACTCTCTTCTACAGTAGAAGCCTACGCGATTTTCTACTATCCTACTAGCTAGGCTAGCGGGTGATTCTCTACAATTCTACTAGTAGGCAATTCTCTACAATTCCTACTAGCTAAGCTAGCAGGCGATTTCTACTATCCTACTAGCTAGGCTAGTAGGCGATTCTCTACAATTCTACTAGCTAGGCTAGCAGGCGATTTCTACCCTACGTAGGTAGGATAGTAGGTGATTTCTACTACTGTTTTCATAGTTTTTGTGCACTTAGAAATTTTCTGGAAGGTTCTTTGTATGTAGGTGTAATTGTACTTGTGGTAGAAATAGCTAGCTGTACTTCAATACAAAACATTACTAAAGTTAAATACACTTAACCAAGTCAACTCCAATTAACTCTAGGCAAGACAACATTGCGAATACCAACTCAAGTTGTGGCAACCAACAAAGGTAATATTACGCAATTGTTGTTTCAAGTGCGACGTTGTGCCAAGTTACTACGTAGTGGTTACGTTGCCACTACCGTAACATTACGGTATTCCACAGATCTGGAATTCCGGTATGGTGCGCTATTTTGTTCACTGACAGAACGGTACAAAAGGTGCTGTGACTGTTTGGCCGGTGGTTACCGACTCGGTACTAAGTAGATACAAAGGCTTACGGGCCTGCCCTTTGGAGTTTGGAGGTGCGGGGGATCGTTCCCTCTAGAGAATGGCCAAGCGTCTTCTTCCCGACCTAGGCTATTATTCGAGAAAGGAGGATTGGCAGTCTTGCATCCCAAGCAACGGTTAGCCGTTGTGGGAGCAGCCGAAGGAGCGAAAGGGCGTACTAGCGCAGATGTCGTCCGCTGGCACTATCACTTTTCAGGAGCGTCTGGGAGCCTTTCAATAACGTATTTCGCTCTGGCGACGCTCATAATGGGAACACCGGGAATTTTCCTGGGGCAGGGATTAGATGGGGCCGGAAAAGGAGACGGTGCAAACACACCTGATGCGTCTCTTCAAATCACGGTCGTTAGTGGCGACGATGTAAATCCGGTGTTTGATGGCGCGATCGACAATGCAGTCGTCAGCATACGTGCCCTTGTGGTCGCACTTGATGCGCTCAAATCTGGGGTCCTTAGCTATTCTCAAGGCCAGGCGGTACTTGGGCCCCAGCTTCTCAAGTTCGGCCAAAACACAGTCGGTGATGATGGGGATACACTTCGCGTACAGGCAGTCCATCATGGTGGGAATGACCTCGAGTTTATGCTGCACGGTATGGGAGAGGAAGTTGGTGTCTACGAGCACCGAGTACGGCGGGGCGAGGGAGGTGTTGTACTGGAAGAAGAGGGCGGACGACACCTGCGGTCTGCATGGGCGACGGCGGTCAGTAGCTGGTGGCGACGCCGAAGGGAGCAGTGGGCATACATCTCGCGGACCACATCATCTTTGGGCGGCTTCTTGTGTTTCGCCTCCTCGTTTGCTTGGTTTTGCTTCCTGTTGGATGGCAGTCAGCTTGACGTTGCTTGCGACGAGCAGCGTGGACGGGCGTTGCTTACAGGCGGCTGTCGCGCCGCGAGATGGCTCGCTTGACCTACATAGAGCCGTGAGTACGGTGGGCGCGGTTCCTGACAGAAAGAGGGGGGCCGCGGGGGAGGTCACATACCTGCCCGAAGCGTCGCGTTCTCCGCTGGACTCCCATGCTGCCCGTTCTGGCGCTGGCCGTTGTCTTGACTTGTGTCTTCCCGGCCGCGTGAAAAACACACGCCGTGCCAAGGCGCGCTTACTCAGCCGCCGCCAAACGCGATCGGCGAGGGATCTGGTAGGAGTCTTGCAGGGGGCGGGGGCTGCCTCCTTCCTGAAACAGGCCTTGGCCACCAAGGGTCCTCAAGCCTGCCTGCCTGCCAACAACAACAACGGCCCGCCCACGCGGCGACCAGGCTCGGACCCCCCCCAAGGTCAGGCGAAACTACCCATATTCTGGCTGCCGGCGCCCCTTCTCTGGCTGCTTCTCACAATGTCCATCCCCAGCGTCTGCTGCTGCCCATGGCTTTCCATTCCCTACTGGGTCGCTGGCGCTCCGGCCTGTCCATTGCCCTTCCGCTGTTCTCCTTGCTCTTGATTTGGCAGCTGTTCATCTTGAGAGACATCCGCCATGCTCGCTGGCAGCCAGCGCCTGCCCGAGTCGTCCAGAATGGCTGTCCGCCCATGCCGGGAATGGACGACGTGCTGGTTCTCATGGGCACAGGGGTGACCGAAGCCCTCGAGAAGCTGCCCATCCATCTAGAAACCACTCTCCGCTGTGTCCCTCATTACGCCGTGTTCTCTGATTTCGAGGAAGAGATTGCCGGCGTTCGCACCCACGACGTCCTACGCAGTCTGAGCGACGAGGTCAAGAATCATGATCCCGACTTTGAGCTGTACAACAGAGTACAGCAATCCGGAAGAGACGGCCTCAAGCCCAGCGATTTCATGGTGGATGATATCAGCGGCCCAAGTGGGAAGCCAAATAACCCCGGTTGGAAACTTGATAAATGGAAATTCCTCCCCATGATTGATGAAGCCCTCGCCCTCCGTCCCGAGGCAAAATGGTATCTTTTCATGGAAGCCGATACCTACATGGTCCTGCCCAATGTGGGACACTGGCTGCAGCAATTCGACCACACCAAGCCGTATTATCTCGGCACGCAGATGATGCTGGGTGACCTGGTGTTTGCCTACGGGGGAGCAGGGTTTTTTCTCTCTAACGCCGCCATGAGACAGTTCTCGGAGTATCGCTCCACGCGACTTGCCGAGCTGGACAAGTTTACCGCCTCTCAATGGGCCGGGGATGCCGTGCTGGGAAAGGTTTTAGCCGACGCTGGTGTTCATCTCACATTTTCGTGGCCCATGCTGCAAACTGCGAGAATTTGGGAGCTCGACCACTTTGGGAAACCGTGGTGCTCTCCAGTGCTTTCATACCACCACATGACTGCCGGCGATATCGATATCATGTGGCGCTTTGACCGACAGTGGCATAAGAATGTTAGTGGCTCCTTTAGATCTATCGCTCTTTCTAGCTGGCTAATCTCTACTAGAACACCGATTCTCCACTCCTTCATAGTAATGTCTTCAATGAACTCATCCTGCCCGGACTGTCATCGGAGCGAGATAACTGGGATAATTTCTCAAAAGACAACCAAGATGCATCTTCGCAAGAGGACTGCAAGCAAAAATGCGTCAGCGATTCAACTTGTCTACAATACTCTTTTCGATTAGGAAAATGTTTCACCGCAAAAACTGCACACAAGGGAGCTGCTAAAGAAGGCTTCAAGTCCGGGTGGGTGGCGGACCGCATCAGGAAAGAAGCCCTGAAGTTGGGTTCTTGCACGACTCCTGAATGGGTCCACTGAGTACGGCTTTCCACTTTTCTTTGTACGGCGTAAGATCTCTCGTCTTCTTTTTGGGTACTGCATTGATTCGAAGCGGAGTGGAGAACACGGACAGATATTATCAACATTAATCCTCCACATACCTGTTAGTTCCCACCTTCTCTTTGACATCTGATTCTGTATATGAACTTGATATTATTATTTTTGATGCTTTGGGTTTGGCAATATATAGTGATGGCCCTGCCAGTTTCGGTACATATAGATTGGTTTATAGATCCAATATTATGGAGTTGCATTATGCTTTCTGTGTTTCGAATAATAAGGTCGACTCGCTACGTCATATCGTATACGTTAGGGGGGTCTTACTAACTATAGAGCGGTGCTCCGGAGTCCGTACAGAGCACCCCGTACTAGTAGGAAATACGAGGTTTTTCATGCTAGGCGGAGCCGCATTGAAAGGCCTCGGTAGCGCACCCGAGATGGGCAAAAAACTTCAACCCGCCCACTATCAGCAGCATCAGCTCTCGCTTGGCCACACTAATTATACATATAGCTGAGTTATTCAGTGGCGGCAAGTTATAACACCATAACCCCCGTACTCCGTACTGATATGCAATAATGGCGCACACGCCATCGGAGCCGTTCACGCTTACTGGCGGCTGCTTCTGCAAAGCCATCCGTTACAAAATCACAGCCCCAGCTCGTGGCGACCGCCCCGGCCTTTCTGGCGTAGCAGACACCCGCGTCCCGCCTCTGCCTGGCAAGCCCATCAGTCCGCTCGTCAAGCAAAGCGATCAGCCCCGCATCCCGACAAAGCTCCCAGTCATCGACTTTGATCACTGCGCCGACTGCCGCCATGCCTCCGGGAGCGTTGCCCAATGCTGGTTCATATGCCCACCGGAGTGGGTGGAGTGGACTCTGCGTTGCCGGCAAGGGTTCGGTAAGGATGAGGAGGGCGGAACGGAAGTCCGTCTGACAACACTGGAGGCCTGTGTGTCTAGTACAGTCGAGGCGAGTACTACGGAATCTACCATCCCGGCGACGACGTACATGGCTCATTATAAGTCCTCGTCGCGCGTCACGCGAACCTTTTGCGTGCAGTGCGGGACAAATTTGACCTACCACTATGCTCGGGACCCGTCGTCGTCGTCATCCTTACCGCAATTTCCAGCGCTTATCGATATAACCACCGGAAGTCTAGATGATGGAAGTCTGGTACGGGTCCATATCGACCGACAAACGTGGTGGGATTCGGGGGTTGGGTGGGTGAAGCGGATTATGAGATGGGGAGATGGCGATCTAATGAAGCATCCGAAAGGGATAACGACGCAAGAGATAGTGTTTGAGTAAACGGTCGCTTTATTATTGGCTTAGCCCGCTGGTCTGGATATTTGGGCGGCTGTAAGGGTGCCGTTGAACTTCGCTGCTATTCCGATAGAGAAACGCCGAGGAGTTGACGTATTGCTTAGTCAGCGACGGCTCGAACCTTGAGATCTCTTGTTTCTTCCGCGTCTTGACATCCTTGATCTGTTGAGGGGCCGAGAGGACGCCAATATTATAGTTCATCACTACTTCGTACTTGGCTGTAGCTTGACATGAACCTCATGTCTATATTTCTTTGCTTTTCGTCTCACAGCTAGAAGTATTGTTCTTGTTGCTCCCCAAGGTTTCTACAGCACCAGGATGTTTGGACCGCGGCGATGCCTGCTTCAGCCTTCCTTTCTACGGACACCCTACTTACCTAGCCAACTCTTCCGTTCCCCAGCATCCTATGGACTCACAGGCACAATTCGAGACTCGTCGACAACAGAGTTGACCCCCACGCCCCAAAGCCGCAGGATATCCGATGAGGCTGGGCGCGACCCTGCGAGTATCGGGGATAGAATAGCCTTCAATCCTGAGCGACTGTCACAAGAACATTCCACACTATTTGATCTTTTTTCATTGTCCAGCATCCCTGCCCTAGAAGAACAGGACCCAGGGGCGAAAGTTGACGAATTTGGGCAATTACAAATCACAGACATTGCGAAGAGCCTCAAAAAGTACCAGACGGCTCTAGTATTTTCGGCTGCACCTATTTCATTAGTTGAGCACGACTTTAGAAGGCTACTCTGTTCAGGAAAGCATATCGAAGGGTGGAGGAGTGATGGAGGACTCGAAAAAAGTACTGGCCTCTCTCATAATATCCTTTTGATATACTTTATGACTGATCCTTTGTGCAGTAATTCCAGTGCGCCATCCCCAGACCCTTCGTCGCAAACATGGTTGGATTTTAGTCTTTTCGACCCCGGCGGCGGCTCAAGAATACCAAGCTCGCGTACATCGTCTCCGTCGCCTTCTTCACCGTCACCTTCCAGTCACTCCTGAATCTAAAGTTCAACTGCCCCCCGCATACACGGTACCTGAGGCTCGCGGATTTATACTTCAAGACTACACAATAAGTTCACCATCACAGTTCCCATCTGTGACAGGTTACCTTGCACCGTTCAGCAAACATGTGCAGGATATGATTACACTACACAATAATATTCAAGCTCGCACACCGAATTCATATGCCGTGCAAGTTTCTATTGATAGTCGTCAACTTCCCACTCTATCAACTAGACATATTTTTAAGCTCTTGCGTGGCGACTCTGAGACACACGGGGTTCCGTGGAAGCTCGCTGAGATACAGGACCCTATCATCTACTTAACAGGTGAAATCACCCATCAAATTCTAGACGATGAGCATGACGGCGATGGCTTGACCAACACAATAAAAAACTGGAGAGTCACGTTTGGAAACTCTTCAGATGCGAGGAGGTTTGCAAGGCTAATGCATCGAAAACCGTTGCCACGGTTTCCGGGGTTATTCTGCGACCCTCCACCATTGATAAATGTCGAATGTTTGTTCCGCAACGAGGGTTATTGATACCGCGCCCTGAATACCCCTTTTCTCTCGGTTCCTCTTTTATAGCGGCATGAAATGCTTCGTGATGATACGGTTCACGGTTGACGAGTATCGTTACTTGTTCCCTTGCCTCCGACACTTAGATTCTGGCACTTCACATCTTTGCAGAAGAACGGACTCCTTTTGATCAGCTCGGATATGCTTATTCCTGAAGAAGAGTTCGTTCTAAATGTGCGTTTTTAAGTACTCATACTTCGAATTTGAAAGGCGCATCGCACATAGAGGAAGGCACGGCCATTGGATCATTCCTTCCTCATAAGCAATCATACTTCCTTTCACGTGCATTGCTCTTTCCTTTATTGATCCTAGGAGATGTATACTTGTTTAAGGAAAGCATGACCATTGGGCTGTACCTTCCCCATAAGCCATTGCCCCTTCCTTCATATCAATTGCCCTTTCCTATCTTAAGTTTGGAAGGTGCATACTTGATCAAGGAAGGCACTACTGCTGCATTGCTCTTTCCTTACCCCCATACCACTTTCCTATTCTGAGTTTGGAAGGTGCATACTCAATCAAGGAAGGCACAACTGCTGCATTGCTCCTTCCTTACACCCATACCACTTTCCTATTCTGAGTTTGGAAAGTGCATACTCAATCAAGGAAGGCACAACTGCTGCATTGCTCCTTCCTTGAACCCATTAAGTATTACTGTAGGGCTGCACCTTCTCTATAAGTGATCACTCCTACCTCCATAACAACTGCTCTTCCTATCCTTAGTTTGGAAGGTGCACACAAGGAAGGCATGACTGCTGCATTGCTCCTTCTTTATGTCTACACACTTTCCTATTCTGGGTTTGGAAGGGCATACTTGATAGAGGAAGGCACAACCCCCAGGTTGCTCCTTCCCCATATGTATCACTCTTTACTATCCTGGGTTTGAAGGATACATGCTTGATCAAGTAGGTATGACTGCTGGGTTGCTCCTTTCTCATATTCATCACCCTCTCCTAGGCTATGCCAGCATCTTCTAAGTTTGAAAATGGAAAGCATGACCACTGGGTGGCTCTTTCCTTATGTTCATGGTATATTCCTATTTCCAATATGGGACATATCTGTACATATTTAAAGTAGGAAAGAGTGCTCAGATCTCTCTTAAAACCGGCTTGGGGTTCATCATTGATTCACCAAAGTGTGAGTCCTATAGAGGAATATACCGCTAAGAATACAAAGTGTGAGGCCCTTGTGTGTCAGAAACAGGGGTGCAAGTTTGACTAAACAGAAAGATAAGGACTGCTTCAAGGCTAGACCTATAGGCCAGCACCACATCTAATCGACTCACAAGTCTGACTTTAAGGTGGAGAGACAATGAAGCATAGAAAATCTAGGGGGGGAAGTACTTGGAAGAGCTCTGTGGAAGATGACCGTTAAAAGCAAAGTATAGTAGATGGATAAAAAAGGGGGACGACGAAGCAAAAAAGCATTGCCACAGAGCAGAGGTCCTTCTTGGAATAAAGTCTCGTATGCGGTAGAAGACGAAATATACAGATAATAATCTGCCAAAAAAGAAGAACACCGCCACTCGACTCCCAATGTTCCCCCGAAAGTTATGACTTGATTAGCAACACTTGTTCCCCAGCCCGCTTCCTGTTCCATTGCCTTGATCTATGGTGACTCCGTGAGAAGCCGACTGCTCTGCCTTCGATGTATCCATAACCTTCTTAATCTCCGAGGCTAAGTTGTAAAACGCCTTATCGACATTGATATTGTTTTTTGCAGACACTTCGAGGAAGGGAATTCCAAGTTCATTTGCCAACTGCTGGCCTTGTTCGGTAGATACGGCTCGTTTCTCCTCCCAATCGCATTTATTACCAATCAACATCTTATGTACACCTTCCGAAGCGTGCTGTTCAACATTAGAGAACCAAGTTTTGATATCTGCCATGAATCAGTATATTAGACCAAACCATAGGTGCGTTGGCTTACTATTAAATGATCTTTCATCTGTGACATCATAAACAAGAAGTATACCCATCGCGCCACGATAATAAGCAGTCGTGATCGTCCGGAATCTTTCCTGGCCTGCTGTATCCCATATTTGTAGTTTCACGCGTTTGCCATCGAGTTCTATGGTGCGGATCTTAAAATCAATGCCGATTGTAGTGATGAAAGATGGCGTGAAGGAGTCTTCGCTGAATCGAAGTAGGCAGCAAGATTTACCAACACCAGAGTCTCCAATAAGTAGGAGTTTAATCTGAACCAAAATGGTATGAGTTAGTGGATACTGTATATTTACAATAGTCGTAGATAGCCTGTATACGTACGAGAAAGTCATAATTTCTAGTCCCGGCCATGTTGCCGAGGGTGGGAGAGAGAATAAGGTACGGCGGGAAAGGTGAGGGGATGAGTTTAAATGTATCCGAAGTGATCGCGTATTGGATTTCAAGATGGAAGTATGACAACCTCCGAGAACGAGACAAGGCCAGGTGTCCCTTCTCAAGGTGGCTGACAACGGAGGTGCGGAGGAACTTCGAAAGCGGGAAATTCGCGCTTGAACTATGAGCTGTCGTTGCGTGATAACAGCAGGTATGTCTATGGAGGCAGGAGGCCGGATTGGAGCTCGGTCCCGAAAGAGGCCAATATCTGGTCGGACAGGGGTTGACTGGGTATTATGAGTAGTTAGGCCAGGCAGTAGTTACTCAAGATCTGGATTGGTCGGGTTAGGGTAGAAGAACGAGATTAGGACAGAGGGCGTCTGTAGAGATAAGGTGCAAAGATCAAGGTAAATTAGTGAACCGCTCTCAGTCCAGTTGAAACCATCAACTATCGGAACGGTTTCAGGGCTCAGCCGCAGCACGAAGTAATTAAGTAGGACAGCAGGGTTGACGTTGATGATGCTGTTGTGACGTTGGGGTGCGGAGGCTGTTTCAACCCGGTCACGTGCAATACGCCTGCTCATTTCCTGGCAATCGATCACAATTACGATGATGAAGAGGACGATGGTATTCAACAAGATAGGGGTGTTTTGGGGCTAATTCTGTAGCTACATTTCTCCAGGGTCGATGGTGACTGATTTTTATGAAGAAAGCTGGATATATATGTATGTACTCCGTATGTATGCAGATAACTACACCCTCAAGGATTAGCGGATCCGCCAAATCCATTGGTCCTGTAGTAGTCGGTATAGGAGAAATCCATAGTGTTTGAAGTAAAGGTAGATTATGAAAGATGGTGCGAGAAGATGTTAAGAGAAGCATATCGCCGTAAACTAGCGGATCCACTGGGCGTACGCCCATCGAATCCGATCCAAAACTCTCAACTGCTGAACTACGCCAGATCGAACATTCAATAGGTCGTTAAGATCTTCATGAAACTCGTGGTATATATGGCCGGGTAGCACTTCATATGCTCTACTGCGAAGAATTTCCGCTTCGCAGATCAGGAGGCCGTGGTCTTTGTATGTTAATACGCCTGTTGGAGTGGGAACCGACGAAGACACAATGCGATTGACGGATCTAAGAAAGATCCTAATTAGCTAAATATCAATACCAAAACCGGCGTACAATCTTTACCGTAATGATCGCCTTGCCTCTGCTCGTCTCTTTCCTTGACGAATTCCACGCCTACTCCCAAAGGCACCGGCAAACCAACTGATAACTGAGTAAGAAACAAGGATTCCTGGGGTTAAGCCAATAAATCTAGGGGATGTCAGCCTGTTGAATTTCAATTTTGGAAATGGAAGTGGATAACATACGCGAACACTAATTGTTGACTTTTGAGGAGCGAGTCGATGCCGCTCATAGCGACTTCAACATCAACTTTTGTTTTTTGTATTTGAATGAGGAGCGTGGTAATTAAGTCGCCTCGTACGGCGCCCATGAGGGGAGTTTGCAAATCCCTTTCGTATGCTTTAAGCACGAGCGTCAAATCACCTTCTTTAACAGCCAGGCGGATTTGTTCCAGCTCGGCCGGCGAGAATGTCTGGCTAGAACCGTTTTCAGGATGACGGACAGCGTAATCAACCACCATACGTTCGAGGCTGGCTAAATCCGACTGCAGGCTACCTTTGCTCATCAGGGCGACTTGGCTCTTCTCATCGTGTCGTATGGTTCCTATTAACTGATTAATGGGCTCAACGACCCAATTTATCCAAAAATCCTTAAGGGTGGTGCCAGATTCCTGCAACCAGCCGACCACCTCCGACCGCCTGTTTGTGAGTATATTCAAAATAGTGCTAGAAGAAAACAAAATCGCAGACACAGGGAGCCAGTAGCGAACGAAACGAGACGGTCGCCCGCATTCATGAAAAAGTCTCTTTGACAGAAGTTGTTGACGAGGCAAGTGTTCTTCCAGGATAGTTTTTAATTGCTGGATAACATCGAAAGCGTTTTCAAGCGATGGCTTCTGGGGACCATCAACAAATGGAGACTCGACTGCATCCACAGTTGCAAAGACATTCTCCTCGAATCCAGTAAAATCATTACTGAGATCATTCACATTCTTGACAACAGCTCGCATGAGCAACGTTGTCCGAAAGACAGTATCCTGCCAGTCGTCCGGGCTATTAGTAGCTGTGTTTGTATTAGTGTCTTCTTCATCGAAGTCGAAGAGAAGGGCCTCTTCCATCAAGAGGCCGACAGCACATGCATTCATCTCTCGAAGTTTTTTCAGGCTTCGCCTGTTCTTCCGGGCCTCCGACCTACAAAGCTGGAAGGGCGAGAGCATGATTTGTTTAGCATGGGCTATGCTTTGCTGCCTTACACTCTCTCGAACAAGTCGGTAGAAGGCAGACCACCGCGCCGATATCGTTGAGCCGTCGAGCTCGCTGCGCCATTGAGGTTGGATTTGGCGGGCTTTGTTGTAAATGTCCTTGATATGCTGGCCTAATCGTATTGGGGATGTTTGAAATGCATGTAAGCCACAGCTTAAATACGAACCCAAGATCCCATCCCAGTACCAGATGCCATCGCTCAACGGCGCGGCCTCGTCCAGCAAGGAATTTATCACAATCGCAAAAGTCTGAACTGTAGCCTTCGCCGCCACCATCCATACGAGATCGGAAGAGTAGTTTCCATCCAGTGTAGCAACGCTCTTTTCAAGACTAGGCCTCAGGTCATGAACTTTGGATAACAAGTCGATCAATTTTGCGCGTTTCAGCAAGGGTCCGGATGGCGAGCTAGCGGAGAAAGCTCTCGCGATCCCGGCGATGGCGGCAACGGTTGGCGCGGCCAGATGGTCGGCTAACGTAATGGAATCATGGTGGGCTGTCCCGGGAAGAAGCGCTGGCTCGAGGGCCCGTAATTGAAGCTTGTCGAGATAGAGGTCCAGGCGTCGTACGTGGCTAGGCGACAACAATAATGAGGATCAGTGAAACAAAAAAGTATTGCATTGCAAGGCTATCATCAGTCTCCAAACGGGAACGCCTGGAAAAGGGCTAGAGGGCTGGTACAGGCTGGAAGCTTACTCCTCGACGAGCGACATGATTGTTGTTGTTGTTGCTGCTGCTACTGCTACTGCTGTTGTTCCAGAAAAATATCCGTTAGCAGGGAAGAACACGGGGGCCAAGTCAAAGCCAAAGCCCGGCCGGGCATTTCCAGCTGCAAGGATCCGGCCCAGAGGAATAAAAATGCGGTGATGTGTGGGCGGCGCTGCTGTGGTTGCGGCCGGAGAATTTGTGCGCTGAAGCCGTGATGGCTCGATCAGATAACAGATGACGTACGGCTGCTGATTGGCCTGCGGGCAAATCACGTGTAACACCAGGGCTAGCGCGATCCTGTAATTACGGTATCAGGCCATGGCAGTCGAACGATTCGGCTGAAAGATTCAGTGATTCCGGGCTGCTGCCAGTACGTGTACCTTACCGCGTGCGGCTCGCCGATTGGCTGAGCGTCACATGCATTGCCCCGTCGCCGGCCAGCGCCGCATCGCCCGTACGGTACCGTACCAGCTGCCCCTTACTGCGCATCTCTTGGGGCTTCTTTATCTGATCGCGCTGTGCTTCTATTAAATAAGAATCTTTCGTCCCCGGCAACTCTCGCTCACATCAACCACCACGCCTGCTGAGCCTCCTTCCCCTGCTGTCCGCCCATTGCTATCGACGCTGCGTGCCTGGGCAACGAGGATGTGAGTCTCAGAGAGGCCTCCACGCCCCTCGTGGCTTTTTTCGCTGACCTGCTGTGTGCTGACAGGAATTCCACCACGCTCCTTTCCCCGGCTCCGGCCTCCTACTGGGGCCAGTATGAGCAGATCTCCAAGTACAACACTCACCTGAACATCCCCGAACGGCTGTGGGCTGCTTGGTATGCCTACATGCAGAATGATGTCCTTGCTACTGGCATCATGTCGTTCGCAATGCACGAGATTGTGTACTTTGGCCGTGCACTGCCCTGGATCATCATTGACAGAATGAAGTATTTTAATCGCTGGAAGATTCAACATGTTAGTGAAACCACTCGCGTCCCAAGCCCCTCTTTCATTTCTGACCGATCATAGAGCAAAATTCCGACCGCTCGGGAGCAGTGGAATTGTGCCAAGCTCGTTCTACTAAGTCACTTCACCGTCGAATTACCTCAAATCTGGTATGTGCCACACGGCCAACGAACTGCGGACCGGAATCAATTAACACTATCCCAGGCTTTTCCATCCCTTTGCTCAATACTGCGGACTCGCAACCGGCGTTCCATTCCCATCGATCTGGAAAATGATGTACCAGATCGCCATTTTTTTCGTCCTCGAGGATACTTGGCATTATTTTTCTCACCGCGCATTCCACTGGGCCCCTCTCTACAAATCTGTGCACAAGATTCACCACCAGTACTCTGCTCCCTTCGGATTAGCTGCTGAATATGCCTCACCAATAGAGGTTATGGCCCTCGGCTTCGGCACTGTTGGATGCCCGATTTTGTGGTGTGTTGTCACAGGCGATCTCCATATTCTTACTATGTATCTCTGGATTATCTTCCGGCTATTCCAGGCTATCGACGCCCACAGTGGTTACGAATTTCCCTGGAGTCTTCACCATTTCCTTCCGTTCTGGGCCGGCGCTGATCATCACGACCTTCATCATGAAAAATTTGTTGGCAACTACGCAAGCAGCTTTAGATGGTGGGATTATTTGCTCGACACCGAATACACCCCCGAAGCCGTCAAACGCCGGAGAGAGCAGAAAGCAAAGACTGCGAAGAGCCTGTGAAGTCATTTTCATGGGTAAAAAACGCTTGTCCAATTGATCGTAACGGAGATTATCTGGTTTTCGATCGGAAAATCTTCTACTGCTTTATTTCCACTAAAACACCTTTTAATACTTCATACCTCATGGGATTGTTAAATCCCTTGCTGTGTTCCTTCGACCATAACGGCTTTATATGTTCATAATGATTCCATATCCACTTGTTGGCTTTGAAAATCCTGTTTTAGGACGCAAGTCCGAATTCTTTACTGGCGTTTTATGTTTGATACCTGTCCATAGCTTTTTGCACACTTCGATAGACAATACTATTAATACGAAATGAAAAATACTTCATCCAGACAACATTGTGATCAACGTAATTGTAGTAAGATCGCTTGCAGGCTGAAGCCTCACTGAGACTGCGACACAGGGTGAGGTACCAAAATCTCCCCGTGCAATTCCGCTTGTTCGTCGCAAAACCTAGCCATTTTCAAGTCCTTGAGACTCAGGCCGCGTGGACGGTGTGTGGTCCACGTAATACAGACTTTGTTGTATATCTAGAAGAAGACTATCAGTCAGGCTGTTCTAGGGCAATAGCCGCTAATCAGAAATCCAGGGAAGCTCACATTTGTCCATTCAGGATGATGTTTCTCGACTTTGCACTCTTCTGCGACCGTAGACATGAACCCCTACAGACACCGTCACATTGGTAAACCAGAACTCTTATTGCAAAATAGATCCTCATGGTAGAGGACGTACCCAAGCTTGCTTAAATGATTTAAAATTATACTCCCTTTTAATTCCCTGCATATCTTGGGTCATAACCCATCTGCCTGCCTCTTTGTGTAGTAACCGTTCCACCTCCGGTTGAGCAACAGACGCGTCAGAGCCCTGGGCGTATTGAATATCGGTATTCAGCGGCATCGTAGACAGTAATCTCTTACATTGCCGCAAACTCTGGGCAATCGAAGGCGTTCTTGAGCAATACGATATCCCTCTAGAAACTTGAAAGTGTAACAGGATGCCTGTTGGCAACCGGCGAATCGCTGTCAGTGGAGCGGGCATGAAGAATAATATTTGTGTAGTTATAGTTATGTAAAGGTGCTACTTCAGGATATATCTTTTCACCTTAGCAAACCATGACATCCAAAGGAGGTGCAAGTCAATAATTCGCACTGTGTCCAAGTTAGTTGTTCTCTTGAACTTTCTTGCTTTTCCGCTCGATTCTACAAATGCTCGATAGTCGGCTACAAACAGACGAACGACGCTCGTGGCAAATTTCCTCACTTTCAAATACTGTACATAGCTCTTTGGACCCCGCACAACAGACGAGCCTAGTTATGTCGTTAAATGAAAGAACCTTTACCGTTTACATTCTGTCCGCAACAATTATCGTTCATTCGCGATGAGAACCTCCTAATTCCTCCCTTTCACATAGGGCAATATCTCAGTGTTGTGGACTACAAATATTAACTCTCGGGTGTCGTGCAAAAATTTCCACAAGAAGCGCGCAGATTAAGGGCAAAATGGCAGCGCGTCCTGAGTTTACAGTCCGGCCAGCGTCACGCCAACCAAAGAATGATTCAAAAGAGGCATTTCGGATTTTCATGTCCCCGGCTTCACTTCTTCAAGTTCATCTAATAGTTGGCGAACCGTGTCAATTGCAGCTTGGTGATGGCCCTACCAAAACCGCAATTGCTTGGAATGCTCCTGAAAAGGTCCATGATAATGTTGTGCAGACATCCAAGCTACTTCAGTCTTTATATGGATTGAAATTGGGGGATAAAGTTACAATCACTGAAGCTAAAGAGCCATTAAAGGACATAGGTTTGGTTCGCTTGGAAGAATGCAGTGATCCAGCTACGATTTCAGAACATGGAGAACTATCAGACACTGATCGGCTTTACTGGGAATGGGGGCTGGAGCACCCACTGTCCCGAAACGAAATACTAGCCGCAGGCATGATCATCGAATATGAGCTGAAGAAGTGCCGTAGGGCTTTCAAGGTGGTAGAATTTGATCCTGGGAGCGACCCGGGGGGAAATACAATCGCGAGATTTACTCCACAGTCACAAGTCAAGATTGGAGGACCAATATCCTCTCCAGCAGCAGAAAAAGTGCTTCAAGTAGATGCAACTGGCCTGGGCGGGCTTGCTCCGCAGATTGAGCAGGTCAATGAAAGAATGAGAGATTTTACTCTACGGGCGCAAAAAATCAAAATGCCATCTTTTTATAAAAGCAGTGGAGGAATCCTTATTCACGGAGCAAAAGGGACGGGAAAATCCTCACTTTTGGCCAGGATTGAGAGTTCGGGGTGGAGAGGGGTGTTTCCCGTAAAAACTTCGGCAAGCAGCAAAATACCCGGAGAGGCTGATGGGAAAATTCGAAAAATATTTGCCGATGCTTTGAAATCCCAACCAAGCCTTATCTCTATCGATCAGTTAGATTTTATAGCGCCAAAACGTGGCGCGAATGATGCCCCCTCTTTGGCCTCGATTCTATGCGAGGCCTTGGATTCCATTCAGGATAGCCATGTTCTTGTAGTGGCGTGTACAAAACATCCGAATGACGTGGATGATACCTTGCGGACTCCGCATCGGTTGGGAATTGAGATCGAACTTCCCGTACCCACCGGAAAGGGACGAGCCGAGATCCTTTGGGCGCTACGAGGATCGGACGATCAACCATGCGATATGCTACTAGAAAAAATGGCAGCGCAAACTCATGGTTACGTTGGTGCAGACCTTTTTTCGCTACTTCAGCTGTCTTGCAGAAAGGCGCAGACAAGGCAGTTTTCCAAATTAGACCAAAATTATCTTCGATTAGAAGAGGAGAGTGTCGACAAAAAAGGGGAAGAGCCCGAGAATGATTCCAAGATCCCACTTGTGATATCCGAAGAAGATGTTATATCAGCATTACAGGAAACGCGGCCTACGGCTATGAGAGAAGTTTTCTTGGAGACTCCTGCTGTCAGATGGAGTGATATTGGTGGGCAAGAAAATATTAAGCGGTATCTTCAGAAGGCAGTTGAAAGGCCATTAAGGGTATGTTGTCTCGGTTGTGCATTGCCAGGTATGAGCTTACATGTGATTTGGTTGATAGTACCCTGAACGGATGAAACGATTCAATATTACTGGGAAGAAGGGCGTGCTACTTTATGGCCCGCCAGGTTGCTCTAAAACCCTGACAGTGAAGGCTCTAGCCACAGAAGCTGGACTGAATTTCTTAGCTGTCAAAGGCGCTGAGATATTGAGTATGTATGTTGGCGAATCTGAGAGAGCGTTGAGGGAAATATTTCGTAAAGCCCGGGCCGCACGCCCTAGTATTATTTTCTTTGATGAGATTGATGCTATTGCTGCGCGGAGAGGGCCTGGCGTTCAAAGTGGTATAAATGTTTTAACGACTTTGTTAAATGAAATGGATGGTATCGAGGAGCTAAAAAACGTGCTCGTCGTCGCGGCGACCAACAAGCCAGAAGTCTTGGATCCTGCATTAATGAGACCAGGAAGGCTGGACAACATCCTATACATTGGGCTACCTGACTCCGTTGCGAGAAAGGAGATCCTGAACATATGGTGCCGCAAGGCTGATGTTAATAAGGAGGTGGACTTGGATGAACTAGCGGGCCAAACAGACGGATATTCGGGCGCCGAATTGGTAAGTGTCTGCGAGACTGCTGCTGATTTCGCAATGGATGAAGAGGAGGAAACTGGCCAGCAGTGCCAGATTCAAACCGCGCATTTTCTCAAGGCTTTGGAAACAGTATCAAAACAGATATCACCGGATGTGATCCGGGAATATCAAAACTGGAGCAGAAGCTTTGGAAATAAATGAACGGCTTGCTTCATCTGCCTGTCTCCCATTTACGAGATCATGCGATATACCTACTTTACTATATACTTCGTAGCATATGCAGTATTCTGCGAGGCTCTCTTTCTGTGTAGGGGCATGCTGGGGCCAACTAAGAACTAACAGATAGTTATGCAGTGCAACAGATGCTTGCTGTGTATTCCGTACAGTGGTGATATCTGTTAGCAGAATTCGCATTTCTTGTTGGTGCTCTATGATGATAGTATGATGAAACAGAACAAGTGCTTGGGAAGTAATAGAAGTCTAGGCTCTCTGATTTGATTTCTTAATATTTAGAACTCATTTCAAGAATTCTCGCATGTTTGGTGGGAGGTGGCTGGTCTTGGCACCGCCTGGCTTTGTTAGCTCGGCGGCGAGCCAGCTCTCGATCTTACTCCTCTCACTGCTGCACTGTCTCACATCTCACCTCGCTCTACAGCTCCATTCCCATTGCAACCAACGCTTGGGTATAGTGTCTTCCGGCGAAAATGCCGACCCGCCACTCCATCTCGCCTTCTCGAAGTCCTTCGCCTCGCCCACGAAGCCGTTCGCGTTCTTACAGTCGTCCACGATCAGTTTCGCCGCGACACTCGCCAGCTCCTCGCGCGCGCTCACGTTCTCGAACTCCTCGATCGCCATTACGGTCGCCTACGCCGCGAGCTCGCAGCATCAGCCCTAGACACAATGGGCATCGTGAGCGCGGCCGGCCACAGTCAAGGTCTGGGAGTCGGAGCCCGAGTCGAAGCCCATATTCTTCCAGAGCTCCAAGCAGAGACAGACAAGAAAGGCGGTATCGTGACAGGAGCTATACGAGGAGCCCAAGTCCACCGAGGCGAAGCACGAAAGTAAGTGCTGTTATAGACTACGAACAGCGAATATCTGCTTCATTTGCCAGAGCTGACATATCCGCGCCTTAGATTGTTATCGAGAAGTTAACCAAGAATGTCAATGAGGGCCATCTCCGCGAAATATTTGGCACTTATGGTGATATCCAGAGTCTTGACCTTCCCATGAACCGTCAATGTATGCTGTTTGTCGTTTTTTTATGGGAAAGCGGTGTGCTAATAGAATCGAAATAGTCATGACCAATCGGGGCTCAGCATATATTTGCTACTATGATGCTGCTGATGCTGAGTCTGCAATCGCTCATATGCATGAAGCCCAGTTAGATGGTGCCGTCCTCAGTGTGTCGATTGTTCTTCCACGTCGCACATTCGATCGGACGCCTCCCCCAGCACGAATGCCTGCTCGTCCTGAACCTTGGAGATCTGGATACTCGGCTACTGGCCCTGGTCGCCCCCCCTCAACTCGTTACCGTTCTCCTCCCCCGCCACGGAGACAGTTCAGGGCACCGCAAACAATGAACAGACATGATATCTACCGCCCACGGTCCGTATCACGATCAAGATCTCGGTCTAGGACGCCACCAGGTCGATCCCCATCTTATTCATCACGTTCACCGAGCCCACAGCGTAGAAGAGATAGGAGAGATAGCTATGGCTCAGTAAGACGAAGAAGACGTGGCTCCAGCTATGGCAGCCGTAGCAGGAGTCGGAGCCCGCGTCGCCCAAGATATAGCCGAAGATGACAAAAGAGGCAGTTGGTTGGATCTTAGAAGGATCGCTGGGGTCTCCATACGCTTAAAATAGGAGTTCTTTAATGCTTAGAAGAGGGTTGGCTAGGATAATGTATTTTTACTTACGGAATATTTTGCTTCCTTTATAGCCTAGAGTAAAGGGAATTCCATGTTATTATGAAACCTAGATTTTTACTTTGTATATGTGCAGCATATTATACACAATTATTCTGTACACCCTTTATCTCCACAGGGGCCTGAGATATAATCTTTTTTAGTCCAACATATATTCAAAAGAAAGCACACCAGCCGATATACATCGCTGCCAAATTCTTAATATTAGTCGCTTGCATAATCAGCTCATCAACTTGTCCGCCAACAGACAATGGTACAGACTCTCCAGGCAAAAGGCCACGAAGTCTGTTGCGAACGAACTCTAAGACTGCCTCTGGGGTATCAGGCACATTCGGGTGGGTTCGCTTCTGTTCCTCGAATTAGGCCTCGTATTAAAACAAAACTTGGGAGTGCGTCTACCTTCTTATCAATAAAATCAGTAGTCGGATCATGAAGAAAGGTTTCGAGAATAGTCATGAGCGAGTCTTCGTTCTGGCGTAACAAGCCTTGGGTAAGTTCGCATGTTTTTCGAAAAGGCCCTATATTGCAATTAGTGGCCATCTTAGATCTCAACGGAAACGAAGCACGAACCATTATACCCATACGCACCAAATGCATCGATCATATTATGTGTAAGACGGAAAGGTACTAGCTCCGGTTTATCAAGAGTAAGACCCTATAAAGTAGTTAGTGCCGTCCCCGCTCTAGGGATTATGGAGGTGCTGACCTTGTCGAAAAGGCAGTTGAAGTCGACATGGAGGATACCTCCTGTTCCTTCTTCAAACAAGATATTCTCTCCGTGTCTATCCCCGAGTCTATATATTTTATAAGTAACTACAGGATGTGACTTATAAATTTTCTTACTCACCCCAGCGAAGAGCCAACCATAGACATGACAGCACAGGATCTAGTGTACCCCAATCTCGCTCCAAACCACGCTGGCGGTTCAGGAAACATTTCAACGAACCATTCATGCAAAACAGCCGGATACCTAATTACCACATAAGCATGGAACCCGAAGCGGTATTGATCATTGCTGCTTACTTAGCCAACAATTTTGAAAACATAGGTAGCTTTGAATCGGCCGAGCACGCTTCGTTCAGGTAGTGTTTTATTTCACCATACTAACGTTATTAGATAATGAGGATCTGGCTGGATGTCAATCACTTACGTTGACAACGATACCTCGTGCCTTCAGCAGTTTAGCGACAATTTCCCTCAAAGGACGTAGACCATCAACCCATTCAATAAGACCACACTGCTCATTTAATGGTGTGACAGCGTACGTCTTAATGTATAAACGGCGCTTGTTTGACTCTAAATCCCTTTTTAAGAATCGATTGATCATACTATTATACTCCATCAACCGTTGATCCTTGCGAAGATCATCATTTGGCTTGCAAAGGAGGCCATAGACCTGTCCATCTGAGCCCCGAATACTTATTTTCCGCGGTTTTTGTAGGGACAGCAGGACTAAACCTGCGTCAAGTACAGCTGTTAAGACTGTCAATATCAAAACAAAGAGCAATAGGATATTATGTAACATACTTTCTATGGTAATCGGGTCATTAGGAAATGCCCTGAACGTCTTTAAAAAGTTTGATTCATGGCTCTGAGGTAGAACAGGGGCCAGCGTTGTCTCTAGGGGAATAACTAGTCGACAAGGGGCGACTTTGTGATTGAAGCCTAGATTGCGAGCTAAGCTGACTTTTGTCACTCTATCTTCAACTGGTGCAACGCATAATTTTAAGAGCTCATCTGAGAACTTTTGGCCCTGGTTAACAATCGTCCGTATCTCTGTTGCGGTACCGTCTAATTTCTGTTTTTTGCTTGCTTCCTATTCAAAATTAGCCGCCAACTACGACATGCGCAACTCAACAATAAACTGACGGTGATCTTTTGAATACACGTTAAACCGCGAGATGCACGATCTTTAGTTGACGATTTCAAGACTGCCAAAAGTGTCCATAGACCTTGCTGGGGAAATGCGAGAATGGTCTTCACCACAATTTGCGTTAGGATGTTGTATACGGTGTTATTTGAATGACATATGCGTGCAACAACCTGGGGCAATATGGTAAATAGCTTCGGTTTGTCAGTGGTAGTAGAAATGATTTCGGGCAAGGGCACGTACCAAAGCTGCAGGGATTCTGCTGATGTATTTTCGAAGCTGGGTATGCATATCATCTAGACTTTTTTTACGTTGTGTCATGTTGTGTTTTTGAAATTCCCTTCTACTAGTTAGCTCTATTGGGGTTTCGAAGATAATTCTAGCCTACCTATTATCTCCCCGTTTCGGATCAAAGGGCTGGTCGACTCCAGATGCGTGGTCAAGCCACAACGTCAATACCTTCGGTAGAGTCTGAAAAACGTATTTGTTCCCATGAGCGAGTGAACGAAGATAATTATCAATTACCAACTTCGACGCTTCACCACTCAAGCTATGATCTTTTAGCAGCAATACAAAAAACACTGTACAGTACATACTATATTTGAGCCTCTTTCCCAACAGGCTTCACTTTCTCAGAATCCAAAATTTTCGCGTAGTGTTTACCCAAATAGTAATGTGCTTTCTCCCATCTAATAGCTGTTGGTTAGCGCGATCCTGCGATCATTGAGATATGAATTCACCTTGTATGGAATTTGATTGCTTGTCGATATTTTTGTATGATTACGTCGGACTGAGTCTGGCCAGCACTGTCCATCCATCGAGCAAGAAGTAGATGCGCCTGAGATAATTAGAAAATAAAGAAAGTCACAAGAAAGAATATAATATTTATTACCTGGGCGGTTAACATGTTCTGCTTATGTTGATCGTCGCCGATGGAGAGTTCAGATGGAAGAGCATCCGCAGGGGTTTTATCAAAAGATATAAATGCATTAGCAGATATCGAGCCCTCTAAAGTCCGGATTGCCTTTCGATGATGCCCCTCTTTCCATAGTAGCCTTGCATATTCTATAGTTGCAGATTTGTCTTTCAATTGCGCAGCATGCATAACTGCATTGAATGCCTGCTCTGTTGAATTTGCTTTTCGTGCAAGCTTAGAAATGGTCAGCCAAACGGAAGCGGCATCGGATTCATCGAAGGATGGCCTGTAAATAAAAAATTAGCCTTAAAAAGGTATATAAACTGGCGAGACCTACGATAATTCCATTATGGCTCGCCTCAAGCCAAGGATATATTGCTTATCAGAAATGCAGCCCCCGAGGAGCGCCAATCTGCGATCTAACGTTTCACGCAGTCCTTGTTGAGCTTGCTGGGAAATGGTAGATAAGCTCGCAAGCATTTCCACCTCCTCAAGGATGTGAAGTTTGACGCTGTTGTCATGACTGGCTTGAAAAGAGGATACCGAATTTGACGTTAAGCTTTTTGTGATGCCGATGCGCAACTCATTGATTTTTGCTTTGAATACATTGGTATTTTTCGAGCGAATTGAAGTCAATACCAATCCAAGGCCAATGGTAAAATCGCCAGCCCCATTGTCAGAACGCTGGGAAAGGTATCTTTCTAGTCTATCCCATTTACTAGTCACCCATGAGGCTTCTACTGCAAATGAGAGCATCTTGGGAAGCGCCGCTTCGGTAATTTTTAGGGCACCGAATTGGTTGAGAAGAGCATCTGTAAATATAGTGAGTGAGTAGTACTGTATAGTTTGAAGTGTTGGTATAATCTTACCATGCTGGCCAGACTCCTTTAAGCATGTCAATAAATTGAGTTGGACCTCAGTATCTTCTGGCGATTTATTTAATTGCAGTTCATACCAACTTTGAGCCGCTACCCATCTCCCTGCTTTGCGATGCTCAAGTACTTGTTGGTCTATATTCAGGACATGCAAATGAGATGAAATGCCCTCAATTCCATCCGGCTCATCTATTTGGGTGTAGATATCTTGGAGCTTCTGAAAGAGAGAGTCTAGCTGAGTAGCATCGGTTTCCGGTTTAGTCCTTTGTTGCCTAATATACTGTTCCCAATGAAATAGCGCACGCGCGTAGGATTTGCATTCGACGGCACGCCCGGAGATGACTTCAGCGGGAATCGAAGACAGAAGCTTTTCAACCCGTTTGATTTGAACAGAGCATTTGTCAGCACTCTCTTTGTAGCGGCGATTGCCGGTTGCAAAAAAAGTATATTCCCTTTTTTTAGCCTGAAGCCAACGAGATAAGTAATCCAAGGCAGTGAATACACTCTATCATGCATAGTTAGCGTCAATTTGAGATTGAAACGATGTTAGACATACCTCGCTGCATAATATGACATTCTCTTGAACCAAATGATTGTCCTCTGGAAGAGGGTATAGTAGAACATTGGCAAGTTCATCGGCAACTTGCCGAGCTTCGTTATCATCACTGATTGTAGCGTTAAGCACCGCAAATGGCAGAAGAAAGGCAGCAATTGAAATATCTTGGCTTCGAATAATCCGGCTGCTTATACTGAAGACCATTTTGCCGTTTGCTTCATTGCCTTTTTGTAGTAAATCAAGAACAAATGTGCGTAGCCATTCTGGATGGCTCATTTCTGAAGAAAAGAGGGGATAGCAGCATGATGTGCTGATGGCTCCAACTATCACAGTGTACTTGGAGCTGAGAAAAGGCGTGAGTGTATTCCGTACATACTCTGGAAGCGATAACCAGCGCCTATACACGTCTCCTAGCTCAAAGTCTTGGGTACGAGGGGGTACAACAGCGCCAAGATTGCAATATTGTAGAAGGGACTGCATGGCGTAGGCTAGGAACCCCTGAGATCTCGTATTAGACGCAGAAAGAAATGCTTCAACGACGATATGTTGCAAAAAAAAGAGAATAAAATCGGTTGTCTCGTCTGCTCTCTCGAAGTTAGACAATACCAGGATATCTTTTTTTTCTTTCGTTAATTCGATGCGACTCGGGTCAAGACACCCGATGATGCCAAGGCATTCAGCAGCTAGTAGCATGATAGCTTCTGAGCTTGGGTTGAATTTTGCGCAGCAGTCAAACAACGAACGTGTAAGTTGACCAGCGATGTTTTGATTTGGTTGCTCGTTGATAGCAGATCGATGAATGTACTCTTGGTTTGTTCGGAGTTGCGGAACCAGCTCTCTGAGTGCTTGCTCAACGACAACTTGGTTCTCATTCTGACACCTGAGGGAGAAGGCTTCGAGTTGGCTACGAATGTCAACACTCTTTTTTAATTCTAAAATTCGACGAGAAAATCTGTCCATCTCAGGGATAGTTTCTAGAGACGGCATTTTCAAGAAAGTATCTGTCACTAGTTCCTGATGATCTTGTAAAATGCGCTCAACAAGGTCCATCGCTTGATATCGGGTCTCGGACCTGAATATGCTCCAGTTTTTAAGTATTATGGCAAAGGTTTGGTCAATTAACGGCTCTATGTCTGCTTCATCAAGCAGGAGCATCATGGTGCACCAGGAGGCAAAAGCATGATCACGTAAATCTTTCATATCAAGGGCTGACCGAAGACAGGCACAAATCTAAGTTTGTAAATTAGTTCTAGACGAGCTGACAAGTAGTGATGAAATTACCTGGGGTAAAGCAACACTAATGTTTCCCCTTGCTATACTTATCATCTGACCGATAGCAACAACGTTCCTCTTCTTTTCTACTATTGACTGTCGTATTTGGAAATCGTTGATTACATTGGCAAATTCGGTTATTATCCCTAGAACATGCTCCTCCAAGAAAGCGACAAGCGGATCAACTGTTCTAGAAGAGCTTCCTAAGCCTGCCCGTCGAGGTGTTAGAGACGCGACCAGTTCTAAAGCTTGTAAATGCTAGGTAGAATAATTAGAAATGGCTTAATGTGGTAGGGACAGGACAAACCCTAGATTCTTTTTCCGCTGTTAAATCACCAAGTCCTTTGAGTAGTTCACAAGATATTAGAATCGGCTCCATTCTAATCAGAGCTGCAAGATCATGGCCTTTGAACTGTTGAGATATATCGCATAATGTAGATGGAATTGTCACTTCCGGGTTAGAAGTTTTCTGAGTTAGTAAGACAGACAGGATCGACGCTATATTGGTGTTGGAGGAGCAGACATCAAAGATTGACATCTTATCGTGGGTCCTGGCAATTCTAGCAATGACGTCTTTTTTCCGCGTCATGACAAGGTATGGCAGGATATGAACTTCAGTTAACCGCAAGAAGCTATCAACTGACATTCCGATCAAATCGCTTATGAGATCTGCCATATGGGGCTTGTTATGCAGGTTTTTTACTACTAAAACCGACAGCGTTCTCCAAAAGGGCCGGAACAATGCTGCAGGGGTATATCCTAGATGTAGAGCTAATTTGGAGAGCTTTAAGATGTCAGCTATGAAGCTAAAAAGAAATGGCAAACATGCCTCAGTGTATGCAACTCCACTGATAAAAGGGTTGACGTGGCGAATGTATTCTAGGAGTCGAAAAAGAACAATGTTCATCTCTTCGTCTCCGGATATCCTAATATGCATTAGTCGAGACTATAGACCCTCAGGGAGGATACAATAGTAGCTCACTCGGCGATGTTTCTTAATACCATTATGAATGTTTCCTGTACATATAGCTCATTGTCATCCTGCAGTTGTAAAAACTCCAATGCAGCGACAAAATTTTTCCGCCGCACATCTTCGTCTTGCGGTCCCTTGAGGAAAATAACCAGAGTTTGTCTACGCGGTATCAGAATGGGGGAAAAAAAGGACACATTCTAGAGACAGCAGTGCTTACCCAGCTATTATGCGAAGTTCTCGGACCGAGCTATGAAGAGAGTGTAGACAGAATTCGCCACACGGTGTGGTTCCAAGTTGCATATCCTTGCTATTTGGGTCATGGATGAGCATATTTCGAATGGCAACCATTCCTAGGATCCGACATTCCGGAGACGCGTGTAATGCGGGGAGTAGTGCTGTTAATGTGTCGCGTAGATATTCGAACCTCGAATCTTCGGCGCAAATACGGCCTGGTGTATCCCACTTGTTATCATCACAAACCAGACATTGGTAGATTGGCTCCGAAATATCCACATTTTGGCCAAACCTCAAATTATCCGACCACGCACACGAAAGGCGACCTAAATGACTTAATACGTTGCATTTATCGCTAGGAGATAGCCCAGCAGAGGCATTCCTATACATAGTAAGCAACATAGATTCCGTCAGCATAATTTTACTGAGACTAACACTATAGAAGGCTCTATGCTCTCAAGTCCGTCAACTGGTAGAATACCAATAATGTTACAAAGTGTGGTGATAATCATTTGTGAGTAATCCAGAGTGCCAATGGTGTCATCTGTATTTGAAAGGCGAGGGCGTTTCCGAGGTCTTTCTTTATCAGAGCTTTCAACGTCAAGACAGTTTACATACTCAGGCTTCTTGATGTGGGTAGTGTCCTGGGCGTGAAGGAGGGACTGGGAGGAAGTCCGCCTGTGAAACTTGGAAGATGGAACTGGAGAAAAATATTGGCCTTGAAGTATCCTATCAATAACATACTACTCTATAATATTAGCTGGCCACGTTTGAGAAGTAATGGTGGGAGTAACGCAACCTGAAAAGACTGGTGAAGTGTTCTAAAGGTAGGGGCATCAGACTTGAGTTCGTCCAATGCAGGAGTAAAGTGTTCCGTGACTAGTTGGTCAGCAGCTGAACAGCTGTGAGATGCGCGCATAATCTCGCTCATGAGTTGACTCAAGACATGCTGTAAATCAGAGCTCTGTAGCAATTTGGAGCATGATAGCATATCCACACCACTCTGTACCATCACATCCATTGCTCTTTGATCCATCCCTAGTCCTAAGATTTGTGAGCAGGAGAAGCCCTTTCGAAACACAGAGATCAACTCCGTGAGAAGATTGATAGTCTTCTCCTCTTCCAAGCGAGTCTCAGCGCCCCCAAACCATTGGAATACAGCTTTCCATAATCTTTCGGAGCATTGAAAATTCCAGAGAATACTCTCTCGAAGAAAAGGTGAACGGGTGAAAATTCTATTCGAGGGAAGGTGCGCGAAAGAATCCAGAACATGAAGACACGCTTTGACCACTGATGATGGGCTTCCTATGGACAGGCGAGCCAGCGTGGATCGAGGAAGGTTAAGAGCCTCAAAACAGCTAGCTAAAGAGTCTGACCACTGTGGAAAATACAAAAATGAGCCGTTAACATTCTGATATCCTTTAACATTAATAATCTCTATAGAGGTGATGAGATCTAGCCAAGTCAGCCATCCACCACTTCATATATGCTGATATCGGCTCACCTATCAGACAGCCCTGGAGAAACCACGTAACGGATCTAGATGAGCTCCAAGACCTACGAGTTTTAAACTGTGACATGTAAATTGTTGATAAGACCCGACAAATTTTGTCACGGACTGGTCTCTCCTCCCAAGTACAAAGCAAAGCCAGGTGGATGGGAATAATCCAGGTAAATATCGGAGCTTTAATCGCTTCATGGCTAAGAAGGATAGCATCGCACGGCTCATATAAAACCTGAGGGGCATTCCGGAGCGCGACTTGGACAATGTCGAGACAATCCAAAATCTGCCCGATCTTATCATTCTCCGACAAAATTCCGGCACGATAGTTTAACAGAGGTTCGAGACCAGCTTTGATTACAACGCAAATTAGGGTGTGGATATCACTAATGTTGTCATCGAGATTGAGTTGGCCATCCTGGCTTAAAATCTCCTGCCGTAATTGAGAAAAGGTTTCGCGCCCAGGGGTATCTTCACCGTTTCCTCTAACTGTCAGGTGAGGCGTTAGTCTGGTGGCAAGAGAGGAAGCTGGCTCTCCGGTCTTGTTCATGGAAGGCCGTTCCGGCCGCGGCAATGTCGTTCCATTATGCGCAGCCATATGGATCCCATCTCAATTGACTCGACCTCGTTTGCCGCTTTCGAGAAAGCCGGGCCAAAGGAAATTAGAAATGAGCGGGAGCTTCAAACATAGAAAAGAAAGTATAATCAGTTGTGTAAAGAGTGTCGCTGGCATGGCTTTGCTGTCGTTGATGATAAGGCTGAGACTGATATTGACCTGTTTACTCGGCGCTGGTGACTAAGCTAGTTAGTTAGTTAGTTACTACGGAGTAGTTAGTGAATACACGCTAATCTACCCCCGTATAGTTTACCACTAGTCGTTTCTCGAGCGCACTCTGTACTCCCTGTTCCACACCCCGTCCGCCTTATCGACGTTAGATGCATGGCTTCTTTGCTCTAATTTTGATGTAGAAAGGCTGATCTACAATTGCAACTCTAATCTGAATGGCGGATACTGAAAAGAATGGCGCCACGCATAGCTTTTTTATGAGGAAAGCAGTGGAGATGGTACTTACTTTGCACCTTGTTAACTGCGAGTTGTATTTCTGATTTTGAAGGATATGAAGGCAGAAGAAGCCCTCTACATAGGAGAAACACCAGTTGGGTGTGTACTGGTATATGAAGGGCAAATCATTGGCCATGGAATGAACGATACCAACCGATCCTTGAATGTAGGCGTTCACTCGCTGCTTTCTGAGCGTACATTAATTTTCGGCTAAGGGAACCAAACATGCCGAATTCCTGGCCATAGAAGAAGCGCTAAAGTCATATCCACGCTCTGTATTTCGCAATACGGATCTCTACGTGACAGTTGAGCCCTGCATTATGTGTGCTTCGCTTCTAAGGCAGAACCTGATTCGCCGTGTCTATTTTGGCTGCATAAATGATCGATTTGGCGGGACGGGAGGGGTACTGAATCTACACTCGGAGTTAGTGTATCCGCCTAGTGTATATTTTGTAATATCTCTAATTTGTAGGGTGTCCCTCAAGTCCAGGATTAGATTTGCCGTATGAAGTGCGTGGTGGGCTATTTCGTGACGAAGCAATAATGCTATTACGCCGGTTTTATATCCAAGAAAATGAAAAAGGTTCAGTAATTCTTGTTCCTTCTAGTCTGTTGCTAATGCATTGCAGCCCCGAACCCAAGACCGAAAGCGAATCGCGAACTGAAGCGGAAGCTTGATGATGATACCATTGGACCAGTACCATTGGCACCCATTTTACGGACACCTTGATCCTCCTTAATGGAGCTGGCCCCGGAACTTGTCCTTCGACTTCCACGAAAGAAGCTATAAATTTGCAAGTTGCCAAAAGGTATGTATGTACAATTACACAGACAGCCCCAGCCTGTTGGGAAGCAGATGCGTAATGTTAGGGTTTTGAACATTTGCGTTTCAAAGATTTAGATTTTCTCTTTGTAAACGCTCTGCTTCTAACTCACGCTCTGCCTGGCGGAAGTATTTTGCAGTGTCAACACCATGCTGTGCAAAGGGTGATTAGTGTATATTCCGAGCATAATAATGAATTATCAACGTACCTGGTTATGGTTGACAAGGTTGAACCAGGGAATAACATGAATAAACAAACCAGAGTACCGCGAATTCCTAGCAGCAACGCCTTGCATGTAAGGAGACAAGGTGGATTCTCCGTACAGGGGCTCCCCTTTCTTCGCCTTATCAACCATTTCCCTCATGTCCATTTCTTCTTCTCTTTTGTTCTCTGTAAACCCATAAAATCGATCTAAGGCCAATGAAGCGTGGATTAACTTGAGGCCTCCTTGACTCAGGTATGCTTTGGCTCTTACTGCAAGATCGCTGGAACACCGTGATAGCACCAGCTGCCAACCCTATTCCTCCTGCCAAGCGCATACATCTGGCAAAATTGACTTTGCCGGCATACGCTGGTTGTACTCGCTCCATAATAGCAAACGTTAGAGGTCCCATGATGGCGGTGACACCACCCAGGGCCCAATCAGACAGCCTTGCATAGCCAAACACTCGTTTGACATGACTATAGAAGAAATTCCATCAGAAGTCGCTCGGGACAGGCCAAGATCAAACATACGGATCAGAGTCTATCAACTACAGAGGTAACAATTTAGTACTCGGCAAAATGATTCTAACAGGGACATAAAGAAATACACACCGGATAGTCGGTTTGGAGTTGTTTTGGGGGCACAAGGGGCCTCCCATGGTCAGCTGCCATGTTCAAATCGATTCCGTATAGGTGACTTGCTGTTGGGTGCGCCAAATGGTTCGCGATCAACCAACTGTTGACGTTCTTACTGTTCAAGGTGAAATAAAGTTTCCAAAAGAATATTCACGTGACCATGTCCATTTTAGAATGCTTACTCCAATAGCTTGATTATGATTGGTGGGCATTACGAGATTTCTATTTGTTCCAGATAGGATTTTATTAAGCCAATCATGTTTTCTGCTGCTAAAGCTCTCAACGCGTCGCGTCAACGAAGTTTGGACTCCGTTATGGAGTAACTAGTTAGTTAACCACCTATTTGGCAAGAACAAAACGAAAGACCTACTCCGTATACAACGGATAATCCCCAGCATCGAGTAATCAATTTAGTTAAGAATTCCAAAAGGCCTCTTTTTACATTTTGCACAATGGCAGGCAACTCAGCGATCGATGACCTCTTTGACTATGATGCGGGGATTGAACATTTACTACGAGATCCAGAAGAAGACCGAAATACTCAAGATGCATCCAAACAATCTAGGGCAGTCACAGACGGCAAAAACGATAATTTAGGGATTGATGAGGAGATTAAAGTTACAAAGAGAAGAGTACCACCCGCGAAGCTTGATGAGACTCGGTTTGTGGCATTGACGGGCAAGCCGTGCTCGTAAATTCGTGGACATAGAGCTGACACCGCAACGTATAGCTTGCTTTCACAGGCAGGTATTCCTAAACTCCGAAAATCCGCGAAAACAAAACTGAAATTCCACGGCAAACGACATGAGGTGCGCTCAAAGCCCATATTGTTTACTCTTTGGACCGCACCAATCTGATTACCTACACTCTAAATAGTTCTCCGATGTGGCTCATCTGCTTAATTTTTATCAGCTGTGGCTTGATGATCTTTATCCCCGCTCAAAATTCGCGGATGGACTCGATATTATTGAAAAACTTGGCCATTCGAAACGCATGCAAGTGATGCGAAAAGAATGGATTGAAGAAGGCAAGCCCGGGAGGAGTCCCTTACATACGTCCAATACCACGTCGAGAGACCAAGCTCCAGTAGACATCAGCGTTGACAACCAGCCAAACCCAACGAAAGCACCTACACCTCCACTATTTGTGGGGGGGCCGGACACAAATCAAACAAATAACCTGTTCGAAAGCCGTGGAAATTCTCCTGTTCCTGAAGATTCTACCCTCGCATTTTCTATATTTGGGAATAGCACGCAAATACAGCAAGATCAAGAGAGTGACGATAGACTTTCTGTCCCTGTAGAAGGAAACCTTTCTTCTATTCAAAATCCACTACTAGAAGCTACCACAAATAAACCCCAAATAAACCAGCTAAAGTCGATAGGGCCTATTGAACAGATAGTAGATGAAGAGGATGATTTAGACGCTCTTCTCGCTGAAGCTGAGGGTATATCAAGAATTGTCCCCGGAGACAAAGGGATCGGTCCTGTGGTAGAGGATTTCGATGACGAACTCGACATTATGAACGAATTTGGATTGTGATGGACATAGTTTAAAATCGACGTGATAAAATCAGAATTTTACTCGGTTAAATTTAATAGAGGACGGAATCAGAATCACAAATAAACCGAAAAATATTGAAACCCTCGGCATGAGACGCAGAGGAATGGAGAGTCGACTGTAAAGTACGAAGAATCAAAAATGCCAAAGATGAAAAGAAGAAAAAAAGAGCAAACATTTTTAAGGCTATGGAATCATTTAGCACGTAAACGGAGTAAAATTGATAAGATATGACCGATTGCAAAGGGGAATAATAATGTTAAAAAGCAGGAAATGCGATCTCTAAGCCTTGGAAGAAAAACAAAAAAAAGAGAAAAAGGTCAAATCAGAAAACATATCGAGATGAAAACCAACAAATTAGACCAATACCAATAGACAAAATCATGGAACCAATTCGTCACTTATGCAGTTCCGTTGACTGCAACAGCCGCGACGCCATTAGTAGCAGCTTCGGCGGCAACACCATTAGCCATAGCAACGACGCCAGCAAGAATAGAATACTGTCCACCAGCACCAGCCCAGCTCATTTGCTTGCCTCTGACGGCAGTGTTATCAATTACTGTAGCAATCTCAATATCATCGTCGGTACCCTGGCCGGTCTGGTAGTTTACGGAGAAGCCCCAAGACCAAGCACGGCCTTCGCGGTCAATACAGAGCGAATGATCACTACCAGCGGCGACAAATTCGGCGGCGAGGTTTGGGACTGCGGTAGGAACAGAAAGAATGCGGGCCTTGCCTCGGTCATCACGAACGACAGCATCTTCGGGAAGAGATTTGAGATCTAAGCCGGACTGAAAGCCATCGACACGGCCCCAGACAAGGCATTCGCCTGTGCTAGTGACGGCAAGGGAGTGATGAGATCCGCCGCAAATCTGAGTGACATTTTTTCCAGTCAATGTTTTGACAACTTCAGGACGTAGAACAACCGCTTCGTCGGATCCTGCACCTTGAGGAATGGCGGTTTGACCGTAGCTGTTTAGGCCCCAGGTGTAAACTTTGCCGGATTTGTGGATTGCGAAGGAGTGGAAAGCGCCACAGCCTATATCAGTAATGTTCTTTGGTAATCCGAATTCACGGGGATGAAGACCGTTGAGTTTCGTGCGTTCGACGATGCGGCGACCAAGTTGGTTCTGCTGGCCGGAGCCCCAGGCAAAAACAGCGCCCTTGACATCAAGTGCAAGAGCATGGTTGTCACCACAAGCAAGATGTTTAATTTTTTTAAGAGCTGGAATGATAACAGGGGTCTTCTGAATAGTAGTAGTAGCATCAAAGCCAAGAATGCCTTCATTACCCTATACAAAAGAATTAGCAAACAAATGCGTTTCTCAGAACAAGGGAGAAAAACAGAACGTACTCGGAAGGTACCCCATCCATAAACGGATCCATCATTAGTGAGAGCAAAAGAGGAACTGTCGCCAGCAGCAACCTCAACGAAAACAGTGCCATGTGGGAAAGAATTTGAAGGAATGGCAGTGGGAGTAGCCTCCTTGGGATTCAAACCGCTATCGGCATCGCTATCGGAATCATCGCCATCACTGCCAGCGTCGATATCTTTTAATTTTCCTTCCCAAACAGTTTCACGGCCCAAAGCACCTTGATCATTAACTCCCCAAGTAAGAATCTTATTATCGTGGGTGAGCGCAACACAGTGCATCCCACCAGCGGCAATCTGGACCACACCAACAGTATCCGCAGACAAAAGCGCATTGAGACGAGGTCTTTTGACATCCACTGCATTTTTCGCAGTACCGAGTCCGAGTTCACCAGAACCGCCTTCACCACATACGTAGATGTTCAATTTCTTAGTAGGGGCTTCGTTGATAACCGCTTTAGGCCTCGGGGCTTTGGGAGTAGTGGAGCGAGCCTTTTTTGGCTGTGCGATTTTTCTCTCTGCAGCTGCGACACGACTTTTCTTCGTCTTGGGTTCGGGTGCATCTTCGGAGACGGCCTTGCGCTTCTTGGAAACAGGCGCTTCGTCAATTTTCTCCTTGGGCGCGGTCTTTTTAACGGTCGTTTTCGTAACGGTTTTGGCTTTTGTGGGCTTGGTTTTGGGTGCGGCCGGGGCCTCTTTCTTGGTCGCAGTCGCAGTATCAGCAGTCTTTTTGGGCGCAGTGGGCTTTTCTGTAGCGGTAGAGGTCGCAGTCTTGCTGCGCGTTGCGCGAGTTGACGCGGCGGCCCGAGGAGCCATAGTAAACAAAGGCGATTCGAGAGGAGGAATCAAGGCTGAGGAGGGGGAAAAAGGTGTAGTTTGTTTAAGAATAGAAAATTGGAGCTTCAACCAGAATATGAAAGTGAACGGGCCTCGTTGACGGGAGATATCAAAAGGAGTATTGGAGGATTTTGATTTCTTCGAGGGATTTGGAGTGAGAAAAAACAGGAAAGAAAGGGAGCTTGTTTGCCTTAAAATATTTTGCTGCCCCCCCCCCCCCCCCTTGACGGCACAAACACGACCTCGCGATTGTGAACAATCAACAATTGCCTGGTCAATACGTATTATTCAGATGAATCGCCTTCTTTGGTATTGTTTAGTCTACATGAAGATCCTGTGGAACTTGCCTCGTCGAAGGCCCCTTTTGTGTTGTGCTCCGTCGCCTTGTCTCAACGCCTTTTCGCCCTGAGCAACACAAGCAGCAGTCGTGCGCTTGGATTCTGAGCCGTATTTATTCTACAAGCTGCTGGACGGCTTCATCCAGTTTCAGGTGGCTGGCGTGTGTTGCTGTGCTCTTTGTCCGTGCAATATCAGGCCACAATTACCACCGGCTCCGGATCCAAATCTCCAACTGACAACGCAGCTCAGTTCCGCTTTCTTGTTTTTTTGGTTGTTCTTCTGGATTTGATACGTGCGAATACATACAGATATAGGTTTTCTAAGTGTATTTCTCTAGCTAATAAACGGTGTTCTTACCACAGGAAAAAGTGCCATTCAGAGCGGCGTGAAGGTAGCAACTGTGGGAGTCTGAGGATTGAAAAGCCGAAGTATGTACTGCATTCAAGTCCTCGAATAGGATAAGCTCATTTCAAAAATTTACGCATGTAATGTTGCCTATTGAGCTTTTCTATAGTCCCTAAGTTGACTCGTTTAGATATACGGCCCTCATCTGAATGATATGTGAAGTAAATATCCCAAATAGTTTGTAGATATGGAGTAAAAGTAACTGGGATCCACCAGATTTTCCGCTTACCCTGTATTCTGTACAATATCTATCCAGCTTGGGCGGGTATCTGGACACTATAGCCCCTGGATGAAGGTTTTGCAAAGAGCCGACCCCTCGCCTCCGATTGACTGTTGACATCTTGTTTCTACCTCAAATTCTCCATGTCTAGGCAGACAGCGGATGTGCATCTCAGCATTACAAGGCTTCCCCGCACAACTCTAAGTACCAAAACCTGGAAAAGAGATAGAAAACTGGGGCAGAATATAACGTATAAATCGCTGCATGGGATTTTCTGAGGTTCTCTCCACGAGATATTTCGTAGCTGTACCAAATAAAATCAACCACTAGGTACAGAATGATAGGACCTCCAGCAGGCTTGCCTAAAGTTTCCGATTTATCTTTTAATAAAAACGACCCAGCGTGGGGTCGTTACAGAAAAGATGGCTTGACTGGAATTTTTAAATCGGCAAACAAATGAGACCGTACAGCAGGCGGCGAGAGAAAGTTAAGCTGGGGTTAGGTGGGTTTACCATTCAATTAAGTCACAGACTAACAGAGCATCGTGCTATAAGCCAAGCCGCAGCAGATTCTCCATGAATTGGCTACTTGATGCACAGAGCGATATCCCATTTTTTGGAAGGCAAGTCAAATTATCCAGAGAGCCTCGAGAATTTGGTATGATCATATCTGAAATTTAATTCCCGGAGCAGCAGTCAATGCAGGGCCCAGCTTGTAAATGCCACGGTTTATTCCGTCTAATTTAGTTTTGGCCTCAAGGAATGAACTGCGTCATTCTTCGTCATGGGTAAGGTCTGCAGCTTTCCTGGGCCATTGCAAGGTGAGTCTAGTAATGCAGTCTGTGCTTGTACTAGCGAAATCTGCTAACGCTATATAGCACCCCGAATATTTCATCGAAATTTTAGGAGCGTAGGTAGCATTATCATCATTTTGGTCACTCAGGGTATCCAAGAGCTACTGCTTCTATTCCAGGTAGGATTGAGGGAGGCAAAGTGGTTGGAGGAACTCGAACCTTGCTACACATAATCATGTCTTGCCCCAGTGCGTTCCACGTAACGTTTCTCGGCGCAAGTGAAACTTTCGGCTTCCCATATTCGTCCTTTTTGGAATCCGGTGTGACACTGACGCCTCCTCGGCCCAAGAACGACGGTGCAATGGTTACAACAATCGAGTCAATAAAATCCTCGTATTCTGGGTTGAGCAGCTCACTCAATACCACTCCACCGCCTTCAATCATAACACTGCTAATACCTTCGGCCGCTAAAGCTCCGAATATCGTGGACCATCGTAAACGCCATGCTGGATTAAATTCTGCAATCCGTAGAAAGTCGCCGCCATGCTTCTTTAACAATAGAATCTGCTCTGCAGGTATATTAGCTCCAGGGGAAACAACAACCCATGGAGCCTTTGCTTTCCCAGCGGCAACACTTTTCAACATTCTGCACTCCGGGTCAATTGGCCATCGACCTTTCGGATCTACAATCACTGGCCTAGGCTGCCACATCTTGCCCAGGCCTCCGTATCCACCAGCGCCCTCCAAGCGGCAATTTAGCCCCGGGTTATCCGCAACGGCAGTTCCGACCCCGATCAGGATCGCATCATGCCGTGATCGAAGGTAGTGGGTTAGTATTTTCGATTCTGGTCCGGATAGTGCTGTCTGGATACCTGGTGCTAAAGAAATTTTGCCATCCATGGACTGCGCATAAGTAAGCGTGACATGAGGAAATTTACGGTATTCCTCTCGGCCTGGGAGATAGGGTTCCAAGAAATTTAGAGAAAATGTGGGAAACATAAGAGCATCTGGTGCGTGAGACGTTAGCGTAAGCTTAGGCTGAGAGGTGGCTTGGGGTCCTCCTTGGGCTGATGCGCGAGTTCCAACTTGATAAACTCCAATGCCATTTTGGAAAACATAGCCCTGATGTGTTTTAAGCTCTGCGTGAGGGTTTGCTGTTCTCCATTTAGCGCAAATATTGCGGACATCGACCCCAGTCAGAAATGTACCACCTACGGCAGCCAGGACGTCCGGACTTTCGCGGAATTTCGCTAATATCGAAGCAGGAATGTATGCCTTTTCTGCCTCTTGCTTTATGAAGGATAATAGCCCAGAATTCCTTTTGACTTTATCCATGTGGTCCAGGTCATGTGCATGTGTTGCAGTGCAGTTATTCTGACGATATATCATAACAGAGGGGAACGCTCCAGCACTTTTAACAACTTTAATCTGAAAGCCACAGGTAGGACCTCCTCGCGAAGCTCTATGCCTTCGTTTCCCTTCAGCCTGTACGGGGATCTTGTCATCATTGCGCCGCCATGGCTGCCGTCGCTGTCGGCAGCAATAGTAATCCGAAACAGTCTTATCCCGAGTTGTGCTTGATCTCTGCTTGACCCACACGTTATCGATAAACGGCCAGTATGAGTTATATTCCTCCAAGCTCAGTTCAATCGGCTGGCGCAATTCGAATAGCTCCTGGCGTATCCGCGCGATGTTCGAGGGGATCTTGTATGGGTCCGCGCTTTGAGTATCCGTGTCTTCGACGATAACTACGGTCGCTGGCGGCGGGCCTTCACCAGGTGTGGAGTTTGAAGTCTGTGAAACCGCGCCATCCTGCGTTTCCGCGGCCAGTTGGGCCTGTATGTCGTTTTGTAATTGGGAATCCTCCAGCTCAGGAGCGTCATCGCCAACCGGGGAGGCGCTCTCCATTTCGAAGTCGCCATCAGCCATTGTCAGCGCGGGATCCGGGTCCTGGTCTAGGCGGCGAGGTACCTCAGTGTGCATCCTGAGGGAGGGCGTGTTCCAGACCCCTCAGCCTTACTTGGAACAAAAGGCGCTCTGAGGTGACGGCACAGGCACAATATGCGTGAGAGGTCCCAGCTGCAAAGTCAGTAGGCGCGTATTTAGCTCAGGCCATGTCCAATCTCTATGAAAGGGCCTTTACAGTCGGCACGAAAGAGAGAATTGGGATGCTCAGCAAGCCCGATTATTGTGCGCACGCCTAACTTGGCCTAGAGTGCTGACTCATCATTAAGTAAGGCGTATTCCGCTGACTAATGCTGATTGCACGAATCAACGCGTGCTAACCCGGCACAATTTGCGACGAGCCTGTTGCTTAGAAGCTACAACGCGCGTTGAACAATGACCGCCTCGGATATTCGGGGAGACAGTCTGGGCATTTGTATAGGAAGGTCATGTTTAATTAGAAGTCATGAAGGGAATCGTAAAAATCAAGTCACAGCTAAATTAAACATTATCACAAGACCGACATATCGCCCGCAGCTTTTGCTAGCGCTTCATAAACACCAGGCGGCAATTTGTACTTAATCATGCCCGCAAACACCATCAAATCCTTCGCCATGATCAACATCCTATCCATTAGGCTTCGTCGCATATCATTGTCGTACAAGCCCTGTTGCAGTCTCTCCCGCTCTCGGCTGATACATGTGATGCTCCACATAATGATATGCCCCCCGTTGCGAGAGATGACCGGAGGTAACGATGAGAATAATTGGGCAGCGCCACGAATCTGTGTCACAGAACCACGCGCATTTAAAGGCAGTATGTTAAGAAGATTGATATCCTGTACAAGGGGTTAGTTTTCCAGGAGAGTTCGCGAGGGGTGGAAAAAGAATCTTACATCAAGTGCCTGAGTCCACTCGCCAGCCTCAACTTTGTCCTTGGCCTCCATCATGCGCAGAAGGATCCCGCAAGACTGGCGAGTCGCTTGATGGATTTTCTGGTAATACATGGCATTTGACTCGTAGAGTCTAATCATATTCTTGGCAAGGGCCACGGGATCTTCGACGGACATCAGGCTAAAACTGCTGCCGGCTTCCCCATATTGTGTCTGGTCTTCAGCAAGAGGCTTCGCCTGGTGCAATTGCAGCGACGCGCTTCCCAGGCTTACAGCAACGGCATCTGAAAGCGCCCGGTTGAGGATTGAAATGACGTTGTCATAATCTTCTGCCAAGTGGTACAGAAGAACTGCATCTGCAGTAAAACCCTTGTCGTCAGCAACAGCAGCAGCCTGTATCGTAATTGTTCGGAGGAATCCTTCCTGGTCGTCAATCTTGATTAATTTTAAACGCTGTTCAATTGCGCCCCGGATTCGAGTGCCGTCAGACTTTATATCTCCAAGTAGTTTGGCAAAGTCGCGAGTTTCAAGAATAAACTCTCGCAGAGCTTCATGACACACGGATGCCTGCGACTTTCCCAATTCCCCGGGAAGATCTGCATTGAGACAAATTAATGTAAAGTAATCTACAGCAGCTTCAACATTTCCTGTCCGAAACTCTCTGGTATATTGAGTAATAAGCAATGCAAAGTTGACCTGCGGAAGCTGTTTTGTGGTAAACGATACTAGAATAGTGTTAGCCAGACTGGTTTCATAACAGAGAGTAATAGAGACAACTCACATAATTCTTCGCCAGAGGTGTAGAAGTCCGACACGCGTAGTAGACCGTAATAGTCCAAAGCTATTCCAAAATGGACGGCATCGATCGGCGCGAAGCTTCCAATATACGAGACCGCCTGTTCAAACATACCGCCTAGGATTTGCAAGAGAAAGAAAGTTCCATATCCACCGGGGGTGTCCTGGGTTTTAACGAATATTCGCTGTCCAATTTCAGCGATATCAGCCTGGATTTCGTGCAGTCCGAAAACATCACCAGCCACTTCTTCAGCGCGGCTATCTTCCCGAGCCAAAGTAAACTGGAGCCACATCCAATCTTCCACCCCTTGGGTCATGCCTTCAAGTCGTCTCTGGCTTAGATCGCATCGGCCAATAATCTTATAACATGCCATTCGGTACGGATCAACAGTGTTTTCTGGCGCATTCCGAAGACGCTGCTGATATTCACCATTGAGCTTCTGTTGTAAATCTCTGGGAAGTCGCCGTTGTTGCGCATAGGTTGTCATATAAGTGACAAATTTATAGTCCATTGAACGGAATCCTTGATCCATACTCACGTACTCAGCGGCCTCCGAAACGAAACCGCATCGGAGTAAGTAGAATATGAGTACCCAGCAATAGTCCTGGTCAACCATCTGCAGTTCTATCCCATCCGATGCAAGATCCTTCCTTGCGGCCTTAATACGAATATAAGCTCGAATTTTGTTGGCGATTGATGGAACCCCACCAAGTTGGGCTTCTCTAGGATTTTTTGCAACCGCATTTTCTATCTCAGTATAGAAAGCGCGCTCCAAGTGTTTCCTTGAACCCTCAACAATCGCCTTTCTCATTCGAACGGACTCATTAGAATTAGCACTCTCATCCAAATAATCAGCGGAAAACTGGCGTTCTCTTATAACTCCTGGCTCCGAAAAATTCACCACGTTTGGCGCTTCATTAGTGATGCTTATAAGCGCTTGGTATGCCTCAAAAAGTTGACGGGGGACCTAGGTAGGAGTGTTAACATGATCAATATAGACTCAGTAAAAAACACCAAATGAACATACATCAGAAATCGCAAGCTTCTCGATGTTGGAAAATTCATGAAGAATTGGAAATGCTTTATCTTGCATCCTTGCTTTGTTAAATTGCTGGACTTTCGTTGCGAAGTGGCCCATTTTTTCCCGCAGGAAACGGGTGTCTGCGGGCTGAGTGGTGGATCCTAAGGGTGAAAATATCGGAGCAGTTTCCGTACTGGCGATAGTAGACCCAATTACAGACTTAGAAAGACCAGAACGACCAAAAACGCTACGTTTCGTGCTCGACATCTGTCGCTGGCCCAAATCTCTTCCAAACTTAGAGGGTTTCGATGCACCAAACGCTCCACCTTGGCGCATCGTGGTACCACTGCTACCAGCTTCACTCTTTGGGCTCAAGCCAAAGTGCTCAAAAATCCTCTGTCGTTGCTCATCCCAGTTAAGATTGACCTTTTCTTCTAGGAACTGGTCGAAATCTCGCCTTACACGCGCGAAGCTCTCAGCCACCATGGCATCTCGTCCGCGCTGTTGTAGCCGCCGTAAGAACTTTTGATTATCCGGATCGAACGGTTCCTCGTCCTTCACCGCACCCGAAGCTGGGGCTTGTGTATCCAATGTCCGTAAATCATGGAGAACCTTTCCCGGGGTTATCCCTGATGCCGTAAGGGAGTAGTGCCTACAGTGTGGAAGAAATCAAGTTAGTTTATTGCCCGGATATGTGAACAGCCATCGGTTTCACTGACGCTTTCGCACTAGCACCGGGATGTGTGGGCGTTTCATTGCTTCCCAGCCCGCGAGCCGTTCTTCGAATGTCATCTAGACCCAATTGCAGATTTGGTAGTTCCACTGGCGCGGGTTTGGCCGTCGACGAATAGGGTCGTTTCTTCCCCCGCTCAAGTAAGCTGCTGAAGTATGCCGGTTGCGTAGACTGGGTAGGCTGAGTAGAGAGAACTGACTGCCCTAGTGCTGCAGTAGGTTGTTGGTGAGCTTGAGCCTGTGTATTTTGCGCAAGTGGCTGTGAGAAAATAGATCCCCCAAACTGCGATTGAGGAGCGGTGGGTGCAGTGTTGGTCCCCGTGGCCGGGTTGGTGTTGGAATAGATGCTGGAGCCAACGGGCTGGGAAGCAAAGCCTGTCCCAACCGTAGAAGAAGCCGGAGCCGTTGCAAAGGGAGATGGTCGGTTTGCTGGTGTCACTACTGGGCTGTCTAAAAATCCTCGTTTTGCTGGCTGAGCTGGAGCTGTCGAAAAAAGAGAGCCCGCGGCCGAGGATTGGCTGAGGCCGGAGAACATAATGGCTGGCACGATGTATAATCAAACGAATGGAGAAGTACCAGCGTCTAGTTTGTACCAAAGACAACGGTAGGCAGAGGGCCGCGTTGTGAGCGGAATGGTTTGTTTACGGAAATAAGAAATATTCTGTATGGCCGGCCGTAGTCGTCTTTCCGCGCCCAGTTAGTTAAATAGCTAGCCAGCCAACCAGCCAATCACAACGCGACAGGGGTCAAAGAGTATGGTGATTTCAAAAATATAAACGCTACGGAGTTCCACGCATAACTAGTGGTTATACGGGGGTAAATTAGTGTGTGTTATAACCTGCGTTACTATGTAAGTTATGCCAAGGTGCCGTCTAACTTTAGCGGGGCAAGTTATCATACTAAGCCAAATATAGTCTAGTGCATTTAAAAAGTCTTGGCATTACGCGCCCTGGAGCTTAGTAACCAGCCTGCGCGCTGTGTAGGCTCCTGGTCTTGGCATTACGCGCCCTGGAGCTTAGTAACCAGCCTGCGCGCTGTGTAGGCTCCTGGTCTTGGCA